ATATTTCAATAAATAGAGTGATTACATCGGGATATGTGGAACCAAGATGATTAGAGAAGAAAATGGATGGAATTGAGAGTCTGAACTCTTTTTCTTCCCTATTCAGTTATTACTGGACGCTTGTAATTTCAAACTGAAACCGGTTACCCTTTAAAGTTTGCACTCTTAGTTAAGAACACCAAATATTTGGCTAAAACGATATTGCATAGTGTTGAATTTTCTTCTCTTTTACTCCATACGGCAGTACATTGATTGCATTCCGAGGTCAGCCAAATTTCGAAGAGTCTTGATTACTTCCACTGGCCATCTGGCGATAGTGTCGCAAACTCTCAGAATGCCTTTTACCCAAAAGAACGCTGACTCTTCCAAACATTGATATAAATTGGTCTGTAATGATGCATGTGACGTTTTTCTGTTATTTTGCGGCAGATAGTTTACTTATAGTGCATAGAAACCTTGATCCTTAAGGTTTTCTCAAACTAAAACCGGTTACCCTCAACAGTTTGCACTCATAGTTAAGAAAATCGAATATTTGGTTAAAACGATATTGCATAGTGTTTACTTTTCTTCCCATTTACTCCATACGACAGTACATTGATTGCATTCCGAGGTCAGCCAAAAATGACGTAACATCCAATTTGCTTTGCTTTGTTGAGATTGAAAACAGGTTTGTTTGTACCAATGAACTACGCAGGGGACTACAAAAAGGGGTATGCGATTGGTCTGGTGTAGGATGAGCCCCTCCCTATATTTCTAACCCCGCCCCCCCACCCCCCACCCCATTTTTTTTTAGATATCCACACTATACGGAACCAAAACTGAACGAGTAGTCTTGCATTTGTTAATTACAAGTTTAAGATGATCGACATTTACATAAAGCACATGTGAAACACTTTTGTGTCTACTTATCGGTTTTAATGCGGGGCCGCTTTTCTTAGAAATCAGCCTTCCATTTGCCCATCTTCAATCTGTAGTTTCTGATTTAAGAGAGAAGCACACTAACAAACAAGGGAGCAGCTTTTTTTCTGACGGAGGTATACATGTGATAACTATTACGAAACATGTTTTAACTGTGAAACGTTATAATGTTGGATCCGATGACTAACTAACCATTTTATGAATTACTTGCTTCTCAAAAATCTACTTTGCATACCATGCCTCCCATTGAAAAGAAAGCCACAAGGTTATTCCCACAAAAAAACAAAACAAAAAAAGAGCAAGACCAACCTAATTACTAAGCTACAAGACGGTATGTGTATCTAATTATCAAGTCGGAAGCCTTTTTTTCATAATTTTGAACTAGATCGATAGCAATTCGGCACTTGCACTTGAGGCGGATTATTAAGGAACCGATAGACATCAGGTTTGTTTAAATGCTTACAGAATCCCTCAAAAAAAACTAGCGTTAATAGAACTGAATTTGTGGCCAATTGAACAGTAAATACTAGATTTATGTTTACTTTTCAGGCTATTGGAAAGTCTATTCGACTCTCCGCCAGGGTTTCGCGCAAGCACTCTCAGTTCAACTGATCAATCGTACTAAAACATTTATCTCACCAAACGCTGAAAGTTTACATGTTTCAAATAATATGCAATCAAAAATCGTCGCAGCATTGAGCAGCCAATGTTTCAGCCTAGGAATCAAGGGGCATTAAGAGGCAATACTGACAGTGTACAATTCACTTGCTTTTCAACCAAGCAACCAGTCCTCTTCAATGGACCTCATCCACTGAATTTGTTTTTTGCTTCGTCTCAGTCGACAGTCGGCCTACTTTTAGTATAATGGCTGAAAGCCATTTCTGTGTTGTTGTTCTGAACCCAAATTCACTCCTAGCAAAAAGAATATCATACTTTAAACATTTGTGAAAATTTTGAAAGGGGTAACAAGTTTTGAACCTTCGCATCATTAAAAAGAAAGATCAGTCGAAGGTAACAGAACGTTAAGGTTTGCCCAAAGTTAAATCAGAAATAACTCCATGCTGTCCTCGAGTTTTCATTTCTGTAGAGCAAACATTATTGATTGTCCCCTGAAGTTTGGCTCTCTAAAGAATGTCTTCTAAAGTTTTAAACTTGAGAACTAATAATGAACAACATAAAATGATAACCTAAATCACAGACATCATTGCCCATGATCTTGGCTATATTTTGGGGCAAGGTCGCAAATTGGTAAGTTTAGACATTCGAAATTGTGACAATGTAAAAATTAAATTGATTAAGTTCAGAGCAAGCAGTAAAAAAGTCCAACAAATGCAATATAAAGATGTCAGGATAACCAAGTATTTAAGAAATTTCAATAGGTATAATGTCTCCTCGTCTACAGGGAGTTACATTTATATCTCATATTTACCGAAGCATGCAAACTCAATGTATCTACAGTTGACTAAACCACCAAATGCTCTCATTAAAGTGCTTCATCATAGAATGTTGGCGTCACGTGGAAAGGTAATTATACAGACCCAAAGTAATATCTTGAAATCCAAATGTAAGGAAAAATAGTCAAAGCTTTAGCTAAAAAAGATTTAAACATTTCATTTTGTTTCCTATCCAGAAATTTCCCGTTTGCTTTTCAAAACTGTCAAATTGAACGAAAGACAGAAATAAAAGCACTGCTTTTTCGGGGTCATAAAGAGACTTCCTCTCTCCAGAAACAAGCCCATGTTCTCTCAAGAACATGGGACAAGAGCACTTCTTCCCAACCTCTTTGAAAAGAGTCAGGTGTAGATTGGAACTCTGCATGTCCATGCATTTGTACCAATAGCTATGTTTCTGAAAAGTCTCCCTATTATGTGACGACTATTATGTCCTCCACGACGATGCAAAAAAAAAAAGTAATTTATGATTTAGTACAGCAACTGTCATATCTGATTCCTACGACAGTCATTCTTGTAACATCCTTTTTAATTATCTCCGAGCTTATACAATATTTGAGGGCCTTTAAAGTAAGCTCACTTCTAGGGAGTAATTTTTCCACTCTAAGACTTGAGTGAGTGAAAAATCAATCAACCTTTTCAATCTGGCCAAATTAAAAAAATCTGTAATTTAAAAAAAAAAAAAAAAAAGAATTTCTAATGACTAGAAAATAGGAAAAAAAATTGAGAATTCCTTCTCAGTTCTTCACATAGTTAATCACAGCTCTGCACATTTTGGAGTACTGGGTGAGAAGAATTTGATGAAAAATCTTGCTCCATTCTCGATTTGTTCTAACTATTGTGCAAATGTGATCTAATTGAGGGAACATGTAGACTAAGGGGGTAAGAATGTAGGTGTACTTACAAATGAGAACGCCTATCAAGGAATACCTCTTAAGGGGGGAGGTTACAATTAGGATTTTATATCCTTTTTTTTTTTAACAATTTAAATGTGACCCTTGAATAGTACCTCAATAAAACTAAAGTAAGAAATTACAGCATACACCAAAAAGCTAATAATATACAATAATCACATTATTAGAAAGAAATCCACTTATTTTTCATGCAACTAGAGTTATGACTGATAGGATGGAGTGACTGGGGACATGTAACACCTAGCCCAACTCCACCCCTCTTGGTCCCATCCTATCATTGCCTTATCTAGGATTTTGAGATCTTCATTCAGTTCCTCAGCACTCCCTGGTAAACAGCACTGTTGCAATGCAAAGGCGTCCAGTTACAGGGTAGTGGAAATCTCTATACCAGAAGAACTCTGATAATTGTTTGCATCTCCAAGAGTCTGCAACTTGTTTACATTCCCTCCCAAACCAGGGCAGTTTTTCGCTGCTCTGGATCCAATACACACCACAATTAATAGATTCCAATGCATATAAGACCTTTTCATGTAATCCGTCATTTTCTTGATGCAAGTCAAATAAGAGTACTAAGTTTGTTCTGTGCCAATACTCCAATTCATTTCATTTTCATCAGTAAGCATTGCAACCAGTCACTTGCTATAGACCAGCAACTGAACAAACCCAGCCAGCAAAATCCACCTTTTTTGACTCAGATATCTTGATGAAGACATGATCCTGGAAGAAAAAGACAGAGTAAAAGAGCAGTGGTCTTTAAGGCGTTTTCAACTAGATGATTTTGCTTTGAGGCAACCCTCCTTTATTATGGAAATCAGTCCCATTTTAAAACCAATGTAGACTCCACTCAACATGAACAAAATAACACATCACTCAACCACCAAATATCTCACCAGCACCAGAGTCAAAAAGAAAACTACCTTTGTCCAACTTACAGCTAATCTCATAAACAGTACTGGTAAAAAGTATAACACATAAATTTCTGGATGAGGCTATTAGTGACACTTTTGGTTTTCCACCTTTTTTAAAAATAAAGTAGCCTTAACCCTTTAATCTCTAAGAGAGACTAGCATCCAGTTTCACTCCACTGTATCACTCTTGAGGCAAACAGTAAGGTCATGATGATAAAAGAAATAATAACCAACTTGAGAGGTTCTTGATTGTTAAATAAATTTTCTCAGTACTATAGGAAATGTATAGAGAGCACCATGGGGAAAGTGTATACTGATTTTGGGGCATAAAGGGTTAAGTCCTTCAGTTTCATATTTGGGCAAAGTAACTGGTTAGATGAAAGACCCAGCAGAGTTTCAAATGTAGAGGGGGAAGTTTATGTTTCTAGGTTGTTCCCTTCTTTGGCAAAATGTTCTACAGTAAAATTGTGTAACCACAAATCTGCCTTATAAGCCCAATCTCTGGATAGGATGCTCACCCATCACCTGTTACCCCTTACACAGGCCATGAATTATCCACTTTTCTGTTTGGAACTCAATGCTGCCTTTACATGCCATACTGAAGGTGAGGTTTGCTGCCATTTCAAAAGGTAAAATCATGATGCTATTGTAAAATCCCTAAGAAAGATTCCAAGTTTATTTTAAAATAAATATTTTCCATAGCATCAATGTTGTGTGTGTGCAATGCATGAAAAACACTGACCCCAGCCAACAAACAACTTACTCAAATAAACCACTACAACTCGTATCATAAATTTTACAGAACTTACCATTAACACTTTGAGGTTAGGTCTTTCTGAAGGATTCTTAACAAGACTGAAACAGAAATTGAAATAGATTACTGTGAGATTTAGCTGTTTTCTAGAATGTCCTGATCTCCAGTGCATCTGGATATACCACAACTTACTCCCCTAAACATCTATGTCCAAGTTTGACAATAACTATCATTCATAACCATCATATGGAAGAGTGTGGGAAACATTGCCTACCATTTGTTGACAAACTCACAAAACTCTTCTGAAAATTGCTCTGATGGTAGCTGGGGAGGAGGCTATCCAATAAAGAACAAAAATGTATAACTTCAGTGACAATAATATACCATTCTTCAATAATATACCATAGTTTCTACAAAGATTTTCCCAGCAGTAAAGGAGATGATTACACAATGCAGCAATCCTGAACTTGCTGCAAACTTTACATCAACACAGAAATGCATACTTCTCCAAAGATATTATTAGGAGATCAAACTGATCAACCAATATGTTATTCAAACATTTGGTTAGTCAGAACAATGGAGGGAAGAAAAGCAATTCAACTTGCTTACTCTGTTTACACAAATTTTATGCACATCCTCTAACTAACTCGCAAGATAAATTCCTTAAAAATTGATTCACACGACTTTCATCAGTTTACTGTTAAGACTTTTGGCATCACCTCATTCACAATATAATCCAGTAATTCAAATATCACCATTGGCCTTGCATCATTGCTCACACCACTAGGTGGCCTTGTTCCTGGAGGTATTCTCTTTAGATGTGATGGACTTGTGCTTTTTTGGTTTTCTTCAGCTGGTGGAATTGGATACCTTCCAATTGCCATCTCAATCAATGATAATCCAAAACTCCAAATGTCAGATTGAACTGTGTAGTTAGCTCCTTGAAGTCTTTCAGGCTGAGAATCTAAAATGTCAAAGATTAATTGCAAATAAGGTGAATCTTCTGTATCTTAAGTTCTCTTTTCACGGCTTATTCTTACTTTTCAGAGTTCATGCACTTGGACAAAATAATCTCTGAGGTTTATTTGATTAAAAGGAAATTTTCTAGGTTACAGAACTTACTCAAACTATGAATGACATACATGTACCATGTATCTCCTTTCAAGTATCAGAAACATCTTTAAGCCTTCCTTATCATGCATTTTCCACCTCAGTTTAACTTGTCTGTGGATTGTTTTCTTGTTTTCTTAGCTTCCATGTTGGATTTTAACTGTTACATTTTAACTCTTTCACTCCCAAAATCTCACTGTCGATTCACCTAACAGTGTGCTATACACTTATCATAATTCTAGCTATGAGGATTTGGCCTTGAATCAAACAATATCCCCAGATGATATTTTCTCTCTCCTTGTCGCCTCTTTGGTTGAAATGCTATTGATATGGTAAGGAGAAATTACTCATTGGTCATTCCAAGGAGGTATAAAGGTTAGAAACATGTAATTTCTTTTAGTACATAATACCAAAACTACTATTCACTTATCAACATATTCTCCTTACCGACATGTAAGATCGTGTGCCAACAAAAGAATTTGCCATTGAGTCAATTAACTGTCCACTAACTCCAAAGTCACAGAGCTTGATTTCACCGCGGGAGTTTACTAAAATATTTGAGGGCTTCACACATCTGATTAACAAAAAGGAACTCTTGTTGTGATGATCACACTACTTTGAGCAAGTTTATGAAGTTGGAGTATTCCACAAATTTACCGGATTACACTATTAAATTTGACAAGACATGCCTAAATTTGTTAGGAGGCAAGAATATGGTTCCACTATGATAGGTAAATCATACTAGGTAAATAATGTTAAAAATTGGGCTTCATACATTCCAATGATTTCAGCTTTTAGAGGCAGCAATCGCACATGTTCAGAAGTTTCAATAAGAGCTGGTAATTATGAAATTTGCCATCTACTTTACGGTTTTGCCCTCTACTTCATGACTCACTGACACCCCTAAACATTACAGTTTGTAGGAGATTAAGATGTGGACGGAGAGAGCTCACAGGTATGCCAAACTATCTAGTTGCCCTTGCAAAATGGATTTTTGTGAATTTTCACAGTAAACTCAGACTGGGAATTCCCAACCATAACAACTCTGGTTCTAAAAACCTAGAAATTCCTAGAAATTCCCAGAAATTCCCAGAAATTCCAAGTCTCTAGCCACTCAAAGCACCGATGACTTTCCCTGAAAAGCTGTAAATCTAAAAAATTCCTAGGAATTTCTAGGAATGTTTAAGAATTAAAGGGAATTTTAAGCAAAAATTTGAGGCTAATGATATAAAATAAATACTTTAAATTAATAAACCCAGCTAAAATTCAAGTATTCAATGAAATTTATTTGCAAGCTTCATTAAGGTTTACATGTAAAATATTTTTGATTAATTATTAACATCAACATGTAGTAATATTAGGATGGAATTTTATTTATTTTTCTTTTCTTGAAAACTTCATACGGTTTAATCCTCAATTACAGCTATTCATATAAAATAGTCCTAATCAATCATTAAATTTGGTTTGACACAAATTGTGAATAAAATCTGTTGATTCTTTTCCATAAAATACAATATCTTAAATTATATTTGAAAACCAAGCACTCTTGGGAGTGAAGGGGTTAATTACAGTTAAACAAAACTGATTTTTTAATTAAAATCCTGTTGTAACTGTAACAATATATTAGAATGAAGTTATCCTAAACTGCAAACTTAGCTGCTGTTTGTATTTTTTTCCTTGGGCTCACAGTCAGTTGGCCTTGAATGAGGTTGTCTACAAGAAGCTTGACCATTTTGTATCTGGATTCCATAACATCTGAATTTGAAAAAAAATATATATATATATATTTAAAGCTCAGACCAGGCCTTTAAGATATCTATAAGGAAAAGGGCATTCATTGGATTCTCAAATTGAGAAATCTCTTTTATATTGAATGACTTTTATATTGGAGTTAGTACATCTCTCCCATAGATTTTATTAAAAGAGGGCTGAATAAAATATTTTGTTTTTACCAAGGAGGGCTTCTTTATGTAATAAGGTTTGTTTAATAACAGTTCCTATTATGAATCTTGAGTGTTCCCAAACGTGACTAAAGGAATCTTGAAACCTTACTGATAGGTTGATTTCATTGTAAAGCATAAGCTTAAGAAACTGCGGCATGCAAGTGACCGATTCCATTCTCAGAATTATTCTAGTTTCAGTTGCGCCGAGCGTTATGTAAGCTTAATTCAACCCGTTACATCTATTCTCTTATAAGATTTTGATCACGTAACGAATATCGTAATTTTTACTCACCACGAACTTTCAAAATCGTAGCTTTACAGATGGCCACTCGACCATTATTTGTACCAGTCAGTATGTCAACTGTTGTCCCTTCTTTTAACTCCACGGCGCCAACGATTTTCTTTTCTTTTACAACACTCACGCTGTTCGCGTTTTCCCATTGAACCACAATAAAACCTATCTTTAGAAATGTTATATTAAGCGAAACAGTTGAGAAATGTGATCAACCCATGAAAAGTACATTCAAAGATGAGCGCCAAATGGAGTCTTCTTTGTTTCCGACACGGGCATGATCACGTGGACCTTTTAGGACTTGTCATTGGCTAGCAGAGTGAATCCGCTGGCTTGCCGATTGCAGTGTTAATTAAAGTGCACAACTTTGTTCTGACTTCTCCGACCGGTTCTACGCTTCTAGACGATAGATACCTTGGTGATATAAATAATGATGTGAGCTCATTCTATATAGAAATAATCGACAAGAATCGATTGTACTACAAATGCACGATTTGTGGCAGAAAGTTGTCGAGGAAACAAAGACTCGAAACTCATTTGAGTTGTGTTCATGGCAAAGGTGAGAAATAACACAAGCCAATCACAATTTTGAATGCGATTACAAATCGTCTTTTACCCTCATATTTATAAAAGAAGGATAGCACATTAGGAAGTATAAGAGATACATAGATGATCCCAGTGCTTCTTACAAAGGAGAAACATTTGTACAAGAGACAGATGTAACTATATGCGATTACAGAGGTGCGTTGGAACTCTGGTCCACAAATAGTTGTGCACTGTCCAAAGTATAAAACAATTTTGTTGATAGCTGACAGACAGAGAAGAACAACAAGTAAACTTTAGAGCTGTTATCATTGAAGTGTGACTTGCACTTTTCATTTGTATATAAAGAAGGACTTGTATTTTGCACCAAAAATAAAAAGATGTAATATTTTTTGGGAGATCCAGTGATGGTGACATATAAGACATTAAGTTATGAAAGGAAACTTGGTTTGTACTTCTCGCTACTAACAAGTCTTGTTTTAAAAATATTTTCAGATCAGAGTTTCAAATAAAGTAAACTGAAGACGTCATTTAAAAAGTGTTTTTTCTCAAAGGGAACATTGACTACCTCTGTCTTGTCTGCATGCCAAATGTTTGCAAACTGTGTGGATGATCCACAAGTATTGGAACTCTTACAAAAATGTTTTGTAAGAATAAAAGCAGCAAAACATATTACAGCAATCAGTCACAAAAACAGAGCAAAAAAACTGAAAAAAAAACAGCAACAACAATCATGAAGAAAGAAAAATAATGTCAACAAAAAATAAAAATGTCAGCAAAAATTCTCTGAAAGTGTTTGAGGCAACTGAGCTTGACTGTTCCAAGGTTTTTTAACAAAGGCAACCAGTAATGTAGGTTAGGGAAGTAACTTAAGTTCATAACTAACAAAGTTCTTTAAGTATAGATAACAATGTAATTATTGTTAATTATTGTGGAAGTTGGGTACCAAGAAACAGCTAATGAATGTTTGATGATTTTGGCACACCAGTGAACATGAGACATTTTGCATCACAATAAAGATATTTTATGATCATGGAATCCAAGAATCCTTTGAGGTTAGAGAGCAAATCTGTGATATGAGTACATTGGGTTAATTGACTATTCCATTTAACATAATTGACTACTGGTTCATGAGAAAATCCATATTAATGTAATGATTCACTAAAACTTAGTTTGAATAATAAATTTCATGATCTTTAAGTTATAAACATATACATGTATGTATATCTCTTGGTAAATTTTGTATAGCATACCTTTTATTGAGCCAAAGTTTTAAGCATCTGAAATTACTCTTTTTGTTAAAACCTTCACATTCAAGGTATTGAAAATTTCCTAGAATTTATGTGGACCTCAGGGTATTTAAATTGCCTCAAATTCAAATCCCAGAAATTCCCAAGAATTCCACCCTTCTTAAATTATAGGTAGTTTGTATAGCTGAGAATTCCTAGGAATTCCAAGTCTTCACAAAACTGGAGTCTTCCTTTCCCAGAAATTCCTAATAATTCCAAGCTTTTTAAATCAGAGCTTATTTGCATAGTTGGGAATTCTTGAGAATTCCTAGGAATTCCTAGAAATTCCCAGAAAACTGGGAATTCAGTTTGCAAGGGTTATTTACATAATTGGGAATTTTTGAGAATTCCTTGAAATTCCCAGAAAACCGGGAATTCAGTTCGCAAGGGTGTACAAATGATAAATAAATTTATTACATCGATTGTCTCACAACTTTAGGTCACTATCAATAATGAAGGGAAAGCTATCATAGAAGGCATGCAATATTTCAACTGCTTTGATTCACATCTTTGTTAAGAAATGAGTTGGATGGTTGCCCATTGCAACAGGGTTTTTATTAGAAGCCGGGTCCCGGGTACCGGCACCCGTCTACTTTAAACAGAGTTCCCGGCTACTTGAAGCACCAAATTAAAAAAAGAAAATAGTTGTGAAAAAAAATATCAACTTCAACTTAATTTTAACTCTTCCCTGTAAGTTTAAAGCATTTTTTCTGCACTTATTTATCAATTACTTGCGATCAGAGTGTGGAAATAAAATTTACTCTGATGAGAAAGGCGCTGCGCGGTAATAGGGACCTTAAGCAAACCACGCGACGGCAACGAGGACATGGAAAAACAAAAGATATAATAGGCAGAACAATAGCTCAGCACGTGCGTTCGTACATTTCTGAGCCGTACAATGCAAAACAACAATGTGAAATCCCCTCAATTTGCGTCGTCTGCGAACCGAAACCGCGACGGCAAATTATTTTAACTTCTAGTTGGACCTCAACACTTCTTTGATACGCCATGCTGAAGTTGAGGTGTGGCACCGTATGAGACGGTAAACACATGCAGCCATTTTTGAAATTCAAATTATAGGCAGTAATTCATTTTTTAAACGAAGTCTTCCTTGGCGTTGCCGTCCTGACTGCTTAAGGTCCCTTATAGCGTTCTTAGAACTGTCTCTTTCTAAAGTGCCGAATTAGCTGTTAAATAACTCTTAAACGTGACGTGCCATAAAATCGAGTGCGTTCTGCGGAGTGATCGTGGCAAGCAAAAGTAAAACTCACGCAAGCACTCGTTTGCACATGAAAAGTCAAGAGCGATGACCTAAAAATTAAATTCATGTTTTAGTTGGATTACAGCCGTGAAAAGGCTTTTCGAAAAATTACGTACGCTATCTATGCTTTTCCATCATTTAAACTCTTCATAAAACACTTTTTATTTTTCTGAAATAAAATTCAGAATATAAAATAAACATCAAGAGACGAATGTCGCCGTAAAAGATGCTTATCAGCTGACACGGCCTCTTAGTAAGCCAACATTTAGCTGACTTTTAAGCTCAAATATTCCGTACAATTGAAAGAAACTTTGATCCAATTTAATTTCATTGAAGATAAAGCCCATCGGAGGTTTTGAAAAAATTGTTTTCAGCGAGGGCTGATTGTGTATCAGACTCTTGTGTTCCATCAACATTTGTTTTAAATTTTTAACTGCTGGGGGATATATATGTGACAAAAGGAATTAATGTAAATGATTACGGCTCTGACTTTGAGTTTTCATAAACTACAAAGAGTGTTGTCAGTTTCACTCTTTAGAAGAAGAAGAAAGGAAGCTCTGACAACAAAAGCAGTGTTTTGATGAAGCTATAGCTGTGTAGAGAAACAAACAAATTCTCTTAGATTACCATTACTTTTACTATAATCAGACTAAGTATGCTTCATTCCAGAAAGATTTCTTCACCAGATTGCAGAAAAGTGCGTTTCTGGGAGACTTAAGTTTTAAAAGTTTCCGGGGGGAGCATCCCCTAGACTCCCTAGAGGTTCAGGCCTTCGGCCCTCGATTATACAGTGTACCGGCCTACTCACAAGGCAGTGCCCTTTTACTTCAAAAGTAAATGAAAACCCTGTTGCAATCTTCAGTCCAATTTGTATTAAGTGGTCACACATGGGGAATGGTGGGGTGACTGTTCAATAAAGGTGACCAGCAAATGACTCACATGATGTTCGCACATAATATTTTCCTAACAATCCAAAGAAGAAAGATAATTTTTAATATCCTTTGGACATTTTAACTTAAGGTGCTAACATTGATTTTGGAAGATAAACACGGAATGAATGAAATGACTTGAAAGATTACTCTGAGTTTTATTTGTGTGGCTCTGCTTTAAGTGACTGTTCAAACAGGCTGTTGGGCCTGTCTGTATTTCAGGCTTGAGGTGAAAATTACAGCAATTCATCATAATGCTGGATTTTACATCTTTCTTTTCTTTTTTCAGCCTTGATGGCTGCAGCATAGTTTTGGACATAAAATTCCCCTTTCTCAAAATTCAAGCTTTTTTTTATCCTTGAGGTAATACTGTGTACATTAATCCTGGACTACAAATGGGTAATTGTCCTACTATCTGCTATACATAATATATGTAAAATATAAACTAATTCTTACCGCAATTGTGATAACTCACAAAATATCCTCAGGTACTAGATCAGCCTTTTTCAATATTTGATCCAGGGAGCCACTATCCTGAATACGAGATCAATAAGATAATTATTTCACGTCATTAACACTTTCACTTCCAAGAGAAAAACAATGGCAACAAACTTAGTGAGTCTGCCACCAGGCAAAAGTTGCGCTATGTTCTTCTCAACCCTCAATGTGATCTTGTTTATACAGCACCAGGATTGTTTAGAGAATCAAGAGACTTTCACATCAGCCTCCTTTCTCTACCATTGAAAACTCTTTGTCCGACGCAACTACCTTCTCTGAGCAGCGGATGGATTGTTTCCCAAGTAGAGGTGATTTTAGCTCGACTGCAGACATCGTCAGAATTAAGTTTTACTGCAATGATATTATTCATAAGTTTCACAGCGGAGAGTCGAGTGATGCAGAATTTTGTTCACTCTGGGATGAAATAAAAATAGTCCTTTTACGTATAGCTTCCCGTATCAGCGCAGAAACAAAACTTGAATGGGAAGAAGCAATCAACAGGCTGCGGCATGATCCCTTAACCCCAGAGGCTGCAAGAAATGCCGAGGAACTACAGGAAATGTATCAGAAAGACATGATCACAAAAGAAAGTCTTGCATCAGGGTTCGCTCGAGTGGAGGGGCAAATTCAAGACCTGGGGAATCAAACTGAACAGCTTCGCGAATTGGTAACAAATCGGGCTGGCTCTTCATCGGCAGAAGGAGGAGGTCGGTTTAAGGAAGAGACTGTTTTACTTTAAGAAATTAAGTGAATATTAAGTTATATAGCCTACTTCGCCATTACAAGGGTAAGTTTTTGAAGAAAAAACTGTGCTGCTGTGTCAGTTGGAGAGTACAACAGGGTAATTTAGTCTTATCAACTGAGTTGATAACGTAAATTGGCCACCGTAAATTAAAGAGTTTCAAAGCTGACGTTTGGAGCGTTAGCCCTTCGTCAGAGTGAATGACGAAGTTGAAGGGATTATCATGATATTCTGACCCAGGTAATTCTTCTTATCACAGCTCCTCTTCGTATTATCATCGATGTCAGATCCATGACAAGCCGCAGCTCTCGAGAGGAAGCTCCAACGACGACGAAATCCTTTCATCCGCATCCAACTGCTTCAGCCGACGAACCTCCGGCGACTTTGACAATCACAGCTAATCAGCCTATTCAAAGAATAGTCTTGGAAATACGTCGACATTACGATCTATCTATCTAACAGATTTGTTCAACGTCTCGAGGATGTCATACTGTTTGATCTCGGGATGGTTCTCAAAAATAGGGAAGAATTCAAGGATGCCAAAGCTTACCAGAGAGAGTGTGAAAGCATGCAAGGGGTTCTGGATGACCCATGATCAGCGAGCTTGAAGGGTTAGTTTACACGGTAACCCTGTAAGATGCGTCAGGGCTTGTCAAGAGGCGTACTCGTTCTCATTTCTATTGGTACCAAGACAGGCCGCGTCCTTATCTAGCGTAGGCAACATTTTTGTCTGAAACAAGTCTGCTAAAAACAAAGGAAATTGAATTTACTTGCTTCCGATTTTAAGACCTTACAGCTAAAAACCTAACCCTAAAACCTTTTTGCGTTGTTCACGTCCAGTGTCATCGACATCGGTGACGACAATGACGATGACGATGAATATAATGACAATGAGGATGATGGGGATGACTGTGACGGTGAGAAACCGATAGACCAACATGCTATCCAGTAAGTGTTAGTTACTCTTGGCTAATTGTCGCAAACGAAACCGGGATAAGCCCTAGCAAGATGAAGCAGTTGCCTCGAGTTCAGTCTGAAATCTTGAGCTATTCACAAAATCTTTTAATGAACCTCTTATATCTAATGATCTCTTCGAACAGAACCATAAAAGAGGTGGAGGAACGCATGCTCGGCGAAGAAAAAGAAAAACTCACGAAATCAGATGATGCTGGTGGTTAAGGAGGAAAGTCACCTTAAAATAACTTGAGGCGGCGAACATGCTGTAATGACAAGAATCACATAGAAAACTTGTAACTCTGGGTTCTGTTTTTGATGTTATTTCTGAAGTGGTTGGACATCTGGATCAGTTCATTTTACACTGTTGGTTAATTGTATGAAACAAGTCTGACGGGTTTCATAGATATGGATTATGATTTGCCGATAGGTTTAGCTGAGAAAGGAACGAAATCAATGCGAACACGAAGTTCGGAGGAAATCATACAGCACCCATGTCCTCTTTCAAAGCCTTTGCTTCGCGTTTGAAGACGAAATTTCCGTCTTGCTGCACCTTTCTGGGAACGAGGATGATGGAGTCCTTTCGGAAGTTCGTGTCGGTAGCAGAAACTATCGAATCGAGCCTCATGATTATATGATGTCAACCGACAATTACTTATTTATCAGAAACCTTGTCGTTTTTGAAGCGTTTTACTGACCCTGTTGAATTATTTCAGTTATTTAATCTATTTAAAATTTAACAAGAAATTTGAAAGCTGTCAGCAACATCACAAATGTTGTTTTAATGTTCTTAACTCAAACTAATGGGGTATAATAAAAGTCAGCAATACTTAACCGTTACCATTCTCATTATTATAAAGTCAGTAAAACACTTACACGTTACACGGGCAAGATATCTAAAATTCCTTGAATGTCTTGGATAGGCTACCCTCCATCAATTGCGATTCCTGTTTCATTTTTAGTGAAATACCACCTATTCTAAATTGAATTGAATCAGTATAGAACAAGCCGAAGAGTTCCTAATATCTATACATATATACAATCATTAGCACCAAACTGACGGACTACGCCTAGAAAGAATCTTACCGGCTAGGATTTCTGGAAATAGCCAGACTCACTTGTCTAGAACAACGGCACTTTCTTTCAACCACACCCATTTACACCATTACGAAGAAACTAAAACGGTCCAGTGAAGTGAGACTTGACCTTGGACATTCAATATAATTTTAATAACAACCATTCTTTCAATGTTCAGTTCTTGTTTTCGAGTCTGATGCAGTTAATGACTCAATGCTTTATATAACTGATGCATGATCAAAACAAATTCAAATTAAACAAAAATGGAGATCTCAGAGACGGAGAAAGAATGTTCCATAATTACCTCGATTTTAAACTAAGACGATTGCTTACGAGGAGACCCACGCAGAATTAAGTGGCTGTATCATCACTGTTGCGGAACCTCGAAGGAGTGTTACCTTACTACACTTGAAGACACTCAGGACTGGACAGTATTAGCCAATTCACATGAAGTCATTCTCATCAGAGTTCGGTACTGCATTTAAGAGTTCCCTTGCTTGGCTTCCGTTAGACGCCTCATTACTTCTTTCAATTCCTTCCTGGTTCTGTACGAGGAAAGGCACATCAGCCAAAATCGGAAAATTTAATGCTTAAGGAGGTGGATGAGGGTTTTATTTAAAAGGGATGAGTCCATGGCAAATGTCTCTTTTAGAGGCAACAAGACTCGTTGTTTTCAAGGAATGTGATCGAGTTTTGATATTCAGCGGATAGCTACTGTTTAGACCCATAACGTCTTTCATACTTGAGGAAGAAATACTGGGCGAAAGGAATGGAAAGAAACATGGTGAGGGAAGTCCTATGGCTGCAAATTTCCAATTCATTAACACTTTTATACCTAAAGGATCCCAACCGAAACACAAAGTATAAAGCGATACACAGTTGTTTACCTTTCAAGAGCGTCGTTTCCCTCATCCGATATTTTGTTTTGCATGGCCTCGCAGTTTTTAAGATAATCCTTGGCTGTTACCAATTCTCCCTTCCTTATATAAACCATCGCAAGATCAAACAACGACTCAGCGGTGTCTCGATGGTCCTTCAGTAACTCGCGCCGAATCTTTAACGCTTTTTTCGAATATCGTTCGGCCGCTTTGTAATTTCCCAGGGCATAATAATTGTTTGACAGACTGTTGAGGATGGTTGCCGTGAAAGGATGTTTATCCAGTGTTTCTTGGTAAATTGGTAGCGTCTGTTCTTCTCTGACCTTGATTGCCTGCTCATGATTTCCCTCGAGCGAAAGGATCACTAACAAGGGAATCACAGATTTATCACTGAATATGTAAAGTATGCCTATACTTCAAGTAGTGATATAAAAATACAACAATTCCAAAGATACGATAATTCCAATTTAGTCATTTTCGGCTGATCGTAAAGATAATTAAGAAAAGTAGTGATAGTGATTTTAGTTGTCCTAAAGAAAGGAGTTTTGAAGTAGCCTTAAACCCCTTTAAAGTAGTATATATTAGAATTCAGGTAAAGGATTTCGTTTATCTAGTGGTTGATTACAAACATTGTAAGGACATTTTTCAATACATTTCAGAGTTTTGCACTTTCTCAATGTTCTAAGGATCCTGTCAAGGGCTAGACAAAATGAATGACGGCTATTAAGTTCATTCTTGACTAATGAGAAGCTAAAATCATAATGCTTCTCTTGTTTTTTTCACTCAGAGCACAGGCCACAATCTGTAAAGCATTGTCAATCGTGACTCTCTATTCATCAGTTGTGAAGATTCATACAGAAGCAAATGTTCAAAATAACCTTAAAATTACGATCCCACAAACTTCCTTGCAAAATGTATGATCAATGCGCTCGCAAATTAATTTGGTACCTAATCATTTTGTGCACTTACCTCCCTGATCATTATACGTTGCACCGAGCATAACGTTGTCATCCTGTCCTTCCGATCGAATGTTGATTGCCTGTTGGACTTTTTCTTTTGCCTCGCCAAAAGAGCCTTCTTTGGCGAGACATCGACCAAGTTTGGCAAGGCACTGAGCTCGGCTGTTACCGGTTCTAACTCCAAGAATACGTTGGATTTGGTCAGCCTTCGTGAAGTATTCTTTGGCTCTTTCAGCGTGTGAAGCACACGGACCAATTGGAACACAGGAACAGCTGAATACTTCTTTCAGCCCCAAGGATGTGAGGCAATCGCTCAGTCTCTTCTGATCTTCCATCTGATCGCATCTCGTTCGTAGAGATTCAAAGGCATCTTTAAATTTGGCCCTTCTCATCATCTTTGCCAGTAGCTCCGTTACGCTGTTGAAAACATCGATGCACCTTCTTGTTTGATCTTCATCCATTTGACCATTTCTGCACCATTCAACGAGCTGCATGACATTTGCTTCATCTTTCTGAAAGGCTGCAATAGCTTCTGACACGTTCTTGCTCAGGAACTTTTTAAAGATGTCTTCCAGAAAGGTTAAAAAATAGCGGATAAACATCCTCCGAGCATCTAGGATCACTTCACGAAACTCCTGCTCCATTGCCTTAGTTTCACAATAATCACCAATTACTGGAAGGAGGGTATAGGAGTATTCATCCCCATTAAAGTGTTCTTCTAAAAGTGATCGCCGGGACAGTCCCAGTCCACATCGTCCTAGTTGAGACGCATTCATCTCCTTTGATTCAAATATTTTCTCTGCTTCACACAGAGAAAAACGCCTTTTAAGTAATGCAAATCTGATAAGGGCACACTTATGTTTCCAGTCAAGCCTCTCGAAGCAATGATCGATACAAACGTTGATCTTTTTACCCCCTGATACCGTTTGAATCTCTGTCAAGAACTTGAATTTTTCTTGACGCGAAGAACATTTCATCTCTTTCAAGAGACTTGGCAGGTTACGGTGAGAGGAGGCTAGGGTGTAAAGGACCAAGGGAATACCGCTGCAAATCTTTGACAAGTCATGTGCTTGAGTCGTATCGAATTTCCTCTCCTTCCACACTATGTTCAAAAGCTCAACGGATTCTTTTGGCTTAAAAGGCGACAGATGAACCATTTCTTGACCTGCTTCCGGAAAACAAACTATCTCTGAAGAGGTGAGGAGAAGTTTGACTTTGCCCGCAACCATTAAAATTTCATTTATTAGATTCTTAATCCTCGATCCTTCCTCAGATGGGTTCATCTGCTGGAGTGACAATTCACTTTCGGGGAGCTGCATTCTGTCATCCAAATGAAGTATAAATTCAAAATTATCCAATAGCAAAATGGTGAAGAAATCTTGGCTTTTCAAGCGATTTTTCAGCTCAGGTATTGGATACTCCACAGGTACGTGATATACTTGCTGAAGAGCCTTCTCAGCAAAATCATGGGAAAGTTTTATGTTTCTACAGTTAACGTAGATCACCACGGTATGTCCGTCAGAATTCAGTATGTCGTTTGCCACTTTCGTCGCCACGGTTGTCTTCCCTATGCCAGTGGCACCATGTATGTGAAGGCATCTGCAACTGTGCAGTGGAGAAAGGTATTTTCTGATTTCGTCGCATTCTGTTTCGCGATTGACGAAGTGCGGTACCATTGGGGGGAGAAGAGACAATGTTCTAGAGATTCCTGCAAGTAAATGTAAAATAGTACGGTGGGAGACAAGTTAAACCTCACAGATACATGCCACAATTTCCATAAACAGAAAATGGTGGATAGAAGAAACAGCATCAGAAGGAGAAAATACCTGCTGAAGTTTCCTCAACTGGTTTTGGTGACTCACCTGAAACCAGAAACCAGCTGAAACGTTATGTCATTAATTAAAGCAACAGCTACTCAAGCTGTCTCCCTATTCTCTCACTACACATTCAGCTTATTCCTCTTTAATCTTATCTTGCCTGTCCTATTATTATTATATACTCTCATCCTTCCCTTTTCACATCCATTTTCTAAGGCGTCACCTTCTCTTCTCATTTTTTTTTCTTGTCAGCGGCCACTTGGAAGCCCGCACATCTTTTGCCGGCTACTTCTATCCTTGGACATCGTATGTACCAGCAAAATCAGAGTATATAATCCAACAATTAAGTTATTGCCAGTTTTACTTGCTAAAAACATATCTTAACATGACAAACATTGACCCGAAGATTCCAGGGTACCTCGATTACTTTCTTGAGATGGCAGTGGTGTTGCAGCTCTTGGATGTGGTTGCTCACCCATCTGTGGGAGCAAGTTTTGAGTTCTTAATGAAGTATACCAGGTTATGCATGCAGTCTTATTATTTTCATAAAAAGCTGAGTAGAGGCCTTGGGATGAGGCCTGCTGCCCGTGTTATATCTAAGACACTCCTCTAAGCGTACGAAACGAAATCTGGATAAGAAGTCTTTCATTTCTTAATTGAGAGTTTTAGATGAACAACATTCAAATAAACCACATGGAAATCACTTTAGCGTTGACTTTCAGTTTGAATGTGATGTCATATGTGCACTTAGCACATCGTTGGACGTGGTCGGGGATCCCATGAGAGGCATTCTCATTATTTCAAGCTGTACCAATAACGATTTGCTCAAGTTGAGAATTGCCCCGATGTGAAATAAAATTTGACCATGTTTTTGTGTTTGCACCCATATGTATGACGCACGACTAAGGCACTGAGTAACTTAAGCAGTCCTATCACGACGGAAAGGAAAAGTTAAATTAAAGAGGAATAGGTATTTATCTCAAGAATTACGCGAATGGGAGGAGATCTCTCCCATCTCTAACGACGCCAGACCTCGACTTCAGTATAACATGTGATATTTGTAAGCGGCGTTGAGTTTTAAATGGTGTGTTCCCGTTGTCAGACAAGACAAATGTTGGTGACTCTAAGATGGTGTTTAAGAGGTGTACAAAGTTTTTAACACACATCCAAAGCTTTACCTCTACTTCTTCTACTCGTGGTATCTTTTGTTTGTCGCACTCTTCACCCTATTGAGTTTAAAACAGAAACATAAACAACTCGTGGTCGGTTTCTCTGTTCTCAGACCGCGCAAATTTGGGAAACTGTGTATGTTGATATTTTGCCGAGGGTGCTGAGATGTACAAATCACGCACAGACCTTTATCTCTGCTCGTAAAATATTTTGTTTTGTCGCGTTCTCGTCGTCGTCGTCGTCATGGTTTGCTAAGGGTCGTACTGTGACCACAACTGCGCTATTGATTTACGTCCTTCAGGTATTTTCGGAATAAGCATACTATCAAGTGGCGATCAAATTCTTATATTGTTTCCAACTCGTAATTGAACTATTGTCAAGTCTTTCAAGCTGGAGACAGAATTCTAACAGAATCATAAAAATAATAAAACAATAAGCTAACTGTACTTTCCGCAGTTCCGTCTTAACTAAATAATCAGCACTTCGAATCTTAGAACTGCGTTAGTTAAACCGGATTAATGACTCCATTATTAATCGACAGAAGATCTGTTGGAATACCTCAAAAGTTCTTAAAGCAAGCGCAATGAAATGTGATGGTAACAAACTGACCGTTGATCTGCATTGACCAAATTGAATGTTAACTATTCACGAAGTTTGGACAGATCCAGACACGGAAACACGCCATGTTTCGACAGGATACTTACATTTAAATGATCATCCCTCAAACTGCCAGATATTTGCCTCGTTTTAAATTAAAAGCAGCTACATAGTCACGCAGAAATCGTCCAAAGACCTCACCCTGTAAGGGTATTTAACATTTAAGTGTTATTTCCACGGATTCTAAGCGAAAGCGGAAATAGTAATCCTTGGTGCGTCAACAAATGCTGTCATGTCTTATAACTTTGAAATTCCTCTACAATCGATATGAATGTGCTTAGTTGGCTCATTGAAACGTCTCTTGAATAAATTTCTATCATCAATCCCAGAGAGTAGTCAAGCAAATACAAATTACGATTGTGATCGAAGTCGAACGTATAAGCGCACTGATCTTTTAAATTCCAAACGGATCCGTTAAAACCTGTTGGAAACCTCAGAGTAATGTCACCTTCACAGTTAAACCTTAAGTGTTCTTTTCTTACCTTGTTTTTACTGAACCTGGCTATATAGCGCTGAATGAGAGGTTGAAAATACGTTGAACAATTGTTGTAAATGCATTGCAATTCGACGAAAACGGTTCTGATTGATGGCTTCCTTAATCAGATCTGTAGATTGATCTGATTGATGGAGCCATCAGAGCGTATAAATCTCTTCATTTGATTAATGTAGGGGTTAAGACGTATCTGAAAACTGGCGATAACTCTACATTGTTTTTGCCACCTGAAGTTAGAAATGAACTGAGGCTTCTTCCATCATACCTACGGTTCAAACTTAAAATTTCATTCAAGGCCGTATTGAGTTTGGGTCTTCCGTCATATTTTTTAGTATATTTTCCCACGTTTTCGAAAAGGGTCTTGATTGTTTCCACTGGCCACTTGGCCTTAGTGTCACAAACTCTCACACTGCCTTTTCACCCAAAAATTTAAAGAACGCTGACTCTTTCAAACATTGATATATATTGATCAATATCGATGCATGTGATGCTTTTCTGTTATATTCCGAAAAAGAGAAGCGGAAGCGGCAGATAGTTTTGAGTTCTCAACGAAGTATACCTGGTTATGCATGCAGTCTTATTTTATTTTCATAAAAAGCTGAGTAGAGGTCTTGGGATGAGGCCTGCTGCCTGTTTTATTTCTAAGACGCCCCTCTATGCGTACAAAATGAAAAGTGGACAAGTAGACTTTTATTTATTAATTGTGAGTTTTAGATGAACAACATGTTAATCACTTTGGCGTCGACTTTTCAGTTTGAATGTGATGTCATATGTACACTTAGCACACGGTTAGACCAGCCATGGTAGGGAGATCCCATGAGAGGCATTTTCATTATTTCAAGCTGTACCAATAACGATTCGCTCAGGTTGAAAATTGCCCCGAGGTGAAATAAAATTTGATCACGTTTTTGCGTCTTCGAGACCCAAATGTATCACTTACGACTGAGGTATTAAGTAACTTAAACAGTCCGGTCAAGGACGGAAAGGAAAAGGTCGATTAAAAAGGAATCGGTATTTATCTCAATAATTTAGCCAATGGAAGGAGATCTCTACTATCTGTAACGACGCCAGACCTGGACCTCAGCATAAAATGTAACAAGTGTAAGTGGCGTTGAGTTTTGAATAGTATGTTCCTGTTGTCAGACAAGACGAATGTTGGTGACTGTAAGATGGTGTTTAAGAGGTGTACAAAGTTTTTAACATACATGCGGATCTTTTGCTCTGTTTTTTCTGCTCGTGAAATCTTTTGTTTGTCGCGTTCTTCATCCTATTGAGTTTAAAACAGAAACATAAACAATTCGTGGTCGGTTTTCTTGTTCTCAGACCACGCAAATTTGTGTATGTTGATATTTTGCCGAGGGCGCTGAGATGTACAAATTGTTAAACACACGTGCAGAGCTTTTTCTCTTTTCGTAAAATATTTTGTTTTGTCGCGTTCTCGTCGTCGTCGTCGCCGTCATGGTTTGCTAACAGTCCGGGCCATAACCATTTCTGCAGCAGGGCCCAGTTGTTCAAAGGCCGATTAGCCCTAACCCAGGGTTAAATTTTAATCCAGCTTTCTTTATTTCTTTGTTCAAAAGTCTTTTGGGGAAAATGTTCACTATTCTTTTTCGAACATCCAATGATCAAATTGCAAGCAAAAAGATTTGACCTGAATTTTCTCTTAAAGTTTTCAGACCTGAAATCAAATTTCACACTAACCCTGGGTTACCTTAACCCAGTTTTGAACAACCGGGGCCTGGATACTTGATGACGTCACCAACATGGATGTCGTAGTGGGACCTAGAGAAAACTCATTCATTACTTTATTCGAGCACTAACGACTTTGTTCCCTACCCATATCCCATGAAACCTTGCAAACTTGCAGAAGACAAGCAATCACACACAACAAGCAAAGAACTGATGGTGGTTGCGATGACGTGAAGGAAAAATTCAGATGAAAAGTCGGTGGAGGTCCATGTTGCGGAGGGCTCGATCGAGGAATAACCTCTCTTTAGTTGAGGTTTTCAGGTGTACAACATTTTTTTTATTCCTAAAAAAAATATTTTAAAAAACTAGAATAAATTTGCTTCGAATTTGTCAAAATTCTAATCGAGTGCATGAGGTTTTTGCTCGAGTGCACGAATGTTGAAAGTCTGTTAGTGTGCAAACTACTGGACGGATTCCTTTGTTCAGATCCATCGTTGTATCGTGTAAACTGTAAATTTTAACCATACGTTGTGGCCGGGCAATTTAAAGAAAAAGGGCAATTATTTATCAGACCTTTATAAGCCTACATTGTGAATTTCAGATCAAGCCAACAGCATGGATGAACACATTCAATATCTCGAGACACTTTGTCGTCTTCGCGGCACAAATCTGCCACGGACCAGGGTCAGTGCTACAAACAAAGAATCTTTTAAACCGGAGCTCTGGATGAAATTTCGAATCAATGTGGATCTTGACATCAGAGAGATTCATTCAGCCAAGGCGAATGTACACTAAAAAATAATTTCAGGAAATCACGGATCTTACAAATAAACGTGATTATCCAGCGAGTAAGTTCTCCTTCGGGCAAACATAAAACAAAGAGGTATTCGTCCACTGGGCTCTCACATCTTCAGGTATCGTATCCGGTAAATGTGCGATAAGAGCGGCATGAAGATCAAAATAAAGAAATCACATTGGTGGAAAGCCTTGCCGAAATGTCTCTATTGACAGCCTTCCGGAAACAAAGGCTGGAGTTTAACTACACGAACTGATGAGGGTGAAATTTTCGTCTACAACCACGAGGGACTTGTCTGTAATTGTGAAACTCGTTTAGAAACACCGCTCGTGCTTTCACATTTTGCAGTGATTACCTAAGCAAAATTTATATACAGGGTGTTCAAATCAAAGGGTAAGTGTAAAGGATATATTATTGCTGACTAGAAGCTGTAGGACCGAATTTGTAGTGTTCTGAGACCTAGATTCTCCCGCGAATCGATCGATAGCGCGCAAAATACCTTGTATGATTCTCTTGCATTGAATTCGACCATGTGTATTCGTCTTAATATAGATTGTTACTACTTGCTTTTATTTTATCCCACTCATGTGTTTATTGGCGTTTATTTTCCAGGTATCATAATTTCAAGATCAAAGCTCCACGTGGAACACCGCTTGTTATTCAAAGTGAAGACGACAACACGTATGACTCGCATGCACTAGCTTGTCTTCTTCCACAAGAAATGGAACGCATTCGAGAAGCTCTACGAGAAGTCCAGATTTTCAGCAAATCGCAGAGAAAGACATACACTTTATAAGATGTCAAAGGGCAGCAGATCGGCAGGGTTCAGCACTTTCTAAACATACAGCTGCATGGTTTGCTCCGATGTGGCAAAATAACCAGGAATTAAATGGTAAGTCACTGTTTTCTTGCTTTACTGTTACTTTTTTGTAAAGGCTTGATGGACTGAAATTGATACATGTCTATTTAAAAATCGAACAGAAGCAAGATATTGTCTTTCCTCGACCTGTACTGGAGAGAAATGAAATTTTCCCGATTTCGCGATCTCACACCTCTCTCGTCCCAATTATTATCAGTGCGCGTTATTTGGTTTAACCTTATTTAATTGGTTTTCTTGTAACCCAAAATAGGGAAATCAACGGAGAACGGACAGTAACATCGAGGCCAAGCTTTACCCAGAAGTTCTCCAGATACAAACAGGCTGGCGGAGGAGCTCTTACTCCTGTGACGCTCTTGGTGGAAGGGCCACAGTGTTACAAAGAATTTGTGCTGTAAAGAATCCGCTGTACTCTTCCAGAATGCGAGAATGTCGAGGACATGCAAGTTGAATGGTTGAAATAAACGAATATTTTTAATGGTATCTTACGTCCAGTCCTTATTAGCGAATTTTGTTTCGGCTTACTACCGCATTACAACATGGCCGCCACAAAAAAAAAGAAATCAGCTTCTTCTTGTTTCCAGCACCTCTCGGCCAAATTTGCTTTGTTTTGGTTTTGATCTCACCCAATCACAAAGCTCGAAACCGGTATCCAGAAATGGTTATGGCCCGAACTGTCTCATATTTTTTCCAACTCGTAACTGAACGAATGTCAAGTCTTTCAAACTTGAGACAGAATTCCAACAGATTCATAAAAACAAATAAAACAACAAGCTAACTGTTCTTTCCGCAGTTCCGTCTTAACTAAATAATCAGCACTTCGAATCTTAGAACTGCGTTAGTTAAACCGGATTAATGAGCAAAAATGACTCCATAATTAATCGACAGAAGATCTGTTGGAATACCTCAAAAGTTCTTAAAGCAAGCGTAAATGAAATGTAATGGTAACAAACTGACCGTTGATCTGCATTGACCAAATTGAATGTGAACTATTCACGAAGTTTGGACATGTCCAGACACGACAAAACGGCATGTTTCCGTCGACATGATACTTACACTTAAATGATCATCCCTCAAACTGCCAGATATTTGCCTCGTTTTAAATGAAAAGCAGCTACATAGTCACACAGAAATCGTCCAAAGACCTCACCCTGTACGGGTATTTAACATTTGAGTGTTATTTCCACGGATTCTAAGCGAAAGCGGAAATAATAATCCTTAGTGCGTCAACAAATGTTGCTACGTCTTATAACTTTGAAATTCTTCTACAATCGACAGGAATGTGCTTAGTTGGCTCACTGAAACGTCTCTTGAATAAATTTCTATCATCAATCTCAGAGAGAAGTCAAGCAAATACAAACTACGATTGTGATCGAAATTCGCCGAGTTGAACGTACGGGCGCACTGACCCTTTCAATTCCAAACGGATCCTTTAAAACCTGTCGGAAACCTCAGAGTAATGTCACCTTCACAGTTAAACCTTAAGTGTTCTTTTCTTACCTTGTTTTCACTGAACCGAGTTATGTAGCGCTGACTGAGGTTGAAAATACGTTGAAGAATGCTTGTAAATGCATTGCAATTCGACGAAAACGGTTCTGATTGATGGATTCCTCAATCAGATCTGTAAACTGATCTGCCGTGATGGAGCCATCAGAGCGTATAAATCTCTTCATTTGATTAATGTAGGGGTTAAAACGTGACTGAAAACTGGCGATAACTCTACACTGTTTTTGCCCCTGAAGTTAGAAATGAACTGAGGCTTCTTCCATCATACCTACGGTTCAAACTACAGTTAAATTTAATTCAAGGCCGTATTGAGTTTGGGTCTTCCGTCATATTTTAAGTGTATTTTCCCACGTTTTCGAAAGGGGTCTGGATTATTTCCACGGGCCACCTGGCCTTAGTGTCACAAACTCTCAGACTGCCTTTTCACCCAAAAATATATATATATTGATCAATATCGATGCACATGACGCTTTTTTGTTATATTCCGAAAAAGAGAAGCGGAAGCGGCAGATAGTTTTGAGTTCTCAACGAAGTATACCTGGTTATGCATGCAGTCTTATTTTATTTTCATAAAAAGCTGAGTAGAGGCCTTGGGTGAAGCCTGCTGCCTGTTTTATTTCTAGGAAGCCCCTCTAAGCGTACAAATAAAAACTGGACAAGTAGTCTTTTATTTGTTAATTATGAGTTTTAAATGAACAACATTCAGATAGACCACATGTAAATCACTTTGGCGTCGACTATTCAGTTTGAATGTGATGTTATATGTGCACTTAGCACACGGTTAGACCAGCCATGGTAGGGAGATCCCATGAGAGGCATTTTCATTATTTCAAGCTGTACCAATAACGATTCGCTCAGGTTGAAAATTGCCCCGAGGTGAAATAAAATTTGATCACGTTTTTGTGTCTTTGGGACCGATATGTATCACTTACGACTAAGCACTAAGTACGTTAAGCAGTCCGGTCAACGACGGAAAGGAAAAGGTCGATTAAAAAGGAATCGGTATTTATCTCAATAATTTAGCCAATGGCTGAAGGTCTCTACTATCTCTAACGACGCCAGACCTCGACTTCAGCATACCATGTAACATGTGTAAGCGGCGTTAAGTTTTGAATAGTATGTTCCTGTTGTTAGACAAGACGGATGTTGGTGACTGTAAGATGGTGTTTAAGAGGTGTACAAAGTTTTTATCATACATGCGTAGCTTTTGCTCTGCTTTTTCTGCTCGTGAAATCTTTTTTTTGTCGCGTTCTTCACCCTATTGAGTTTAAAACAGAAACATAAACAACTCGTGGTCGTTTTTCCAGTTCTCAGACCACGCTAATTTGGGTAACTGTGTATTTTGATATTTTGCCGAGGGTGCTGCGGTATACAAATTGTTAAACGCACGTGCAGAGCTTTTTCTCTTCTCGTAAAATATTTTGCTTTGTCGCGTTCTCGTTGCCGTCGCTGTCATAGTTTGCTAAAGGTCGTATTGTGACCACAACTGCGCTATCCTTCAGGTATTTTCAGAATTAGCATACTATCAAGTGGCGATCAAACTCTTACATTGTTTCCGACTCGAATTGAACGAATGTCAAGTCTTTCAAGCTGGAGACAGAATTCTAACAGAATCGTAAAAATGATAAAACAACAAGCCAACTGTACTTTCCGCAGATCCGTCTTAACTAAATAATCATCACTTGGAATCTTAGAACTGCGTTAGTTAAAACGGATTAATGAGCAAAAATGACTCCATAATTAATCGACAGAAGATCTGTTGGAATACCTCAAAAGTTCTTAAACCAAGCGTAAATGAAATGTAATGGTAACGAAACTGACCGTTGATCTGCATTGACCAAATTGAATGTGAACTATTCGCGAAGTGGGAACAAGTCCAGACACGACAACACGGCATGTTTCGACATGTCACTTACACTAACGTGATATTTCTTCAAACTGCCAGATGTTTGCCTCGTTTAAACGAAAAACAGCTACGTAGTCACACAGAAATCGTCCAAAGACCTCACCTTGTACGGGTATTAAACATTTAAGTGTAATTTCCACGGATTCAGAGCGGAAATAATAATCCTTGGTGAAATCTCCGAGTCGATGAAGTATCAACAGAAAGCCCGTGAGGCAGTTACATTAATTGCTTCCACCGCAATTACACCTGATGACATATTCCGATGGATAGAGTGATTACATCGGGATAAGAGGATGATTAGAGAACAAAATGGATGGAAATTGAGAGTCTGAACTCTTCTTTTTCACTATTCAGTTTTTATTGGACGCTTGTAATTTCAAACTAAAACCGGTTACCCCTTTAAAGTTTGCACTCTTAGTTAAGAACACCAAATATTTGGCTAAAACGATATTGCATAGTGTTGACTTTTTTTCTCTTTTACTCCATACGGCAGTACATTGATTGCATTCCGACGTCAGTCAAAAATGACTTTGTTGAGATTGAAAACAGGTTTGTTTGTACCAATGAACTACGCAGGGGACTACAAAAAGGGGTATGCGATTGGTCTGGTGTAGGATGAGCCCCTCCCTATATTTTCAACATTCCTCTGTTCCCCCCCCCCCTTTTTTTTTAGATATCCACACTTTTCGGAACCAAAACTGAACGAATAGTCTTGCATTTGTTAATTACAAGTTCAAGATGATCGACATTTACATAAAGCACATGTGAAACACTTTTGTGTCTACTTATCGGTTTTAATGCGGGGCCACTATTCCTAGAGACTTCCATTTGCCCATCTTCGATCTGTAGTTTCTGATTTAAGAGAGAAGCACACTAACAAACATGGGAGCAGCTTTTTTTCTGACGGAGGTATACATGTGATAACTATTACGGAACGTGCTTCAGTCGTGAAAAGTAATTTGTTGTATTCGATGACCAACTAACCATTTTATGAACTACTCGCTTCTCAAGAATCTATTTTGCATACCATGCCTCCCATTGAAAAGTAAGCCATAAGGTTATTCCCACAAAAAAAAAAAAAGCAAGACCTGTCTAATTACCAAGCTACAAGACGGTATGTAATTACATAATTTGGAACTCGAACGATAGCAATTCGGCACTTGTGTTTAAAGTTTCTTCCAGATGAGTACATATTTTAAGCCAGGTTTCATGCATCAGAGACTACAAACGCTTGGTAGAAGTACAATACAAGCTCTGAGATGAATTTTCAATCCTCCAGTATCATAAGGATTAGCTTATTATAGGCACTGATCTCTCAGGCTGTTTGAAAAGATCACTGTCTCAGAACCTTTGAACTAATTGAGGCGGATTATTAAGGAACCGATAGACATCAGGTTTAAGTACTTACAGAATCCCTTACTAGCGTTACTAGAACTCAATTTGTGGCCAATTGATCATGAACTGTAAATACCAGATTTGATGTTTACTGTTCAGGCTATTGGAAAGTCTATTCGCCTCTCCGCCAGGGTTTCTTGCAAGCACTCTCAGTTCAACTGATCATTCCTACTAAAACATTTATCTCACCAAACGCCGAAAGTTTACGTTTCAAAAAATATGCAATCACAAATTGTCGCAGCATTGAGCAGCCAATGTTTCAGCCCAGGAATCAAGGGGCATTTAGAGGCAATACTGACAGGGTACAATTCACTTGCTTTTCAACCAAGCAACCAGTCCTCTTCAATGGACCTCATCCACTGAATTTGTTTTTTGCTTCATCTCAGTCGACAGTCGGCCTACTTTTAGTATAATGGCTGAAAGCCATTTCTGTGTCGTTGTTATGAACCAAAATTCACTCCTAGCAAAAAAATATCATACTTTAAACATTTGTGAAAATTTTGAAAGGGGTAACAAGTTTTGAACCTTCGCATCATTAAAAAGAAATATCAGTCGAAGGTAACAGAACGTAAAGGTTTGCCCAAAGTTAAACGAGAAATAACTCCACACTGTCCTCGAGTTTTCATTTCTGTAGAAAAAACATCATTGATTGTCCCCTGAAGTTTGGCTCTCTAAAGAATATCTTCTGCAGTTTTGAACTTGAGAACTAATAATGAACAACATAAAATGATAACCTAAATCACAGACATCATTCCCCATGATCTTGGCTATATTTTGGGGCAAGGTCGCAAATTGGTAAGTTTAGACGTTCGAAATCGTGACAATGTAAAATTAAATTAATTAAGTTCAGAGCAAGCAGTAAAAAAAGTCCAACAAATGCAATATAAAGATGTCAGAATAAACAAAAATTTAAGAAATTTCAATAGTTATTATGTCTCCTCGTTTACAGGGAGTTACATTTATATCTCATTTACCGAAGCATGCAAACTCAATGTATCTACAGTTGACTAAACCACCAAATGCTCTCATTAAAGTGCTCCATCACAGAATGTTGGCGTCACGTGGAAAGGTAATTATACAGACCCAAAGTAATATCTTGCAATTCAAATGTAAGGAAAATAGTCAAGGCTTTAGCTAAAAAAGATTTAAACATTTCATTTTGTTTCCTATCCAGAAATTTCCCGTTTGCTTTTCAACTGTCAAATTGAACGAAGGAGAAAAATAAAAGAACTGCTTTTTCGGGGTCATAAAGAGACTTCCTCTCTCTAGAAACAGGCCCCTGTTCTCTCAAGAACGTGGGACTCGAGCACTTCTTCCCAACCTCTTTGAAAAGAGTCAGGTGTAGATTGAAACTCTGCATGTGCATGCATTTGTACCAATAGCTATGTTTCTGAAAAGTCTCCCTATTATGTGACGACTATTATATCCTCCACGACGATGCAAAAAAAAAAGTAATTTATGCTTTAGTACAGCAACTGTCATATCTGATTCCTACGACAGTCATTCTTGTAACATCCTTTTTAATTATCTCCGAGCTTATACAATATTTGAGGGCCTTTAAAGTAAGCTCACTTCTAGGGAGTAATTTTTCCACTCTAAGACTTGAGTGAGTGAAAAATCAATCAACCTTTTGAATCTGGCCAAATTAAAGAAATCTGTAATTTAAAAAAAAAAAGAATTTCTTGTGACTAGAAAATAGGGAAAAAAAATTGAGAATTCCTTCTCAGTTCTTCACATAGTTAATCACAGCTCTGCACATTTTGGAGTACTGGGTGAGAAGAATTTGATGAAAAATCTTGCTCCATTCTCGATTTGTTCTAACTATTGTGCAAATGTGATCTAATTGAGGGAGCATGTAGACTAAGGGGGTAAGAACGTAGGTGTACTTACAAATGAGAACGCCTATCAAGGAATACCTCTTAAGGGGGGAGGTTACAATTAGGATTTTACATCCTTTTTTCTTTTTTTTAACAATTTAAATGTGACCCTTGAATAGTACCTCAATAAAACTAAAGTAAGAAATTACAGCATACACCAAAAAGCTAATAATATACAATAATCACATTATTAGAAAGAAATCCACTTATTTTTCATGCAACTAGAGTTATGACTGATAGGATGGGGTGACTGGGGACATGTAACACCTAGCCCAACTCCACCCCTCTTGGTCCCATCCTATCATTGCCTTATCTAGGATTTTGAGATCTTCATTTAGTTCCCCAGCACTCCCTGGTAAACAGCACTGTTGCAATGCAAAAGCATCCAGTTACAGGGTAGTGGAAATCTCTATACCTGAAGAACTCTGATAATTGTTTGCACCCCAAGAGTCTGCAACTTGTTTACATTCCCTCCCAAACTAGGGCAGTTTTTCACTGCTCTGAATCCAATACACACCACAATTAATAGATTCCAATGCATATAAGACCTTTTCATGTAATCCGTCATTTTCTTGATGCAAGTTAAATATGAGTACTAAGCTTGTTTTGTGCCAATACTCCAATTCATTTCATTTTCATCAGTAGGTATTGCAACCAGTCACTTGCTATAGACCAGCAACTGAACAAACCCAGCCAGCAAAATCCACCTTTTTTGACTCAGATATCTTGATGAAGACATGATCCTGGAAGAATAAGACAGAGTAAAAGAGCAGTGGTCTTTAAGGCTTTTTCAACTAGATGATTTTGCTTTGAGACAACCCTCTTTTATTCTGGAAATCAGTCCCATTTTAAAACCAATGTAGACTCCACTCAACATGAACAAAACAACACATCACTCAACCACCAAATATCTCACCAGCACCAGAGTCAAAAAGAAAGCTACCTTTGTCCAACTTACAGCTAATCTCATAAACAGTACTGGTAAAAAGTATAACACATAAATTTCTGGATGGGGCTATTAGTGACACTTTTGGTTTTCCACCTTTTTAAAAATAAAGTAGCCTTAATCCTTTAATCTCTAAGAGTGACTAGCATCCAGTTTCACTCCACTGTATCACTCTTGAGGCAAACAGTAAGGTCATGATGATAAAAGAAATAATAACCAACTTGAGAGGTTCTTGATTGTTAAATAAATTTTCTCAGTACTATAGGAAATGTATAGAGAGCACCATGGAGAAAGTGTATACTGATTTTGGGGCATAAAGGGTTAAGTCCTTCAGTTTCATATTTGGGCAAAGTAACTGGTTAGATGAAAGACCCAGCAGAGTTTCAAATGTAGAGGGGGAAGTTTATGTTTCTAGGTTGTTCCCTTCTTTGGCAAAATGTTCTACAGTAAAATTGTGTAACCACAAATCTGCCTTATAAGCCCAATCTCTGGATAGGATGCTCACCCATCACCTGTTACCCCTCATACAGGCCATGAATTATTCACTTTTCTGTTTGGAACTCAATGCTGCCTTTACATGCCATACTGAAGGTGAGGTTTGCTGCCATTTCAAAAGGTAAAATCATGATGCTATTGTAAAATCCCTAAGAAAAATTCCAAGTTTATTTTAAGATAAATGTTTTCCATAGCATCAGTGTTGTGTGTGTGCAATGCATGAAAAACACTGACCCCAGCCAACAGACAACTTACTCAGATAAACCACAACAACTCGTATGAGAAATTTTACAGAACTTACCATTAACACTTTGAGGTTAGCTCTTTCTGAAGGATTCTTAACAAGACTGAAACAGATTGAAATAGATTACTGTGAGATTTAGCTGTTTTCTAGAATGTCCTGATCTCCAGTGCATCTGGATATACCACAACTTACTCCCCTACACATTTATGTCCAAGTTTGACAATAACTATCATTCATAACCATCATATGGAAGAGTGTGGGAAACATTGCCTACCATTTGTTGACAAACTCACAAAACTCTTCTGAAAATTGCTCTGGTGGTAGCTGGGGAGGAGGCTATCCAATAAAGAACAAAAATGTATAACTTCAGTGACAATAATATACCATTCTTCAATAATATACCATAGTTTCTACAAAGATTTTCCCAGCAGTAAAGGAGATGAATACACAATGCAGCAATCCTGAACTTGCTGCAAACTTTACATCAACACAGAAATGCACACTTCTCCAAAGATATTATTAGGAGATCAAACTGATCAACCAATATGTTACTCAAACATTTGGTTAGTCAGAACAATGGAGGGAAGAAAAGCAATTCAACTTGCTTACTCTGTTTACACAAATTTTATGCACATCCTCTAACTAACTTGCAAGATAAATTCCTTAAAAATTGATTCACGCGACTTTCATCAGTTTACTGTTAAGACTTTTGGCATCACCTCATTCACAATATAGTCCAGTAATTCAAATATTGCCATTGGCCTTGCATCATTGCTCACACCACTAGGTGGCCTTGTTCCTGGAGGTATTCTCTTTAGATGTGATGGACTTGTGCTTTTTTGGTTTTCTTCAGGTGGTGGAATTGGATACCTTCCAATTGCCATCTCAATCAATGATAATCCAAAACTCCAAATGTCAGATTGAACTGTGTAGTTAGCTCCTTGAAGTCTTTCAGGCTGAGAATGTAAAATGTCAAAGATTAATTGCAAATAAGGTGAATCTTCTGTATCTTAATTTCTCTTTTCATGGCTTATTCTTACTTTTCAGAGTTCATGCACTTGGACAAAATAATCTCTAAGGTTTATTTGATTAAAAGGAAATTTTCTAGGTTACAGAACTTAATCAAACTATGAATGACATACATGTACCATGTATCTCCTTTCAAGTATCAGAAACATCTTTAAGCCTTCCTTATCATGCATTTTCCACCTCAGTTTAAATTGTCTGTGGATTGTTTTCTTGTTTTCTTAGCTTCCATGTTGGATTTTAACTGTCACATTTTAACCCTTTCACTCCCAAAATCTCACTGTCAATTCACCTAACAGTGTGCTATACACTTATCATAATTCTAGCTATAAGAATTTGGCCTTGAATCAAACAATATCCCCAAATGATATTTTCTCTCTCCTTGTCACCTCTTTGGTTGAAATGCTATTGATATGGTAAGGAGAAATTACTCATTGGTCATTCCAAGGAGGTATAAAGGTTAGAAACATGTAATTTCTTTTAGTACATAATACCAAAACTACCATTCACTTATCAACATATTCTCCTTACCGACATGTAAGATCGTGTGCCAACAAAAGAATTTGCCATTGAGTCAATTAACTGTCCACTAACTCCAAAGTCACAGAGCTTGATTTCACCGCGGGAGTTTACTAAAATATTTGAGGGCTTCACATCTGATTAACAAAAAGGAACACTTGTTGTGATGATCACACTACTTTGAACAAGTTTATGAAGTTGGAGTATTCCACAAATTTACCAGATTACACAATTGAATTTGACGAACATGCCTAAATTTGTTAGGAGGCAAGAATATGGTTCCACTATGATAGGTAAATCACATTAGGTAAATAATGTTAAAAATTGGGTTTCATACATTCCAATGATTTCAGCTTTTAAAGGCAGCAATCGCACATGTTCAGAAGTTTCAATAAGAGCTGGTAATTATGAAATTTGCCATCTACTTTACGGTTTTTGCCCTCTACTTCATGACTCACTGACACCCCTAAACGTTACAGTTAGTAGGAGATTAAGATGTGGACAGAGAGAGCTCACAAGTATGTGAAACTATCTAGTTGTAAAAATGATAACTAAATTTATTTAATCGATTGTCTCACAACTTTGGATCACTATCAATAACGAAGGGAAAGCTATCATGGAAGGCATGCAATATTTCAACTGCTTTGATTCACATCTTTGTCAAGAAATGAGTTGAATGGCTGCCCATTGGGGTGACTATTTAATAAAGGTTGACCAGCAAATGACTCACATGATGTTCGTACATAATATTTTTCCTAAGAATCCAAAGAAGATAATTTTCAATACACTTTGGACATTTTAACTCAAGGTGCTAACATTGATTTTGGAAGATAAACAGAGAATGAATGAGATGACTTGAAAGATTACTCTGAGTTTCATTTGTGTGGTTCCACTTTAAATGACTGTTCAAACAGGCTGTTGGGCCTGTCTGTATTTCAGGCTTGAGGTGAAAATTACAGCAATTCATGGGAAAAGATTTTGGGACTTAAACTACCAACAGCTTAATACAGAGTGATTGCTTAATATGGTGCTGCTTAATACAGGTTTGACTGAATGTAGTAGAAGCATCAAACAATCCTGCTCAAAAGTAGTAAAGCATAATCATTCAACCTCATCACCGAAAAAAACTTGCAGTATGGTAATAAATCCATTGCACTCTTAATAAGTAGTAACAAAATCAATCAAATGTTAATTATCTGCCTATCTTATGTAATTATATTATTAAATAGATGTAAACTACAGCACTCATTAGTAAGAGGATGTTACCTTCTGGATGGAACATGCAATTTTGCACCAATAACAATTTACCATGGTTATAATACCTACCTCTGTGTATAATACTGTGGTTTTCTCTAAGGTAGCTTAAGCCTTTTAAAACCTGTAAGAGAACAATTTTTATACAACTGACACCTGGGTAAGAAACATATTTCACAACCCAGAAATTAATCTTGGAGCCCTGCGTATGCAAAGTCTTGTTTGAACAGAAATTAATAGCCAGACAAATACAATACATAGAGAGAAACATGTCTAACATTCCACAGAAAAAAGGATTCCCTTATGTGCATGTGGCTTTCCTTGCTCTTTCTGCACAGTCCAAGATAACCCGAAATTTCAATCCAGCCCCATACATGAAGCTGGATTTTACATTTTTTTTTCTTTTTCAGCTTGATGGCTGCAGCACAGTTTTGACCATAAACTTCCCCTTTCTCAAAATTCAAGTTTTTGCTTATCCTAGAGGTAATACTACGTACATTAATCCTGGACTACAAATGGTCAATTGCCCTACTATCTGCTATGTATAATATATATAATATATCAGCTAGTTCTTACAGCAATTGTGATAACTCCCAAAATATCCTCAGGTACTAGATCAGCCTTTTTCAATATTTGATCCAGGGAACCACCATCCTGAATATGAGATCAATAAGATAATTATTTCACCTCATTAAAACTTTCACTTCCAAGAGATAAATATTAGTTCTTGGCTCTATCTACCATACCTTTCTTAAAATTTTTGCTCCAAGAATTTGATATTAAATCAAATAATACTGCTAGTTAATATGTTTTCCACTCATTGCCTTTCAGCTTTAAACCTCTTACCACCCAGATTTCTTTCTTAATTTTCCACACTGACTAGTGTACATTGCTTATAATTTTAGTTTCTGAAAATTTAGGTTTGAATCAAATGATAATCCCCTAATTGATATTTTTCTAAATTCTCACACTTTGTTGGCTAGACATTGTATTGATATTGTAAAGAGAAAGTAGGCCTTGGTCACTTCTGGGAATCAAAAAGGGTTAAAATGAATAGACTCTTAAATGAGAAATTAGATGCCAGACAATCTTATATGCCAAAATGTTAACTGATTGCTAGGCAAAGTAGGTCACTTTCTGCCTTCTGGTTATAGCTCAAACCAACCATATGGGCATCTTCCCTTTACTCTTTAACTGCTGATAAGTTATGTTGACCTTGAACTCAAGTTGGGATATTTTTCAAAGCTGAAGTATGCTACAGATACAAACTGAAAAAGTGAGCTTATCTATACAATAATTTCCTAGGCAGTTAAGAAATGCCTTCCATCTTTTCAATACCCTCCATAAGAATGGAAAGGGCAACTTGCAGTCTACACTGAAAGTTAGATTTTCTTGTTCTTGACTGGAAAAGATCAATTGAAAATTGATGAACCCACACCTCCACTAAAGCAAAGACATGATTGTACCAAACAAAGGCTTGTCTGAATAATATGTCATGGTTAGACCATACTAATACACCTTTTCATTTGGTCTGTCTAAAAGCAGCTTAACCTTAGTTTTTCTTGAAAAAAATTATTTTGTTGTCCAGTAATAAGTTACAAAGGTTTTTTGTTCCCACAAAAAAAAATTCTTAACTCAGTGGTTACCAGCTGTATCTTGTTTTCAGAGGATAGTCAACAACTTGACACCAATAAACAAACAACCACAAATATGTGTTTGCTAAGATGAGATCCACTTTTTTCAAATGTTACCCAACTAATAGCCACCCAATCTGGGCATCATGAGAAACACAAACAACAAAAAAATTTAAAAGGGATCAGATCCTCTGCCTAAATCCTCAGAATTATGACACGCACTTGACATTAGCACAAGGTAATTTTCAACTGTGCAATTTACTAATCAGAAAAATTTAAGCCTGAAGTGTGTAATTTCGAGAAGAAGACAAAACAGTATTTAAATATGCAAATCAGTCTGTTTGCAGGTGAGAGAGTTGGAGAGCTAAAATGCAAACCAATCCTGCCCAGAAAACACAACTGTGCAGTGCTTGATCACAATGATAATAAACAATGTTAGAGTGAAAACAAGATACTGTTGCGCGCACTAAAATAATTCCAGTCCTGGAAAGAATTTGGTTTGCGAAAGCCAAACCAAAACGAATAATTTAATCAATAAAGAAATAACCATGTTTGCAGGGTCATGTTCCTGCAAGGGAAATTCTTGATGTTCCAAATTAAATTGAATTCAGCTACTTTGAGGGATAATTAAATGCTGCAGAAGTAGCGATTTATCTCCAAAAATATAAAAGATAAAAAAAACGCTTTAATTTGCTTTCTGAGTGGCCCAGGCGATAACTGAACTGATCCTATTTGCATTTTGCAGAACAGCGCAAAGCATAAATACAAGATCGATCGAAAAGCCGCCATCAACTATGGTTTAGAGTGCCTGTTATCCTCAACTGACAGACCTCGAGACGAAAAGTAAACTTATCAACGTAAGAAGCTCCTAATGAACGCATCGAGCCACGCTTTCTTTACCTTGACTTTGAAAACTCGACCTATTCATAAATGGTACAGACGAGCGCTCAACATCCAGCCCATTTTGTACCGCTAGGTGAAAATCCGCGAGCTGTTGCTAATACTGCTCGCGTTCTACGTGGGCCAAACGACCGGTGAATTATTAATACATCAGTTCCCATTCCGAGAAAGCATTTCGGCTTTTACATAATTTCGAATCGACGAATATGTTGCTAGTTCAAGCGTAGATTCTCAATGTTTTCCAATGGGGAAGTACACAATAAACAACAATGATCATTACATTCGCGAATGCACGAATCTTTTAACGTACCATGTGTTCCATACAAATAGAGATTTCTCCATCACTGTAAAAGGCCCCATAAAATCCAACGATGTAGGGGGAGTTGCAATCGTGTAAAACCTTGAGTTCTCTGATGATCTGGTTCCTTATAGCTGGTTTGATTTCCAAGTGAATTAGCTGCACATGAAAAGAAACACGAGTTACTTAGAAAAATGGTCAAAAATAGCACAGAAATTCCTGAAGGTCATAGACTCCTCAGAAATAGGTGCGACAGAGAGCAGAAACCGCTTGGAATGACAAGAGAATGTATTCCTGACCGATATGTGGAAAACGATTTGCAAAGCAAACGGGTTAAATTGAAAATAGACACGGCTGGGAATTAAATTGGGTTCCAAATACTCTTGATCACTCGCTTACCTTTCGAGCCATTATCAGACCGCTCGGCTTGTGCAAAACCTTTGTAACGACGCCACCATTTCCTGCGCCTAATTCAGCCAATTTCTCAAAATCCTCTGCGTTCAATTCCCCAATTTTCCTCTTTTCAGCTAGAAACGCCTCCAGCCTCTCGCGCTGTAAGGAATCCAAGTTCAGTTCGTCGAATTTCTTTCGTATCTCCTCCACTTTTTGCGAGCCGATGCCGGCAGCATCGTTACTGCAGAGCAGAAAAGGACGAAAGCACAAACCTCATTTCGTACACGACATGTACAAATGAACAAAAAGACAGAGGTGGAGGAATTTGACCTCGGAACGAGAACAAAATGATAAAAATCGAGCATATACTTACGGTAATACTGGATCAGGGACTGTAGTGGATGGGGCTATAGTCAAATTCAGTTTGTTCAACTTTTTGTTAGGAGGTTTGGACATGACGGCTAGCGGCACGTTGCTTCGTTTCCAGAAGAATGATGCTTAGAATCTATTTCCTCTTTACCGCAACATTCCGCATTGCACGACAGATGTGTATTTTTGCAGATCTAACCATTAATCTACCTTTCCCCTGCAGAATCACAAGCCCCAGGAGCAAAAGTAATTCATCTGAAAGCGGCCTGGGTGACGAAAAACGCGAAACAGACAATAATACTCTTCAAATTGAGTCTGTTCGAAGCCTTCAGTACAAGTGGTCAGCAATAAAAACAGCGCTGTGAAAAGTGGTGTTTATATAAGAAGTCACATCGTGTAAGGCAAATTAGGTGCTGTTCAAGAATAAAGAAGTGAACTCCGCGGGGAAATTACTGAAATGATATTGAAGAAATATTTCAGAATCTGTTTTAAAGTAACGGATCCTTGCTTGGCTGACCGGATGAAGCAGTTTCCTTTTGTCCATGTTTTGCTTTCAAGTTCCTAGAATGTTTTCGCGGAAGTGAAAACCGAAAGTATGTGGAGCTCCTATGGGAAAATTCCTGAACCCGATTTAGTAATCTTTCTTTCGTTTTTTTTTCCTGTAGAACAGCTTCTCGTTTGATTTTCTAAATTATTTCGTTAGATTCCAACATATATCAGTCGATGTTGGACCCTAATCCGATAGAAAAAGATAAAAAAAAAAGATGCCTTTGCAGCATCAATGCACTCTGACAAAACAACTGTCTTGCGTGTTTGTCGATCACTAACTCAGTTTCATTCTTTATCACGGCACCTCATCAGCCTATCAGTTTAGGAAAATGAAAGAAAAACATGCGTACGTGCTCAGAAAGAAAATATTCTGAGAACGGAATACCTGGATTGAAATATATTTTAACGTCAAGACAGCTGTGCACCACCTAAACGCCTGTTCCCTCACGATTTTTTTGTGCTTTTGTAAATAGGAAAAAATTCCAATTTTCATCTCGGAAAAGTCTGAAACTTCAAAGCGATTGGATGAAATCCTGAGAGAGGATATCTTCCCTTGATGTCACACATAAAAAAAATAAATTACAAACAAGCCAATAATAAAGAAAGGAAGGTAAGATACAATATCAATGAGACCGTCACAGAAGAAGTTCCAAAGTGTTGTTATCAACTTTTTACTCTCGCCAAATTTATACAAACAGTGTTTGCTATTGCTGAAAACCTTCATAGTCAATTTGAAGAAAATCAAGCTTCTATAAACGGCACCATATACAATCAGTCAGTAGGTTGTCTATTGTTTGATATTATTGATATGGGTGTTCTTAGATAAATAAATACTTGGTTGAGTTTTATCGATCACTACGCCTTTAAAGTGAGTCTAAGTTACACGGCCGTATGTAAAACTACCAGTTGATTATACTCTTTATAGCACTTCTCCAACCATTCTGACGAAGCCCTGAAATGTTTTTATAAGATTTATAGTATAAATTAAACCTTTTTAGAATGTATTCTGTGATTTCAATATAGAGCGAAGAGGCACAAAGTGCTACAGGTCCAAGATGAAGCATGCTCTTGTCACCCAAAATGGTGGTACTGACTTGACGCACTGAAGGACTAAATTTTCTTAGCTTGTCGTTCAATAAAGTTTGAAACCTCTTAGATAACTAGGATTGTCGTCTGCTACATTTTGCAAGAGCTGTGTTTTGGCAAACCTTGTTTATTAAACTACAGGAAAGCTTTTAACTATCAGAAAAAGCGCCTCTAATGAGGAACCCAGGCGTCAACCGTGAAAACGGAATTCACTGAGAGTAAAGACTCTCTGATGAGAATCAAAATCCGAAGCTTACAGCATTAAAGTATAGCTAAAACTTCTTTTCGATGAGTTAAGAACCCTCTCTCAGGAAAAAATTTGTAAGCATTTCTTTACAAAGTTCCGTTTGCAAATCAGGCACACACAATTGAATGAGATTTTATAGGAAATCTGTTTCCTTACTTGGGCTTTGGGCATGGCTATAACCAAAACACAGAGAGGGTTCACTGAGTTCACTTTCTGAAATACTCTTTGAATCATGAAAGAATCTCACCAAAAACAGTTTAGTTTTTTGCTACTAGCATAGAAACATGAATTCATTAAAATCTAGGTGGGGAAAAGTGACAAGGAGCCTCATTTCTTCACTATAAGTCTGGCGCCTCTGGACATTGCAAAATGGCGACTGTGCAATCTGTCTTTGTTTCACGCATTCGCAGCAGACAACAGAAACTTGGAATTAAATTATCGTCGTTCATTTTTGGCTTAACTTGTTTCCTAATTATCAGTTTTTGATCCCATAGTGTTTTTAAGGGTATCCTGACCGTGGTCGTTAAATGATTTGCATTAAATACCATTTACATTAATTTGTGACACCTCGCTTGATGAGAGAGATATTAAAAATACCCAGGTATACATTTAGAGGAGACAACTTTGGAACCACGTACGAAAAGCTAGTTCTCAAAGTTCAATTTTTCTCGACTTACCATTTGCTTGCGAAGCTCTGCATAACAGCAAGCGGTTAACAATTTCCAGGAAGAAACACAAATTCCAAAATGTCGGCCTGTGATATTCAATCTGGTTCGTGACAGAGGACTGTTCCCTCAGGCGTCAGGTCTTTTAAAATAAAATTGGCGCGAGTATGAAATTACGCTACTTGCATTGGGAAATCTTTTCCGAGCAACTTTTTTACACCCGCCTCATTAGTGATCAAAATGTCTGTTGTTTTACCAAGATCCCGTTCGCGATCCAGATCGAGATCGAGGTCACGCTCAAGATCCCGTTCGAGATCAAGGTCGAAAAGTCCCGGCGGCAAAATGAAGAAGGCGAAAATTCCAAGGGCAAAGAGACCAGCTCGTCGTCCTGCTGCAGCGCATCCACCGTACATTGACATGGTCGTCACTGCCATAACTGCGATGAAGGAGCGAGGTGGTTCTTCGAGGCAGGCCATTGAGAAATACATCAAAGCAAATAACAAAATCACCGGAGATCCATCTTCGCATTTGAAGGTAGCTTTGAAGCGCGGCGTGCAAACCGGCAAGCTGATACACACTAAAGGAACTGGTGCATCGGGATCCTTCAAAGTTGGAAAAGCACCTGCTGCGCCAAAGAAGAAACCAGCAAAGAGGGTAGTCGCTAAAAAGTCCAAAAAGAAGGCTGGCACGCCTAAGAAGCGAACAACGAAAAAGACAACCGCTAAGAAAGCCACAAAGAAAAAGAAGACTCCAGCTAAGAAGGGAAAGTCTCCAGCCAAGAAGAAAACCGCAGCAAAGAAATCTGCAGCAAAGACTGCTGCAAAGAAAAAGACAAAGAGCCCTAAAAAGCGAGTTACACCTAAAAAGAAGACAGCCAAGAAGACCAAAGCAAAAGCTAAGAAGTAAAGGAACAAAAAAAAAAAACAAAAAACAAAAACGGCTTCTTTAGAAGCCACCAAATGAAAAGAAAGAAATGACCAACAAAAGCGATAATTTTATTTATTATTGTTGTCCTCTCCTCCTTCATGATTTATTATAATTGGAGTTTGTTTTCCCTAGGCGTTTTGTACAAATTTACAAAATTTGCTTTCCCAATATAAACACATCTATGTTATTTCCCCCTTTCAATTGCACTGCGTGGGGGTAAATTTTAACTAGGGGCGCCAATGCCTCATGAAAGAATGATCAAAATTTTTGAAAGCTGGGTGAATACCAAACGAATGCGATCGGTGACTTGCATTTACCTTTACTTTACCCTAAAACCCCTTAAACCTCTGTCCCCCGAAGCTCCGAGGTTAAACGTAAGAGGAACATTGAAAAATTCGCTATCCATGGAAGTAGCTTGGTTTTTGTAACGTCACACCTGGGTTATCAGGTTGGGGTCTTATAAACCGAGTGGACACATACGTGAAAGGAATTTTAGACAGTTTATGTACTCTGTGGTTGCCACATCTGTATTTTGAGCTCGAAAAAAGTGCTTTTTGTACATACTGCGTCAAAGTTTTATTTGTTTGACAGCTTCGGACCGCAAGCAACATTCCAATGACGAGAAGAAGATCAAATATTCTAAATGATGCAGATAATGGAGATACGATTTTAGATTGTCGACACAGCTAAACGAGACAAAACAAACCACCTCACAAGTCAAAAACACCGAAGGTCCCTTGAAAAATGGCAAATGGGGGAAAGTATACAACCCAGTGGTTTAATTAATGGAGCTGAACTGGTAAAAAAAACCACAAGCTTCAGGTATATATATATCAGGCTTTCAGAAACTCTAACAAGATTCACAACTCATAAGTAACTAAAGAATCATTTATTTAGTATTTCAAATACGATAAGATAAGAACATATGTCATCTCGTTTCACAGTTACAGATATATACTGAATAAATAATCATTTTGTTCCATGCTTTGATTGAATTATTCCCAATTACAATAAAATGATGCAAAACATGCAAAATTGTACACCACCCTTACATATGTATCCATCAATTTGAGTAGTTCTTCTTGAGAAAAGATGGTACCAATGGAGAGTTTTTCACTTAGTAAAGCCTACCTCTCTATATTGGAGCAATTTCTATGGTTATTAACGGTACACAAGTCATTGTTATTCATCACACATGTGTAAAACCATAAGTCAGATCATAATTACTGGTGCAGTATCCCTTTTCCTCTGTAATCAACAATCTACAAAAAACAGCAGTTTTAAAGTGTTTAAAACAGAGGATAGGTTTTTCTTTGAAAGGGAGTAGAGAGAAGCCATGTCTTCCCTGGAATCACTTCTGTAAATTAAGTCATGCAGCAAAATTGAACTGACAATGAATTGAAAAAAAAAAACATTCTAGAACTTAAAAAAAGGTAGGGCACATATTATAGTTCTGCAAGTTGTACTTTCTAATCTGTGTTTAGCATACACCACTATTGTTCCTTTTCAAGGTGGTAAAGGATTTATTTGTACTGAATTTATGAATCAGCATGAAGTGTGATTTGCCTCCTGAAGTATATGTGACCCATGATTTTTACTTTCATTTTGTGAAAACCTCATGATTTCCCTGAAACCTTGCATGAGATGTAAGGTTTTGCGGCGGCCTCACAGTTAGTGCCCTCGACTCCGGATTGAGTGGTCCAGGTTCTAGCCCTGGCTGGGGTCATTGTGTTGTGTTCTTAGACAAGACACTTTACTCTCACAGTGCTTCTCTTCACCCAGGTGTACAGATGGGTACCAGCAAATATGCTTAGGGCAACCCAGTGATGGACTAGCATCCCATCCAGGGGGGAATAGCAATACTCCTGGCCACTTCATGCTAAGGAAACTGGAGCTAAGTGCCGGCCCCATGGGCCACCTGGGCCTGTATAAAGGCTTTACTTTGTTCTTGCATGAGATGAGAAATTTGAATGTTCCCCTGTGACACATGAAATGCTGTTTAAAATATATATGACGCTTGAATTTTTCTCAAATGTGTGTGAAATGAGACCAATATCCTGCATTTCCAACCCCACCTCCAATTAAGTTTAAAAGGATAATATTGCAGCAACTAAATTGAAACAGCTTCTCACTTCAGATCCACTGTACACATGGTCATAAGTCAGAGCTACCTTATGAAAATGCTATTGACAAAAGCTAGACACTGAATGTTTCTCAGTGAAATTAAATACATTTTATTTTATCTAAATAAATTTCACCCTGATCAACAGGAGCTAGCCCTAAATTTGAAATTGAACATTTGAATAACTACCAGCTTCATGTCAACTAATATACTCTTACAAATGTATGTTAAATATCAAGTACTTGGATTAAAAACATTTACCATAATGATATGTTTTCACTAATCTGCAACACATATGTGGTTGCTTAACTAAACTAATATCCTAACAGCATTAAAATAAATTACCTCAATGAATATTTGAATGACTATAAACTCATATAGTTATAACTCCAAAATATACCAGTCTACATGTATATGTGGGTACATAGAAAATCTGATATTACTAATCATTAATTATTATTACACCACTACTTTGACTGATTTTTTTGATCACTGCATGATTTTCAAAGAAACAAACTGTTAAGCTCATAAGATTTTTTGTTGGTCACACAGGAAATTTTAATGGATTTGTTTGCATTGTTTTCATCTTTTGCACAGGCCTTATGCAATCAATACGATGCTCAGACAAGGCTATTGGAAGCAGTTTTAAAAACTTCAAGATAAATTATTAGAAATCATATAATAGAGGAATAACACATTCTTTAATTCATGGTTTGACATATGGTAATACAAACACACATTTAGCTTATCGCTCACTTTTTTCTTACCCCTACATGGCTTGGTAATATAAAATGTAACTTACAAAATAACCCTGCTTACTACATGTTAAACAATTAAATAAGGTGTCAGTATCAAAATATGTTGCATGTAAAAACATTTTGTCCAAATAAATCAAGTATAATACTTCCCTGGCCCTACACAACCCAAGGCATTTCAAACATTGTACCTGCTCCATGAATAGGGAAAGGCACTAAACCCTTTAACTCCCATGAGTGACCAAGACAGAATTTCTCCTTACAGTATCAATACAATATCAACCAGAGAAGTCATGAGAATAGAGAAAAATATCAGTCAAGGGATAATTAGTTGATCCACTACTAAATTCTCTGCGCTAACATTGTAAGAATTGAATGGTTGACAGTAAGGAGAATTACAAACTTGGTCTGGGAGTTAAGGGTTAAAAACCTGAGACCTACATATAACACTGAAATAATTTTATTACTTATCTACACCAAATAGGGTATCTCTCTGATTCAGAATAACAACAAGAATAGAAATGAAAAAAAATAAAGAAAAAAAAACACTGCAATAATAAATCATTACAAAATTCATTATTTTTGTCCACAATGATTGCCTCCTAAAATAAGCATACCTTCACTCTTGAGAACTTATGGAATGAACCCCTTAGCAACCCACAAAATGTCCATCTGTATGCCGTAAGCTTTCTAGATTATGTGAAACTCCTTGATAACTAATAAAAGACATACCATTAAAGAAAGATGAAATCATTCCACCAATGTCACTCATGTTCGGGAACAGTCTCCAATGCATCCTCAGAGGTTCGGCTCACTGTCACAACCTTGGGCTTTTCCCTGTGTGTGTTTACAGCTGGAACCTTCAAATCAATCTTCTCCACACGACAACCATATGCTACTGGAGTGAGCTTTATGAGGGTGTGCAATGGAACACGTAAGTAAGGTAACTCATTAGAGCTGTGGTCTAAAAAGTATGCCAGTAGGCAACGGGCTACAGCTTGGTGACAGATCACAAGCACATTCTGCTGCCGCTCCAGCTCCATGATAACTGGTTCTAGCCGGGCCACAAGATCTTCATAAGACTCCCCACGAGCGTAGCGATAGTGGAACTTATCTTCATCTCTCTTTGCAAAAGCCTGAGGAAATTGCTCCTGTATTTCTTCGTATGTCATTCCCTCACATACACCTGCATCAATTTCATTAATGGCTTTCCACTTCTCGATTGGTCTGTCAATGGCACTTGCCGTCTGATTGGTGCGTTTCATTTCACTGGTCCAGACTTTGAGATCATCTGGCATATTTTCCTTAACAAACTTTCCAAGCACCTTGCTGTAATCCCAGCCCCTCTCAGAGAGATCAGAATCTCCTCCAATCCTCCCTTGCAAGTTCATCATGCTTTCACCATGTCTTGACAGATAGATGGCTCTTGGGGTGATATGTAAGTTCATGATGTAGTAAACTACCCTACTCTGCAGATATCCTTCAACTTTATTCATCAGAAATCGCTTTCCACCATCAATCACTTTCAGAAAGGGCATATTAGAATCATGGTCCAAAGCGAGAGGTTCATAGAAATCGTTGTAATGATTAATTCGGGCCTCAAAGTCTTGGCGAGCCTCTTCTGGGGGTACCCCCTGATAGTCAGGGGAGTTTACCTTTACCTCCAGAATGTTGGAACGAATGATCTCGTTGTCATCACAAACTGACTCCACGAAAAATTCCTTAAAGCCATGGGCGGTGAGGTGATCCGTGACTTTCTTTCTTCTAGCTCGAGTGGTGTTCGTAGCATCGAAGATAGCTACCTGTCCCTTGTCGTTCAGCCATTTTGTGATGTCTTCCAGGGCGAGTTCTGCGCACTTTTCACGTACATTCATTCCATCCGTATTACTTGGATCGAAGAAGGAGTGTTTGCAGTGAGCACCAGCCATTTCGCGGCGGTACTCCCCGAGGTTGAATACCTTGGTGTTGACGCCGATCCAGTTGAGATACCGGGTTAGTTTTCTCGAAACATAAGTTTTACCTCTCGCCGGCAAACCAACCATTACTATGCAAGTAGGAACGTGTACAATTGGAGGACACGAGGCGGGATATAGAGAACGATTCATGGTGCAACACTGGATTATATTCTACCTTTAAAAGTCACGATAACAAATAACTACTGATATTGGACATGTGAAGTTAAGTGCTTCGAAAACCGGGTGACTTTAACGTGAGCTTTGAGCTTCGTGGCAAATCGGATCGAACATTGCATAAGCTAACCAATGAATGGATCTTATTTTTGGCCAATCACTGCTATAGTGTGTGGCATTCAAGCCAATCGTAAATGAGGAAAACGAACCAATCGTGAGAGTCGGCGCGAAGTATAAATTTTCTACCGTGATTCTCATCAGACATAGGTATCCTTAGTCTTTCTCTAAGTGTTTGTCGTCGACCATGGCTCGTACCAAGCAAACTGCGCGTAAATCTACTGGCGGTAAAGCACCCCGTAAACAGCTTGCCACAAAAGCCGCCAGAAAGAGTGCTCCTGCAACTGGTGGTGTTAAGAAACCCCATCGTTACAGGCCTGGAACTGTTGCCCTCCGTGAGATTCGTCGCTACCAGAAGTCCACCGAACTGCTTATCCGCAAACTGCCTTTCCAGCGTCTCGTGCGTGAAATCGCCCAAGATTTCAAGACCGACTTGCGTTTCCAAAGCTCAGCAGTGATGGCTCTCCAAGAAGCCAGCGAGGCATACCTTGTTGGTCTCTTTGAGGACACCAACTTGTGTGCAATCCACGCAAAGCGAGTTACTATTATGCCGAAAGACATCCAGCTCGCCCGCCGAATCCGAGGGGAACGCGCTTAAGAGGCTTTATCATAAAGCGAAAAAAAACGGCTCTTATAAGAGCCACCAGATTTATCAAAAGTCAATGACCAATAGTCTAATGATTTCTCTACGTTTATTTTTATATCCTTTTCTTTGCCCTGATTTTGTTAAAGAACGATTTCAGTGAAAACGCGGAAAAGTCTGTAATTTGACATGTTCCCATAAAAGAAGAGCGTCCAGAAGCTTCATTGCTCCTTTTTTCCGTAAATATCGATTTTAACAACGTACTTTAGAGGTTTTCGGGTATAGAACGAGCTGTCCCTCCTTGGCGAATTTCCTCGCGCACTCTGACTGATATCTTCTTGACTTACACAACAGACTTCGCCAAAATGGAGGGACTACTCGCAATTTTGTCTATCACCGTCCAGGCAATATGTATTTGCAGTAAAAAGAAAGTTAAGACACCGACTAGCACTGCCGAAAAAGAAAAAGATTCGACTTTCGTGGCCTTCGGAATTGGTAAGACTCGCCGAGGTTTTTTTTCCTTCTCTCGCTAGTTTCCAGTCTTCCTAGGCCTTTATTTAATTTCCAGTCCTTCCCAACTAACAACATGGCCGATTGAACCGCCAAAACTAGCGTGGAAAGGCAAAATAGTTTAGGCGGCGCGCGAAGGCTGTTAATTATGTTTATGATTGAAAGTAGAACTTTCATTTTATTGTCTTCAGAGTAGTTCGAATTTTTTTTCGATGAAAAAAACTCCGATCTCCCATCGCCATTTGCCATCGAGTACTCGCCACTCAGGTGATGTAAACAAAACAAGGAATGCCACTTCGAAGGTTGGAGATCTAATCACCTTTTTTCTTAAATAGAATTATATGATACTCACTTTACCTTTTAGATTAAACCAAATAAATTGATCTTTACTACCCATGTCAAATTGATGAACACTTTATCTGAAATTTTTTCGGAAAGATATGGCAGTATTCATTTGTAGCTTGATGTCTTGTTGTGGTGATTCAAAGGAACTGTTGGAATTTAAGAAATTTTAAAATGAGATCTTGTCAAATGATTGCTCCTAGAAAAGGCCTTTAGTGTCCTCAAGTAGCTCCACATCAGATTTCCAGCAGAAATCCAAAAATGACAGTGTCTTTGGTAAGACACTCTTTGACACACAGACATCATTAAGTGTAAGAGACAGACAACTACAAAAATACCAGCAACAGTTAGAGGTAAGACAGTAAAAGGAGTCACAAGACTTGATTGAAGTTAATATCAGTAGTTTCAGAAGCCAGCAATGTGGTAGTTTTCAGAGTTTGTGCAGTGATACAGTAGAAATTTACCTGAAGACCACCACCTCAGTAATATGTCCATCCTTGAATTATAATCCTTAGTTTTGAGACCAATTGATTATAGTAACAGAGTAGTTCTGTACTGGATGCTATTCATGGAATGTTAGAAAAACTACTGAGTGCCAAAACAAAAGAAAACAGAGATGGCTCAGTGAAAACTCTTCTTTCTCAGACTGCCCTGAATGACTATCAGCTCTGCTTGCTAGATCTTCTAGTAGACCTTTCCTGAATACTTTTTTTACTGATTTGTACATTATTCTCAAGTCTTGTTATTTTCTCCATAGAGAATCTTGCATGTTCTTTAGTTCTCCAAGTTTCACTGAATTCATTATTTTCATTTGATGCCTTCTTAAAATGAACAAGGGGAATATGCATGTAAGTTGTCAAAATAAATTCTATTACTCCTCTTTCAGCATCTGAAGAAAGAAAACAATGAACTCAAAGCAGAGCTGCAATTCATCAGGTAATTACATGATAAAGATTGGATTGGCTGGTCCAGTGGAAATTATAGTGAAGGGGCATTTTACACACTCACATAATCAGTCTTATGGTAAAACAAAGTTTTTTTACAGGTCTCTCTACAAACAGCTTGTGGAAGAAGTACCACAGGAGAGATTTGATGAACGAAGAGTAAACTTACTTAAATCTCAGGTTATACAACTAGAGAGACAAGTAAGTAGGTTTAATTTACTGTATAAAATAACTTGCTTTTCTGAAAGTGTTGATCAATCCCTGGCTATAGGTAACTTTATCAGTTGTTGTGGTACTTCTACCTTAAAATGGTGAAGTTGAACTCAAATTGTCAATTTTGAACATTTGGCTCTTATGGTGGAAATAAATTATTCCTATTCTTTGTCAACAGGTTCTTCTCCAGGCTAGTGCTTTGCAAGCCAGAAAAAATTTGTTCCTACAAATTGAAAATAAACTTCTAAACTTAAAAGAAACATTGAGGTATGGAAAACTTTTCATCCACCAGCCTTTGTCTGGCTTGATTTTAAAATAGAATAGTTTGATTTGACATTAAGTGAACATGTCTGAGGAAAATTTTTTTTGTTTTCATAGAAAATAATTTGATCTTGGTTTCTTACAGCTTCAGTACCTGAAAAGTGTTACTATTTTGTTTCTTCATCAATTTCTGTAGGAGTCTTTACTCACCAGATGAACCATCAAATTATTTAACAGTATCACGTGAATATATACAGAATTTGGAATATCGATTAGAGGGAACAAGACTTGATTTATACAAGAACAAAGAGGTAAAAGTACGATTTTTTTTAATTTGAAAGTAGAATCTCAGTGGGAGAGGACAGTTCAACTACCTTGTATTAAAAGGTTAAAGGAAAATTCTCTGTTGACTGTTTGTCATCTTAGAGTGCTGAGGCTGATGACCTCTGTCTGCCTGCCATATACATGGATGATTTCTTGAAACAATCAAAATCTGTGGAAGATCAAACTGTTACCCTGTTAGACTGTTGCAGTGGAAAAGTTGAACATCTCAACTTGAAGCATGTGGTGAGGTATCATTTATAAACCCTTTATATTAGACGCTTAAGTGGCAGTACACAAGTTAAATTCACAAGGAGAGATTTGTATCCAGTATTTCCATAGAAAAATATGATGACATGGACCTCTTTCATGATGGCAAGCATGCTTGTTATTCTTTGATGAGCATGTAAATTAGTTTTCTGAGCCTTGCTTTTGAGGGAAATTCTCTTGTTATCGAACATGTTGTCGAGGTCAGTAAGGCTCATTTTCCTGAATATTAAAGAATAGCAATTTTTCTTGCTATTCATGAAATCATAAAGGATTTGATTATAATACAGAAGCCTTTTTGGGTTCAACATCTACATTTTTATGCCTTTTTTTTTAAAAGGGGAAGGGAAAGAAATTTTTTGGTTTTTGAAGTGAGTCAGAAGGGTATAGTCTAAAAAGTGTAATACAGGGTTCTTAGAATAATGCCAACAAGTTTCATTAGTTTCATTCACAAAACTGATATGCATGGTCAATGAAGAAGTTCAAACCCTTTCATTTTCAGTCCAGGCTTGAATCGAAGCTCTGCAAACTTTACAAAAACATGGTTTGCCTGAAGGAAATGCTTACAGTTGAGCCATCCTCACAACCAGCAAGCTTAATCAGTGAACATATATCACAGCCAATCAGAGATAGGCTTGCAAGTCATGTGACAACAGTGACAGACATGCTGAGAGACTGTAGTGAGGACCTGTTGTCTTTGTCTGTCCTGTATCCTGCTGCACCCTGGGTAAGGTCCAGTTGAGTAACAATCACTTTCTTACACATGTACCTTTAATAGCTGACATGCTAGGGTTTTAATAACATATTTCTCAAGTGTTGGTCAAAGATGAAATTGCTCACTGTTGGGCCTTAAAAATGCAACAAATGGAATCTTAACAGACAACAATGAAGGCCTCATAATTGATTGTGGACCGCCAATAATTCCTACATATTGAAATGCCTGGACAGAAGTGCAGTTTTTATGGCCCCAGTGGCAAGTTGTTAGCCAAAATTTCATGAGAACTTTCAGCTTTTTTCACCTTCCCCATCCCTGAGGTTACAATAAGTATAATTTATGTTCTTAGTTACTTCAAAAGTCATTGAACTGTGGAATGGGCCCAAATTCTTGTCTCACTACCCTCCCACTTTCTTTTTTACCAACACACCCACATTCCTGCATGTTGTAGAGAGTTGTTTGTGATCTTAACCTATTTTCACAGACAAATCACAAGCAACCCACAACAACAAGGAAGACTGTGGGTGACTTAGTCAAAGGATAAAAGGAGAGGTAGCTAGTAAAAAATTTGGGCCCATTCCAAGATTCTGATATTTTGGTATTAACAGGTGATAATTACATGTAAAATTGTAATTAATAAGGATTACAATAATCCCAATTCTTGTTGCACATTGCAGCCTCCCTTAAAGAAGGTTATTCGAGAAGACCTCACAGAAGAGAGTATCATGTCTCACATGCCAGAGCTGAGCCGGAAAAAACAGCAAGAGGTAGGATCATACTATGAAACAATAACCCTACAGTTACATTTTAATTTATACCAGTGTGAATTAACTCTTTTTAAGTTAAACATATTTTTACTTCTTCTTGACATCCTGCAATTTTCTAATTTATACCAAGTGTTCCTGTAGGTTAATTTATGTCAGGGGTATATCCAATCATCAAAATTGATCCATCTAGTGTATCTTGTACATCTAGTCTTTGACAAGATACTTATATTAGATTCATGTGTAAAACCTGAAATTTACATTTAGTAATTTTACCTAGAAGACTGACTGTGACTGGGTTGTAGTCCTTGATTCCTTGTCACTCAAAGGTATTTAATTTCTGAAAAGGTATAACACTGGTGGGAGTTCTAAAGTACCGTAAGTATTTTATTGTATTATTATGAGCAGATTATGTATTTTGTGTTGTTAACAGGTGAGATCAGTTGTGCAAGCCTTGATGAAATCAATCAGCTATTCAAAGCACATACTGTCACTAGAGGTATGTTTAGTAAATGGCTGGTAATTTGTCCCCAAGTGCAAAATAGCATTCTTTTCTAGGGTTCTCATGGTCTACATTACAATAGTTCGTCTTGTTTCTATCAAGCAAAGTCATAGCAGAGAATGACTGTCAAGTAATAAGAATACTCTTATTGTCTGAATTAAAAATTGGCTCTGGCCATTGAAATTTAACTTAAGCATTCTATGTATCCATGAAATTCTTTGATCCCAAATGCCTGATGAAAACCAGTTTTAATTTACACCACATTTAGACTAAGCAAAAATACCTATACCAGTATCATTAGCTAAAACTCCTGAAGAAGCACTGCATCCAGCAGCAAAGTGATATACAACCCTTTTTCTTGGTGAACGGTGATATAAAAACATTATTTTATTCCCTCTCTTTAGATAAAAATACTTAAAGAGGAGCTGTCATTTCATCGGCAAGTTTATCAATGCCAGGTTGACTATGCAGAGTCCCTGCTATCTGCAGTTAGGTAAATTTTATGAGGTTGTGCCCGAGCTGTAAAATTGCTGATTTAATGATTTGGAGAAGGGCTTTAATAACTTCTAACAATGAATTTACACATATTTTATTATATTTTTTTGTTATTGGCAGAGAGGCATACCAGACATTTGAAGGAAATTTTATGGAACTGCTTTGTAAGCCTTTGGAAGGTAACTTTTTTGTGTGTTCTCCATTTTTTTGGTCCATTTTAGTTGTTGATTTATGGTTTTCATGTCCTGTTTTGAGCAGATATACTCAGTGCTTACAAAAAACTGAAAGACACAGCTTCTGAAGATGATTTGCGGACTTTTCTGTCCTCATTCAAGGACCATGAATCACAGGTATAGTGTAACTTTTACTTGAGAGAACCAATGATGTTAACCCCTGCCTCTGAATCCCATGATTGCAGATTGTCTCTCTTCACTTTCCCCACCTCCACCCTTAAGTGTTTGGATTTGTTAAATCCCCTGCTAACCTGTGAAAAATTAATTAAAGTCTGGCAAATGGTGTCTAAAACAGTAAAAAGTGTCTCCTGCTCCTGTGTCACTTGTTCTTTAAACAATGATCCAAAAGGAAATGAGAAAGGGTGAAATTACTAGCAGAGCTGATCTAAAAATCTGAGGGTTCATAGAGTATTAGACAATGTCACTTTACCTCACTGTGTTTGCTTACTTCTTCCTAGTTATCAGATGCTATGGATCTTCTTCAGCCCAGGAAGGAAAAGGAACAATCAGGCAAGACAAAAACCTTAATTTACATGTAAATAAATTAGGGTTTCAGTTTGAGAGATTTGTACCTCAAACTCTCATGTAAGGATGTATGATATTCTTGGCATAAAAAGAAAGCGAGCATAGTTTGCTGTGTGGCAAAAACATGGCATAACTCACTGAAATTAGGAAATGTTAGATTTTGCAACATAAGTCCTAGCTCCTTCTCAAAAGTTACATCATTTGTTGTTTCAAGGTATCACAGCCCTCTCTGACTTCCAAACTCACTTTGTTGATGCTGTGCACTCTCTCACAAGGAAGTGCGTGTCCAAGAGAGAGAAGCTGATGAAGCAGTTGCTTGAAGCTAAGGATGGTGGGCTGAAAGAAGACACCACTACATGTACATCAACAGCAGATGACGAGGCAGTGAACACTTCAGAGAGTGGGAAAGGACTCAGCTTGTAACAGCAATTGAAAACATTATAATGATAACAAAAAAGTTGAGAATAGGGTTATTTTTAATTTTAGCTGTTAGCAGTTATCACAACATCAATGTGACAGTATCATCAATCTATGCTAACAAGCCTCACCAGCTTTGATGATTTGAATCTACTGAACAATGGCATCAGTAACCTCTCCATGGTTGGATATAAGAACCAAGAGATAGAAAACTTTGCCAATTACATTAAATAAGTTTCAAATACAACATCAACTCAAGTTGTGGTCAAGAAGTTGATTGGCAATAGGAAGCTATTTTGACACTACTTTGAAATCATGTTTAACCAAAAGCTTTTGGGAAAAATGTTTAAAGGACATTATCTTCATAAAATCTAAAAATTTTGTCTGTGTAATTGAGGACACTCATTTATCACATTTTTTAATCAACTAATAAAATGACCCTCATACTCTTTATTTAGGAAAAATATTAGAACAGTACATGTGCAATAAGAAGTTTCAAAGCTAAAATAAATGTTTTAAAGAAGACATGATAACTAAAAGACATGCAAGAAAAGCTAGTATCACACTTGATTTAACTTTGACACATACTGTGCATGCCTTTTTGTGAGAATATATGACAAGTAACATTTTCAACCACGAGTCTCGCACAGGAATAATATTTAAAAATGGAATTATCTGATAAAATTAAGTTGAGCTAAAACTAATGACACGAACTGGTCCTTCCCCCAGCTTTCTGCAGCTTGGCTCTGAACTGATAAAGAAGCAGTCTCATTCTAAAATACTGGTAACCAGTGTAGATGCTCTTCTTGCAGAATGTTAATGGTTTGAGGTCAAGAAGAAATTATTATGCGCACCCAAGATGTGTTAATTTTGGTACAAGAATCCTTTACATGCCAGTGTTATTCAATACTAGTTTGTAAATGTAGGCACATTTTTACTTGACAGTAGCATGTCTTAGGCAATTTATAAGTACTGATAGTATATTATTGTGGTTTCATGAGTAGACCATCAAACTCCAATGTACTAATTTGTGGAAATGGTCTCAGTTTGCAAATGTAGGAGACAGATTTGCATAACAGTAGTACATCACAGTTGGCTAATTATATTACTGCAGTTTCACAAGTTGAACTTCAAACTCCAATGTACTGTTGGGTGGAATTGGTCCTATCTTTTCATGACCATATCTGCAAATAATGATCATATTTACTCATCAGCTCTGCACAATATTGTATAAAACACAGTGCTAGGGCTGTCACTTAGTTTTCAATAGCTGTAACATTGGAGATATGACTTGTAGCATTGTGATATGTGCCCCAATGTAAAGTGACAGCAATCGTCATTTCCACTTTTAACATCAAGTTAGCTAAACTGTAAAGGTGCCCTTATTGACAAACCTGATTGGTAACAAAATGGCTGTACAGTTGACATAGGGTAGTTACTTTTCACAAAAAGTATGTGTGAGGTATTTTCACATCATATGATCAAATAAGTAGTGTAATAGGTTAGCTATGTGTGAAAGAGGTGCATAATGATCTCTAGGATACTGTAACACAATAACCTACCCTTGTGATGGAGGTATTATCAATCTCCTTTTCCCATCTACTTGCATTCCTGTGTGAAAAAGAACAACCTTGGTTGACTCAGTTACTTGACATAAAGAAATTTCAGGCTTTGAAAATCAAATTTAAGGAGGGCTGGGTGATTTGGTATTATCAATTGAGTTGATAACATAAATTGGCCACTGCTAAGAGTTTAAAAGCTGATGTTTCCCTGCATTGGCCTTTCATCAGAGGGAAAGGAGGAGGACTGCCTTGGCAGTATGAATGTTAGAACACTTACCAGTGACACCCTGATCCCAGCCTTGTATGACCTGTCCTGCACCAACTCTGAATGAAAATGGCTCTCCACTCAGACAAGCATCAAACTGCTTTTTGTTCTTTGCTAAAGTTCCTTTATAATATACATGAACCTGTTGAAATGAACCATCAAAAAATAGTAATTACAAAGAACAAGACAAACCAAAAAGGAAGATCTACAGACACTTTAATTTAAAACCACAGACAGCTGATAGATGGAATATTCCTTTGATCAATCCAAGTGCTCCCTTGTGGTTTACTTGAATCAGCAACATATTGCTCTCTGTTTGTGACTATCACTACTGACCTACTGCAACTTCATCAATAGACATTGCGCTTAACCCTTTAACTCCTAGAAGTGATTAACATGTAACTTCTCCCTATTTAATTATATCCATGCATTGTTTAGCAAACAAGTAATGAGAATACTCAAATATATCAGGTAGAAATGATCTTGATCTAACACCAAATTCATGTTACCAATTTAAAAGGAAATGTGTAGCAGCTAGAGGGGAGAATGAACAATTAGATCTTGGGAGTTAAAGGGTTAAAACATTTCAGTATGATGAGACAGTTTGTGTTGTAAGCAGATCACATACAGTCAGCAAAGACCATGGCACGTAAAGCATTAATATTCATGGACATCCTTACTATCTGTCCTCTTTTGGCCATTGGTCCTGTCCCTTTTGTAATGTCCTCAAACACAGTTCCTCCTGGCAGCGTTTTCCTCTTTGCCTGCTTATAATACAATACAAGATCTCCTTGTTACTGTATTTCCTTGCATGTTAAGTTTGAGAACTATCGTATCATCCATATTTAGCAGAAAAATATTCCTTACATATTATACACTTAATGTATGGTCCTGAGGGAAACTAGTTAGTTTTGTATTCCCAACAGTCCTGAAATTTCCCAAAACAAAGTCAGGGGAAACATCAGGAATCGAGGGAAAACAACACTAACTAGTTTCCTTTGGGACCATACATTAAGTGCTTTGTTATATATTTAAACTTTCCCTTAAAACAATCATGTACTGTTGTATTTGGTGCACAGGCTACAACTGCGCAATTGTATCCCAGTTGGGATACATTTGAATTTGATCAGGGGCACATGAGCAAGAATCAACCAATCTCAGTGCTCGTTCTGTTGAGTGCAAGTCTAGGTATGTAACAATGATTATTGAACCTATGTCAACATCAATAATAAACTGACCACACAACGCCAAACGTGACTAAAATCCTTTCTTTACTTTCTTAAGCTCATAAATTCTTATGAATTACCAATTTCATTACTTATTATATATTCAGATATATTTTCCAAAACACAAGTGCTGACAATTTGTATTCATGATTACCTCCAAAACATGAAAAACAAAAGTTTGCAGCCTTCCATGTTTACTTTGACCTGCCATGACCCTGTGAGTTTACTATAATGAAAAAACAGCTTCTCAAAATATTTCCCATAACATAAATCAATAGACACTTACCAAGGTGGCTTGTGGTTGATCACTCTGTTTCCCACGACTTGGTTGTGTCTCCTTTCCCCTTTTTATTTGTGTTACTTGTTTAACTTGAGTGTCACTGTTTTTTGTAAGCAAGTTACTACCTAATGAAGTCTGCTCACTGCTATTTTCTTGAGTTTTTGACTTTTCTGTCTTGCCATCACTGTTTGGTGAGTTTAATTGAGATTTTTTTCCTTTCTTCTTCAGTTTTTTAGCTGGTTTAAGTCCATTTTCAACTGTCTGATTTTCTGTTTCAACCTTTTTCCTCTTTTTCTTGTTTCCTTCTTTCTTCCTGAGTTCAATTTCAGATTTAGTATTTTTTTGCCCTTCATTACTGCCTTCATTTTCACCATGCATACTATAATTTGACAAAGTTACTTCAGTTTGTTCAACATCCATCAGAGATATAATATTGTTTTCATCCAAATTCTCAGCCTGTTTTTTCTTCTTCCTTTTCTTACTTGGTTTTCTCCTCTTTGGATTATCCTTGGATGGATCCCAGTCCAAATCTGCACTCTCTTCATCCTCATCATCATCATCACTGCTGATCAAATCTCCACTTTGAAATAAGTCTCCAAGAGTCACTTCCTCACTGGATGATTCATCATCATCCTCAGCTGAATCAGAGTTGCTTGCAGATTTTTCACTTCCTGCCGATACTTCCTCATCTGATTCTTCAAATTCCACAGCATTTGGTTCATCCATTAAATAACCTGTCCATCAAGTATAACAATTTAATGGAAAACTTGTTGCATGTTGAGATCTTTTATACTTGAGTTAACATTTGGGCTACCTTCTTGTCCACAGGTTCCAGGTTGCATTGGAATTTGGAATGTTGGTTTTTGTGGAGGGAGGTAACCTGAAGTAACCCAAGAAACCCTTTGGAGCTAGGACAAGAACCACCCACAAACTCAACCCACATATGACACCAGGTTTGGGAATCAAACATAGGCCACTACAGTAGGAGGCAAGCACTCTCATTGCTGAACCATCCCTACTCCCTTGACAGAAAATACAAGCATATGCTTGCTTCATCTAAATATGAACCAGAAACTCAAAATGTATAACCAAGAGCATGGTACGATAAATTTCTAATCCACCTGAAGCCAGCAAAATCTAAAGCAAGAAGTCTCACACTTCTATCTACATTTGGCATTTTAAGGTCATAGCTGCCTTTTTATTTCTTCTCATCTTAATCTCATAAAAAAAAATTTAAAAAATTTCAAATTATGCCACTATGATGGTGATCAAAAATAAGAATTCAAAATAAAACAAACCTGTTAAATGTACATCCCCGGGGCCTTCTGTAAAGAAAGTTATCTCTTCTCCTTCTGTAAAACAATAGTCTAAAGGCTGTTGTGGAATTTTGCCAGGCTGCAGTGTGCACAATGCAAACTGAGCTTTATCCACTTCAACCATTATTGTCACTGGCACTGATGAACAGTTCTGAAAGCCCAGAGCAGCCATTGATAAGTGAAATGACTTTTCCACTGTCTGGGTGTAACGCTTCCCAGAATCAAGAGTGACCCCTGGAAATAAAATAGGAATGGAACTATAAACTGTTTTATGGACAGGTGCATGGTGTGCTCTAAGGAATGAAACATAAATTTCTCTGTCTAATGGGAAGGTTGTGGTACCACAGCCAACCAACTATTGATGTAATGCAACTTGAATAACTGTACTTTGATCAAATCTGTTTAACTTCCAAGATTCAACTAGTAATTCCCCTCCTGAGCCCCTTACATTTCCTTGTAAATTTGGTTTTATATCAAGATAAACCTTCTAACTGATGGGTTTGTCTTTTTTCATAACCTCTTTGCAAGATAACAGACTGGAGTCGCAAGGTGAAGTTAGATTCAACTCACTCCTACAAGTTGAAGGTTTCAGAGCTAAGTACCCTTGATATCTGAACAGAGAGCCTTCAGGTATTCAATGATCCTTCCAAGAGCACAGCTTTGGAAATCTTGTTAACTAAACCGTATCTAATAAAAAGCGTGCTAGACTTCACCTTGGGTAGTTTGTACATGTTTTCTTCTGCTCACAAATTAATGTTCCACGCGCTAAAATATCACATGCCATGGCCGTTCTAAAATGCCAGTTGAGCAATAAGGAAGCAGCATTTGCCTTAAATATACTCAATAGTTATAAAACTCTTTATAGATTCTTTATAAAAATTTATAACTATTGTATAATAAACGTGGATTTTTAAAAGAATATTGTGTTTGTATTTCATCAAATAATTTATCTCACTCCTGCACGAAACTATGACTGTTAGAAAAATTGCACTTCAGTGGAGTCATTTCTCCACTTTTAAGTTTTGATTACATAGCAAAGGAACTATAGAAAATAATGAAATAATCTACTCACCCCAAAACATCGCGAACTGTAAGACAGGGCCAAAGAAACCACCAAGAGTTTTCACGACTTAAGATTAAATAGCCGACGCCATTTTGAATTTGATGAATGCGCCTGCGTAATGAAGAAGTCTTATCGAAAAGAACTCTGGGTATATGTCCTCTTTCAGCCTTCCTCTTCGAAGGTGAGATTCGTTCCGATGTGTGGTTGAAATCTCAAATTATCTCCCCAATCCTCTTTTCTATTTTCGATTACACTTCTTATTTCTATACTCTCGATATCAGAGCCTACTTCTATTTAATAAGATAAATGAAATATGGCTGGAAATAAAAAAAATCAAGTTGATAGTGAATCCTACCTGAAAGCTGTTACCTTACAATAAATTAGTTGCTAACTTTGGGAAACATCTCTAAGTATTCCCGCATTTTTTGCAGATTCTTTTGTTTTATCTTGGGGATTATGTAATATTCAATTGAAAGCCTAGCAGCTTTGTACATAGTTTCCCTTTGATTTCCCTGCAGGATAGACAAAAATGAAAACCATAATATCGATGCACGATGTGTTTTTCAGGTAAAGGTTACTCAAGATGACTCGTTACGCTTCTGATCCTGAGAATCCAACCAAGTCTTGTAAAGCACGAGGTTCTAACCTCCGTGTGCACTTCAAGAACACACACGAGACGGCTGTGGCCATCAAGGGCATGCACATACGTAAGGCAAACAGATATCTCAAAGATGTTATTGCCAAAAAGCAGATCATTCCCTTCCGAAGATTCAATGGTGGCGTGGGACGCAAAGCTCAGGTATGTATGACATGTCACCCATAATACTGGAATACTTGCCATTCGCATGTGCCATGTGATTTCTTGGACAAACATATCATGGTATAACTGCTTGGTATACTGTAGAACTTAGAGTCCACTATTCTTGTAACACTCTCATTAGAAGCTTCCACTCAACCCCTAAGCTTACTGTGGTCTCTTACTATGGGCTTATTATGGCCTTGGTTGTGATGTTTCATCCAATATGTGGTTAATAGATGAGCTCTGTACTTGCTGATAGCCAATCAGTTATCAAAAAATGGCTGGCTCATGCTTACCCATTGATTGGTTAACGATCAACTGTCAGCTAATGTCTTGATGTTCTGATATATCAATCTACTATTGGTAGAAGTAATAACTAACTTATCAACCAAGGAAATCCATATCATGCATGACCCTTTCTATTGGCCTTGTCTTATGTAAATGAACAGTTGGATAATGGCTCTTTAAGAAGTGGTGACTTTTTGTGATAAAAATAAAAATTTTTTATACATAATGACCATTTATAAGGAACTTATACCAGAGGGGCTGCTGCTCAATGTCCCAAGTTTCAGTTTAGAACTGCTTTATGAAAAGGAAACTGATATCTCGGACTACATAAGCCCAGATCACTGGACTGTCTTCAAGCCTTAGGCTCCATGAATTGATTAGAGTGTAACCTCTCCTCACAATTTGTGAACTGGTATTGGGAATAGAAAAAACTTATCAGCAAGGGATTGTCTAATTTACATGGAAATGTATGCTAGTAGTGATGGAGAATTTCTAACTAGATCTAAGGAGAGGTAGTGACTGAGAAACTCAATGTGAATTAATTATGTACATTTTCAGGCCAAGAACTTGAAGTCTCCAGGATCCCAGGGCCGGTGGCCAAAGAAGAGTGCAGAGATCCTGCTTCAGCTCCTCAAAAATGCTGAGAGCAATGCTGAGTTTAAAGTGAGTTTTTGGTTATTTGATGCCTCGCTGTGAAATAAGAAAACGTAAAGTTTTTTAGATGTTTCTTTGTCAAAGGCATGTTCCTGTTGTTGGTGGACAATCACCAGCTGATTATATAAAATCACATTGGAAAAATTAAAAATTTTTACATTTCTAGAGGGCTGGCTTTCGCAAAAACCATCAACAAGATGTTTGAGTTATTAATCAGGAATTCCATTGCCTAAGCCAACTTTCAGTGGTATTAGTGACCAGCTAATGGAGATTTTTAGCCCTGCATCTCTATAATTAAGTGATTCAACTTTAATAAGTAATCAGTATAATAATCTCCCTTAATTGACCTCCATGTTTGTTTTTGTATCAAGGGACTGGATGTAGACTCGTTGGTGGTTGAGCACATACAAGTCAATGCTGCTCCCAAGATGAGGAGGAGAACCTACAGAGCCCATGGACGTATCAATCGTAAGTCAAAGTTGTTTCATATCCAGTTTTAACCTTTAACTCCCATAAGTGACCAAGACAGAATTTCTCCTAATGATATCAATACACTATCAAGCAGACAAGTGATGAAAACTAGGAAGAATATCATTTGGAGGATTATTAGTTGATCCAATACCAAATTCTCAAAACTAATATCACAAGAACTGTATGGCATACAGTAAGTAGAATTACTAATGAGATCTTGGGAGTTAAAGGGTGAAAGCCTAGGAGTTTGTGGTTTGTTCTTTTTTTTTTTTTTTTTTTTCTGTACAAACCACTCACTGAGTAAATAACATATATGTATCCCATTTGATTGGAGTAGTAACACTTTTTCCTTTGGAAATAACACCTTCACTCCTAAGATCTCATGATTGATTCTCCTTACTACATGCTATACATTTCTTATGATGCTGGTTTTGGAGAATTTGTAGCCTCATTACAAGTGCTTCAGTGCAAATTTTTCAATGCCCACTGGAAAGTATGAGGCCTTGAGCAATGCAAGCTGGTGAAAGGTCTGCAAGGGGTCTGGGACTGATAATGATTATTAGTGCCAGACTCCTGGTGCTTGTTTCTCCAAATTGCGGGTAACTTAACGAAGCTGTATTTTAAAATCAAAATCTTAAGAATGGAGAAGCCAGTTCTGGCACCCTTAACAGTCCATCGTGTTTTTCTAGCTGATATTTTTATTGAATAATTTTTAAAACTTTTGACACTCCTATCTTGAATAAAAACAGATTAGCTCTACAGGCCCTACAAAATTACTAAGACATTCGAGAAACTGGCCCCCTGGTAAACTTCTCTTCAACTGGTCTTAGCAGAGAAATGCATGTTTCTTCAGCACTGATAACAAGGGACTGCTAGCCATTATTTTATATTTCTTTATTCTCACTGCTTGTCTGCTTGATATGTATAGATATTGTAAGGAGAAATTCTGCTATGGTCATTCATGGAAGTTCAAGGAAGACGCTATGGTAGTAACTAGCTTGTAATGCTTAAACTAACTCAACCTTGTGTTTTGCAGCCTACATGAGCTCCCCATGCCACATAGAGATGATCCTTGCTGAACGCGAGCAAGTTGTTCCTCGTGGTGAGGATGAGGTAGAGGTAAAGAAGGTATCCAAGAAGAAGATGGCACGAGAAAAGATGAAATCCAGGGAGTAAAGCCCTATTTTGAGAGCTGTAAAATAAAATTTCAATTCGGAAAACGTGTGTTCTTGATGTTTCTTCTTTCTGGTTGGTCGTTCATTCATTGAGAAGATGGATTAGAATCCTTTCATCTCTTGTTTTGACTTTGCCAGGGCCTAAGTCTAGAGACTCGTATCTGTTTCTCAGAACCAGCTGCTCTTTGGGGCAGGAAGTGGCGAAAGACAAAGGTAAATGACATTTTACCTCAGACAACTAAGCTTCTGTTAGGTTCTCTTTCCTAAGCTACCTATCAGTTTAAATTTTTTAACTCTTTCTCTTTTCCGGGACCGTTTTTCCTCGCTTCTGTCCCCCAAAACAACTACCCTTTACACTGGTACTCCACAACTATACACATATCTATTTTTCTGACGATTTCGCCCAGTTCGCTTCCATCTTCGTTTTTTAGGCAGTGATTTGGATCAGTTCGCTTATTTTCTGGGGCAGTTCACATACTTCGCAAGTCGGTTTGCTGACGTTTCTTGTCTGTTCGCTAACTTCTTAGGTCAGTTCCTTAGCATTTTGGGTATGTTCACCCACTTCCTAAATCACTTAGGCCGTTAAATTGGCAGCGTCACAGTTTGGTTCGACTAAGTCTTAAATTGGCAGGTTACGTTGGTTTTATCAACTGAGTTTATACTGTTTATTGGTCAGGAAAGAACTTATAAAGGTTACGTATCGGCCGTTAGGCGTCATTTCGCTCTGACGAAGAGCTAGCGCTCGAGACGTCAGCTTAGAAACTCTCTTTGATTATCGACTCAGTTGACAAAGGCAAATGATCTTGTGGTACCCTAACCAACGTAGCACCAAAGTTTTGTTTAGAAACCTGCCCATTAATTGGTCAGTTTAATTGTGTAATTTCGTCAATACCGGTCTAGGTTAGTTAGCTAAGGGCTAAGCTCAATTTTTTGTTGGTCCGCATACCTTTTCGTGACCCGAGGCGTTGGTAAAGACATATTCAACACGGTTTCAAGGTTCCGTCATGGTTAATATATCATGCGTGACTGGCGCTCGACTTGGCGCGAGTGCAGCACGCGCGAGGGGAAGACGGAGGTTATGTGTCTACTGACTCGCGCGTTTCTTTTCTTGCTACTACCGTTCTTATTTAGTTCGACACAGAGAGAGTAGGCCGCGTCATGAAGCTACACAACAGGGTGTAATCGGACTCCTTTTCATTTTGAAATCAATTGTTTCACGAAAAAAGTACTTTAAATTAGTTTGAAAGGTCAAACGTGATCCTAAACTTGTGTATCTCACGAGAGGCTAAACTTGACCCAGACGACAGTACCCGACAGAGAGCCTCTTCAAAGGGGTCCATCATTTGCTCCCCTGCCCCAGTAGGGTGCAGATTTTTGCATGATTTAATCAAGTGAAACGAACGTATCATTTTGCGATATCTGCTTTAGAAAAATTATTTCTTAAGGTTGACCGCTCGCATTGCTTGGAATTACAATGTTTTATCCTTTAAACAGAAAACCGAAACGTGCCAAACAAAACAGAAATACATATTCACGGGGGAGGAGTGCTTTATATGCATGACGTCATGACGATGTGATTCAAATGTGGAAACTTGTAAAAGACGGTACAAATAGAAACGAAGGAAGTTCATAGAAACGTTGAATCCTTACAGCTATTGAGAAAAAAATTTCACCTTAAAGAATGCTTTTCATCGGGAAATTTATAGTGTGAATTTAAAAGATGAAAAGTTTGGTGTGACCTAGATTTGTGGCAGACGAGCTCAAACTTGGCTACTGTGATTCGGTTGCGAAGACGGGAAAAATGGGAGGAATGTTCACCGCAGGAAAACAAGAAAGACAATTTTACTAGTGTTTTGACCGTGAATACCATGACTGAAGGTAAGGTTTCTTCTTCAGATGCTTTTTCTCCGCGATCAAAGAAGGCTTCCGCGGCCGAAGATACACTTCAAAACGGAGACATGGATGGAGCAGGCGACATTAGAACGTTCGAATTTGATGAGTGCTCGGGAGATTTTGGAGTCGTCCTTGAAAATAAAGATCCTTGCAGCCCAAGCCGTGCAAGAACTGCTTTGGGAAATATACGAATCGCTGATTTATTGCCGGATAGTAGAGCAAAACGGGATGGAATGTTGGAAGTTGGAGATAGAGTAATGGAAATAAATGGACGCGATCTATCTAAAGCAAGCCTGGAGCGAGCAAGGTAAAACTCGTAATGTTCATCAAAGTTTATAAAAAAACCGCAACAGGTACTTTTTTCAGGTAAGGAAGCGTAAATGAATTAACACCGTCATAGTCTGGCCTGTTTACAAAGCTGTATTCAAAAGTTTGTATCATCTATAACCATTTCTCCCTTGGGTGTACTATTAGAATCTGAAATCAGCGATTTAGGGCCATTGCGCTTTATCAGAATGCAATCTTGCGAATTGTCCGACATTAAATCATTTATTCACTGAACTTAAACGCCAGAATATCAGTACCAATGGTGGTGTAGAGGATGATTGTCTGTTGTTTTGAAATAGGGATCGTTTTAGCGCCATTTATTTGTGTTGTATTGGCTTGCATTGTGTGACCTCTTTGTTTACGTTTTTTATCGCAAACCGAGTAAGGTGTTTCTGTCTCGGCATACTTTTCTCGGCATTTGCGTTCAACGCGTGATAAGAACTAGACTACAAAGAAGGCTATTAATTAATAATTTCTTTTCTCCTTTCAAATTCAGCCTTTAAATAGTAATTTCCATAAGAGAAATCACTGAAATAGTGTCGCTAAAATTAGAAAAGATGATTTTGTTGTGTATTTCATTTGCTATTCACAAACAATATTTTTAAACGTCTCGGTTTTGAGATAAGCTGATATTTGAATTATAAACGCGTATTTAATATTAATTTGAGTGATTTGTTTCAGGTGGTACTTAGGAAGTGCATTGAGGAGTGGAAAATTAAAAATGAAAGTTCTCCGTGGTCCTGCTGGGAGAAACATTACACCTGTAAAGAATGGTGTTGTTCCAAGACTTGAAAACATTTCTGAGAGTTCTGGATCTGTAAGTTAAATGTAACAAATTTTTATTTTGACATTCTCAAGTTTGACCCTACTATCAATAGGGTAGAAGAGTAATTTTGTTTCATTACTGTTATAAAGGTCTGTTTTTAAAAAAATTATCTAAAGATTGATTTGAGGTTGAAATACAACAGTCAACTTCAATAAGATTTTAATTCCTTCTTTTCTACTGTGAAATTTTTAAAATTCTTTTGCAGATCAAGAGCAGAAAAATAATTTACCATTTATCACCTGCAATTAACAGATTGGTGAAAGTGCTTGATCTTAGATATTCAAAACAGAGAATTTTAAATATTTTAATCAGTCAATTTTGAGATGTGTTCTTCCTTCCAGCTTTATACTATTCCTAACTTTAGATTTGATAAAAGTAATAACTGTTGAACAAGTAGTCTGATTGTGCTTGTGGAAGAGGTGCTTAGAGGGATTGTTGTTAGCAATAGTGACTGATGTTTTGACCTTATTACCCACTATAATAGAGGCCTTTTTCTTGTTTACACTCGCCTGGACAAGCAGACTACACCATCAACTGTTACCCCTGGGTCTAGAACATTTATTGGGAAAGTGCTAGCCTCAAACGTGTACTGTCAGTAATAAGTGTCCCTATGTTATTGCTTACCCTGACTGAAAGCAGGAATTAATGTAACCTGTAACAGACTAGTGTCTCTTCAAGGGGTAATTTTTTTTGGATATAGTCATACTTAAGTCAATAAAAATGAGATATTGGCTCATCAAGTGAGAATGTGGATATTGCAGGCTAGTGAAGCCCAGTACTATATACAGAATTTAACTTTCACTTATTGTAACTTGTTACTACACTCACTTTGTAATTGGTGCACATGCAGGAAAATAATTGATATTCTGAGCAATAACAATATTAGTAAATTAAACAACATCCTGTCATTAATAACTTATTGCACCAAATAATTTATGAAGTTAAAGCAAAGACATATTTTGCTGCCTAAAGTATGGTATACACTGTATGCAGATATTTAAAGACTTCAATAAAATTACTGAAAAATTGGGTACATCCACAAACCTAAAACTATTTCATATTTCCTTTATCATGTCTGAAAGTGATATGAAATTTTTATGTAAAACAACAAACGTTTTTATTTTAGATAATTTATTATATTGTTTTCATGCCATGCATTTTTGACAATTCTGTAAGAGTGTTGTATACTTGATATTTTATTTCAGAAAAATAGAGTAAAGAAGATACATATTTTAAAGGATAGCCACGGACTTGGAGTACAAATATTGATGAAACTCAACCATGAAACAGGAGAGAAGGGTGTCTTTGTGTCTGATGTGAGCCCTGGTGGAGCTGCAGCAAGGTACAGTATTTCACTTGTATTGATTAATGTAACTGTCAGTAGAGGTTTACAGTTTAAACCAAGTGTGGCATGAGATTCCAAAAGTTAATTGACTTTTTAAACTTTTATAGTAATTCAAATTTTACATTCATTTGTGCATGATTTTTAGGTTTGACACTAAGAGAGTACAATTTTTCTATAATTTATCAGATTAACAAAAAAATCAACCTTTTTTTTACAGAGAAACCTTCAATTGACATGTTGATATCAAAATTAAGCATGGTAACTGTTAGTTGAGCTTGTTTTGGAAAATGATGGGGTAAATTTACCATCCAGTAATTAAAGATTTACAGGAATTCAGAGTTTTAAATTTGATTTCAGCAACTTCATTTTTCAAAGAATTGATTGCAAAGTATTCAAACCTGACCTTGACTTAGTTCAAGCACAAAGTTAAGACGTCATTGTTTCATGATGATGTACTCAATATTTTTATATTAATCAGAAAATACTTAGTTGCATGTAAATCAGTGTTATGTAGTATAAATAAACAGTCTTGGATTCTTGCAGATGCAATATTTCAAATTTCGAATCAAGATAACAAATCAGTGACAGCCAAGACAAAAAACTAAATAGACTAAGAACTAAATATCTTAAAACTAAATGTCTAAAAACCAAATTCAATAGTGCATGCGCTTACAACCCAATAATTTAGGTAAGAATGGAGGCCAGATTTAAAGCAGTTTAACCCTAAAAAATTAACCCTCTGATATTTATCATTTGTATTATATTTCTTTCCACAAATGTAAATTTAAGTAAACAACAGGGGTAGAAGTTGAGATTTACACATTGCATTACATACAAATGATAACTACCCGAGCTGCATTTGAGTCATACAAATAGTTAAAATTATATATTATTGTAAAGTAAGGAAAATAGATGCCTTATTTTATAGATGTTATATATAGTTATAGATAGTAGTTTGTATTTTCCTTTTTTCCTTTTTTTCAAGATGAACTACTATCATTCTTAAATAGGTCTGGATAGAAGTAGATATGTAATGACTTTAAGAAAATTAACGACACTTTTATGATAACAAAAAACATATTTCAACAGTTCTTCTGTCATTTTCAGTTTGGAATAATACAAAGTACAAATTAAGTTGAATTTAAAGTGTGTAACAAAATGCTGATTGGACAAAACAAACAACAGAAACAGAACAATATGTGCATTACAAGGAAAATTTTAAGTTAACATGATAAAGTTGGTGAATTGAATGGGAGAAATCTGCTTTTAATCACCAAATTTTAATCTTTTAAGTGTCATCAATTTTCTTAAAGTCATTCTTAATAGAGAAAAACAAAAATCAACCTAGTTTTAAATAATTCCAAGAGGAATTGTTTTTTAAATCCACAACATTAATCTGAGTAAATGATCAACTTTAATGATATTACTAAAAAAGAAAGTTTAATTTTAACTGAAAATTGATTTCTTTGTATATAGGGATGGTCGCCTTAAAGAGGGTGATGAGCTGTTATGGATCAATGGCCACAGCTTAATAGGAGTAACACAACAGGAGGCTGTTGACTTACTAAGAGCATCACCAAAGCTGATTCAACTAGTCATTTCAACTCAGGTAACAAACAACATTCTCAGGAAAAGTTCCTTGGCAGAGAGACTCTGTATTAAGTATGATGTAATCTGAATGCTGCAAACCATTATCACAAGTGCTAAAGTTTTATTTCTATTTTCTCAAAGGTAAGGGGGTCTACTTTGGAGAAGAAGGCAATGGCGTCAAGATTGAAAAAAAGTTCTTTGGATAATTTATCAGATAGAGCTGGAATGCAGGGTTCAAAAAGCCTTCCTCAAGCAAAATCTGCAGAAAGTTTAGTGCAGAAAGGAAGAAAAATGTCCTCTGATCACATGGGAAAGAAAATCAAGGAAGCAGATAAAAAGTTTGAAAAAGGGACCACAAAGTCACAAGATAAAGTTTTGCAACAATCAATGGAAAGTAGTCCTTCAAAAATAGTAGAAAATTTAAATCCACAGAAAGATAATCAAATTGAAGAAACAGACTTACAGGATAAGTCACATAATGAAGGAAATCATGCTCTGTTAAACGGAAATGAACAAGAGCTGATTAATGGCAGACACTGGTCTTCCTCATCGGATGGTTCTAATGGACAAGAAAAGTCAGACACAAAGGATGTCTTACTTTCAAAAGGAGAAGAAAGTTTAGAAAGTGAGCCAGTTACTTTAGAGGATAAACCACTCTCCAAGGGGTCTTCAACAAAATCTTTACTAGGAAAGCTACCATCTCTATCCCCTCCAATTATAGATGCCTCAAAAAAGAGAAATTCATCAAACCTTTTCTTGAATAATTCACCTCCTAAAGAAAAACCTACAAAAAGCAGAATGTGCCTAGAACCTGGTCAAATTTCACCTTCCCTGCCAAGACCTCAGTCTCCAGGAGGTATGGGAATTGCTTTCTCTGCACGATATCTGGGGGATCCCCCTGCTAATGTAATGACTAAAGCTATGCCCACACCCCGAAATTTTGTGGGTAGTAATGATCGGGACTCGCCGCAAGCAAAGAAAAAGGGGAGTAATGAGACCTCACCAAGAAGAACCAGTAAAACCATGAAAGAGGAAGTTGTTACCATTGTTCTGGTAAAGGGAATGAATGGAAAAGGTCTTGGGTTCACTATTGTTGGAGGAAAAGGCTCACCTCATGGTGATATGGCTGTGCATGTACGGAATATTCTCCCTGGTGGAGCAGCAGAAGCTGATGGAAGGATGAGAAAAGGTAACTTGTTATTCATTCTCAAAGAGGAATTTTTAGAAAATTGGATTTTAAAGTAATTTTCAAATTCTCACCCCAACAACTTTGGAAGGTTATTCAAATACTGTTACAGTATAATTTTGTTTTTTATTTCACCCTTTAACTCCCATGAGTGACCAAGACAGAATTTCTCCTTACAATATCAATACAATATCAACCAGATAAGTGATGAGAATAAAGAAAATATATCAATTTGGAGATAATTAGTTGATCCAATACTAAATTCTCCAAACTAAAATTATAAGAATTGTTTTGCTGACAGTAAGGAAAATTACAAATTTGATCTGGGAGTTAAAGAGTTCAATTAATAATCTGCCTACCAAATTAATCTTTTTTGTTTATTGCTATCAAATCAAAGGTGATGAGGTGTTATCAGTCAATGAAACATCTTTTGAAGGGTTCACTCATCAACAAGCCCTGGACACCTTTAAGGTAAAGAATGAAATAGAGTTTAAATCTTTCAGAGGTCAAAACAGGCAAGTTTTGACCCTTTCACTCCTAGAGGTGACCAAAACAGAATTCTTTCGATATCACTACATTTTCAAGCAGAAAGGTGACCAGACAAAGAAAAACTGTCAACTAGTGGATACTGTTTGATTTGATATCAGATTTTTTTAGCTAAGGTTTTGAGAAATGTTTTCTCGACAGTGTGGAAATTGAGATTGAGCCCTTTGGAGTGAACAGCTTAAGAGGTTACTCTCAAATGCTTGAACTCATCTGTGATTATTTTGGGTTGTATAACCAGTGTAAGTTGATAGAATTCTCAGAATACAGGAGAGATTTGATAAAAAATTAAAAGATTATAACATGATTACTTAATTTGTCCCATACCCAGTAATTATAGCAACACAAAAAGTAGATTTAAGCTAGTTCATCACGTTGTGTTAATGAAGGTAATTACAAATAACAAAATGATTTTTTTTCTGTTAATCAATAGCTTAAAAGTTGATATTATATCGTTCTGTTTGAGAGAGATGATTTATCTGACTTTAGGAAAGGTTGAGAGAATTTTTTGTTAATTTTAGCTGACAAAATACTACCTTTTTGTCTATTTAAAGACAAATCAAGAATTATTTTTGCTAAACACTTGCTAGAATTGTTTCTGATAAATGTTTAAACTTCAAACATTGTTATGAGTTTCTGAAGATTACTTTTATTATTGAATTGAATTCACTAATAAAATTAAGTGTTTATCAAATATTTCACTTATTTAAAAATGTTAGGCCAAGTTTGTTATTTTCCAAATTTATCAGCCCAAAGTTGACATGATATTGGAAAAAATAAATTTAAACTATCTGTTCTTCATAGCCAAAAGTAAGTTTGAAAATCAGCAAGAAGCAACTTTATTTTACTACAATTGGAAAACTTTATATTGATGAAAAGTAACCTTATCATCCCCCCAAAAAGTACTGATTTGTTCAAATTCTCTTATCTCTGAATCCAAGTTAATCATTTTCACATGTAATGTAAACTCAAGTAAGTATTGCTTACTCACAAATTTGATTTGATATATCTTCTTATGTTTGGGGATAAATTTACATGAAAATTGCTGGCTATTGTTCACAATTCCAACAAAATAAAGTCATTTGTTTGTTCCTGGAGAAAAATAAATTCTCCATGGCTTAATTGAATCCATTACTACAATAGGTAATGTGTGAAATTGTCTCTTTAATTAAAATAGAAAGTTAAAAAAATAACTGTGAAAATCTGGGGATTTGAGCACAGCTAAAATATTTGACAAATCACTTATTCTTTATGTTCAATGACACAAGACATCTTTCTGATTGTGGGCTTTCAAATGCTTCTATTTATGATTAAATATTAAACAGTACAATGTTCACCTGCCCCTGGGTTATTGATCAAGTGCTTTATCAAAGCAAACAAAAGAATATTGCTAACACAGATTGAACACAGAGGAAAACTTAATCAATTCATTCAGGGTCACAGTTCAAAATCCTCACTGTTGAGAATTTGTGTCAAAAATATACCATTTTTTGCAACTTTGTTCTAACTTTCAATTGGCAATTCAAGTTCAAATTGTAGGAGAATAAAATAGTTCCTATTTTAAGCTTCTCAATCTGTTGAGCTATCCATTACTAAAGTTTACTCACCAGGTGAAAGTTATACAATATTCTCTGTAGCACTAAATAGTATCCTTGGTCTGTAGAATCTTCGCAGAGGAATTGTAACTTTGAAAGTTCGGAGAAACAGTCCTGGAGCTCCAACTGTATCAACATTTACAACACCCAGAAATTCGCCAGGAAGATCTCGTCGAAACAGCAGAGATGTGACAGCAGAGTCAACCAGCTCCAGCAATTCATCGTCTCCAACAATGTTTCGAAAGCTGCGTCAGAAACGAAGCCAGAAAGACAAGATCAATGAAATTGTTCTTTATAAAGGTGTGTACGAATTTTTGTTTTTGTCTGCATATCCTTTAGTACTTGTGAATTTACAGTTTTGTTGAAGATAACTTGTGATTTGTGATCCAAGCTTCCACAAAATAATTGTGTTATTGTGTTTTAATTCCTCAACACTTTCAACAAGAATAACTTATTCTTTAGACCTTTAATTATTATTTTAAAAAACATCTATAAATTAGTTCCAAAATTATACACATTTAAGTTTCATTCCATGGTTGATAATTTCTCTGAAGGATATTAGTCTAAATGCTCTGTGAGAGATTTAAATTTAGTAATTATAGGTTAGCCACAGATTGTTTGTTGTATCAGAAATAATCATTGAAATGATTATGAAAGAACAAAATTTTATGTCCAGTTCTAAAATTTTTGACTGATAATTGGTTCATAAATATTTTGTTGGAAAATATTCTGTTAAAGGGGTAATTGATAGATATATTTTTCTCAGTTTATGATAATTATATTATTCAAGAGCAAGGTCAAACTTCACGGGGCATTATCTAAGCATGTAAGACAATGATTTATTATGAGCACACACAAAAAAATTGTCACTTTTGAAATCACCTCACTAGAGATTATCATTAGTACCTATCACTAAGCTTGTTTTCTTGGTCTGTACTTTGAGTTACAGAGCAAGTGTTCCCACTTGGATTTATGGCCCAAGCCCGATGCACATGGGTTATAAATCAGGGAGAAAAAGGCAAATTTCTGTACTTTACAGTATTTCTGAATTTAGAGGGCTTTACAGTGAAATGCAGCCCACTAAATTGACCAATCATAATGCACATACAAACTGAAAGATATACTTAGAATTATATTATTAGGCAATCAAGACTAAAGAATTTGCTGAATAAAGTTTGATTCAGATGTAGAGGACATTCCCCTGTATTTCATTTTTGTTCATGAAGTAAACTTGTTCTGCCCTACAATTATCAGAAGAACATAGGCCATACTACTTTGAAGTAGCGCCCAATAATAATGAGGCATGTAATGCCCTTAGAACCAAATTCATTTATTTGTTCAGAGGCTTGTGAATCAGTTGATCTTATTTGGGCTTACAGAACCTGGAAGCAGCCTGGGAATTGGTCTGGGAGAACAACATCCATCAACTCAGATACCTGGAATCTTTGTTCAATGCATTATTCAAGGAACACCGGCAGATAATGATGGGAGATTGAGGTGAATTGTCTATTTGTTTTAACTGAACCCTCCATTGACATCAGCAGAAGGTCAGCTACTTAAATCAGGCAAAACAATAAAATATTTGTCTTGATCTGTGACAAATCTCAACCTTTTGCTGGTTACTGTTTTTTTTTCCTATGGCTGGCTGAAAATAACTTTGGAAAAAACCGTAACATAACACCTTAATTGGGTATTTCCTGATGGTGTTAACTTATAATTATTACAGTGCTCACAATTTGAAGTTTCCTCAATTCTTTTTTATTTTCATTTACAGAAAAGGTGATCAACTCCTTGAAGTTAATGACAAGAAACTAGAAGGACTGTCAGTTGAAAATATATACAACATTCTGGATAAAACTCCTCCAGGAAAAGTATATTTTAAAGTTGTGCAGAACAATGCATCTGACAAGTTACCTCTACAACTTAACGATGAACTCACTAAGCTTCAAAGTGAGCGTCAGTTCCTGGATAAAAAGATGTCAGGGAAATCAAAGAGTTCAGGAACTGCGTCAACACTCTCTGGTGCATCCGAAAGCTCTGAGTCTTGTGGTGAGTGGTTTGAACCCTTTCACACCTAGAGTGACCAGCATCATATTTCTCCTTATAATATCAACCCTGAATCAAACATTAAGGTCATGAGAATAAAGGAAATGATCACCAACTAAGCAGCTTTTGCCTGTAAAGCTTGTTCACCTTGTCAGGACCCTGGGAAATGTATAGAGAACTGTATGGAGAATTTGCATACTAATGTTCTAGGGTGTGGAGGCTTTAATCAGCGGATGGTTTATTATTAGGCAATTTAAGCCCTGATCAACTGTTAGCTACAGATGTACAATAGTGCACTTTGCATTTGAGTGTTGGAGAACCAAAGACAAGGTAATCACAACTCATAAAGAACGAAAATACATAAGGAGGCAGTGCAAACTCAAGGTGAAAACAAGTAAACTGCTGAAGGACAACAGTACCTAAAATACTGTGATCTAACCTCTGTAGAATGTCTACTTATAAAGGTTATCCACGTTTTTGAACATTAGAGTTACTACTAAGTCTTGCCAATAATCACAGATGTGCATGAGGCATGCATCAGAAGATGGTACTCCTTTTGGATGAGAACATTTGTAACTAATGGTCCAGCACATGTTTTTCATATCCTGCTTATCTGTAGGTTATTCCCTTAATTTACTTTTTCTTTGCATTTCATTTGTTTTTTACATCTCAGACAATTTTGCAAGTCTTTCCTCATCTTGTGATCTCCTCATTCCACACTCTGTCGAACAAAACAAGAAAAAGAAGGTAAATGTTTAATGAATGGTGATTGTCTCTCTGAACCCTTATTATTGTCACTAATTAGTAAATTATGACGTCTGTCTTATAAGTTATTGTTTCTCTTTACAGGGACCAAAATACTTTACAATATAGTACTATACAAAGCCTGAAAGGAAACATGAACATTTAGTATTGAAACCTAGTTTTCCAGTTTAATATTTCTGTTCCATTTTCCTATCAGTCTCAAACAGTTCAAGAGTCAGACGACGATGTTTTCACTCATGAACCTGGTAAGACTTATTTTGAAGGCACCTGAAGTATTCATCTTAAAAAAATAATTAACTTAGACAAACATCTGTTGAAATAAAGATAAGTCACATTTGAGGTTATAACCTCTTCTTGGGATAGGACCAGTAGCATTTGTAACCAGAGAACAAAATGGTGAAAGAAGGGATAATCAAATTGAGTGCCAAGTGTGATCACTGGTATCACAACTGTTGTTCCCTGCATTCCCTTTGCATCTTCCCTCTTGTCTTCCCTTTATATGCCAACTAAACAGGTCATAAGACCAGTTGCAAAATAATTTATTTGTTTATTATTAATGATATGAACTTTTTTCTGACCATGTCGTGTTCAATTATTTATTATCACAGATTCTGCCGAATTTCTGGAAGACATTTACACAATTATAAAGCAACCTACTGGTAAGCCAAGTCCTCAGATAAACTTCGAATAGAGAGGCTCATCAAAACTTCCCAAGGAGAATCTCAACTCACCGCTGTGGTTTTTTTCTTGGTAGGTGGACTGGGCATGGGTGTCACAGTCGACAAGTCTCGTGGGAACACCATAGCTGAGGGCGTGTCAATTAAAAGTGTAACCGAAGGAGGATCTGCTGCTTTGGCAAGAGGCTCTAGGGGAGTGGGGCTAAAACTCGGTAAGTATGATTCTTTTCAATGATTTCATTGTCCAAATTCCAAAAATTACAAACTTAGAGAACTATCTTCAGTAAACTACACGGCATGAAATTTTGTGCCCGTTAGTTTAAGAGCAGATTTCTCTGGTACGTAGAATTGATACACCAAGGCTTCTACTTTTGGTAGGATGTGTCCCTTGTAAAGAGGACTTGAACACAGACTAAAATGAAATTATCTTCGGTTAGATCAATATTTGTGACTCCTGAATGGAAAAGGTCCCCAGGATAAAAATAGCCCTTGAATATAGTTGTCATAAAGAGACCTTGAAATGGAAAAGGAAAGAAAGCTTCCAACATAACTTTAAGATAAAGACTTGTAAGACAGTCCGAAACAGATCCTATACGTAATTTGGTTTTATCAACTGAATTGAAAATGTTAATTATCCACCGTAAAGGGTGTCTAAAGCTGACGTTTCGAGCGTGAGTAGAAAAGTTTACTGATAATAAGATTTTTTAAGCAGGAGATCAAATTATCGCAGTCAATGGCACCCACCTCAGAGGAATGGACCAAGAAGATGTGATCAAGATCTTCAGAGATCTACCAAGTTCAACACAAATGAAAATTAGAAGGTCCAAGATGACTCTCCAGGGAATGGACTCTAATCAAAGAGCAAACAAGAGTAATGAGCCATCAGACAAAACTGTCCCACAAGACCTTACGCCTCTTCCCAAACCTCCGGATAGTAAGCGAAGGTCGAGCCGGAGGGGTAAAGTTAAACCTGGGACACAGGAAGAAAGGTCACCGTCATCTGACAAAACTGATGAAGTACCATTCTCCGGGCGTGTTCAGGCGAAACAGGAAAGCGATACCCCACGTAAAGAACATATTGCAGAGAAAAAAGACCATAATGGAATTAAAGATGTAAGAAGCTCTGACGAACAGGAGAGAAGTAAGGAGAACGAAGAAGAAGAAGCACGAAGTACCAAAAAATTACCGTTTAAAGAACAGATTAGACCAGTCGCAGATGTCATCAGCACAAGCAAATACTTGACAAATAAGAATTCAGAGAAAGTTAAGGACCAATTGGGGGACAATCTGATAATTCCGTCTGGCTACAGGAAAGTGGAAATAAAGATAAAGAAGGAAGTTAACTCCACACTTGGTCTTTCTTTGGTCCCAAGCTATGGGAACCTTAAAGGATATTTCCAGGTAATAGCAGTGAAACTGTTATCAGTGTACATGATTGTTAATGATTTCGGAAGACAGGTGATACTTACCATGCTTCGTACTCTCACTGCCCATATTCAATCAAAAAAACTGTGCGTGTGCAGCTTAACCGCTGTTTTAAGCCTTTAGCACTAACTATTTTCTCTGTGAATCCTGTTTTATGTCCCGTACATGTCCATGGCTTTAAAAGAAAGTAGCATCAAATACGTATGATTTTGTTAGCTAATGGCTTCGAATTCGAGTTTTACAGCTATAAAAATGTAGAAGAATTAAGGAATCCAGAGCAAAGTGTTTCACGAAAATAGTTAGCCTCCCAGTTAGATCAGTGTTTTCCCCGCGAGTAAAGGTTGGTATTTAAGGTATGTTGTGGCCTTTTTCCAGATTCGTAGACTACAATCTGGTATGGTGTGTGCTCAAGATGGACAGCTACAAACTGGCGATAAACTTGTTTCAGTAAATGGCGTGTCCTTGAAGGGTGTCACTCACTCGATGGCATTGCAGTTGCTCAAGAAGCCAACCGAACTCGTCACGTTTGTGATATTACGGGAAGGAGAAGATCCTCAGGAGAGAGTTTCAAGTCCTGTTAGTGAATGGAAGTCCGATTTATCATCTGGTCAAAATTATACTTTGGCTCAAGACAGCGGAATACACGGTGAGCTATCATCGTCGTCGAGGAGAGAAGAGGCCAAAACGTTGCCCTGCGCGGAAAAAGCTGTATCTCCTAGCAAGTCTCAGTGGAGCAGGGAATTGAAAAAATTAGAAAGTCGAGATGAACCTCATTCAAGAAGTAATGAAGATAGAAATATTGAAGAGGACATACCAGAACTGCCTTCTTCACCGCCACCCCCGCCATTACTGGATGCAGACGATCTTTTAGAGAACGATCTGTCTATTGCTCTTCCATCGTTTTCTCCCCCTCCTCCACCAGTTCCACCACCAGTTGACGATGTCTTGTCTTTATCACCCATTCCCGTTGTTTCTCCTCCGCCTGTTCTTAGTCCAAGAATGAAGGAATTCCTGGAGCAAGACCCCTTCAGGGCTGATCGCCATGAAAGCAACAACATACAAGACGACGAGATCTCACCAGAATCCAGTATTAGTCTTAACCAAGCTTGTTCCCGTGGTAATAAAACGGGTACGGGTTGGGATTTTCAGTCTTTGCTTGATGCTTGCAACGATTTGAATACTAACAAAAACGATGATGAGTTTATATCTGGACAAACTACCAGCACAGAAGCTACGTCGTTGTCAGGAAATTGCAAACCTGGTTTACCATCAGAGACTATGAAAACAAAGGACACTTTTTCAGAGAAATTGTTGGAGACGAGTACAGGATCTCCTGCAGAGGAAAGTGGCCACGAACAACAAAACCTGGATTTGGAAAAACTTTCAGCTAAACCTAAATTTGGAGTCGATAAAGGTCTTCTTTCCCCGGTTAAAGGCCCCAATACGAAGAAAATGACAACGCCATCTATCATTAAACGCAAAATAGACGTTGATGTGAAACCAGTTGCTGGTAGAAGAGATGAGAATGTTCCATTTGCTATTATCTATCAGAAGAAGTTTAGAAACCTTGGCTTTAAAGTGGACCTAACAGAGGAGGGGAAAGTCATTGTGTCAGATGTTTCATCATTTGGCCTAGTGGGAAAAGATGGGAATATCAGGTAAGAATAATGAGAAACCGAAGAAGGACTGTTTATCATAATTTGTTTTGTTTCAGATGGCGTACTGTTTGCTGCTTGCTTTTCTCTGCTTACTTAAGACGTTTTTTTTTGCAGCAGGAACAAAGCAAATTAAGATAAATCCCTTTACTTGCTTGCGATAGGTGAATATGGTTTGTGAATGCTCAAGGTAGAAATAGATAGTTTTAGGATATCGATAAATCACTGTACTGCGGAAATTCACCCCTGCATTATATCATATACTAGCACGTGTAGGTTACGAAAGCATCTTGTCTGCTTTTCATTTCAGGGTTGGAGATTTTCTTTTGTCCATTAACGAGACCCCCCTAGAAGGAATGGCCTTTGAAGATGTCCAAAATATGATCAAGAACTGCCCAAGGGGAGATGTGAGAATTGTGGCCCAAGCCGGACCTAAACCACCGAAGCCGACAGAATTACTTGAGGAGACAGTCTCATCTCAGAAGGAAAAGGGTGAACTTGACGAGATACCTGACAAAATGAGCTCAGCAGACCGAGAATCTGTACCAGATGTTTTGTCAAGTGTGGCAGCCTACACACCTTGGGTGGACATCTCTAGTGAGCTTATCTCCCTGAAAACATCAAAAACTTTTAGTGGACCAGTTTCAAACTTACCTACAACAAATCATATACCAGATACTGAAGAAAGTGTTACTTCTATAACTCTGTCCCAAGAGCTAACTGATGAGTTAATTGCAACAGAAGGTTGCGAAGGCAGTGAACTGGAAGGAACTGAATTTGATGATCTTCCTCCATCTAGCCCTCCTCCACCATTACCGACAGATGACGCAGAAGAAGAAGAAGATTATTCAGGTGAAGTACCTGAACTGTTAACGGAAGACATTGTAGAAAACGTATCTTTGAACCCACCAGCCAATTTTGAAGACTTTGTTGACGAAAATCTTGAATCTGCGTTATCTTTCGACTCTGAAGTGGAGGAAGCAAACACAGTAGCACCACAGCCTCCGCAGCTATTCAGTCAAGATGCACAATCACCCCCCTCATATCCTGTTCAGAAGAAGGAGTATTTTAATGGCAATTCCGATTTACCATCCGATTCACAAGAAAAGCAGAAACAGCTTACTGAGAACTTAAAACAACAGGCACCCAAGAAACCTCCTAGATTGTTTGGAGATAATATAGGAAACGAAAGCATTCATAAAGAAGAACCCTTGGAGCTCATGAACAATTCTTTTGTGCAAGATGCAGCTGCTTTGGAGTCCCTGTCGTGGAATGGACAGGATAAAAGTCCAATCAAGCCACCAAGTTTGTTTGATGACGAGCTTGAAAGTCTCCCAAGCTTACCTAGTGGTCCTCCACCTCCTAAACCAAGAAGACAAGTTATCAGTCAGGACACAGTTTCCTCGACTTCTTCGTCGCCACTTCTTTCTTGTTGGTTTGATCGGGAATCATCAAGTCATTTACCAAATCTTGAAAGCACGAATCTTATGGCAGAATCTGGATTATCTTCCCCCTCTCATGAACATACTTCCATATTTGGTATACCAGATGCTTTTAGTGACGCGCCTATTCAGCTACTGGATGATTTAGATGATGACATGTCGAGTCTTCCTCCTGCACCTCCACCACCTCGCTCTCAAGTCAACATGTCATCTAGCTGGTCTGTTGAATCTGATAAATCGGTCCCGTCGTCAGGTGGAGAGGCACAACTTACACACATCACCAGTCCTCTACCACACCCTGTCAAACCAGAACGAAAGAATTCCAAGAAAAGGACATTATCCTTGCCAATCAGATCAAAAAGAGGAAGCAAAACATCGGAGCAATCTGGTTCCTCTGGCAAAGGCGATGAACTCCACGAATCACCAGCTTACCCAAGTCAGGTGGATTTTGTTGCTCCTATAACTGCAAGCGATGATAATCAAGCCCATTCATTGACGCATGATGAGCCACCCGAAGATGACATGGAAAGCTTACCCCCAGCCCCTCCTCCACCGAGGATTTCACCTCTCACAATGGAAAGTTTGGAAAGTTTTGGAGATGGTTTACAAGCTGTGAAAGTTAAAACCAGCCCAGGGCATTCAGCCTCTGAAGAAGATAAAGCCAAATCATCATCTGTGCATGCATCTCAATCCTCTCCAAAGAAAAAGAAGAAGTCTTTTCGAAGAAATGTGATAGAGATGGAGGCTGAAGGATCCATACCTGAATTTAGAGGCGTGTCCGTTAAATTCCCTGTTGTACACGAGACAGACCACGCAGCAGACGGTTCCTTGAAGCGAGATGTTACTCCTCCTGAAGATGAAGTTGCGGTCACAGATTCGTCTGATGCAATGTCCCCACCCCCTTTGCCTCCAGAAATGGAGCTTTGGTCAGAGGCGGGAGCAGCAGAAGCAGAGCTTGCTTTCTTGGATCAGATATTGACTCTAGAAGATTTGTCACGCTCTGGCAGTGAGCAGGACAGTGAAGGAGGAAGCTCACCATTCTCCAAGCCACCATCATTGTCCACGGAAATGTCAAATCTGGACACAAAATCCTCACAAAGTAAGGAAGGATCAACAGATAATACGTCACAAGAGACACATGACCACACCTATTCTATGATGTCAACGGAAGGCCTAGGCCAGACCAACATCGCCTTTTCATCACTAGAGGAATCTTCAGACACGGGCTCTGGTGGAATACCTGATTTGGAACCCATGAACTTAAGTTCGTCGATCAATTCAACAGAAGCAAATCCAGAGTCAGAACTTCATTATCCTCCACTTGGTTTGAAAGGGCGAACAGAAAGCAACGCAACACATTTCAAACCAAAAGATAGGCTACTCAAGCAACCAACTGAAGGTGAAGATTCGGCAGAGAATTTCATTAAGCAAAGGAGGCCAGCTCCTCCTATCCCTTCAAGACCTCCTGGTAAGACGAGTGGCGCCCCTCGAAAATCACTTCCAGGGGGTATACCTGTGCTTCCCTCTAAGCCTGATGTTAAACTTAGAGCAACTTCTCCGCCACAAGAATCAACGCAGAAACTCAAGAAAGAACAAGAAAGACTATCGTCTCCAGTGAAGGAGAAGACATCGAAGAAACTGTTCTCAAGAGGTCATAAAGGTAAGGACAAAAAAGCTGATCACGACCATCTGCAATCACCGGACACCTCATTTGACGCCAATCCTGTCGGACGTGAAAGATCGCGATCCTGGACCAAGAAGCTGTTTGGCTTTCGCAGTAGAAGTAGAAGCAAAAACCGAGATAAGCCAAAGGATAGAGAGAACAGGAGTCGATCTGTGTCACCTCCAGGAGGATTGTTTTCCAGATCAAGGAGGTCCAGTCCACCTCTCCCTCCACCCACGACAAAAAAGGATCCTTTGGGTAAACAAAAGAAAGATGCTGGGAGAAAAGACCCGGTTTATGAAGACGTTGAAAAACCAATATTCAATGAAACCAAATTTCTCTCACAAACATTGCCATCTACTTTTAAATCAAGTGATCTATCCACACAGATGAAAAACTATGTAGAAAGAAACAACAACAACAAATTTGGTGCGTTAGCAACAAAAGATGAAGACATGAGGACTGAAGTGGCGACAAATGAAATAAATTTTCAACAAACTGAAGATGGCAGTTCAATAGAACAAGATGAATCTTGCAGTGAGAATGCTGATTTGGATCATGAAGAGAAGGAATATGAAATTGATATTGAAGGTGTAAGTTTGTTCACTGACGATGATGATGTGACGGAATCTCATGTTTATGCGGGTGTGGATACATCCCTTGCAAACAGGCCACCTTCCCCGAAACGTGAAAAACAACCTAACACTAGCACCGTGATAACAGCTGAATATGAGGAGCGTAAAGCCGTCAAAGATAACTTGCCAACGAAATCTCCTTATAAACCTCCTGTTCCAAAAAAGCCCACTTTCCTGAAGTCTGTCGGTACCCACAGTAGACAACAACAAGAAACTATGGACGAACTTAAACAGAAAATTAGCAAAGAAAGAATGGAAACGTCACCATTAATAACTGAGGATCTTGACTCTGACACTGAAGGTAAAGCCATTGAGGACAGTAACGTTTTGCTATCGCCTGGTCCACCAAATTTTAAGGCTGTACCACCTCCGCTGGCAGTACAAGCCAGTTCAAGCCTTGCTGAGAAGGACGACTATAGTACAGCACCACATTGTCCCAATTCACCGGGCCCTCCTAGATTCAAACCTCCCCCACCGCCTTTATCTTTGAAGCCAGTTACTGTACAGAATGTTACCACAGAAGATGAAACATCAGATTCTCCCGTATCCCCGGGTCCTCCTAATTTTAAGCCAGCACCCCCGCCCATAGATTTGCTCGTTCAAAACAAGAGCATCGATTGTGGAAACGAAGACCTGCCAAGAACAACTGGTGCACCTACTGCCAAACCTTTACCTCCAATTCCTGTTCTCGGTAAAAGTAAAAAACAAGAGGACGTATTTCCAGCGGAACAGAGTGCTGCAGAGGACACTTATGATGTAGTTGCGCCAGCACTGCACAATGAAGAGCCTCGAAAAACCAAACCGTTACCTCCAGTCCCTACTGACCTGAACCTGAACCTGAACCTGAACACTACTGGTAACGCCTACAAGCTTACAATTTCAAGACAGAACGCTCAGGAAGTTGACAAAAATGAAGATTTTAATAACCCTGAGATATGGGAACAAAACACTGATCCATCACCTTCACAAATTCTCCTGAATGAATACAATGATTATCCACAGTTGTCACAAGGAGCAGAACTAGTTTTTACACAGAATGTCAGTCATGAGGTGAATGCACATAGTACCGACGACTTCGATAGTTCAGACGTTTCCTCTGAATGGGAAGATACTTGCAGTTCGACTCAAGAATATTCGGGCCAACCTTTGCCTGGTAATAAAGTGGCTAGAAGTGCTAGTTTCTCTGCTGGAGACGTTCCTATGCAGCGTCCCTCTATTATTGATGAGGAGACGAAGCGATCAACTCCTGTTACCAAGCGTCCCCCTCCTTTTTTCCGTAGAAGGTCGTCCTCTTTACCTCAGCTTCTTGCCGACTCACTCACAAGTGAAGCGTCTGGAGGAAAAGTTGGGCAGGCGGATTACTGGCACACCGGAAACCTTCAGCAGCTTATCGACAGCAGGAACCAGGAGGAGGATGTTGAGGAAGGAGTACTAGAGGTGCAGGTGAGTATCGCTGTTGTAAAGGTTCAATTTGTCACAAAAAGTAATCTTTGCTGTTACGTGGATCGAAATCTTATTTTCAAAAAGTTAACAGGAATGGAAGAAGGAGTGACAGGGTAATGGATGGAAGGAGTGAATTTTGGGTCGAAACAACAACTCGAAAATGGCTTTTAACCATTTCCGAGTTTAAAGTAGGGATTGGTTTAAGTAATTTCTTTCTTGTGTTGTGAACGTGGAAAATGCTTGGTGTGTGATAAAGCAAAATGTTTAATGACGGACACTAACTTTGTTCAATCTTTTAAATCAGCAATGCGAAGATAGCTAATTTATTTATTTTTCCTTGATTACAGCTTCTTAAAGAACAGAAATCTATTGGCTTAATGGTCGTGGGAGGTCTAGACACCCATCTAGGCATGCTGTATATAAAAAATATTCAGCCCAACTCTCCAGCCGCCAACTGCAACCGACTCAGAGTTGGAGACCAACTGTTACAGGTCAACGATAATTGTCTTGTGGGAGTAACTCATAGTGAGGCTTTGAACATTCTTAAGAACACACCACCCCTGGTGAAACTCACTGTGGCAAGAAAGAAGGATAATGGAAGTGATAATATTGAACTAGTGGCAGAGGGAAGGCGTGTACCAGATGCTGAAGAACCTATCGTCTCCTCCGCCCGTGAATCGAGCACAATTTCAAAGACTGCGTCAGATCTGCCCCTAAGCCCACCTCTTGACAGGGGCCAACGCCCTAAGTCATTGATAAGCCTTTCGTCCTTTGGGGCGTCATTTAATAATGATTCCTCTCCGGTCTCTCCATGTGGTTCGTTTGATGATTCTGATGACTACATCCCCGCCTACATGGAGCCAGAGAGCCCGACACTGACTCTTCGTCAGGATGACGTTCCTGTGACTATTATTGATGGTATTCCTGGTGAGTATGACTCCACGACAACCGAGGATGAAGAGGAAGTCAAACCTGTCACTAAGAGCGTTACTTGGGCGGTCAGCAGTGACGACGCTAAGGTGTTTACCGTAGAACTCTTGAAAAATGGCCGTGCAGGCTTGGGACTGAGTGTCACTGGGGGAGTGGACACACCTCATGATGACATCATGGTGAGTATCAATGTCGTTCCTAGTATCACCCCTCTCATCTCGCACTTTCTTGTTTCTTACTCGAAAACTTTTGTTGGCCAATCTGAATAACACGTTAACCTTTGTTCGTTGCTTCCTCATGAACGCCTTGTTTATTATAATTCTGTATTCTCGCGTATGGGTTTCTAATTCCCCCTTAACAGCCTTATCGTTCTCCTTCTTTTTTCCTTGGCACTTCTGGTTCTTCTTTTCCTACAGCACTCCTTCCTCTTCATCTCCTTATTTTTCTCGTTACTGTGTTCCCTTCCTCACGCCCGCCTTCTATCGACCTTTTTCCTTACTCCACTCTTTTCTCTATCTCCTTTTGCAGAGTGTGACACTTTACCGTCTTAATTCATTCCTTCCCTCTTCCGTTATTCCCTGTCTCGGTGCGAGTGACGTGCTGGTGGGCGCCGGCTAGAGCTAGAGCTAGAGCTTGAGCTTAAAAAGCCTTGTCGTTGTCACTCTTTGTTACACGGTGGACTGTCAATGAGATTATTAAATTTTTTGAAACCTTAGAGTGCTTTAAGTTAGCTCTATAAGCCATGTGGTAATAAAATCGTGAGCTCTTTCCGACCGTCTCTTTTTTTTAGGTGCGGCAAATTCTCTCCAACAGTGTCACAGCTGACAATGGACATATCAAGAAGGGAGATATCCTATTGTCTGTCAACGGCAAGTCCTTCAAAGGATTGACAAATTTAGAAGCCTTAACTCTTCTCAAAAACACTCCTGAGCGGGTTACTCTTGTAGTAAGCCGGCCATTAGGACACAGACAACAATCTAAAGCGATGACTCTTCTTCGAAACAAAAGTCCTAACAAAGAAATTACTTCTGATTCCGATGCTTGGCCTACGAAGGAAGAATTGACTAAGAAGAAAAACATGGCCAACTCAAACAATACCACACCGCCAACTCTAGAGAAAATTCCATTAGATGTGGTGAAACATAATGGAGAACACTCCACCTTCGATCGTCTAAAGAAGAGATTCTTCTCCAATGGTGGACCGATAAGACTGCAAAAAGTGCCTCATGGGCCCTCTGTGACCGAATTAACGCTCGAAAAGGGGGCCTCTGGATTAGGGTTCTCTTTGGGTGGGGGTCAGGATTCGCTCTATGGTGATGCTCCGATTCATGTGAGGTATGTGTTCAAGGAAAGCGTGGCCGGGCGGAGTGGTGCTCTGAAGCCTGGGGACGAAATCATTGAAGTGAATGGACAAAAGGTTGCATACATGGCGAATGTGGATGTACTTGAGCTGATTAGAAAATTGCCATACGGACCCGTAGTTATGAAGATAAGACGGAAATAACACAAGGCGTGGCTGTTATTTATTTACACAGCTGGCCAATCGTACCACGAATGCGGGAAAGGATCAAACAAACCGCACGGTCAGAAATTACAAGACGCGCCTAGTGCGCGAAAAGAGAAGAATCCTTGTTCACAATTGAACTCAACAACATTATTTAATTGATTGCCAAAATTAATCTGAAATACCATAAGTTTACCTCACCTCGCTTGCTGTTTGGTCCAGAAAACTCCCGCCAACCTCTCAAACAATTAGATTCAAAACGAAAACCAACTTGTTTTGCTCGTGTTTTATTCGTGCTTTATGCTGCACATGCCTTCCACAAGGTTTATGGCACTGTTCACCTTAATCTGATTGGTAGTTTTGATAGCGTATGATTTGGTTCACCACACTCCATTGAAAAGCAATCTATTTCAGAACCTGATTGGCTGGGAAACGTTCTGGCTTTGATTGATTCCAGCAGTTCAGATATTTTTAACCAAACACTAAGCTTACCTATATCGCACCTAAGTGGGTGCATATGCACGTCGTTGCTGGTAGGTTGTTTGGGTGAAACGTTTTGCCGTGACATTAGAGTAAGAGGTAAAATTCTACTGCATTTCGTACTGAAAATCTAATTGATACAAAGTCAACAATTTATTTGTTTTACTGTAATTTAAATGTTGACTTTCGCTGATTCCAATTAAAAATTTACCATATGAGATTTTCGTAATTTTTATTGTCTTAACTACACGATAGGACTAATTTCAATTGTATATACTTTCTGAGAGAAGCGCCCAACCATATGCAATCAGATGGATACATGTCAACGTGCTTTTGAAAGAAAAGGTAGCACTTTTTATATCAGCTTTCAAAGCATTAGTTATAATTTATTCGGACAAAAGTGTTACCTCGTTATTTCATCGGTCATTTCAGTAATAATATAATCAGTGAGAGAGAAATTTATATTATGATCAACTAAGGGTTTGTGCTGGGTACAAGCATTTCATCTGTGTCAAATATTGTACATCTTATCAATGAATAGCTGTAAATAAAATTATTTAATTTTTTTAGATTTTGTACACGTGATTATGGTTGTATTCCTTTAGGAGGCTGATCTAGCCTGACATCCTAACTGTGATTCTTCCAGGATGAGCAAGGGAAAAATTTCCCTTGACGAAAGAGTTTTTCATTCAGCCTGAGCTTATCTCCCTTGCCAGGTTACCCCTACTCCCCCAGCATTTGGCCCTCCCCCCTTCCCTCTCTTTCCTTTTGACTATCACTCACCCCCTTAGTACAAGTTTCTTTCTCTCCACAACCTTCTGCCGTTGTAAAACATCAAAAGATGGCAAGCTACCAGCTTCACTTAGATAGTAACATGCATCTGCTCACCAAAACTGCTCCTGCTCTGTATGCCAACCTATTAGATAAGGACCTTCCAGTTGTAATGAAATGCATCTCTTTTCACAGGTTACAAAGTTACATAACTCTAACCAGAACTGGTGAAGAGAAATCAACATTTACTTTTTTCTCTACTGGATAAATCCACAATGAATAACCTTTAGAAGTCTGGCAAAGACAAAAAGTCTTTAATTTTTTGGCAAGAATTCTACTATAATATTTGGTGTTCTTATCAAGGTTGGTACCTGGCTGACTTAAATCTTAAAACACCAATTCAACAGTTTAACAGTTAAGAACAGCTAACATTACTGTACATATTGATTACAGTCAGCTTTTCTCTAACAGATATCAAAATGACTGAAAACTCTTATGGTTTCCCAAAAACCTGGCTAGAACATCAATGGTTTCTCTAAGCATTGATATTTAAGAATGCAAAACGAAAAAGCCATTCTCTGGGTCTTTACATTTGTCAAAAAATCAGTAATGTGAAGGTTTATATCAAGTTCAAGTCATAATTTCCAGACATAAATATGACAATTCTACAGTGCTCTTCCACAATTTCTGTGGCAGAAGAGAGTTTCTGTAGGGGAAGGAGAATTTTTAGAAGGCAATTGTTTGGTACTCTTATGGATAAAACGTCTTCCAGACATATACACTCTATATTTCATAGCTTTCCTTTTAACAAGCCCATCTGAATCTCCTCTCTGTCTTCATATTCTAATAGCAAACTACATACCAGCTACCTTGAATACCTATCACTAGCAGGGTAAAACAGAAATGCTGCTACTCTGTTGCTTGTTAATGATCTCAGGTATAATAATTACAATGTTCCCTTTAAATTATTCCCCATTGGCTTTGAATGTATACAGGAAGAGCTAAATACGATATTACTCAGCTATTTATTAGGTATTAATTAGTATGAACAATGTATTTTTACAATTAATAGTATTAAAAATAACAATACTTCAATCGTGATTGTTCAGCTTATCTATGAAACATTTCACAAAGTCCCCGATGTGTATATTTTTTCTGACAAATATCCAAATTAATCATTTAAAACATCCATGAAGTATGCTAGAAGTCCATAATAAACAGAAACAACACAAGACTAAAAAACACTCAATTCCTTTCTTAAAATCCATTCCTTTGGCCCTAATTACTGTCCTCAACTGTACCTTCAACTACCTTACATGACTAATCATAGACCAACAAGAAAGTGTTCATTACTTGTGTGTATACAAGCCCTTTGAAAAAGGACACAAAGAGAGCAAACAGCTTTTCATGTTTAAGAGTACTCAGCTTTGGGTAAGCAATTATAATGCAACCCAACTAACCTACACTAATTTTGAAACAATGAATGAATACCTAAATGAAAAAAAAAAAAGAAAAAAAAAATGGCTTGAGCACATTTCCATGTTCTCTGAGTTGCTTACTTCAAGGAGTTATGCCATAGTTTGTGCCCAATCAAAAGTTTATGCTGAGCATGTACAGGAGATTACCTTGTTTCACCATCCTTGTTCATGATCCATTACTCTTCCCACATAGGTATTTTTCTATTTCATCACACTAATATTTTGTGACTTCTCTGATGCTGAAGGCAATATTGCGTGATAGAGATAATAGATTGAAATGTCATGGCAGAACTCCTTCAAGCAACACATGTCTGTGAAAAGTGATTTTATGCACCAGATGAATCCTACCTACATTTACCCACAGTACTTTATTTAATAAATGCAGAAATAACACACCACATGACCTCATTAGCATTTGGTTTCTGTGCTTGTTCTTCTGGTTCAAGATCTAAAAGGTCCTTAACACGTTTCATTGCTAGTTCATAATCGTCATCTGACAGTGGAGCAAATGCATTCTCCAGAACATCTGAGGAGTGAGCAAGATAGATAAGTGACAAAGTCCTCTTATCCATTCGATGAGGATCATTCACCCATTTTGATAAAACAGCCTCTTGCACTTTGCGCACTACTCTTTGTTTGGAAACAGAATCTACAAGAGGGTGGGTAGTCATGTCAAACAGGAGGAAATTCTGTTTCTCAGTTGTAAGAACACCTTTTTCCACAAGATTCTTTGCCAGACGTTCTCGGACATTTCTCAGCTGATATCTAAGCTTCAGAGGGTTCCAAGTCTCACCTGTCAAAGAAATAACAGTGGAAGGTCTCAAAGGTATTTCCACAAAAATCTCAATCTAAAACATTTTAGAACTAAAAAACTGCTTCTAGCAAAAACATGTATGATCAAGCCATTTTTTCTCTTTGGTAAGTTTTTCAAACTATTCTTTATAAATGAATAAAGTGTAATGTATGGTATAGAAGCACTCTTTACCCCAAAATTTTTCTTTGAAAAATGCACCAGTGTATACTTAACACTTGGCACTGTCTATTGTACAGTTTACATTTTCAAATTGCTACAGCTTTTACAGGTAATATCTAAATACCAATTCTCAGCACTGTCTACTGTACAATTTGTGCAGCTTTAGCCATGAAAATTTTGTACAAATGAAACAATTCACCCTTGCTGATATTTTTCTTTCTTCTCATAAAGATTAAGCTTTGAAGTGTATTGGTGTATTAACATTGTGTAGAGACATTCTTTTTTTGTTCACACCAAGGAGTCAGTATAGGAGACTCTCTAGACCCCTAATATTGTTTTAATTCTAGGGTAACTATTGCTAGGAAGTTCAACATTGAACTGGACAACTGCAACACTTCTGATTACAAGAAAAAACATTTGAAAAAAGGACAACTTGAAACATAGGACTTAGGGCAAGATATCTACAAATCTTACACAAATTAGAATTCCACCAAGCATACATTCTTTACCTCTACATCATAGAATAAAAGAGGTAATAATAACACAATTTAAACCATAAATAAACAAATGGTGGCAATGTTTAACGTGTATGGTACTGTGGTTTCAGGCAGAAGCACGCACTAATGTCTTTCTATCGAAAACCTAATTCTGTAGCAATGGCCAAAGTAGTCACAGTTCTATTCCAAAAGTTAAGGTATCCCATGGATAAATCATATTAGAAAACTTACTCCAGGGTGAATATTTGATTATAAACAGCAATATGTTAAATAGTGACACGTTAAAATATCTCCAGGGCCAACAGATCTCATTACCATATGACCTAAAAGAATTCAGCTTTTTCGGAGAAACCTTCCAGGCTTCTACAGGGCTAAAGAGGTTGTGAATCTCAAAACACAACGCCTGACACACAAACCGTAGATCGTCACGGAAAAAAACAGATAAAATATTTGTCATTGTCATCGCCAGAAAACGAATAGAATTGTTTTGCGCGGCTGTGATTATAAAACATACGATAGCTACAACGTTCGCTCGAAACACAAAGTTAAATGTATTTGAGTTATAGCGAGAAAATCGAACCTCTCTAAGAATATGGCATAAATAATGTGATGGTGTTTCGTTTAATAAACTACAATCGACTTACCACTAAGAAGTTCTATCCAGTTTTGCGCCGTATCAGGCGGATCAGTTTCTTTAATATGTTTCAAGGCCTCGTCCAGCAAAACATCACCCGTTAGATTATCATTCTTGAAAAGAACACGTCTGTTAAGCAAGCTTTTCCGTCGCATTCCCGTTTTCTCGAGTTCAATTCTTCCTCTAAGACCCAGTTCAATCATCATACATCCGCGCAAGCCCGAAGAAATACAGTCATTCCAAAACGACGTGTAACCCTAATTGGAGAAGCGAAACTCTCCGTTAACAAAGACCTAAAAAATTTACACCAAGAACAGTTTTAAAAAGACTACCTCTTTGTCTTTTAGTCCTAACAGAAGCACTTCTTCCATCAGTGTGAGTCTAGTCTCTTTCCTATCACCAGATTCCCCGTCGCTTTCGTAACCTTCATTTCCTTCGATGTCAGGGTTATCTTCTGGCATTATTCCGCTCGAAGCTGTGCTGCGTTGAACTAACTGCCCTGTTCTTCTGGTTGCCATTTTCAACCGAAAAAGAACTAAAAAAGCAGAGATGACGGCCGGTCACGAGAAAAGTACCATTAACTCCTTTCCTGTTTAGCCAATATGGCCGTGTTGACCAGTTTACAATAGTGATAGATCGAAGTGACCTGTGGGTAATAAGCCACACACTCTACCTTCCCACCCGACCCTGTAGTCGGCAGCTTTGATTATACTAAATATTCTGCATTTTTCGAGATTCAAAATATCACTAAGACATCCTACCACTTCATCATGTAATTTCTTCAGGAGATAAATTATTCGGTGCTTTACAAACTCATTTAGGCTGCATCGTCTCCAGGTTACTTATCTGTGCATGTGTTTTCGGATACAATTTTTAATTTTGGCAGTTCACACTGACGTAGAGATTTTATTTTTAATTGAAAACATCGCTGCCACATCACTTCAAACGGACCCCGGGACCTTAAAGCTGATCAAACAATAATGTACAGATCAAGAGCATGCAGATAAAGGCCTTCCATTATCAAAAAAAAAAAAGGAAAAAAAGGCTAATATTATACAAGGTTGATTATTCAGACCTTAACATTCAGATTTATTACAAGTTAATGTTCTGTAGATAGTTATATTAGCATAGCTACACTACGTCATTTCTGCATATCTTTTGTGCATCCCTCAGTGGAAATTAAAGAAAGTCAATTTAGAAATGGCGTGCCAGAAAAACCCGGATGAAACTTCCACCAATTAAGCAAAAAGGAAAATAAGGTCAATTGAAAAATTAAGCAATATTTAAAATGCAGAGCGGAAATAATGTCTTATCAAAAAATGTCAGCAAAAATTAATTGATTGACCAGCGAGATCGGAATACTCAGGAAACAATTCAAATATATTCGGGGAACGGGACTTTTGATTTAAGATATTCGTGCGTCTCTGCACTGTCGATCTTTATATCAAGAAAATATTTCTTCACTTTTAAAGAAATATATAAACTTTATTTTAAAACAACAGCTGCCGTAACACCCGAGGGCTTCGTGAACCGTTTAACGTGTGCTAGTAGGAAAACACACAGGTAAAACACAGATATGTTTTTAGGGCAATGTTTTAAGAATTTTGAGTGTGCCACGGAATTTTATGTCTCAGGACTTTCAGTTTCATTTACATGGTGACATATCTCTTTCCTTTATGGTTCGATATAATTTTTTTCTTGAGTAATCACCTAAATTATTCAATTCGTAATTGGACCAGTGTTTGATAACGGCCCTTGAGCCCAGTTATTTTAAAAATTCTAACAAAACAGAAATCAACCCACTTACTAGAGGCAATTCTTCTTAATTTGAGGGAAACTTTAACAAAAGAGAATGCATGTAAATATAAACAGGTGTATATTTGAGAGCCTTACAGAAGCCGTCTTGATGGGCATGTTGAAAAGATGTGGAATAAGATCAATGAAAGCAATTTACTGCTCTATTTGCCAAGAAAATTTGCAGTGGAGTAAGTTTTAATTCAATCGCTTAGGTAATTTTTGCCATTTTTTTTTCTTGTATCTGGGGACGTTTTCAGTGTTCAAAAAAATTTAAATGAACGCGTAACGACTCAAGGTACGAGTGTTTTCAATACGACCACCACATCCGGGAACAATTACGAGATATTGTTCATGCCACTCAAACATAAAATTCAAATCTCCTCCCCTTGTGTAATATCCTCTATATTTTCGTCCCTCCAATATATCAGTTAATTCTGACGATTACAACCCACTCCTTTTTCTTACACATTCCTTAAAAACAAGAAATTGTTTTCTTTCTTTTTATTCTTCCTTTTTCGACGATTTTCGATATTTTTTTTTAGTTGTGTTAGCCTCTAACTTGGACCCAGAATTATCCACTTTAGTAAGCATTAGTGTACGTGACTAAAAACACAGTTGAAGTGGAACAAGTCTTCTGATTAATTAGGAGAAGACATCAATTATCTTTCTCGCGCGATTCTGTGCGTGATCCTGTTATGAAAAATGAGCAGAGTAAAAGGGGTCTAAGGAATGATCGTGGGGGGGAGGGGAAGGGGGATAAGGAGGAGGCCGATGCTATTTTCCCCCTAAGGTTCGAAGTGCTCTGAGATATATTGCAAAGGGGGCAAGAATATAATTTCCAAGGCGTCTAAGGTATGACTGTGGGGGGAGGGGAGGCGATGCTATTTTTACCTACGGTTCGAACCTCCCCAAAAGGTTATAGCGGGTTTCGCCCATAACGAGTTTCGCACATATCGTTTCGCCCAGAACGAGAATGGTTTCGCCCAGAACAATAAAGGTTTCGCCCATAAGTAAAACTTCTACACTCTCACTCGGAAAACGTCAACCTTATAAACGTTTGTATGCACAGAATGAAGAAAAGTGACTTGACCTGAGATCATGAAATTTTGAAACAACAAGTTACTGGCACGAAAAGGCATAATTTTCACTGTGGAGCTAAGTTAAGGTAATTCGACGAAATGCAGAGACGTCCGGGGTAAAAAGCATTGCTATGGGCATCACTTTTCTTCTCGAGAATTAAATTAAACGCTTTTGAAAAACGATGGAACATATTTCGTTGCCTCTTTTGTACACGGAAGATAAGTTCCGAACCCAGCCATGTGAATACGGTTTCAAAATATCGATTAAAGATTGTATTTCAAAACGGCAACATATAAAAAAGATAGAAACTATCAAGTTCATCCATTCTTTACTATACGAAGCGTTAAAAAAAGCTTTAACTTAAATCGGCTTTCTCGTTATGGGCAAACGCTTCTTGGGCGAAACTCGTTATTAATACCCCCATATAATGATTCATTCTCTACGTGGTTATATAATGATTCAAGTTGAATTGAATTATACACCGATGCCTCTTAACTGGTTCTTACCAGGAGCCCATTACTTTAACTTTAATCTATTGGAGGTCAGACGCAAAGATGGCGTCTTTATTAACGACAGTTTGTTTTTTACCTTCTAAAACAAATAGACTCCATGTTTCCGCAACGTAATAGACTACAGATTACGTCTAAATGCAATAAATACATTACTGACACACTTAGCTGCGCCTCGTGTGCCACGTTTCGGTTCTTAACTCAGTTTGACGTCATCTGTGATCTATCACTGAACAGACGCACAGCAACGTGGAATCCATTTTTAAGTGGTGCGAGTGGCCGGCTGATGCCTGTGCGTCCTGTATGCATTTTCGAGCTACCGTTGCATGGTTGCATCAGTAAGTAGCGCCCTGACTCGATTGCAATGAAGAAAGGGCTAGAACAAGGTGCCAACACTATAGCAAACTGCCAGAAATACAGAACTCTGAATCCGTGCTCAAATCAATGCAAAGACGGTTTGAATAGAAATACGGATAGAGATGATAAGTTGAATGTTTGAAGTTTGACGGTGTTAAGGTTCATAAGCTACAGTGTTACAAATGCTTTTCTTACATCTCGATAATTTTTTTTACTCACAATTTCTGGCTCATTTCAGCTTGCCTCTATTTCACTTTTTTTTCAACTGTTTCTTGGTTCTACTTGTTCTTCTACTTGTTCTTCGCTAGACAGTTTCTTGACGGTTTGCCGAAGTTTGCGAAAACTCTGTGAAAATTACTCCGCAGGTCAATATCCATAACTTTTTTTAAACTATCTTTCATAGTTTCTTTTTTTTAGTGGTCGGCATATTTTCAAGAAGTATCTGTTGTTACCTTCGGAATTACTTCCCAAGACTATTACAGGAAACACATTGCCACCTGAGTCCATCCTGGAAACCAGCAGACCATTAAGCTGAGTAAATAAATCACACGAAGGATTTGACCCAGACTTTGTAGTCCTTTGACTATGCACGAGAGAGGTCTGAAACGGTTTGGGTCCCTTTAACATTTTCTACTTTCAACGGATGTTGATACGGCATTTATTGCACACTGAAAAACTTTAGCAGAAACTAAAGCAGTTTTTCTCATTTTTTGTGACAAATGTTTTTTATCATAAGCAACAAAACACGGAAGACAAAGTTTCTGCGGGGCTTTTGACCAGCGGGTAGTCGCTTAGGAAATTCCAAAGCCATTACCTAACTTCCTTCCAGGCTTAGAGAAAAACAAAATTAGAAATTAACAGAAAATTATGCCCTGACACAATAATCTGTAAAAATGCGTGTTATCTGTATCACTAAACACGTCGGCAGATGAAAGCTTTCGAGCATGCAAACCTAAACTGCTTCGTCTAGGGGTTGTTTTCTGATATTGAAAGAGTTGTTGATAAGTCTTTTTGTGTTATGGTAATTAAACGAATGAATTGCGAAATCTCTTTTATTCATCTAACAAAAGAATTCCAGCAGCTCAATGACCCTTCCGTTTCATGCACTGTTTAACGCACGTCTGAGTTGTTTATATGCTTAACAGAGAGCTAAGTGAGTTATAATGATAGGTATGTCGCTTGACGACGATTGGAAAAATTTGAGAAAAGTTGCCCGAAACTTTTTCAACTCCTCAACAACAGCATTAGCTGACTCAAGCTCACAAGAGTATCATTTACTCTCATTAGAGATTGATTGACAAAAATTTCAGTTTAAGGAAACAAATACAAAAAGACTGTTTGCTTTGAACGCCGTCAATAATCTGAATTACACAAAAAAGCCGGCCAAAACGTCAAAATGTTTAAACAAGTTCGCTCGCGTTTGAGTCTTTCGCACAAGGAGCCGTTGGAAATCGTGTTCGACCCTCCCAGCCAATTCACGGATTTGAATGGGGCAGCCATGGACTTCCAGCACAATCTTCCAAGACCAGAGTAAGAACTAGATAAGTTTTTGTCCTGTTTGTCCTGTTTGGTGGGATTACCCACTAAATTTTGGTATTTTACGACGAGTTCCAGCAGTTTTTGTTTGCTTTTTTGGCACCGGTCAGTTAAATTCACATACTTGCAAACTTGCACCTTTCTATCGACGGTAAAATGTTTCTTTCGACTTTATACATGGTTGAGGTCACGTCTTTACGATTTGTTTTGGTTAAACAGGCTGCTTTATTGGAGAACTGTTACTTTGCTGAACAGAAAAGATTGGGGTTGAGCCAGATTGATTTCCATTTTAAATTGCACACAGACGCTCAACTCAAAGTTTTTCTATTTGTTTAAATTACCAATTTTGCATAATATTCAGTCATAAAAATGAAGTACTCCACACTTTCTCAACCGCTTGGTTGACTGCCGGGCAACACAGCTAGTTTAGCCTTAGAATTGTGCAAGTGTACTATTTTTGAGTTAGGTTGGGTACATGCAGTTTCTGCGAACTCCAGTCAAAACTCAAAATAGCCTTGTTTTTAAAATATAGCTTTAAACATGCAGCGGTTGAGATCGCATTACTTAATACGTAGAGATACCGATCTGAATATTATATTTGATAAGTATAATTGATCCTCAGATAAATACGGATTGATTAGAGAACGATTAAAATGATTATAAATTCAAAAGAATTCCGTACGGATTGCCGCCTTAAAATAAGTTCTCAGCTCTACCATTAATCAGCTCAACTCGATTGATAATTCAAGAATTTTCTTCAATTTTCAGTCGAAGGTACGCTTCAAATTCGAAAAGCACAAGTCTCCTAGTTATAGACACTAGCTCAAAAGGAGAAACACTGGTCTTCTGGTCACAGATATTAGCTCAGAGTTTTGTATAATGACATCTACAACTCGAGTTGAATGACGTAAAAAGTATTAAGTGTTTTCAGCGCTGGAGGTCACAATAGTAGCGTAAAGATTAAATTATCTCTCTCAGTGCCTTTGCAATATTTGCGTGTTGCCATTAAGGTTGTCAAAAATATCACAGTAGATTAATATACTGTCGAAACCAAAAAAATCTTGGCTTCGTTATATAAAACTAAATCGGGAATTTTATCATTTTTAAAAAATCATTTTCTATTCTCGTCTATTTTCAATGGTCATAAGTTTTATCAGTCTGTAAACTTACAGATCATTGTTTTTTTAGACTCTTTATTTCCTTTCTATAGTGTTCTCCTGACAGACATTGATCGAAAAATGTTGAAACTAATTCCAATATATATCAACGAGTAATTTCCTTCCCTCGTGTGAATTTCGAGAAAATCATATTTTATGACCAGGAGCTGCAAAAAAAGAGAGGAAAGCACTCATTTTTATTAGGAATAACTTCGTCATTTTTCTCGTGTGAGGCTATTTTTTATCTCTGACTTGTTGTCGGTCTTCTTACAAAGCTTTTGTGTTTTGTTCCTTTGCTTACACACAATATAAATAATATAAAATTTGGCTGCAAAGTTGGAAAAATAAATATTATCACAGGTTAAATCTTTTGCATTTGTTATAAAAAATGTTCGCTTTTATGAGAAAAATTAAAAGCAGGGAGTTTAGAAGTTAGTTAAATTTGCATATTTTCTTTTGATTTTGCTTAGTTGATGTCCTTTCCATTTTCCTAAAATATTTCGAAACTCCTAAATTTGTAAACATCCGTTAAAGTGGAATCCAAGTTGCTGGCGCGGTTACCTAGACACAGAGTGTGAATAAGATCAGTTGACATGAATATGAAGAACATCTTGCAGTAAACTGAGCTTCGATAGGATATTGCCGCGAGAAAATAGCTTATTTATCCATGGGGTAAACTGGTCTTTTTTTTTACTTCAGAAAGTGGTCATAATTTAAACGGGAGTATATTTTGATTTCGTATCGATGTATTTCCTCAACAGGGAGCAACCGGTATTTTCGACACGGGCCCATGTATTCCAGATTGATCCTGCAACAAAAAAGAGCTGGCTACCGTGTTCCAAGCAGGCGGTAACTGTATCATTTTACTATGATCCTAACCAAGGAACACACCGAATCATATCTGTTGATGGCACAAAGGTGAGAAAATAGCGTTTCTCGCGAGATAGGTCGCCTTTTGTTTATCAAGTGAATCTTTATTTATTCGCTATTCTTAGAAACAACTGCGTTGTGATATCTTGTTAATCCCAGTCATTTCTTGTTCACTAATCATGGACAATTATTGCTGGAGACTGTTTGGTGCGAAGTTTTCACAAAGGAAGTTTCTTTGGTTGAAGTTTTGTTGTATTTTCCTGTTATGAAGGAAGTCAGTTTAGTCGCTTCAAACAATATGGCAACTAGCCAGAACTGAAGTGTCCCACAATTAATTGTCTCCCGACTGAAACTATATATTTTCAGAAAAAATACAGAAGTTTTAATTGCTAGACAACAAGCGCTTTGGAGTAGCTTTTTGAAGTTATAATCTTGAAAATTTAGTGTAATCACTCGACAAGGAAATAAATTTTATGCATTCCTGAAGTGCAGCAAATGTAATGCGTAACAAGAAGCCTTGTCAAAGGCTAGTTTGATTTTTTTTTGCCTATTTTGCATGTAGACGTCGTGTGTCTATGAATTAATGCTTGCATAAATTTTCCCTCATCTCTCCGTTTAAGAAAACAGCGTAATTAAAAATTGTGAGTTAAGGTAATTTATCAACTCATTTGAAGCCTTGATGATGAATGGAACAATAAAATTCGGCATGTAAACATTTTATTCGTTACGGTTTCACGATTTTGAATTGAAAATTTTTAAAAAACGGAAACGAAAAGTTGAGCTTATTGCTTTAAAATTAATTGTGCGTTAGGCTTCATTTTGTTTCCACTAATTTACTTCACAATGGACTTTTTGGTTATTTTTAATGCATGTACGTATTGATGTTACAAGGTACAACGTTCCGTGTGAACTCAAATTTGTAAATTGATGTTTGACGAGGACAACGATGAAGCCAGTTATTTGTAAATTGTCATCGTTTTTGCACTTTTATGATGTTAACAAAATTGAAGTCAAATATGTTTTCAACTATGAATGTGTGAATACTGTATTGATTGAGCTGCTTTTGGTCATTATTGGAAACTGGAAACTGAATCAAACTGTCTCCTTTGAAGTAATGATTTATTTGGTATTTTTTCGTGTGATAGTTGTATGATGAAATTTACTCACATGACACTTCAAATAGCATAACCTGAGGACTCATTTGAAAATGTTTGTGTGTCATGACAACCTGGCTAGATTTAGTTTCAATGGATATTTTTATACATATCTTCAAGTAAAAACAAACAAAGAGAATTTCCACCTCCTCAACCCATAGGACACAAATACATGATAGGCCCCCCTCCCAAACCTCACAGGTGTTATGATCCTAATTTAAGCACCTTTAACTACCTTATTATATATTTTTCTTCCAAATGCTCAAACTGATGAATTTCTTGAAGAAAGGTTATGTGTCATGTCCTAACCCATCAAAGTCAAATTTTATCAAATGTTCCTTCCTGGTGAGAGAATTCAGGGAGATTTTATAGGAAAGTAGATTTGTATGTGACATAGAGTATCAATATTCTGTTTCAGGTTTACTTTGGTGTGCCAAGATAATAAAAGGTTTTTGTTATTCCTTTTCAGGCAATTATCAACAGTACTGTATTAGCAAACATGACATTTACTAAGACATCACAGAAGTTTGGTCAGTGGTCAGATCCCAGGGCAAACACTGTGTTTGGATTAGGATTTCCATCAGAAGCTGAACTCAACAAGGTTAGGGAAACTAAGTCTGCTCCCCATTTTTTTTGCTTTAGATTTCTAAGTAAAAGCCATAGTGTAATTTACTATTATATGTGTTTGAGTTTTCACAACTGCCACTTTGGAAGGTCAACTCAGCATACAATACTGCAGAAGTTCTGAATCTTATTCTGATTTCTTTAGCAAGAAGTGGCTTGGAATAAAGCTATTACTTCTGTGCAGGATGGTATTTTATTGCAGTCAGTTTTCTTTCTTCTCATCTCTTTTACTCTTGACAACATGCAGTGATTGTAAGGAGAAATTTCTTAGTGATCACTCCTAGGAGTGAAAAGTCCTATGTTGGAACCATGGGGGTACCAAGTCATTCAACAAACTGAATGAAGTCAGGAATGAAAGTTTAAACTCTGACTATAGATTACCCAATCCTGCTTTGAAGCAAAGGGCTGTAATACTGTCCATTAAAGCTTTCAGCTGCAGCTCTCATATTAAGTCTTAACTTTTACCTCTTGTAACAATTAGTTTGCAGAGAAGTTTAAAGAAGCTAAGGGTGGCACAAAAACAGTTGTGAGCAACAACAGTGGAAACTCCAATTCTCCTGCAGCACCTGTTAACGCGGTTACTACTAATGGCACCTCAAGTGGATCAGTAAATGGAACAACTGAGTCCCCTCACAGTACACCTGGTGCTGGTCACAAATCTCCATCACTAAAAAGTAACTCATCTGCGAGCAGTGGTGAGGTAGGTACAAATATTTTTGTGTTAGAAGAGGCAGCAAAGCAGGATCTTGAACCCATTTCACATCCAAATTTTTGGAACATTCACACATCGCATCTACTTTAAATAGTATTTTGTGCATCACAAATTTTAAAAAAAAAAAACTTTAAATCTCTCTTTACCCTGCTTTTCTGTAAAATTTATATGTAATGTATTATTTTTAGGCATAATTCACATTGTTTGTAAACTAATTGCCTCCTTGCTAGGTGGTCACTGTAACTTAAAAGTTGCCCTTCAATTTAATTTTTTTGATAATATTTTTATCAGAAAGCTTCTGTTTGTAATATATTTATCAATCTTGCCAAATAGTGATCAGATAATCTGGCAAAAATATGTGGGGTTACAGAAACTTTTAACCAAAGAGAATTCCAAATTCACTCCTTTTCCTTTCGATAAGTTTGTCATGAACTCATTGCCAAATTTGTATTAAGGGTCCTGAAATTTGATAATAGCAATTTTTCTTTGATGTGCCATTGTTTGAAAACTGATTTAAATGATACTTAAATAATGGAAAAATGAGATTAATTTCTGATCAGCAGTATTTAAATCACCTAGGCTTCTTTTGTGACTTTCAGGTTATGTCTAAAAACACTGGTATGTTAATCTACTTTAAATTGTATGCTTTCTGTGAGAAGTTGGCCATTGTATGCACAGCTTGAATCAAATTTTGGGCACTAGGATTGAATTGTTTTTGAGTGCTTGAAGAATTGAGAATTCCAGAGTTTTAAAAGGGGATTCCATCATTGTTAAAATTTGAATGTTAATATATTTTAAGATGTAATGATTTATTCAATTTTATGTGCTATTCTGATGTGATCTCTTTGTTTTTTAACCTGGAGGGCTTGTTTGTGCTTTTTAAAAGGTTCTTACCTGTTTTAGATGTTAAAGAACTTTCTTTATCTTGCAAATGCAGGTTGATGGTTGCTTACAAATATAGAATTTTTGAACATTTCTTTTGAGGGAGCTGAATCCTTTTCAATCAGAGATTTACTTTATCATCCAATGAATCAAATATTGGCCAGATTAAAAGTCATGGTTGAATGACTGTTTTCTTAATTAACATCAAAGTGCTAATGAAAACTACTAAACAGAAGATCTGAAAGCTGTTTTCATTTAAGTGTGATTCTTCAAAGCATTTTGACTACTATCACATTTTATGAATTATTAACCTGTCATTGTTTTGACATATTTTTGTTAGAATAACAACCATATTTTTACAATAAAGTTTACTTACTTGGACTCCAAGCTAATATCAAGTGCAAAACTTTGCTTACCCCCCTCAGTTGTAACAATAAAACCAGTGACTATTTTCACTTAAAAATACAATGTGGCAAATTTTTGCTGGTAAATTACTTGAGTCTTTAGCATGATTTCACTGCATACGTTTAAAAAAGGTCATGAGAGATTATAATAATTTTAAAAAGACAAATTTAAGCTTATTACTGATTGAGTCATGATTGCTGTGGGCAACACTCCTGTGCTAAACTTTAAGGGTTTATAAGCTGCATGTTAAAACTGTTGGTTTATACACCTTTGTATATGTTCTGATATCAATATTGTGTAAATAACAGCAGGTCAGTAATTGTTGTCATTTTTGACAGATGACTGGTTATAAGAGGTGATTTAACAAAAGGCTTTGTATGGATCCTTTGCAAGACTACTAAAAATAATAAAAAATTTCAGTAGCTATATCATCATGCAAGCCACATATCTTAAATACGGGTTTTTTTTCTGAATCACTTCAACTTACTTAATGCATCTGTTCAATTGAGAAAGAACAAAATGGAAAAGTTTGTGAAAAGAAAAGTATCTTTGCCAGCATCATTGAAGCTGAATATTCCTGTAAAGGTACATTTACAAATTCTAAATTACGTTCCTCACTTTTTGAATACACCGAGCAGGATGCATGACTGTGCAAATTTTGGTTGTTTTCATGAAAGATACATTGAAGCCATTTGAGTGAGGCATAGTTTGTATTTATTACTGAAAGTTTTGTCAAAGGATTCCTTTTCTATTCATTTTGATGTATAGTCAATTTTTGGTTGGAGGTGCATGTCAAAGTGCTTGCTAAATTTTGCCAGAAGTTTACAGAGGTCTAACTTTCTTTGAAAGTGGATATGTTACATATTTAGTCGCCTTTTCAAGTTTGTTCTGTTTGTGCCCAGAAATGATCTAAGTACACCATATAAAATAAGTTCTTATGTATACATGTAGCTGTATCTTGCTTCCTGTAAAGTTGAAAACAAAACTTTCCCTTGCTAGATATGATAAGTTGTTCATTGTGGCCAGGTAAACTTGTAAGTAATGACAGAGCATTCTTGTCCAGCTGAGTTGATTTAGATGATCTTAAACGTTTTTACATTTTAGGATGAATCAAAAGAATCATCTGGGATCAGTCATAAACTGATTGGAAATACCGAATCTCAATTGAAATATGAGAATGATAGATTGAAGATGGCCCTTGCTCAGAGGTAGGTGAAATGAAAGTTGGGCATTTTTCACACACTTAATGCAGTGTAGCATGAAAACTGAACAGTAAAAATTTATAAATTTTGGTCACCATCAAACTTCAAAACTTTGATCAAGTAAAACAAACAACCTTTTTATGCAACATGTTCATCGCTCTGATGAAGGAGTCTGGTTGTCTGTGTATGAATCTAACTCCACAAATATTACTGCAGTTCAACCAATGCTAAAAAATGGGAGACAGAGCTGACAACATTGAAGAATAACAATGCAAGGTTAACAGCAGCACTTCAGGAAAGCACAACTAATGTTGAAGAGTGGAAAAAGCAGCTGAATGCCTATAAGGAAGAAAATGGTAAACTCAGGAAAAAGGTGAGCTATTTAAAATATGTTAAGAACATTTTAAGTTTTCATGTTATCGATTTTTTCTGATAAAACTTCGTGGGCACAAATATGTTTTGGGCCAGAATCAGAGTCATTTTAGCCTGAGCTGCGAGGTGATCCTGAGAAGAGCCCGAAAATATTTCTCCTGAAGAGTGTAAACTGCATTACTACTATAATTATCACTTGAGAGGGCTTCAAGGAAATAAGAACTGAAAAAAAATGACAACAAAACAGTCTGAACAATGATGCCCATGCATGCAAGGGGGCTAAAATTCATTTTAGTCAGCTAAAATCTATATTTTAGCCTATAAAATGCTCCACTGACCAGCAAAGTGATAACAATGTCTGTTTTATGTCTCAGGTTTCAGCATCATCTATCTTGGACTTAAATGTACAGTTTAGTCTTAAGTGATTTACCAAGTATCAGAGTTGTTTCTATTGTTGTTTTTTTATGAAATAGAAAGAAATTTGATATCTTTAAGTTTTATTATTATTAATTATTAACTAATATAGTGCAGATATCACCATTGAGGTATTTTTATCAATATATTTTCCATATTCTCACAAGAAAACTTATATAACTTGATGTCTAATAGCTGAGACTTTTTTAAGTGCTAGCTCACATGTATTTCCTTTTTTGAAAGGTCCATGAATTAGAATCTTCTGACCAAGTAAGTGAGAAATATAATTCCCTGACACAAGAGAAACTCACCCTGGATGGCCGTGTGATTCAACTTGAGAGCATGGTCAGACAGAAGGACGAGGTGAGAGAAGCAAGACGCTGCATGTTGTCAGAATACAGCATGCTGCCTGTTTACTCAAGCATGGTTATCCAGATGTAGTACAATGAAGCATGTTCTGATTCTGTCAAACCTAACCATGAAGTGACCTTTTGCAGTTCAACAAGGCTATTTATACCAATTTTGTTTCTTTACTCTGCAGGAAATCACCTCTCTGAGACAAGCAAATGCAGAACTCACAAACCAGAACCAGGTTGGTTATGAAATCAATGAAATGGACTACTCCCTGGAAGGAATGATGTGTAGCATGTGATTAGCTACTCACACCTTAATCCTCAATCAGCTCATGGCTTAACCTCCTCACACACTTTTCTTCCATCTGAGACGTTTCATTTTCAATCTTAACTTTAACGCCAGCATGTTTATTCTCCATACTTTTCTTCATCCATTTCCAATGGCACTGAAAATTAGAATTTTGTGAGAGATCAAGAGCTTTTCAAGTTTGTGACCATTTCCTAACAATTCTGATGAGCCTTATGTTCAATTTAGTACTGGTAACTTGGAGAGAAATTAGATGCTAGTCATCCTTAGGGATGAAGGTGACCCAAACAGGGGGCTATTAGTGGCAGAGTATCCCAGCTATATGTTCAGTAGCAAGTAGATTTCATTGTTCCATGTGGCAATTGGAAGCTGGGGCAGTTGCACACCAGGAGGCCTCCAAAATTGAATCCTTATATTTCATCTTTGAGTCAAGAGCATTCATTTCTAAATAACATGTTTTTTTCTCTTTTAGACATTGCAGCTTGATTATGAAAGACTGCAGTTAAAAACAGCAGAGATGAGCTCACGCTTGAATGAGACAGCTTTGAATGAAACACGTGTAAAAGAGCTAACTGAATTGCAGCAAGAGCTTGCTTACAAAGCTGAGGAGATTAATGCTCTCAGCACACGACTTGCAGCAAGCCTGGAGATGACACCTCCTTTAGCAGAAAGTTGAATTGTAATTGAGTGAATTTCTAGCTTTTTACAGCTTTAGCTTTCAGCTGCTAAACAGCAAAATAATTTATTTATAGAATAATAATAATCAAATGATTAGTAGGCGATCAGCTCTTTAAATTGCTGAAGTGTGGCATATAACTTTAGTTAACCTAAGATAATTATGTATGTGTGGTCTACAAATTTGGTGGGCATGATTGTAAACAACATGACCTTCATGCAAATTACATACTTTCTGGCCTGGGAAACTACATGTATGTTGTGGAATTCTCATTTAACAGCTGTACCACACAGTAGTGGTTGATTCTTGTTATACAAGGTTTCATTTTGAAGTAAAATGTTCACTATTGTGTGAGGTTTCAGTAGTTAAGTAATTTTGAAGCTGTTATCTGGAGTATTTAGATGTTATACTCAACACAAAGATTTAAAAGATGCTTCAAAATAGCAGTAGAACCTTTTCTTTTTTGTAATCAATTTTTTCTTTTTAGGCTAGAGGGAAAAGTTTTTTTGGAATTGAATTGTATTAATGTACAAATCTGTGTATATTGATACTGTAAGTAACAATAGTACATCGCCTAATGGTGACATTTAAACCAGTGTGTGATTTCATTAGGGTCAAATTTTTTACTAAAATGATGACAAGAGAGAACTTGTAAAAAAAGTCATCTGAGTACTTCAAATAAAATTCAGTAGTGGGTAACTGATGGTGATACTTAGCTTTACACCATTACCTAAAGTAAACAGTATCAATGAAAATTGCACTGCTCCTTGCCTTTACATGGGTTATTATTACTTAGAATTACAGGGCTAGGGTCCTCTGGTCCAGGCACTTGTAAACAATTGCCAATGGAAAGAAAAACAAAAAGGGTGGACGAGAGAGCCCCCAAAAAACAACTGCTGCAAACTGCAGCAAATGCAGAGTAGTAGAATAAATCTGAAGCTGAGCCTGTGGCCATGGACTTGGCTAACTTGTCATTGAACTAAATCTACCACTGACAATGAGGGGGAGGGATTGGAGTGTTATTATAAATAAGCTGAAATACAACCATCATGTTGTCCCTTCCACCTCTGTGGCCATTCACAGTGTTGGAAAGGGAATAGAGGAGGTGATATCAGGAGAAATTGGTTGCAAAATACAAATTTAAAACTAATCAGCCTTCGAACCAAAGCTGTCCATAAGTACAGCAGCATTTTGTGCTTTCCATGACCCAAAGTAACAAAGAGTATTTCTTCTCACCCATGGATGGGATGGTAGTCCATCTCAAAATACCCTCCTACCTCCAACCCCCACCACCCCTTCCTGTTTCCCCGGTATTCCCTTACTCTTTGGCAGTAACCATTAATACTCCTGGGTGTAGAGAGAGGCACTGTGAGAATAAAGTATCTTGCCCAAGAACAGAACAATGACCCTTCCAATTAGAGTTTCAAACCTGCACTTCTTGATATGAAGTCCTGTGCAAAGGCATTTAGGCATCTTGGATCTTCCACAAAATAAAAATTTAAGAGAAGTTTTATTGTGTTGCAAGTGGATTGTTTATTTCTGAATCAATAAATTCTAAGTCAATTAATCTTCCATCAATTCAAGTCTTAAATAAGGTTTGCAGTCATCATCCAATTACTTTATATTCTTGACTGATGAAGTTCTTCTGTAATCAACTAACTATTAACAACACTAGTGATTAGAATCACAAATAAATAGTTTGACTGTAACCATAATATTTCCATAATTTATGTACACTAAGTTACAGCTCATGAAAACTTTCTAAAACGTTTTTTCTCTATCTTAAAAGGTGATCAATAAATAAGTTATTCATTCTTAACTGAGAATTTGTCGATCTTCTACAGAGGAGGGTGCTAACTCAGCCTTTCTCTCTGCATTAGTTCAAGTGAACAAGTTGTGAAGTCAAAATGGAGAAGAAATGACTGCATTTTTTAAAAAATCCAAAATACCAGTTAGTGATTTACACTCTGAATGCATTTACAGTTGAATCCCTACAGGCTGAAAAGGTCAAATCTTATGCTTGTATACAGTGATTTCATGTCACTACCTTAAAGTTTTTCTAACAAATTACAAATTGCAACTTGCTTCATCTTTTACATCCGGAATTGGTGTCATCTTGAAGCATATGGAAAATACTGGAATAAGTGGTAAGGTTTGGCTATCACTTGGAGTGACATTCTTCAAAGTTGTTGAAAACACAGAAATCATAGGTTGGCTACAAAATAAACGACAAAAACAACTTGGGTGGCCACCATTTCAATAAATAAATAAGAAAATAAATGCACCAAACAGAGTGCAAAGTGGAAAAATGTATGCATATCATTCTGTACAGAGAGATACAAATTTTTTTGTACAAAACATATTAAATGCTAATCCATGAAGCACCACTAAATATTCTAAAATATAAATACATCTACAGGGATACCAGATTTATTTGTTCTATGTTGTTGAGTGTGACAAAGGTACAACAAGATTTGAGTGCAGATATCTGTATGGAGCACTGATGTGAAAGACTACTTATGAAAGCCTGCCAGAGATGTGGAGAAAATGGAAATGTAGAATCCCTCTTGAAAAAATTTATTCTGCAACAAATACAAACAAGATAGTCAGCAACAATGTCAAATCTATTTTGACCATGTTACTTAGAGATATTCTCAAAGCTGAAGAGGCTAAAGAATTCCTGCCCTCTTCTAGAGGGTTAACACTTTCAATCACGAGTAACCAATGAATAATTTCTCCCTAAAACATGTCTATATACAGCCAAGCAATATGTTATGAGAAGAGGGCAAAAAATAAACTTAAAGTATGATTTAACCTCATATCCTCAGAGCCTGGATTGTAAGAAATGTATGATAGACAAAAAGGAGAATTGACATTGAGATCCTGGTGTGAAAGGAATAATTACACAAAAGCCCCATTCAGATGGTCATGAAAGTTGATGCTAGATGACTAGGTCATGCAACGAGATTGCATTATTGTAAACAAATACAATGTGCGCTGAAGTCAGACTATTCTGTGGCATTTGAAATTTTACTCAAAAAGTTGCAAGTTGAAGATACTGAAGCCTACCATGATATGATGAGAATAAACCATGAGACATTCTGAAAAATTTTGACAGCTATTTTAGTCATTTTACCATCTGCCATTTCAGTTTGAGCCTGGTTTTGGCTTAACTGTTTACCCAAAAACTATCATTCACTATCATCTGCTCATTCAAACCACAAAAACTATCATCAACTATCATGATGAATTTGAGCATAGTCGATGATAGCACATGATAGTTTGTGTTGTAATGATGGTTGAAACTATCATGACCCTTTGAACAGGGCTTGACTCAACAACTCCCATAATGTTTTCACCAGGATGCAAAGAACACTACAAAGCTATAGATATGTCTATTGAACAAAAAAGTATTTCCTGCCCTGTACCATTACTGGTGTAGTTATGAAAGATAAAAAAATATATATGGCATGATGTCAGAAGAATAACCAGTCCTGGCTTGCATTACTGGGAAATAAATTTATGCATTATTAATAGCAAAAATCAGACCTAATTACCTTTAGATGTCTGGGCATTTAATGACATCCTTCAACAACAACAATGATATGACAAGGAAAACAACATAGAGCTGGAACATGGCACCACCAAGCAGTTTGGACAATCTCCATTTACTGACAGCAATTGCGATAACTACAGCTATCAACATGATGAAGAGCAAAAACACAGAACAGAAGAGACCTGAGCTGTTGACAACCATAGCCTTGCCAACATTTGCAGCACTGTAAATCAACCATGGTAGAGGCAGCCTGGGCAGAAAAATTAATATTAAATATGTCAATACATGCAAAGTTGAAAAAGAGTTTCTCTAAGCCATTAAAGATCTTCCTATTGCTAAAAGAGTTTTTGTAAGGTAGCTACATGTACCAAGGAGTTCCTACTATTCTTTATTACCTTTGAAAACTGCACTGCTATTTTTGGTACATAATGCCATTTAAATCAAGCTTATATGTTCCTCTTACCCTATTGTGACATCAAACAAGTTGCTGCCAATAGAACTAGACACAGCCATGTCACCAAAGCCTTTCCTTGCCACTAAAACACTAGTAATCAGATCAGGTATACTGGTTCCTGCTGCTAAGAATGTTAATCCCATGATCTGGAAAAGGAAAGAACATGACTGTCTCATCCAAATTCCAAGGAAATGATTTCATTGAGTAACTCAAGCCACTAAGAAAAATTGTACCTCAGCTACAAAAAATAGTTGAAACCTACAATCAACAGCAAAGCATGTTCACACAAATTGAATTCCCTGCTCCTTTATTGACAGGTCAATGAAAATACAGTGCCAAACACTGTACTTTATCCTGTTGGAAATTAACCCTTTAACTCCCATGCGTGACTAAGAGAGAATTTCTCCATACCATATCAATACCATATCAAACAGATGAGTAACAAGAATAAAGGGAAATACCAATCAGGGGATTATTAGTTGATCAAATAAAAAGTTCTCAAAACTAACATCATAAGAATTGTATGGTAGACAGTAAGGAAATTTACTGATTACATCAACCCTTCCCATCCTGATCTTTTGGGAGCTTTTGTTTCTTTTCATTGGATAATTGCTAGAGGAAGATAAAAGGATGCTGATAAGGGAGGGGAGGGTGTGAAAGAGAAGGAAGAGGCAGACCCAGCAGGAGAATTAAAAATGAGATCTTCAGAGTGAAAAGTTAAAATATTATTCTCTTACCTCTGTTTCAATCCCAAGAGTACTTCCAACTTCAGTCGCCCACCAAACCATTAAATAAGAAAACCCAACGATCCAAAGCATGGACCAGACAAAACACCAAAGATACAAGTACCTTTTTCCCTAAAAATAAAATCAAAACCTTAATCTTTCATACCATGCATGAGGAATCAAAATTAATGTTGTATTGCTGGCCTAATAGGGTCATGCCTGGTTAGTTGATTTATAAAATTTATCATTGTGCGACTTTTTCTCAGCACATGCAGAATTGACCTAGTCATGGCTTCACAACAATACTAGAAGAAGAGCAAGGCCAAGCTTTCAGAAAAAAGACACACCATGGACAACAATTTTTTCCTCTCCCTCTTTGCAGAATAGAGAATATTTTGACAGAGTGTTGCAAACCAAAAACAAAAATAATCAAAACAGCAAATCATAACAAAGGAAAATATAACTTGGATCCAATGTGAAACGTGGGAAAACGCAGGTAATCAAGTTGCAATTGGTTTTAGTTTAGAATCTGATTGCTATGAGACCTGGACCAATCAACCAGCAAGGAAGAGCAAAGCAAAAGCAATCTCTGATTATTCACAACACTCAATTGAAAATTTACTTTAAATACGAGTCAGTGTACATGTGTGGTGCAGTTTCTTAACTCCTCAAGCATAATTCTGCATAATGCCAGCAATGGACAAACCATACACTGCATGTAACTTACTGGTCTTTTGATATCCTGAGCTGTGTAATACATACAGAACACAACAGGTGCTCTGATGATATAAACTATTCTATCTTTCCAACCTGAAGGCCAGCTTAAATCTATAGGTTCACTCTCATCGTCCAGCTTTAAAGAGAAGAAATCATTTGTTAGGCAACAAACACACAAGGCATTGTAAAAGGTATTACACCATAGATTAATATTTGCAAATCAGTGAAACTATTGCAGTCTTGTCCTACCCTACCTTAATTGATAAATGCATTAAATGAATAGTTGACAATTAATTAATCCTTGATTTGATTTTTCTTATCCATACAAAAGCGATAAATTTAAAGTATACCATTGCTTGGCCATAATCTTCATAAAGTAAAACACCCTGATTCAGTTTTCCTTTCTTTTGAAAGATATGTAGAACATGCACAAGAAAAATGTTAGGATACTCACAGCAGCTTCTCTGGCACTCTCAACATCTACTAATTGTTGATGTGAAGAAAGCTGTAACCCTGTTGTTTGTGAGCTTGGCGACTCTGTTGAAGTTCTATATACATTACTACTATGTTCACTCATGTCAAGTACCCTACCAGGTACATGATTTTCATCAGGGACAATATTTACAAGAGGAAGACTGGAATCCCCATTGACTAAACTAGAATCCCTGGATGTTACATCTCCATTTTTAATCTGATATGATGAGTCTCTTCTCTGTCCATCAAAAGCACTATAGCCATCAACATTAACTGTGTGATTGCCAAACGATGAAGCCTGAGCTGAGTCTACTTGAACATTCATGGAACTATTTACAGCTGGAAAATTAAGTTGTCGTTGATTTTCCAAAGAAGAGAATTTATTCACATCTTGAGTTGAAGATATAGCAGATGAGTCTCTCTCTATGCCAACTTTGACTTTAACACATTTGAGTTTCTTGAGTTTGTTGACTTTCACTGCAACAGATGCTATTAAGAACAGAAGAGGAAACAAATCATTGTAAATTCAATAAAAAATCAATTAATTTGATAATATTATATCAACCCCTTGACACATACAGGTGACTAAAATCTAATTTCTCCTTACCATAACACCCCTGAATCAAACATTAAGATCACTAGAGTAAAGGAAACAAAGCTCTTGATTATAAAACACATTCTCCTTGTCAACATCTTATGAAATGAATAGAGAACAGTATGGAGAATGTGCATACTGATATTAGGGTTTAAAGAGTTTACTGAAATGGAAGAGATATATAGAAACAGAGAGAGAGGGAGAAGTAGATGTTGCAATATAACTCCCTTTGCAGTTTTTTTCAGCTCACTCCTCTGATTGAAAAATACAAGATGAAAAATTACCCTCTTTTGGCATAGAAAAGAAATGATAAAAAAGTTACCTTCTCCAAGAGGATCTATAGTATGAATCACAAGCTGAAGAGCTCCATAGCGGAAACAGGGAAGACCATTGCTCTCCTTGGATGTTGTGCAAAGGTTTTCCACTGCCTTCTATTGAGTTGGAAAAGAAAATTTGTGAGAATCATTCTAACAATAATTTAATGAATTTGAAGCTAATTAAAAAAATCACCACCAAGATTTTTTTCAATCACTAAGAATTGGTCTGAAATGTCTTCAGTTGATCTTTGTGCAGACAGTGATTGTTTCAAAATTCAAACTTGGGAATCTCACAAATTTTGAAGTTATGAAATTTCGTGCCAAGTGGCACTCTTATCATGAGTAAGGTTGCTACTTTTCATCTCAGTCAAAGATTACAACATCTAATTGTAGAGAGAACCCTCCCAACAAAACAGACATTTAAAGCAGATGATGACCGCATGGAAAGTTATAATTTTTTTAAGAACATAATTTCATTATCTGACTTGATAATGATCATCTAAAAATATAGCACTCCTTCACACAAATTAACACCAAAAGCCTTAAAAACAACATTCAATGGCTCAAGTCTATTATACAAGATAATTCATATCTTGATTTCCTGTTAATTTTTTGGTAAAATCAGATAATATAAGTACTTCATGAATTTGACTTAACACCTGAAATTTTTTTATGGTGCAGTACTGTTTTCATTAACTAGGTTGGTTAAAAAAAGAAAAACAAAACAACAAAAAGGCCAATCCAAGTTGAAACTTCAAAGTCAAATCTCTCATCACAGAGAAGCTTTCATCAGCTATTTAAAAAAAAAAAAACCTAACAATTTTAGGAAGGGTAGAAAACAAATGTGCCAGCATATTCTGTCTAAATCTAAAATTATCAGAAAATATTTGTGAACATACAACAAAAAAAAAAAAGCTTGTAGTCCTTCAGATATAATGCTGTTGAAAAATGTGCTACACATTTTAAAATAAGCCAAAACAGATCACATTTCAGTGACATGTCCCTGACTCCTAAAACTAATTAGCAAATGCTTTCATTTGAAATTCAAATGGAGAGCCAAAGCAGAAAAGTAAACAGAGAAAGACCACGTAGCACAATTGAGTGGAAGGAAGGGAGATAACCTAGGTTTAATTTGTAACATGTCTTTTCTCACAAGGGATTTATGGTTTCTACCTCAGTTTACAAGACAAAGGGTAAAGGAGTACACTCCATGCTGGATGAATGACCATACAAACCTTATTGTTTTCCACTAAACATACTCATGCAAGAACAAAAGAGAATTGCTTTCTACCCCATTATTATAGGAGAAAGTGTTTCTCAGACAAGAGAGGTTCATATTATTTTAACACAATCACATCTCAAACCAAATTATAATGAGCACTTTGCCTCTAAAATGGATTTTTACAAACCTGGGGAGGTTGCCATATAATTAATTTTGCCTCAGTATTTACTTATGTTTTAAATTCTTAGCTGATTAAGTCAAAGGGGATTGCAAGATATTAAAAGGATCAGCGAGACTTGCTACACAAGAAAATGCCAAAAGTTCAAGATGAAATCGTAATAAGCTCACTGGAGGGATGTGTGAATCTTCTAAACCCTATCTATATTCTAAAATCTCATCTACAATCTCCTATAATAAGTATTTCGAGACCCGTAAGTGTTTACAAATGGATAATCTAAAGATTAAATATAAAAAATCTTTGTTTACATGCTGGAAGTGATACCATAAAGCTCAGTATTTTTTGTAACTATAGAGACTGCACGAAAGTATTGATCAATTCATCAAAAATATAGTCACTACCTGCAGTTGCAATTTTTCCATATAAGACTTTCCGTGTAAACTATAGAAAAACTTTGGTAAAAAGCGGCAACGTCTGTTAAATTTAAAAACTCTCTGAGATGGCAATCATCACGTCATTAACTTGACCATATTGATTTCTATAAAATGAATATTTTTGTTTAATATTAAAAAGACCTGAAATAGGCAAGGGGTAGGAAAAACATAAGTGTCAATGAACAAAACATTTTCGCTCGATTGAGTTTTCTTACGTAACATGTAAAACTATCCAATTTTAAAATTACTTCGTCCAGACGAGAAACAATTTGCTTCTCAAAACCTCCCATTTTGTACATTAAGCATAATGATCCAAGGTGCGAACTAAGCGAAGATTTAAGCTTACTTTAAAGTCAAATGAATGCTGTACAAAATAAAAAGGTGCAAAAAAATTGCTTTCAAAATGACCTGTCGAAAGAGTTTCTCATATTGTTTAAATTTCCGTTTCATGTTTATTTTGAAGCGCTGATTCCATCTGAAAATTATCGTAGACAGCTCTTCTTTCTTTGGGCTTCCTGAAATTAACTTAGCATCAAAGAGTTTCAATTAAAACCCCCATTGACATATAACAGGATTTAAAATGCGGTAAAAGTATTCATTCCTTGAAAATTAAGGCTAAAAATGAATTCACCTACCTCAAGAGAAGAATCTTGTTCACCGACTTTGGCTCCTTTAGAGTGCAAAGAGCTCACTTTGTTCGATTTAAGCTTACTTTTCACTAATTTCTCTATTTTGTGGTTGAATTTCATAAATGTCACGTATAATAAATAAACTGTAATCATCACCAATGATTCCCACCATTCGATCTCTCCGTTCGAGAAAAATGCTATTAATATGATCAGAGCCACACTGTAGAACATACAGTCGCGAAACAGAGGCCACCATGTTAATTTTAAAAGCTCCTTTGAGAACACCGCACACATGCCTATAACAAACAAGACGTTGAAAACTGCAGATCCAACTATAGTTCCAAAACCAACATTAGAATTAGGTGCGACAAAAACCCCAATGAACGACGTACAAAGTTCGGGCATACTGCCGCCGGCTGCCATAAACGTAGCACCCGCAACGTCCTCTGAAATGCTTAATTTTTCGGTGATAACAGCTAACGCAGGGATGAAGAATTCGTCGCAAGCGATTGACAACGCCAAGAACATGTAACACATACCGATTATGTGCAAAATTACAGCTCCTTTTCGTTTCTCTTCCAGAGTGAAAATATCAGGAGGATATTCTCCTTTATCGTTCGAACTGCTTTCATTGACACTTAACAGTAATCGCTGCTTGCGAACAGTTCTGGCGCCGCCAGCCACTAAAGACAATGTCTTGCCGTCGAACTCGGCAAGGAAGTTTACAGCTCCGCACAGCAACACGGAGGTCACTAAAAAAACATGAGGGCACAGCGTTCGCGGTCTCTGAAACCGTTGCAATATAAACGATCGTTGAAGTCTTAGTGCCATATTTCGGTTTTGTAGAATGTAAACACAGGATAAAGCCACCAGGATTATTCGTTCTGATCTCCGTTCCTATAATGATAAGGTATCCTAGTCGCCGTTTATTTCTCAGGAGACCGAGTTGTTCCCTCGACGCTAAATGGTCGGCTGTTGACGATATTAATACAGTGCTAAAATAACCATTATTCCGCCGCCAAAAATGCGAGAGTACGCGACGACAATCCACAAACGGGATGTACTTGAAGCGGACAGATCATGGTGTGAGTAAAAGCCGATAATATTTCCAATCCACTCGACGAGATGTCGTCAACCGCTACAACAGTAACACTCTTCAAGGAATCCTCTCTCCCCGCCACGGAAATTCTGGGAGGAAAATCAAACCTGTGAGAATTGAATTACCGAGGAAGAAAACCTCGGTTACTCTTTCGATTGGTTCTTTTTCCAAAGCATGTTGCGGGACGTCATTCCTGATTCACCGAGGAAAATAGAAGCAGTTAGAAACCCTTAGCAACTTTATAAACTTCCCCCAAGAAGCAATGCGGTAGGGGGCCATTGTGTTCAACACTGTCATAGGACCTTAATGTTTTTAACGTAAACACTGATTACTGGTGCACCGCTAATTACTTATACTTCACTAGCTGAAAATAGCACAGAAAGGCCAGCCATCTCTTGGGGATAAATATTTTTTGTATTGTATTCTCCTAGTACAATTTTCTGTGCATCTAAATTTAATTATGAAAATATATTTAATCAAAACACGTTATGTTCTTAATTACAAACAGAATAAAACTCTCGAAAGAACCGCCTGCTGTTCTATTTCCGGCTTTTTTCCTTGTATCAAATCATTGATATTGAATTCGTTTATCCAGTTGGGTAGAGATTGTTCCTGCCTCTGACGGCAATTATTCAAAAAAGTAATTTTAGACGCAAATTAGTAGAATAGGGGTGATACCACATTATAAAATGCAAAGGCATTGGAGCGTGGGTTCATCAAATATATGGCTTGTCAGAAATTAAATTATTCTAAAATCGTGCAGTTTGTTTATGCTAAAGGAAAAAGAAAAAAAAGAAAAACCCGTCCTTTCACTTTCTCTTAAAGCTTAACAATTCACAATACATTTATTTCCCAATGCACTCGTTGGCATATATTCGTTGTTCATCGTTCGTCGGATTCGTTGTTCGTCGGTCTTGCTATAGGCAGCTGCTGATTTATTGCTGACACTTATTGGAAACTTTTAGCGGATAATTTTCATATTTTTTTTCTCCCTTGCCCTTCAAAATACTTCCCATCTGTCTAACTTTCTTTACACTCGTTATACCATCTGAGTAAATAGAAATGAAATAATTGTTTCAACAATACAAAGACTATCAGCGCCAAAAAATATTAAAACAAATGATATAGCTTAACCTCTTTCACCCCAGTAATAGCTCTATCGTTTTCTCAGCAACGCCTTCTCTGCGTGACATCTTTGCTTTAAAACTTTTCACAACTGTCCGTCCCATGTATTACATTTGTCGCGGAATTTGCAAATATTCTTCCTAAGCTGAAACTTCAGTCTCGTGTTTCGACCCCAAATTAAGTTGTACTTCAGTCATACCCATTACAATGATAAAATATTTAAGCTAACAAAAGGCAAGTTTGTGTGAGAGATTTCCTTACCGAAAAAGAAAGCAAAAAGGCCGCTCTCTGAACAGTAAAATGTATCTACATGAACAGCGAATATTTACTTCCGCATAGGGAGTGCACGAACAGGCAAACTCTAGTTCATAACACCGCCGCAGTCTTTGAAACTATACTTAGGAACATAAGTGGTATGTCAAATCATAACTGAAGTAGCGTTTCTTTGCTAAATTAACAGGTACTTGCAGTTGTAAGAGTCCCGCCGGATTTTGAGATTTCGCTGGAGTTACTCGTAAACAGCCTGAAGATTAACTCAGTGACTCGATTGTTGTTTGTAAAGGTTTCTGTCCACATCAGTCCATCAGTAATGCCAAAATAATCGATATATACCTTATTCGATGGTTTAACGTATTAAAAATATTCTCTTAATGAGCGCGAATGTTTTACGAGTTGCTTTGTATTTTACGAGCAATGAGCAACATTTCGGCTCGTATTATAGGTTAAACAATCGATTGAGGGATTTATCAATCCATTATAATTTCGCTGTCTTGAACTTTGGCTTCCTACTTTTCGAAATACTTCCCACCGCCTTGCCAGAATGAGCTCTGCATCGATCACATAGGGTTTGGGTAAAAGACGACAACAAAACAAACCGAACCACTAAATGCGCTTAAAACTTCGTTACTCAAACAGGAAAAAACGGGGAAAAAATTTGGATCGTTCACTGAAGTCATTTTGTTGCTCCTTTTTCCTTCGTATTTTTGCCCTATTCTGCAGTATAATAGCGTGGTATATTTTGCGCGATCCGATGCCCTAATATGGTAAAAATGGCGTAATAGTAGAATGATAGAGTTCAGTATACTGGAGGTTCTTCATGAGTGTCTGTGCTCAACGTGATACTTGCTGTAGCATGTTCCAAATTATAAACAGTCTTTCTGGTTACGTGTATCAGTTCGTTAGAACCAAAAAGTTGCTCACGAGCCTCAGGCGAAAGTGATACTGCTTTAAACACATTTCGACTACTTACTGAAGAAACACTCGGAGAAAAGAACATATTTGCTTGATACAATTGCAATTAAATAAGTAGACTTAACAACTTGCCTTACGTGACTGTCAATCGCTCGAAGACTTGTTCCAATCAACAGGAACACTTCCAATCATAGTTTCCCAATTTCATTTTGTGCCGTAGCAAACAGCTCAAATTAATTATTTCATGATTTTCAATAACTAAGTCTGAGAAATACCGCAAATGCTGTTTGAAATGTACGTTATTGTGAACAATTTTTTAATGACTTCCGCCACTGTGCCTGCTTTATGATTGATCACGTGCAACAACCAATCACAGAGCACGTAGTATCCAGTTCAACATAACGTTCACCTGTATTTCCGCATATTCACGCTCATGTATTTCACGTGCGTGTTGTGTTCATTTTAATATTCTTTTTCATTGGACATCACGACGTTCATGACAGGGACATGAAAACCACCTTTAGATCTTCATTTAAAGTCACAATGGATCGTAACGTCACAAACTTACTTATTAGAGCGTTATATCCCGTTGTACGTTACCGTTTCGTACTCGTTAGAAAGCGAACAAGGTTTTTCATGAGACACTATAAGAATGAAAATTTCAAGACTGAAATCAGGAGTTACGCTGAATCGTAATGGATGAATCTTCTAAGCGAAAATTTAAATTTTGAGAAACATATTCCTCAGTGTCTCGAAGTGTCGTTCGAAATAGTACACCGAACATCTCAATTGTCACTGCCACGTCTCCTCGAGAAACTTAATCATCCTGTAAATATTCTGCGGTTTTGGCGTCTCAGAGTCGATATACAGTAGTTAATAATAATGAAACTACACCGGCGTAACAAATACTTACCAGGATTTTGGAATTCACTCAAGAGCTCTAAAGGAAGTCCAAATTCGCCGTTTAACTGTTGACTTTCATCGAGATGGTTGAAGCTAGTTTATGGCAAAACAGTGCTACACAAATTTTTATATGGCTCGGTCTAATTATTAAAAATTAACTGACGTTTACTGTCAATGCATCATCTCTGACTAAACCTTCAGCTCAGGAAGCATAACTGGAAACTCACCTAGGCTCAAATATCTCCAAACACCTGTCGGCCTTCTGTCCCTAACAACTCTGTGTTTCTTCTTTTCTTTAAAGCGTTCAAAAGCAAAATTTCGCAAGGGAATTTCTATGCAGTAAGATGTACACGGATAAATAAAAAACTAGTTTTGCCTTAGGGGCGAAAAATATTTTTTCACCATATTTCCGCCCCAAACTTATATATTTCATTCCAATTTTGCTGATGTCATTCACACAATACCTCACAAAGCCTTTTTGAGATGATGTGTTGACCTAAGGTCTCCTCTTGACAACAGAAACGTGGGCTGTTTTGTCAGAAACAGAAAATGAAAAGGGCCTTAGAAATCTGAACACAATCACCTTAAGAGGCAGCTGTAAGCAGAAAGAAGAAGTAGCACATTAAATCTTGTTAATCTTAGAGAAGATTCACGCATGAATCGGGGGTTGTGTCAACTCCTTTATGGTGGGAATGCTATCAATGAATACAGCAGGTGCTCCAATTCCTAAATTTAATTTTTTAACAGTTTCAGCAGGTTATCGGCATATAGAGAACTACAGTCGCTCAGCATGCTGTTTCGTTGTTGCGATAGTTATAATTTCGAAGTTGATCCAAACAGAAGTGCTGCGTCAAATTATAAACCAGTCGTTGTGAAGAAGGATTCAATTATTGAAGTACTTCCATCGTAGTATTGCCATGGCGACCAAGTCAAAAACATATGCCACCGCCCCCTAGTAACAAATATCTCTGGTGATGAAATTAAGGAACACTTTCTTGTAAAAACAAAAGTCTGAAGACTAGAATTTTCGTCTCCTCTCCAGTTAGAAGTTATGGGAAAAAAAACTGCCCAAAACTTAAATACGTGGGCTCAAGCGAAAAAGTCAACGGGTTGTTTGTTTATTATTCCGTTTAAATTTTAATTTTGAAAATCCTCTATGAGAGTTGAATAAGAAAATAAGAATATTTGACATTGTTGATTGCGAAAGATGTGCAATGATGATTTCATCTTCCCTGAAGTTTAAATTACAAGACACTTGTGGTGACATCGTTGCAGTGAGCGTATTACTCGCTTTTATATCATAGAACAAGTACTGAAAAAAGCCTTTCATTTCACAAGGCTATTTTTAGATTTTTAAGTCAGGTGTTGCTGAGAGACAAATAGATAACTCTCTCTCTCTTATTGTTTCCGTTTTGAACAATTTCATGGTGTTCATGAAACATTGTTTAAGTATTTCTGTGTTTTAACAGAGCACAATAGTCGTGAATTTTGACACTCGCTATCTGTATTTGTGTAAGACTCGTGGCAAAAATTGGCTTAAGTTTGCCTTTGATCACTTAACGATTGGTAAATAGAGAAATTCAGCTTGACTAAAACGTATTGCTTTGGTGCAGTACATCATGGTATGTACCTTCCAAGTAAAAGAGGCTATAAAGTGTTTTTTCGGCAAGGTAGAAAAATGACGATTGGACGAGATGTCTTTACCTTGAAGTGTATTTGCAGTTCTCTAAAGATACGAGAATCATTAAAGGATATTGCCCTACATAACGAAACAGGAACACGAACGGGACAATATTCAATAATGGTCAAACATGGATGGAAAAGATTTAGAAATATGGATGATAGTGAACTTAACAAACATTTTTTCTAAATATGCACGTACTGCGAGCTGGCTCATTCAATTTCCGGTCATCATCAACACAATTTTTAATTGTCATTTTTATTATTTTTATCGTTGCTATTCCTCCATGACGCATAAACGCCAGTAGGGGGTGATTTTAAGAATTTTCTGGCCACATGTTACCCTGAGGAAAAGAAAATTTATCCGTCTCCAATTCTATCCTTCAATTGAAAGGATGTTCTGACAAGTAATCTGTCTTTGTGCTAAAATACGCCAGTGTTGTATATTTATAATTGGCTCAAGTGAGGGGCTCTTGCATTTGGAGGTGTAAACTAACATTTCTAAGTGTCTTCGATTTTTGCACCTTACTTTTGCACGTTCAAAAAATAACTTAAGGTCCATTAAATGAAACAAATTGAGATGTGGGACAGTTTGTTAATTCAAGATTTAATATTCAGCTGTTTTGTCTAAACTGAAAGCTTTAAAGAAGAAGTATGTTTCATACTGTCGAAAATTTGCCGTTCAACAATTAAATTAAATCCAACTATTCAAAAAGCACGCATGAGTTGCGGGCTATCACCAAACATAAACCTGCAAATTGTTTTTACCTGTCAGTACATGACATTGATTAAATGATATCTCGAGGATTCTGTCGCAATAATTTAGAATGTGTTTTCCGCACCACGCCTATTCCAATATATGTCACTTCTTCAGTGTTTTTGCTCAAGAATTTGAGAATTCTTACTATGATCGGACAGGTGGCACGACCGCGTTCATATTGCACCACATACGTACCTTACTAAACAAAATCATAAAGATGTTAATCCACAAAGGTAGATAGCATCAGGCGATTAAGAGTATTTGCAATATTTGTTACTTTGAAGTTGTTTTGAAATGGACAAGGGTTGCCCTAGTTGGTGAAAAGGTTAACAATACGTTACCACGCGACATAGAAAAGTTAATTCGAAAATTCAGCGCCCCGTCGTTGCACTGTGACATATTCCTAAAGCTGAAAAAAAATATCGCATTAAGGGTTTCACGGTTTAGAAAAAAAAAGCAAGCCTGTTTAAAGGCTATAGGTTATAGAGGCTATAAAGATGTTTCATGACAAGACATTTTTCCGTCAACCGCATATATTTGCGCTTAGTTGCCAATGTTACGACTTTGTCTTCCCAATTCGAGTCAGTCCGAGCTATATGAATTTGAAGTAAATTAGTGTTTGGAAGGTCCAAAGATTTGTGCACTGATGGCATAAAAATCTGACATGAAGTGTCGCTTTTCTCTAACGGGCGGTTGACATTTAATTGGAGGAAAACATTTATGACGCGAACGGGTTAAAATGCCACTCAGGAAAAATGAATTAAAACAAATACCGTAATGTTTTGTGGCTTTTTTGACATCTCCAAAAGGCTCATTATTCAAGGCTTACTGGTTTATCCGAAATGATCAAAAATTGGCTAAATTAGTTGGTATATTGCTTGTAAAGATATAACATGGAGAGATACACGAAGCAGTATTTATATCTGTTGCGCGCCAAAGGTTTTCCTTCGTTTCTGAGCCATTTATTGGCCATGCAACTAATGACGATCAATCTCCCTGTACAACCATAAACATCATTTATTTCGAAAGAGCCTGACAAGCATTGACACAGGAAGGAAAAAGAGCTCATTTAGAGAGAGAATTATTTCACGCCGGTTAAATAAGCGTAGCCAAAGTAATCGGTATTAACCGGATGTCTCGAAAATTCTAAGCAACGATTCTGTATCTTGATAGTTTTAGTCAATCAGCAGAACAGACAAAAAAAATAGTAATACTTTTGAATTAGTATCCAACAAGACATCTCAGTTAACATGAACTTTTATGAATAGCAAAGTTCTCAAAAACGAAAATGATTAAATGGCGCAACGAAAAAAACCGCTATACTGAGCGAAATACCTCGCTAAGACCTCTTGTAATCAGTGCTGAATTGTTTATCGAGGTGCAAATTTCATAACTCAAATAATAAACAAGGTTTCCATTAATGCCGTAAAATATTTTAAAAGCTGAATTTATCTAAGGAGGAGTGAATGCTCAAAATTTCCAATAAACCGACAAAAGCGATGTTATTTACACAAGAAGATAACAACGTCGTGTTGATATAAACGCTGTGGAAAAGAAAAGCTTTTACATTCATATTTCTGGACCTGTCCACAACGCCTCGAGGCTTAGCGAAATTGTAGAGAGCTTTGCAGTATATTTTAATAGAAAAGGCCGAGACAAAAAAAAAGTTAAATTTCGCGGTTTCACATCCATATCACTCTACCTTCTCAATCTTTGAAGGTTTACTCTGAATGTAAAATTAGGAGAAACTCCAATTTTATGGTCACAAAACCGTTTCATTTCCCCTGGCTGTTTAATGTTCGAGGCACGGGTGAATTTAACGCGCCTGTTTTAATACCCGCATTTCGATAAATATCTCGCATTTTTGGTAAATAAGAGTATTTCCCAAGGACATTGGCTGAAAATATGGTCTGAATATCTGTTTGAAATGTATTGGAGAATACTCCTTTACGTTCAGGAGGAGCTTGATAAAAATACAAAAGAGATACTCACTAAGTCTTTCGATATTCCGCTTGGGTATTTCAACGTTTTCAGCTTTCGGTTGCCACAGTACATTCGCCTTTCCGACTAGAGAAATCGTGCAAAAACCTGGCGAAACACAAATACAGCGATTGATAAATAATTGATATTAGTCGGCATGTATACATTATGGCATACAATATCGAGAGCGAATTCATAATTAAAATCCAGAGTGACTACATTATAGAAAACACCATTAATCCTTAGACACTTGGAGCTGTCGCTTACTTCGTTTAGAGTTCTTGAGTGCGGACAAAAACACTGAACTGTTGTTATTTAAGTTGATATGGCAAATTTCCTTAAAAAAGAAGTCATAATGCTAAATAGTTGACGGTTTAAAATCGCTTGACTATGAATATTTTCAGCTTGTAAATTATAACATTATAAAATTGGGGAGTTTCAATTATCTCAAAATACGCAATTAGAATAAAGTTTTGTCACCGAAATTGGTAAAAATAAATCTTCTATCCATAGCACTGACTTAATTTTTTCTTGTGAAGTAAAGTAAAGCATTTTCTATCAAGTTTCTGTCTGTGTACTTGCAAAATCACCGTTTTTTTCAAGCATGCACGTTAAACAAGCACAACACCTGCAATGTGCTTTGAGATGAGCAAGTCGCGGAGTACGCATTTATGTAAATATTGCAAATTTAGAGAAGATAGATAAGACAAGATTCTTATTCAGGTGAACAATGGAAACTTTAAGGGGGACGTAAAATCTTGTGTTCGTCTCTTGTAATGCAAGAATAAAAGTTGGTATGGTAACGGGAAAACAAGAGAGAAGCACGAAAAACAACCGGAGATATTTTTCACTTGGGTGGTATAAAAATCTTAACCATTCTCGTAGCAGTCCAATGATAACGTTATTCACAGCACAATGTGTAGAAAACAGAGTGGCTGATGATTTTTACAGGGCTCTCTAAATACTGTAAACCAGACATCTGTTGATGATGTGAAAAAGTCTCAAAAATCACAGCTGCCCCGACACTAGAACAACGCTAAAAGGAAAAATTTAGTCGAAGTGAACTAAGCTATTCGTAACGCGATGGTGAAGATAAAAATAAATTTCATTCTTGGAGAGCGCGAAATGCAACGGGTCGAAGTTAGCTTAAGATTCAAAATCACTTAAAGAGTCAATGAGTATTGTTGATTTAAAATTGTTGTGTGCTTGAAAGAGTTTAGAAGAGTGAACAAGAATACAAATATCAACCCACTGTTGTCAAATAAATATTCCCAAGAGAATAAACAAGCAGCAAAATTACCGCTAAAATGACGTCTCTGAATCTTCTGGAATTGTTTTACTAGACATTGCTCTTAGGGTCCACTTGAAGTTTTACAAGATATCAAACGTTTCCAGTTAATATAATCACGTTTTACGCGTGCTTGCCTAAATTGTTCATTCGTATTAATCCTCCCCTTCCCTCCCCAGCTATTACAATAAAATGTACCTAAAAGCCCCTTACTGAGAAATTTTCCATTTTTGCCAAAGAATACCTTATCCACATCTATCGCTTTAATCTCCTGCCCAGCCCTCTTGCTGACGGAGCTCCCTATCGTTTTTACCGGGAAAATAGTTACCCTCTAGTTGCCCTGGTAAGCAAATGATCGATAAGTTACGTCTCTTGACGTGCTCCTCAATAAGTGTACGTCCGAGGGCGTGATAGCACTGACGCTCAACTTCGAGCCAAGAGCAAAAATGGCTATGTTTAACAATGAAGTTCATCTTTTCAAGGAGCATTTTGCACCTACTTTCGATAGTTTTTGGAATCACCGTTCCTAAACATTGGCGCTCATACTTTTCACTCTGTACGGACCCCGCGCATGCGTCTTCACAAATCATTGAATTTGTAAAACACGTTCCATCATCTGACAGAGAATTTTTCGTTAGATTAACTGCTTACTTTTTCTCTGCTTGGTGCTCAAAGGTTTACTTTTCAACCAGATTTTCCAAATAAAAAGAGGGACCGTGGTTGACATTATCAAATTACGAAAACGGTAATTGATCTCGTCGAGAGCGAATCAAAGAGAATTTTACATTCCGATGATTTACTATCGTGCTACAGAGAACGATATGATGATCCAAACCATTACCAGTAAGCTAGTGACGTGCAACCTGCCAGGATCAGCACGACTCTATAACTTCGAGGTGATGCAATTTCGTACTGGACGCTGGTTTACTGTAGCGCACGGGATGTATTAAAACACGCAGTCAACTCTTTTCAACCAGTCAACCACTTTCAACCGCTCAAGAAGATTCGCTCCTTTCCCATTTGTGTTGTTATTAGCTCCCTGCAATAATCACTTAGACCTGAATGGCCGTTAGGATAACCCTGGGCTTTGATCTAAAGATAATAATTTCTTAGAAAGCACTCTACGTATATCAGGTTACACCACAAAATTTCAAAGTGCACTTTATTCTTATTTACACGAGATCTCTGGTAAAGCTTCTCTCCCTGTCTCTCTCTCTCTTTCTCTCCTTTATACTTATTTCACTGGCTTGTACACGATTGATTTAAATTTGACTATATACAGGTGTCAAACTCTCCAACTTTTTCTCACAGATCACTTTTACTGAGGCTAATAATACAGGAGATGTCCAAACAAATGGAAGATTAACAGAAGAATAAAACTAATTGTGAGGAGATTTTACATAATTTAGCATTTGTGTTTCTCCTTCTGTATCGAGCTAAGGATTAGCAGCAGTACTTAAAAGAACAGTAAAAAAATAGCAAAGTCATTTGAAAAGATCACAGTCAACAGAAAATAATTGTATTTATTTCCTAATCTTGTCCAAGATAGCCATGTTCGGGTGCCTTCGCGTGTAAAAGAAGATATAGCCCTTGCTTCCACTTACATGGCCTTCTTCTGTTTGTGTTACATTGCTGTCATTGAAATTATACCATAGTCCTGAGGAGAAAAATTTCCAGTCATGAGTCCACTGCTATCTAAGAACCACAGACACACCACTCTACCATGACATAGCACAAAAATGATGATTAATAATATCATAACTTTAAGTGTGTTTTCCCCATTAGAAACTTATCATAAATAGTCAAACTTTGGAAGCATCTTGAGTCCTCTTGGCATATTGATATTTTCAGGTTTTTACAATATTATTGCTTAAATTGTAAAAAAAAACCAAACAAACCAAAAAAAAACAAAACAAAAAAATACACAAGAGTTGTGGAGATTTATGCTTAACCTTCCTTTGTATCTGACCAATATGACAAATGCTTCCATCATTAAAAAATAATTTCAAAGAGGTAAGGATCCCAAAGTCTTTCCTTCAAAAGATACTGCTATTCTCTTAAGATTCAAAATTGCTTTCTCACAATTTTCCCTAGCCATGTAACAAAGACACATATCACTACAATACCTATCTTACTTACCATCGTGAAAAGCAAACGTTGTGTAGTGTCCTGCACTAACTCTGCAAACAAACAACAAAAATAATTATGAAAATATTCATTTTGCTGTAAAACTGACACTCCTACAGTTTTAAATCACAGTTAAACTCTTACCCACTGCCATGATGAACAACAACAGCCGCAAGATCAAACAGAAATGCTTTTGGGTTCTCATCCTGATGAGAGAAACGCGTATTATTAAACTGGGCAGAAAGAATTACTTGACAGCACTTTTTCTCTCAGCCTTTTGTGTAACAGCAGTGTGAAACTTTTACTAAAAAAAAAAGCACACTAGGACTTCAATCAGTTCAAAAGAACTGTACATAAAAACCATTACAGGACTTCACCAGAAAAATAAAATTTTTTCAATGTAGATAAGTTGATCTCTTTAATAATAAGACATTGCCAATACCCTATGACCAATTTTCTATTCACAAGATTATTGGTTCTTACCTGGTCTTGTAAACAATAAGGACTCATGTCCAGTCCCTTCATGGGGAACTGTACATATGTATCAACTTTGCTCCGATGGAATGCTTGGAATTTGAAACGCTTGAGATGCAAACACAACACCTACAAAATCATCAAGAACAGGGCGTGAAATTAATTTTTTTTTCTGATAGCCACTTGGCTCCTAAACTTTTCAAAGTGGTAGCCAATTCAAAAAAAGTTGGTCGCCATTTTCAAAGACAAACAAAATATTTCTTTATGCTGTCAGCCTTCTAGATAGACCCTCCAAAATTAAGTTAGGGAAAAGATCTTTAACGTGCTACAAAGTGGACAATAGGATGGATGATATACAACGTTAAAGCTCATCTAAAACCAAGATGGCGTGTAGTTATCGATCGAGATGCATGTGCTACGTTTTGGAAACAAACTTAACGAGGAAGTTTGCTGCGGATTTATCTTTGCAAATCTTTTTAATTCACTATATCTCTTGGTAAGGTTATGATGAAACGTTCTAGTCGCCAATTTGGCGACTAACTTTCAGGATTTGGTTGCCAAAGTAAAAAATTTAGTCGCATTGGCGCCTGTATTAGGCGCAATTTCACACCCTGAAGAATCTATTATACAAGGCTAAATTGTAAGAATAACAGCAAAAAAAGAAAAGGCTTGGAAAAAAGAAAAAGGAAAAATTAACATTGTGGCAAGTTGTTGGTATTGGGTTCAAATCAAACAGCTCAACACAGAAACATATCTAAACCAACTCTCTGAGGGACCAGTAATTGTGATGTGTCAAGGGCTTCTAAAATGGGTTCAGAAGTTTACTGTGTTACATCTACACTTATGATGATAGGGTTTGTGTGTCAGCAATAAAAAAGCAGAGTGATTGAGTAAAAAAAGGGAAATTGTCTCACATTTGGTAGTCTTTTGATCCAAAATTTCTTTGTAGACTTCTGCCTCTTTTTACAATTTGGACAAATGTATAGTTCAGACTCCGCTAGTTCTTCAAGTGATATAAAGTGATACAAGCAATCTGTGTAAGCAAATTGACAAAAGAACATTTTATTAAATTAAAAAAAGTTTGCTTTCTCTATGAAATAACACATCATCTGCACCAAGAATAATAACATAGAATACGATGAGGGTCCTTGATAAATCTTTTCGAGTGGATGCAAGAGCATGCCCAAGGAAACAAAACTTACTGTATATAACTCATGGGGGGTTAGTCTTGTGGATGTAACTTTACTAGAAAGTATTTGATCCTTACCTTGTAGTTGACAAACTTGAGGATCTCTGGTCTTTGATTTTCGTACTTGAAATTCTGCTGGAATTTCCAGTGATAAATCTGTTATTCATAAAAAGAAAGAATTAGTAAGAATCCCCACATTTGCATCTCACTGGTAATTCATCAACCCTTTACACCCTAACATCAGTATGCATATTTTCCTCACTGCCCTCTATACATTTCTTAAGGTGCTGACAAGGAGAATCTGGTGAACAATCAAGAGGTTCTTTAGCTGGTGATAATTTCCTTTGTATTTGTGACCTTTAAGTGTGATTCAGGGGTGATATTATGACGAGAAATTAGATACTAGTCGATCTAAAGTCAATGTTGAGTTAACGCAAAATAAACTACTAACCTAAAAATGGATCATACTTCTTTGAATGTGTTCCACAAACTAAACATTTGACCTTGAAAAAGAAAAGATAAAATAAATATAAGTAAAAACCTTAATAGGAAATACATCATCAAAGCATGGCTTTCTAAACTACTGTGACAACTCCATTTCCAACATACTTCACTATGTAATAGACCACCAAAGATCCCTGTAATGATGGTTTCTGTTGTTCCGAAACTTTTTGGAGACAGAAGAAGTTCAGTGTGTACTCTGTCCAAAAGATAGTGCATGAATTCATGGGCATCTTGTTGTTGGTAGCCTCTGCATTAAAAGAGATGATTCAAATTAGAATCACAACTTTCACTAACAAATGTAGTAGCAGGAAAATACTACATTCACTCAAAGAGGCACTTCTCTCAAATAAACGCTATATTTGAGGCAGAAATATTCCATATTCTCCACCGCTTGTATACACCCAGGTACAAAATCCAGAAATCCCCAAGATCCAAACCTTAATGGAACCGCTGGGTAAATTTCCTCATCATCTCATCACTATCATAGGTAACAGACAAGTAACTTGCCTGAATCTTGGGACTACTTTCCACACAACAGAGAAAAGTGCATCAGGAGAGTGTGTGACCCCTCCACCCTGCCAAAGTGCACACAATACTTTTCGTAATTCTTCCACAACAGATCTGTACAGGTCAAGACAAGGTAATAAATATGATAAGTTTCCAATTACAAAGGAATTTTTTGACAATTATAGCTGCAGCATGCCAACTCAAAGTTTGTGTGAGTTGTGTATTAAATTAATCCTTGGTCTGAATTTTTAAACTAGCATCTATTTCATCAATTTTAGGGGACAGCTTTTAATCACTTCAGATTATGAATCTGAATACAAGAAAATGGAAAACAACAATTAACATGGTTTGAAAATATTTAAAACCACAAAATTTGAATTCGTAAGATTTACCTTGTAAAGATCAAAAGATAGACTGTTACCAGTAAATAGCTTTTGATCCTGCAACACCAAGATCTCTTTATTATGTCTCCATACTATCTGCTTAGAATCTTAGTTCAAAGCATTTTAAATTGGAATGAAAGTAAATCCCCTAATTGATATTTTTCTTTATTCTCATCACTTTTCTGCTTGGAATTGTAATGATGTTGTAAGAAGAAAGTATACCTTCGTCACTGTGGGCAGTGAAAACAGTTTTCTTACCCTTCATCTGTTTTCCTGCTTCTGGTAAAGTAGGGCTGTTTTCCACATGAGTTATCTGTTCTGAGCTCAAACGCAGGAAGGTCTTTGAAATAACAGCTGAATGATTGAATGTTACTGCATCAAGGAAACAAGAAATACAAAAATTATAAATTTTACCGTCTTGCGTCAGTATGCCTACTCTCCATACTGTTCTCTACACATTTCCTAAGGCGCCACCAATAAGGAGAATTTGTTGGACAATCATGAATTTCTTTAGTTATTGAACAATTCATTTATTCTTGTGACCCTAATGTTTAACTAACGGATGATATAGCAAGGAGAAATGAGGTGCTAATCACCCCTAGGGGCTAGGGGTTAGCAACATGTACTAATTCTCAAACAATATAGAACATAACCAGTATAATAAATGTTCATTACCCACCTTAATGATTGCAACACTGCATTCATGAAACATGTGTTCCCAAGATTTCGAAGACCTGGTAGATATTTGACCCGTCCTATGTTTTCTTGCTGGATATTACATAAAAAAAATATATCAGTGATCAATTGTTTGTAATCATTACAAGGTTCATGAACTTGCATATGAAGTCACAAAATGGTTTATGTCTGTCTATTTTCACTCAATTTTTTTCTAGGAGATATTTTAATTTACCTTTTCAACTCTAATTTCTAAAATATCTTCCTTTTGTTTCAGCTGTAAAATATTTTTTACAAAGTTGGGTCTCAGGTTTTGAGGGAAGTTGTTTTCAAAAGCAGTAAAATTTTAAGAATTCTCCAACTATTAGTTTCTATTCATCAAAAAATTCCATTGAAAAGGACTAATCACTATTCTGTGAGTATCTGTTTGCATGAAAAATTTGATTATATCTAAATGCCCTGTGGAATCTGTATTTTCCAAGCATGTATTCTGGGTTTGTACTGTTTTTCTGAAACAAATTTCAAAGACTTTTCCAAGACTCAGATTTAATTTTCCAGGACTCAAAATTTCACCTCAAAACCTTTCATTCCCAAGATTTCAAATTCAATTTACTTTACCATCTACAAACAATACTTGTAACATAAATTCTGAAAACTTTATTGCTTGTGTTAAGCAGATTTCTAAGACTTTACTGGACATACATTTTTTTTCCTAGTCCTGGAAATGCCCCCCCTCCCTGCAAGACCCATCCAAACCCTGCACATTCTATTTTTTTTTCCATTCTTCATGGTCGAACTTACATTTGCTTTTGAAGCTTTCTTTTGTCTTTCAGGCGAAGTTGAATCCTGCAGACGACGTTTCCTAATAAAAATTAAGTTCTGTTAATCATTAACAACAATTCCTGACCATCTCATTCCATAAAGACCCTCATATAAATCACATTCAAATTATATGTTGTTCTTTTACTTCTTTAGTAACAAAAACAATGGGTATGATGATAGATTGGAACACCCTTGAACTTTCATTAGACTTTCATGACAATTATCCATGTTTTATATAATCCAACAAGGCCTAATTGGTATCTCCCTTCCATTTGTATTTGAGTAATAAGTATGTTCTCTAAAAAGGGCTTCTTGAGTCTCTTGTGCATTCCCTTTCCTATTCCTAATATTCAGGCCAGTTGCAATGTTTACAAATATTCGTTCAACAGTTCCATAGTAGCCTGGAATCTGCTACCTGTAACTACATATATTTTTCCCTTCAAATAGTGGTGTAATGCCCACCATTAGATCCAGGATTAAGTTATTGTGATAAGTATTCTTATTTTAATTCACTGTATCTAACTCAGAATTTTAGTGTAGATTAAAACTTGTAAATAGTCATTTTAAAATGTAAATATAATATTTGGCATGTAAATAATTTCTCTTTAATTTATTTATTTGTTTTCCAACTCTTTGTAGGATGCACTCTGTTTTAGGAGTATCTCTATTAAGTAATGAAGTATTGCTGTAATGACTCATCCCTTGTTTTAGAATAGTATGAGATTGTACAAAACTCTTCTCCAAAACTATTGGCCACTAATTTCGTAGTATAATTTTTCGCCGAAATTGTCTCAATTGCTTGGTACCCCATAATACTCTGACAAATATACGTCACGTAAACACGTGCCGTGCAGTGATTCATGGGCTTGAAAACAACATGGCGGCCACTGAGGAAACGAATAACGCAATCTTCAAATGAAGTTTATAACCCAAACAATGGAAACAACTACGGACAAAACGTCGAATTGAGAACACCTCACTGCCAGTAAAACAAATTGAGAGTACATGAAAATAAATTTTTTTAATGATTTCCTGGTTTCCTTTTTCAACGGTTCTCCTTAAATAAACGAGTAAACATAACATTACCTATTTTCTCTCTCTAACATAATTTCGCGTACTCTCTGAATATCTCCCGACTTTGTATCGTTGATAACAAATTCGTCGCAAGCATAGCTGTAGAAAAATACAAAATGTATCGAGGGGTTAGCAAAAACGTCGAGCAAAAAATCGGAAACGAAGCTCCAATGACATCATCGAATTTCCTAGCAAAGTACAAATCTTGATGCTCACCAAAACGCAGACAAACTTGGATCCAAACACACCGAATGCTGTTGATTGTCTTCATGGTGAGCTTTGGCATGACCATTCACGTACCTGGAGTAAAATGGCCACTAGATTAATAAAACCATCTACGGGTGAATAATTGATATCAAATTCATGGGAGAGCTAAACAGCGCGGCGACATTCCTACGTTTCGACACCCCCTGATCGACAAAACAACTCGAACAACACGGTGATACTTTATCGGTGACGTACCTTCCGCAGCTGATGACACCACAACGCAGACATATCCATGGACTTTTTGTTGATCTACAAACTAGAACACAGAAATTAAGTCAGAATTCTGAGCTCTTTAGAAACACCGGTAAAGGTGAAACCAAAAGACCAGAAATTGAGAAATGGGTAACTAATCGACCCTCTTCGACTGAAACCGTACTTGAGCAAGACCACTGCGTCGTTTTTTCCCGACGTATCTTTTGAATAAGCTGTGAGCCAACTTTTACGGCTTGGCCAACGTGTGTACACTCCATATAACACAAAAAAAGACAAAATTCTCACGAAAATCACAACGAAAGGGTCAAATTTTCTATGGATCCCTCCTCTCCCAGGCGCTAACGAAAGCCATTCGTCATGCGCCGTCGGATCATTCTGCGCGGCCTGAACGGTTACTAATTTTCCAGCCAATCAGAGGAAAGTTTTGTTCGGGTGAAGTCGAATAACCGGCTATTCAATTAAACCAATCAAATTTATTGATCTATCTTAACAGCTTAGATTTGACGTTAGGAAAGAATGACCAATCAGAAAGTTTGTGATATTGTCCCTTGGCTTTCAGCTGACTCTAAAAATACCTGCTAAGTGATATCTTATATCGGAGTGCAAGCATAAATTGAGCGATCTCGGACTGCGGCCTCGTTTTAAACGTGAGTCCTACGTGTTTTACGCAATTAACTGTTTTATTATGTTGCTCTTTTTGTGTATAAACGAAACCTACACAATTCTGTTCTTACACGTTTTGACACTGAACAACTTGCAATAATCTAATGCAAAGGTTTTCATGTCTGTAGACTACCAGATTGTTCGATGGCAACTGCAGTGCAAGAAAATTACCCAACTCTGATCATTTATGGAGTTTGCTTTATGGTCTGCCTGCATGTGGCAGCTCTTGTATCCTGTATTTTTGATAAAATAAATGGTTCATTGTATTTAAATTCTAGATGAGGTCATCGTAGAAAACGATTTAAATAGACTTTCTGATAGTAACCTAACGATATGCCTGATTTGGAAGTTGTACTTAAAGAGATAATTACGCGAAGAATTGTGCCGTCAAAACTTTCCTCTTAAGTATTTAACTCACCAAAACTACCACTGAAAGTTTTACACCAAGCTTCATTATGTGTTCACCTAATTTCCCGGATAAACTTAAGAAGTATTTATACACATGAGGTAATTGAAAAACTTCATATTTTCTGGTTTTTTAGTTAATTGTGAAATAAAAAGCAGAACAGACAGGGTCAAATAAAAAATGAGGTGTCTTTCCTTAATGCTAAATTCAGGGATTTTGGGTTTTCAAAGTATTTACTACTCCAGATAAAGAACAAACTTTAAAAGGTCAAAAGGGTCATTGAGAGGATACACAGCAGAGAATGTACAGGAATGTTGATTCTGCTACTGGACTTTTGGATCAAGGAAAAAAGATTGGTGTTTGGAAATCTTAGTTTGTACAAGTTGGTTCTCCTAAATTGGACAACACATTTTCATGGTTGGAATGTTTTTGTGCCTTTGATGTAACAAAGGATGAGAAAAGAAGATGAAAACAAGGGCTGTTCAGACCAGTGTTAAAAGAGATTCTATCAAGTCCTGTGCTGAGCACAAGTGTTGAAGTTATACTTGAGCTGTGAGCAGGCTCCTTCAAGAGCTGTGCGGAGCACAAGTATCGAAGCTATAAATGAACTAGTTAGGCACTAACGACATGTCAGCACAGTTTGCTCGCCTGTTCTTCTTTAAAAGCTTCCATGCCTGTGCTGTAGTTTCTATGGTAATCCGCTAGAAGCTTATTCAAATTTTAAGAAATGCTATAATTTGTTTGTTTTAGAAATCAGATATTTTAATGATTGTATTTTTTATGCACAGCTCAGACTTGTGGTAAGCACCAAGCACTACAAATGTAGTATTTAAGTACTTGTTAACCAGACAACTTACCCTTTGAGAGAAGATGCTATCTTAAAGTCGAAGCTCTTACTTCGGGCTCTGACTTGAAGTTGAAAAATTTTCGTGAGCCATTTATTTCCAAGATCTTAACTAGTAATTTTACCTGCTATATAATTCTTATGATGGTAGTTGTGGTTGAGATTTTTCTTTACTCTCATCACTTGTTTGCTTGATATTTAGGGAGAATGTCTGTCGTGGCCAACTATAGGAGTTAAACAGTTAAAGCCATAATTTCCAAGTGAATCATGTGATAGCAATGTTAGTTAGGTTGTGGTAAAATCGATTCAACAATGAAGATTCAAGAGCATTTGTTTTGCATGTTAACAGCGCATCCTAATTTGTTTCACCCACTGCTACTGTTGCTTGTACACTCTATGTTTGAAGTAGTTTTGTGGTATATTAAATACTATCAAGAAGAGTTTCTTTGGATTACCCAAACTCTTTCAAAAGGATTGAAATTACAAAAGGATGCATTAATGATTCAACAGATTAAATTGATTTGGGTAACAGAGACTTTTTTTCAAATTAGTTTCTGTTCTTCTCTAATGGAGGGAAGTCCAGAAAAGAACTCTTAATTTCTGTTACCTTGGTAGCAATGAATTAAGTTTAATATTCACCCAGAAATTCTCAGGGGTAACCTGCATGCAAGTTTTCTTCACAATTTCAGTACATAACACAGGAAAGTGGGGAGAAAACTGCATGAAGTCATTTGCTGGAGGATGTTATTTCAATACCAAAACCAACTTGCTGGTAAATGAAAGACAGCTAAAGGGGGTGTAGTGAATGTAATGATAAAAATCTCAAATTTTATTTACATAGCCAGTGGAATCTGAAATACATGTAAAAAGGATGTAAGTAACAGTAATTCACAATGACAAACAAGTTAAATAAAAATTGAACATAGAAAGAGTTGCAAGAACATGCTTGACAGTTAGGATACTAGTACAAAAGGATACTCGTACAAAAGGACACTTAAGGAAAAAATGCTGACTCCTGATTAATTGGTGCGAAAACAATTTAAATATGGAGACACAGCACAGAGGTTGGGGACCAGCAAACCACTGAGTGATACTGCACCAGGGTGATTACTAATAATCTTTGGTAGAGGTGTGCAGAGACACATGCTCAGCCCCTCCTTTTACTCAAGACAAGATGTATGACAAAAAATCAGCCAGTTACCGGTAAGTACTAGCATGTGATCTTGTTCATGTGAGAATATTGGTATTAGTAACCACAAGGGGAAGGTGGGTCTGGACCACCAGAACCATCCCTGTGGATCACTGTTAGTAATTAATTGAGACTATCAAAAATGAAAACAACTAAGACAATTTTTTTTCTTTTCCTGCCACTTATTGATGTGCTGATACCGAAATAAAACCACAAAATGCAGAAACCTCAGAATAAAGATTTATTATTAATTACAACACTAACACAACAATATCTAAGGCTATACCTACTTTTAATAAAACAAAGTTTCTTGAAATTTTTTTTTCTCAAACACCTTTCTGTGCATCAGTTATTATGTACCCAATACTTTTGTCCACAAATATACTACAATCTGTCTTGAGGTCTTAGATACCTCTTTTTTGATAACAAGTGTGCACCTTTTGTCACCATCTACATGGCAAGCAGGATTGTTTGCATCAAGGTTAGATTTGCCATAGCAGCCAATTCCACCAAGGAAAGGTCAGGTAATGATGAAACCCCCCCCCCCTAAAACTTCAAGGATACTTCGAGATATTAGTTTGGTGGGACAGAAAATGCCAAAAGGATCAATAATTAACTGAGGGAGAGCAAGGATGGCTAGGGGTCAAGAAGGTTAAAATGGATTGCCAATGAATCCAAAAAGTTAGTTTGGTAAGGAAGAATGCAAGAGGTGATACCAAACCAAAAAGAAGAAGGGATAGCTCAGGAAAGGGGAGATTAAAACAGGTTGCACATAATGAACATGACCCTTTATTAAGATGCAGGAGATATGTCTTTTAGCCTCACACACAAAACACAATACCACCAGCTATACAAGCTGCTTCACTATCATTTTTAGAGGCATGAAAACAACAACATTTATGGTGAAAGTCACTAATGCAACAGGAAACCCACAGAGGAGATTGTTCCTTATAGAGAATACGAATGATAAAAATCTCTCTGGTATATGTAATTGGACAATACAAAAATGTGCACTTTCAATGGAATGTGAAGATTTTCTTGTGAACAGTCCATAATAATTCCATGTTAAGCCTATGATACAAGTTTCCTTTCAGCTAGGAGATCATTAACAATAACCATTTTGTTTGATTATATTGTTTCCATGGTAAAAAATAATCATGTTAAAGAGTACAAGTTAACAAGTTCCTGCAAGAATGAGTATCAAAAGAGAAAAAGTTGTAATAAACAGAACTAACCACAATAGTGGAAAGGTTTCCACAACAATGCACAGTTTAAAGCCTTATGTGTATGGGAGTAAGTATATTTCACTTGCAAGTTCCATGGTTGCAGTGACACTCAAAGCTATAATTCTTATCACAAACAATATTAACTATAGATACCATGTGTTCAAAAAATACTTTGCTATAACTTTCCAGTTCTCTCAAGAAGGAAAGACAGATAATCAAATAACAAAATGAAGACAAGAGCAAAAAGGAACAAGATAAAAATCTTTCATAATTATAGTAATCCTCTTTTTTAAAAAAACTACTTGCTAACACACTTCTAAAGTTTCACCCTACAGTTAAGAAACATGTTTCATGGATTCTTATGCAGATCTTTCTGATGTCATAGTTACTAACTAGCTTTGTTAAATATAATAAGCCTGGTCATAGCTAGTGTCTCCATATTGAAGCATTCTCTGTGGTGAATTTTTTCTCAAAGCTCTTTTGCAAATAATATTTGCCTCTTGCCAATTACCATATTGGTTACATAACACCAGTGAAAATTATTGATCTTTTCTGTGAAGATTGCAAGATACATTGAGCCTCATGCATTTTGACCTACCATGGGAGATGTCAGTGGAAAACCATTTAGGCAGATTTGACTTTACTGCACATAAAAAGTTAAGTAAGTCCTGATTCATGCATTTCAGTGAGTATATTTTCTACTTCTGGGCTCTCTACTGTTACTGGTAGTAATGATATCCTGGTGTGGGTCCTCGCACATTGGATGGGTCTCCAGGTGGTCTCATTCCACTGTACATCCCTTGTTGTGTGGCAGCATCCATCTGTGATGCAAGAGACATTCCTCCAGGTGCTGTTGGCTTCATCTCACCTTCTCTAATAGGTCTCGCCATAACATTCTGGTGTGCCCATGCTCCAGAAATCATATCTCTTCCACTTACACCATCATTCATGACCTGTGGGTACCCACTCTTTTGGCCAGTGTCCACTGTGTTCTTCCCAGGGGTTTGACCATTTCGGGTTGTTGTAGCACTGCCGTAACCCATCATTCCAGGGGAGTTCATGTCAGGCATGTTACGTGGAATTTGTGCTCTCATAATCTCCATTGGTGACATTGGACCCATTGCTCTTTGTTGTCCTCCCATGTTTCCAGGTCTCATCATTGTGGCCATGTTGCCATTCATCTGAGAAATGAGAGGGTACCCACCCTGCTGTGTTTGAGCTTGAGAAACTGCAGCAGCGGCCATGGCATTTCTCCGCTGAACCATGGCTGCAAGCAGACTGCCAGCTTGGCCAGCAGAAAACTCAGCACTGTCCAAGTCAACTAGAAAATAACACATGATACAACACAATATTTACCAACTGTTCTTTTTGTTTTACCAGAAGCAGTGTCATAAGTACAATTTCCAGGTAAATGAGACTCCATTCATTGCTTTCACAAAAAACACTTCGAATTCATCTCCTACCCTCATTGGTTAGAAACAAGAAAATGCTTGTTAATTCCTCTTTTGGGTGAATTATATATGTATGCTGGTAAAATGTTCTTAACTTCCTTTCACACAATCTTTCATATTAATTATTACTTCTAAAATCCCTGGGAAAAAAAAAGAAAAAAAAAAAACTTCTGGGCCAGGTTGTTCAAAGCTGGGTTATGATAACCCAGGATTAGTGTAAAATTTTATTTCAGATCTGAAAGCTTAAAAAAAGATTTAGCGGAATTTTTTTGTCTAAAATGTTATGACTGCATGCTCGAAAGAGAATCAAGAAAATTATCCCAAACTGGCTTTTGAATAAAGGAATCAAAGAAACCGAGAATAAAATTTAACCTTGAGTCAGCGCTAATCAGCTGTTGAACAATTGGGCCCTGATGGCAATGTACAATGTACAATGATACTAGTTCGTTAAATGTAAAGGATATTTTAGATTTCTCTCAACTTAGATAAACTTTGCCAAAACTTTGCATTGCTTTACTTTTCCATCAAATTTCATTCCTTAGAAACAAGTTTACAGATGTAACAAATAGTAATAGCATTCACATTTAATTTTCAATGAATCTTTTAGATTGAAAAATTAATTAATTTATTCTTTTAAGGTGTCAGTTTAATATATTTGACTGTATGCCTATCTCTATACAGTGCTAGAAACAAAATAATAGGAACAAAAATTGACTCTCAAATAGACATCTAGTGTCTTACCAGTGCCATGTTCCATGGCATGTTGTATCATTCCTGGTGGAAGTCTCTGTGCTGTTGCACTAGACACTGGAATACCCATTGCACCTTCAGATTTCTTAGGTACTTGAGCGGCAGGAGTGTTGGGCGAAACATTACTTCGCTTGTCAGTAAGCTCACTAGCCTGGAAATATAACCCTTCAATTAACTCTCCTGGGTACATTATGGTGTTAGCCATGTGGAAGGAGGGTAGTAGGTAAAAAGGAGTAGTTGTGTCAATAAGGAGACTTCCTCTCTCAGCGATCAAAACTTAAGCTGTTTTTTGTAGCTTGAAGTGACCTTGAATGTTGCTTCTCCTCCTTGGTGGATGGTGATCCATTGCACATTACCTACTAGTTACACCTTGTGCCTACACTAACCTATGGCTTGCTGGTAACTGTTACTACTTCTGCACGAGGAGTTACTCTGAGACAGTGAGGACCCTACAACTCACTTGGAGATCAGGAAGAAAATTCAGCTGAAGACAGAGGAGAACCTCTCAAGCTATGTTTTCTGACACAACCAGTGAGAATGTCAGCAAAATTCAGATTCCTACACCACCTTTTCTTTTGCACAGTTCAGTAAAAGATGTATTTAAAGGAGTAAAGAGAGATTAAATATTACAAACCTTGGAAAGAGCTTCCAAGCCACCTTCCAAACGTGGGGATACTGAAAAAAAAGAAAAAGAGAAAAACAAAGACAAGATTGTTTAAATTAAAAATTTGACCATTTTCTATACCCTACTGTCACGCTGCAATAATATTATCCAAGAATTAATCAACCTTAGAGTGTCACCTTTTGGGACTGCACCTCCTTGTGTATAACGATGAATGGTTTCATCTCGTACTGGTGCAAGCTGGGGGTGTCTCTGATACATAGACACTGCAGAGTCGGGGCTTGTTAGGTCTGTGCGAGGAGATATATCAGAATAATCTGTACTGCCTGTCAGTGGCCCACTGAGAGAGGAGTTTACAGTTGGACTGGACAGGTTTAGAGTTACAGGCTGCATATTGCCACTACTGGACAGCAAAAAAGAAAAAGTAGGTTAGTAAAGGTTACTATGATTAATATTCAGCCTTAACAGCACTACAAGAGTTCTCCATATGATATACAGATAATACAAAGATACAAGTATGGAATCTAACTCAAGGTCCTACAATGTATGTGGATTGTATGTACTCACGGTTGACCGCGGCAGTTGGTGCAAACAATGTATTCTGCTTCATCAGTGTAAGGATTTTGAAAACTGTGACAGCTTGTTCGAAGCCACACCCAGCTGCCCTCCTTAGCACGGAATCTATATCTCACGGAAAGTGTTTGTCCCTTTAGTTTCATTACTGCAAACATGAAATAATGCTAGTTAAAAAAAAGGACTACACTTGGCACAAGTTGTATGAAACCAATGAGTGACTTCTTGTTAAATTATGACCTTGGAGTCAAGGAAGAAGTACCTTGTTGATAACTTTCCATCATATGTTCCAAGTCATCAGGATGGAAAAAGTCATAACACACTTCATTAAGAAGTTCTTGGGGTTTGTATCCTAGAACATCTGACACTCTAAAAGACACAATAACAAGAAACAATTTTTTGCTGTGATGAAATATTTGTCATAACTTAAAGATGAGTTTACGAAGCTAAGACAGGTGCTGCACTTCAATTTACAATTGACTCGCAAGCATTCATAACTGATCAAACTCCTGATAGCTTAAATGTTTGAGTTATTGCAGGTCAAGTGTACCTTGAGCAATGATTTAATCAATGTGAGATTCATTTATTCTTCCACTGTCAATATTTTGCATATTTCAGCAAAGACATATTAGGGATATGTACTTGATGTACACCTACCTCTGGTCAACAAATGTAAATTTACCATCCAAGCTGTGCCTAGAGATAAACTCTGTCACAGGAGGAGAATCCAACAAGTCAGAGCTCTGGGGTATACTTGTTGGCTGAAGTTTTCCAATAGTCACCAAACAGCTGTTCTCTGAGGTATCTGCATCTCCTGATGCACATACAGCTGTGCTGCCTCCAAAGGACTGTTGGTAATGGAACATAAAACATTATTTTCCTGTCTGACATGTATCCCTTGAGTAAATGGGAAGGGGGGAGCAACAGGAGGGGGGGGGGTTAGCTTAGTGTGAAAACATAAAAATTTGTGTTACTATGAGTGGAGCTTTCTATTTTTGTCTCAAATGTCACATGTGTTATAATTAAAAAGTGGTCCTGAACATCAACTATAACTACAAAAAAAAGAAAATAATAAGTCTACCAAAAGACCTCTAGCAACCATTCCAGCACCGGGAGAAAACAATTCCACCAAACAAAGAGCTCATATGGTTAACTCTCCTATATGATATCTGAGGCTTTGTCTGTTAATTTTAGGTGGTATTAGAACTACCAAGCACTTAGCTTTCACATGAGTGACAAGAGAAAGTACAATGTCCAAATGCAAGTTGGGAGCTTTGGGAGCCACGCTTTGTCCTGTCACCCACTCTCAAGGCTTTAGTGACCCTCACAGCCCTTGTAGTGACTGGTATCTAATTTCTCCTTACAATATCAACTCCAAATCACACATTAAGGTCAGGAGACAATAGAACCTGATCACCACCTAGAGAACCTCTCGATTGTTAAAAAAATTATCCCTATGAGCACCTTAAGAAATGTCAGGCAGGAGGTTTATGAAATTAGGAGGATATAAGAGATCACTTGAAGATGTGAAGTTATTTAAATCTTATTTTAATTCATACCCCTATACCTTAATATAGCCAGTACAGTGCACAATGGCATATTCATCATCAAGAAGTTTTAAACGATTATCTTTTCCCCTTGCAGCATTATCACTTTCTTCCTTTCCACATCTCATGCGGCAAATGAAATTTCTCCTTGAGTTGGAATACATTCTTGACAGAGCTGAATAGAGGAAAGGGAAATGGAAATTAGTTTTTGGTCAAAACACTTAAAAAGAAAAAAAATTAATTAATATAAAAACAGTCCCCCTACCTCCATGGCTGTCTTTTTTCACACTTCCAGCTATACAGAGGAAGAAAAAAGAATGAAGGCTTAAAGTTGTTAATGAGAAAATAAATCTTGACAGAGAATGTTTGAAAATTCAACTAACAAAGATTTCACCAAATTCATTTCACTGTTACTCAATAAACAACTTTGGTAATACCATTGTAGTAACCCCTTGACCCTTAAGAGTGATTAACATTACCCTAATTTCCCTCCATTTACCCACGTGGCAGATCACCCACATTGCTCAATTTTTACAATAACGAGAAAAAAATTTCAACAGATTACCTGCACTGGCAGATAACCTGCACCCAAAAACAAAATAAAATTGTCAACTCACACAAAGTTCCTTCATTGTTTTTGAGCTGTGACATTGACAAGGTAAGAAAGTAAGAGTATGAACAAGATAAAAGCTATGTTATCAAGTTTTGTATGTTTTCGATTTGCATCGGCTTTCATCGAGAGCAATAAATTCTCTTATTATAAGGAGCAGTCTGCGTGAAATAAATTAGTTATTGCACAATTTTTTTTAAGAGTATCTGTAGTGGATCTTATCACCTGTTTTTTTCCTGTTTATCGTTTTTAACTACACTGGAAGCTTTAAAAGTTATAGTATTACCCGCGCCTTCCTATAACCCGCACCAACAACTGTTTGTGAAAAAATTAACAGATTACCCGCAGGTTATTGGCCACAAATTACAGTAGTTTCTCCTAACAAAATCACCCTGTAAATCAAACATTAGGGTTAGGAGAATAAAGGAGATGAACACCAACTGCAGAAGCTCATAGTCATTACACAAATTCTCCTTGTCAGCACCTTGAGGAATGTATAGCGAACAGTATCAAGAATATACAATCTGATGTCAAGGTGTGCAAGGTTAACTTAGTAACTAATCTGCTGTACATCACTTACTCTTTAAGTCAAGGACCCTTCCTGCATCTGGGGACTCAGTAGCAGATAACTGGTCTCTAATTTTCTCTGCATCATCAGGATGAACTAAGTCAAAAATTTCCTGATTCATCCAAGCACTCTGCAAAACAGAACAAACAAACAAAAAATAGAGAGATTATCTCAGAAAAAGAAAGGAAGAAAGAAAATATTTTTGGATACTTTGGGGACCATAAATGTCCATCCTTACAATTTTTCCCAGCCACTGTAGCACTTAACTACAAGGAGATTTTGGAAAAAGTGCGGGTGAATCTCCACAGTTTGTCAGGTTATTTATTCATAACCCCTGCTTGACAAGGAGCAGTGTGAAAGTAATGTGTCTTTGCCAAAGAACACAACCTAATGACCCAACAAGGCTTTAAACTCTGACCAGTTGATCAAGAGTCTGTTGTGCTAACATTTAGGTCACAGAGAATGCAAGAAAGTGAAAAACATGGTTTCATTCCCCTAATAAATGGTACTACATTCAATTGAGTTTTTGTTGTCTACTCTATTACTGTTTACACTGTTTACCTCACGAGTTTTTATCTATTTACAAAGCTGAGAACAGAATCTGAAGGTTACCTGAGGTTGGTTGAGGACTGGAGTTATAGAGTCTGAAACATACACCACAGTTCCAGTGCGGCAATTCACAACAAACAAGAAACCATCTGCTGCCTGTGAACATTAACAAGTTTGTTTATCTATAATTTAGCCCAAAAGGTAATTCCATCTTCAGAAGATGCAAGAGATTATACTTCTTTCTCTTAAGTAACATTAAATTTAATATTGAAAAAAAATTGCCCTAAGAATAAAATATCAGGCCTACCTCCAATATAAGGTGCTTAAGTTCTTGATCGGAGAGAAATGAAGGCTTGTATGATACATCACTAGGACCCTGGCCTTTAGACAAGGAACAAAGAAAAAAAATTAAATGTGATCAGAAGACAACCAAAACATTAACCAGTCTTTAATTAAAAAAAAAACTTGCAGAAACTAGCAGCAAGATTGAAGGTAGAGACCAGGATTCAAAGTTGTTACGATCTAAATGTCATTGCTTCTTTAACGTCCAGTCTATCTCAACACACTGGAAGGGGTAGCTTTTTGTGTCTTGTTCTGGAAACCAATTAATTGCTAGGCTCATGATTATTCCTTCCGTGTTAAAGAGAAGCCAATCAGGGGACACTCTTATCTTCCTAAACCACCCATACACTGAAAAACCACAAACTAGACTTGAAAAGTGACTTTGTTGTTGACATACCTGGTCCTCTGAGAGATTTCATGTAGTTCACAGCCATTCGAAGCACAGTGAGTTTATCTGGTTTCCGAGCCAATCCATTACAGGATGGTACCATATCAGATAACTCGTTTATATAAGCATTCATTTTATTTCTTCTTCGCCTCTCAATCTCACTATGGTTCTCCCTGTATAAAGAAAAGTTATAGGGAGGTTAATGGCCAGGTAACAAAACCAAAAGCTACCACATGATACAATGTACAGCTCTCACCACACCCACACAAGTCAAAGTATGGATGGAAATAAAAGGAGGGGGAGTGGTAAATTTCATAAACTGAAGGGGGTGGTGAGAGGCAGACAGAGAATGCTAGCACTACCTGTATCCTAACTCCCTTCCTCCTCCCCTTTGATCAACAGTTTCCATTTGAAATTTACCCTGCTCATTGTCAGACCATGTCTGAGGCTCAAAAGACCAATAATTTTCATTAGAACAATCTTACTCCTGGTTACATTGATAAGTTGAGCATATATTTAAGTTTATTCCCAAAATATAATACAAGTCATGCCTCACTAATCTGGCTAATTTTTTTTTAAGAGGAAAGGAATTTGTAGGTTTGTCTGTTTTAGAATTATTTGCAATCAAATGAGAGTGATTCTGTACCCTGTATTCCTTTCACAAAGCCAACTACAATTATCTATGAAAAAATCTTAAAACCAAACAGCATGTTTAGTTAATATGGCAGATTTTAAAGAATATTGGTAAATAATTTTATGTTACGTATACCCTTACCTACTTAACAAGCAAACTAAATTCCCACCGGATTGTTTCATGAGCACATTCTCAACGAAAGTTTAAAGGGCTCTCGATCATATATCGATGCGTTTTCAAAAATAATTTAATAGTACTTTCGTCAACTTCCTAACTCTTCGCAGAGACTGTTTAACAATAACGAAAATTGCATTACAAATTTTTGAACGAAAAAGAAAAAAACATCTGCGAGGGTAAACGGAAAAAAGAAAATCTTACCACCGGCTTTTAAAATTACAGCTGACAATGCAAACGTTAATGGTGAACGTGTGTTCGATTGCCATAACATAAATGATGTAAATAGAGAGAGTTACGAGTCGTTTACAATAAAAATGGTTTTGATAGCTTCGAAAATGTTAGCTGAAATAAAAAACCATGTAGATAGTAGCTAGCAAAACTATGTACGTGACTGAAAACAGACAGCATACCTTGCAAACTTCTCTTTGTTAGACTCGTCCGACGTTCTGTAAACATTAAAAGAGAGCTTGTTAAAGTAAAATACTACTAAGCATTTTGCACTTGAAGCTTGAGAAATATCTTTGCCCACGGATCGGGCATAACTTTCGCTACAAACAAGACATTTACTATCAAACAAACGACATGTTCTGTAACGTTGAAATCACGACCCCTGCCCGACTTTGGTCAGAATATCACAAACTAAAATAACCGAAAGTGCAAGTCTCGATCGAAAAGCAAACAACTACAGGAAATAAATAAGCTTAGATAATTCAATGTCAAAACAAGCATTCGGTAGTTGGGTCCTTTGTTTTCAATGTCCCTCCTACCGAACTTACAATCTAATTATTATAACTATTTCACTACACAACAAAGTTCAGACACGTCCTGCGGAGAAAATGGTCAGTTTTCCTTTACCTGGGCATTTTTTGGTCACCCTTTTCGATATCATCATCATCCGAGTCTTCCCTGTACAGCAGAAAAAGTAGGAAAGTTTGAGAAGGCATTGAAATAACGCACACCACATCATAACCAACGCTGGCCAGACATAAAATACCTCGCAACTCAAAACACGTTTCGGTAAGAGCCTTGAAGAAAAACTCACTCTTTGATCATGAAGGTCTGGTTTGCCTTTCTTTTTCGAAGTCTACCATGGGAAGACTTGTCCTGTATGCCGTCATCTAAGCAACAAACACACATATTGATTGCATTCTGCATAAGAATCAACGCCATACGCCTGCTTGTGTGTGCAGGTTTCACAACAAGTTTGTTAGCCCAGTTTACATTTGCAGAATAATCGCTATCAGATTTACTCACCATCGTCGTTATAATCGTCCATTTTGGACGGGTCGAAATCGTCTAGTGGATCCAGTTTGGATGCTGTTAGTCGCACTTACACATTAGCAATAAGTTGGTGTTCCAAGCGAGTGAATCGGCAGAGAACCATGAAAAGAGTCTAGCTTAGTATCATGGCGGCATCCCAGCAAATAGTTCCTGCAAGCCTCCTTTGGATAACAGCCTGACCAAATTACCTCCAGATGCGACACAAACCTGTAAAAATTCCACTAAAGTAACAGCTGGAGCGAAATGATACCCTGTGACAGAAGTCTGTCGGTAAAAGAACACAATTCCAGGTTGAAAATTCTCTATGCAACGCAGCAACGACCAGACAATCGATTCGGTACTAAGCCAGACTCCAGCGCGGCTCTCTCGATAGCCAATCACAAAATATTTTAAATGTGTTTTGTTCGCTCTGACACCTATTTGCCTTAAATAACCAATGGCAAGACGTGTTAGAATTTACACCGGTGAGATAAAAACACAAAGCCGTTGGAAAAATGATAATAACAAGACCTTGATGATTATTTCGTCAACTAGCTAACATCAGCAGCTCTTATTTAAAAAAAAAAATTATAGACACTGTAGTTTTTCAACGGTTATTTTGTTTGCTCGATCAAGCGTAAACAACACAGATTCGACTTCCTGTGTTTGGAGCGGAAAACAAGAGTCAAACGAGATAGTTGAAAAAAAAGAGAACTTTGCATATTGATAATGATTAAAAAATAGCTTAATATGCTGCAAGAACGGCTCAGTAAAGATCTATATTTATAATGTGACAGTACTATCCGTTCAAGGGTCACACCTACGTGGCCAACGTAGGAGACTGGGTTCTGAGAAGACGTGATTCCTAACACGGTAATTGCGGGAAACTGCGTCACAGCTAGCCAACAGAAGGAGCTAGCGGAACTCATTTTCTCGAATAAATTTCACACGTTATGCCCTCAGTGTTCTGAATATTGGCACATTAGATTTGGAACGAGTTGATATTAAGTCTTTGACTTCAGAAAGCAGAATGGTAGACGGCGGAAGGGCTAACGCTCGGAACGTCACTTTTCAGCTTTGGAAACTCCTTACGGTGGCTGATTTATAACAATACGATCACAATACAGAGGATAAAAGATCACCTTGTTTAACACCTCTCTTTTTCTTATCACCACAGGTTACAAAATTTCGTGCTGGCTTAAGGAGAAGGAAGGGTTTGATCTTATCGTCAAATTGATCAAGTGAAAAACCGATAGCCTCTACACCTAACGTAACTCGTTTGAGAACAAAATGTGTCTAAAAATGTACGTGATCCGAAAAACTTCAAATCACTAATGTCAGTACCAGTGTATCTTGGCTAAATTAAGCCTTCTCCTGAGCCTCACCGCTTCACGAGATCTCTTCTCACCAGTCCCTTACTCACAGAACTTTTTGTAATCCGTCTCTACCCCGATACTCCCTCCTCTCCTCTACTCACGAGGTGCGGGAGGTAGCCGGGAAAAATTCACGCTAGAAAACACGAAAAACAAAACTGTTTCCATTCTAAGCCACATCAGCCAACACCCTGTTTCGGATGTTTTTTTAGCAGATCTAGCCTCGGAAGAACTAGGATTATTACATGAACTTAAGCAGGCTTCGGCAACCTATTTTTCTTCTTCGCGTAGGGAATTTATTTCGTATTTTGCGGGCAGAAATGCTTTAACGTGATTGTCCCGTTTCTAAGAGAAATCATGCACCAATCACAATCCGACAAAACTTGAGGAACCATGAAACACGTGCACGCTGAAAACCAATCATAGCCCGCCAACGCGGTCCATTGAGGGTTGTCAAATTCAACGTGTCTCGTGAACCAACTGTACATTTCTTCCATGTTATGAGTGTACCTCGTTGGTAATTCTTTGCCACGATGATTATTTCCACAATTTTGATTGCTCTCTTTGCATCGGTGGCTGTCTGTTCAGATGTCATTGAGCTCACCGATAGCACTTTTGCATCTGGTGTGAAAGACAAGGAAATTATGCTTATAGAATTCTTCGCCCCGTGGTAAGAATTTGTACAGTTGTTGATCATTATTCAGCTGATACGCACAGCTTGTGAACATTTCAATTTTCCTCTCACAAATAGGTGTGGACACTGCAAAAAACTTGCTCCCGAGTACGAGACTGCGGCCTCAAAGCTTATTAAGGAAGACCCACCAATACCACTTGCTAAGGTACGTCTTCATGGTGAATTAATTTCCATCTTTCCATGCATTACTTCCTTTCCTTCTCTCTTTGTATCCAAATCAACCTCACTCATTGATTTTATTGAATAAATTTTATACTTGCGGGTAATATAATTACTGTTTGTTTTGTTTGTACATGGTTGGTTTGTTCCATGCTAGTGAATATCGTTTTAATCACCAGAACACCTAGAGATCAAGACCAAAACAGCTGAGAATTGTTGATGTCGTTGAGTGTGGAAAGACAGGAAAGATAATTATGACCTTGAAATACCATTTTCCACCCGCAAAAAAAAAAAAAAAAAAAAAAAAAAAAAAAGAACAGGAGTTGTAAATTCTGAAGTGTAATTGCATTGCAAATTCGGCTAAGTAAATATAATCGCATGGCAATAAAGATGAACCTGGATCGATTATTCATCCAAATTCTTTGAGAATGGTTAGAATATCATGATTCTTAAGCAATTCTCATTCGATTGTCAGAAGAGCTGCGTTTTCTATTAAGAATTTAAGCTTAGCAATGTAACTAAATTGTGCAGGTTGATGACAGGAAAATATTTGACAATCATCAACCAATCAAATTGCATCAGCATTGACCAACCAGAGTGCATCATGATGGTCGACTAGAGATTCATGATAATAAAATCATAGAGCAACTGTCATGATACTACTTTCCCTCCCAGTCATTCTTGGAATTGTCTGGCAACACACTTCTCTAGTTGTGGGAGAGTGCATGTTAGTGTCATGTGACCTATAAATTACCAAAGGCCACTTGTGGCAATGTTCAACAGTAACTATTCTTCTCAAGTAGTCAAGGAGCGAAAAAAAAAAAAAAATGTCTGCATAACAAGAGTTCAAATTTTTTGACAGTGTTTTTCAGATGAATGCTGCAATTTTTCTCAGAATATTATTACAACTTTCTTTTTAATTTACACCTGTTTTAGGTTGACTGCACTGAGGCAGGGAAAGAGTCTTGTGGTAAATATGGTGTTAGTGGTTATCCAACACTCAAGATTTTTCGTAATGGAGAATTGTCAAAGGATTATGATGGCCCTCGTAATGCTGGTGAGATTTGGTGACCATAAAAATGAATTATTGATATGATTTATTTTTGACTTTGGAAGTAGTAATAATTTTTTAACAAATATATTTTAAATGAGTGATTTATAAGCAACTATTTGGCCCTCCTAAGTAAAGAGTACTAGAAATACCAGCAGAAAAGCTTCACCACCAGTTTGGCAACTCACATTTTGGAAAAAAAGCTTTTGAAAAGGAATAAAAAGAAATCACCAGTGGAGTCCTGAGAAAGTTGTTTAAATTGGTTGCTTCATGAAAAGTAAACCCATGTGAAGTCAGTAACACTTAAAAACTGATAATGCTTTGAGTTCTTATCCATAATTTTAGCTGCAATAGTTGACAAATCACAAATAGCAAATTGTGCTTGATTTTAAAATTATGTTGAATTGTTATTAGTTATTAACCAAGAGCACATGGTGTTGGTTAAAAGACGCCTTTCGGACTAAAACGATTTAGAATTTATTGATAAGGGATTCCTGTTTCTTAAAAATCTGACTACCACCTGATTGCTATAAGAAGATGTCTAATTTTTCCCACAACATTGCAACTCAATCAACATTTTGTAAGAACGCGAGTCATTTCCTCAATTTGTTTTTGTCAAGTTATTACCCCAAATTGCAGTCATGTTTACAAAGGCTCAATTTCTTTTTTGCAGCGGGTATCATTCAATACATGAAGAAACAGTCTGCACCCTCCTCCCAAGGTTAGTATTTAACCCTCGGTCGCTAAGAGTGACTAGCATCGAATTTCTCCTTACAAGGAAGGACGTGATCACCAACTGAAAAAAGCTTTTGATTGTTAAACAAATTCTCCTCACCAGTATCTTAAGAAATGTATAGAGAAGAGTATGGGGAATATGCATACTGATGTTAGGGTGTAAGGGTTGAAACAGAATGCAAAGAGATGTTGCCTCTCCTCACAATATCAGTATATTAGGGTCGAATATAAATTGTCACAAATGTAACGAAATACTAGACTGATTGTAACGGAATAGGAAGATTTCGTGTATATTTCTAACGTTGTAAACAAAGTTCAACACTGAAACAAATAAGAATGTGTAATTGTGAAATTGGGAAATGTTTTTGGGATTCTTTACTGAACTCATTGTATATTTAGACTTAAAACAGTAGCACTAATGAGAAGATTTTTTAGAAAAAGTATGTTCAGATTGTCAGGAGGATGGAAGAAAATTTTTTTGTTGAAAAAATTAATTAATTTTTTTTTGTTGATCCAATAACAAATTCTTCAAACTAACATCGTAAGAATTGTATGTCAGATTGTAAAGAGAATTGATGAGATATTGGAAGTGAAAAGGTTAAGGTGCTAGATGCCATTCTTTGATTTTCTCACAAAATGTTTTTTGGATTTTTTTTTCTTTTTCCTTGAAATGTAGATACTATTAGCTTATGCTTTTTGCAGAAATCAATGATCTGGAAAAGATGAAGAAGAAACTTGATACGATGGAATCTGCTCTTGTTGTTGGTAAGTGCTAAATGATAGCTTGCTTAAAGTTAAACTATCCACTATTGTCAAGCTACCAAAACTGGCCAATTTTTGCATTTTATGATATGCTAAAAATGAAAGTTTGCCCAAACAGTCAAATTTGATGTTTTACAGGTATCTAATTTAAAACACTACCAGCAAAAATTAAGTGTGCTTAAGGGCTAACTTTGAAGTGTGCCTTCCTCTGTTTAACATGTAAACTTGTCTGTACTGCTGCATTTTGCTATTCAAATAATCTCTAAAAGCTTCAAGATAAAAAAGAGTTTGCTAATTCATTAGATTTTCCAGAAATGTGGTACCATCTTTAGCTGTTGACATTCACTTTGGAATTTTCAATAGATGGTACAGCATTCTAAAACCTCTGTTTGCCAGTAGGAACACATATGCTGGGCTATCTTAACTTGATGCTGTTAACAGTAATTGGTTTGTCCTGATAAACTTGATTTTTTTTAACTTGTAAAATAATCCACAAAAGTTAGGGGTTCACTTTACATATATATCAATAATGGTAGCACCAAACATTGTCATGTAACTCGCTTTTATATCCAATTATGTAGGTTTCTTTGAGAAGGATGATGAACTAAAAACTGAATTCATGAAGACAGCTAATGAAATGAGGGATGATTACTATTTTGCACACACATCAAGTGAAGAGATTTTTGCAGATTTGGGCCATAAAGAGTAAGTTTGGCATTTTAGTTCTGATTAACTCTTACTTGGTCATGAGATCACTGAAGCCTGGGGCATTTATTTCTCTGTCTGCAATTATCTATAACTGTAGAAGGACTGTTCTTGAATCATGGACTGTTGGCAGAGGGGGGTAGTTTGGGAGAACCCTGGTCTGAAGTGTTTAGAAATCCTATGAATGATATATAGACAAAGCTCACAGTTTTCATCAAGCTTAGCTCTTGGAAAACTGCTGCTTCTTGAAACAGGTAATGTCCCCTGACAAATTGTTATGTATATTTTTGCCCAGTTGGAGGTTACTATGTTTACTCCCATCAAATGTTTTCTGCAACACATGGTACAAAATGTTTACCAACAGCTTGCTGTTTACTGTGTGGGATGTTCACTTTTAGGTGTTCTCTGGTATGAATGTATGAAACAGAAAAATATTTCTCTTCTTCCCTAAATATATCAAAATGCTCTCTCATCTTGAATTCAATGTAAATTAAGACTTTCATTAAATTGAATACAAGGTTTGAAAATTGGGGAATATTCCATGGGGTAAATCATTGGACACTCCTCAGTTTTAGCTGGGGTGTATTTGATCATGTGACACCCACAGAACAATCATGCACAAGCAAAAATATGTCATGGGTTATTGCATATGGTATATAGTATAAGGCCCCTTCCTTATAAAAGAATTGGGGAAAAATGAAGAAAGAAAAAAAGAAAGAGAAAGAGAAAGAAATCCATGAAAGAAACACATCAAAGCTTACCAAGAGACATTGAGAAGTTTTGATCAAAATGCTTTCCTTAATTTGTCAATCAATTTGAACTTTTGAAGATTAGTTCTTTCAAATTCTAGCTTGTGTTCAAATGCCCCACCCAAATGCCACATGAGATCATCATTTTTTGTAAAAGGGAAGTTAAGCCACCATGACTTTCTTGTTGGCCTTTTCTTCTGCTTGTGAAAGTGAACTTTTTACCTTTAAACACCTCCATATTAAAAGATGAGAGACATTTATTCCACCAGAAAGACTTGACAGTTCTGGTTCTAATTCCCCACCTCACCCAAGCAGGGTTTAAATTACCCACCTATAGGCAGGGACAACAGTCAAACACCCATGGGTTGCTCATGGGAGGAGGAGGGGTATGTTGAATCTTCAAATTGATTGGCCCTTAACATTGCCATTGGCAATACCTCATTAATTCTGGAATATTGGACCTTTTATTAGGATTACATTTCTTTCTTTACTGAATTCATGCCTTTTTTTTTTCCTTCAGTCAAGTGGTTATTTTCCGTCCCAGCCATCTTCATTCAAAGCTTGAACTGAACAAAGAAGTCTTTACTGGAATGGCAGACCCTTTTTATATCAAGAAGTTTCTCAAAGCTTCAGTTCATGGACTTGTTGGCCACTTGACTCAGGATAACGAAGATCAATTTAAGAAACCTCTTTGTACCGTTTATTTCAATGTTGATTTTGAACGTAATGCAAAAGGTACAGTTCACTCTAACTTGTCTAAAATGCAACCATCTGTGCTGAGTCAATTGGGAAAAGTTAGATAGTTGTAGGATGAGATGATAAGATTTTTACTGAGCAAACATCTCTTTAATGAGTTTCTTTAAAAGAGGGTAGGAAAGGGGGATCCTGATCCTGATCCTGTTTCATGCACAAACTTTAGAAATGTTCAAGCATCACATTTACTTTAATCTGTATTTCACATGGTCTCCTTTGCAGTCATTCTGTGGAATGTCATGCAACACTCTCCCCTTAAGTTTCTCTTTGGGGGAGCATTGCATGACATCCCAAACAATGGCTGCAAAAGAGACCATATTTCACCTGTTACCAATTAAAAGGGAAATCTATAACTCTCATCTTACCTTGCCTTTCTGTAAAATTCATGCATCATGCAATAATTTTGTGCTTATTAACGCATCATGTATAAACCCTTTAGTACCCTCCTTAAACCTTGCACTAAAGTTTGGGAGCTGCAAGTGTTTTTTAGTCTTAATTCTTAAGTTGAATTGCACCGCATTCACCCCTTATCAAGTTCACCCCTTCGAGTTCGCCCCTACCTTATGCCATGTTCGCCCCCACACTTTTCGAGTTCGACCCCATCAAGTCGAGTTCGCCCCTTGATTGAGTGATATCCAGATGAGTTGATTTGTGACGAAGGCACTAGCAGAATGTGCTAAATGTCACATCAGTGACAACCATTTTGAATTTCGGCAATTGTGTGGAACCTGCTTGGGAAGTGGGTTGACGGAATCAACTAAATACTCTGCATGGGATCTGGGGTTACCAGAAATAACTGTATACACTGAACTTGTGATAAAGAGAACCACACAGTTTATCTAACAAACACAAAATGTGTTGATTGTAACAACCAGACTTGAGAAGATGCAAACCACGCTTTCATTGTGACAGCATTGCTTAAGTTGTTAGACTTGTACCTGTTTAGCTTTATTTACTGAAGAATTTACTCATCAACTTACGAATCAACTCATCTGGATATCGCTCAATCAAGGGGCAAACTCGACTTGATGGGATCGAACTCGAAAAGTGTGGGGGCGAACACGGTATACGGTAGGGGTGAACTCGAAGGGGTGAACTCTATAGGGAGCGAAAGCGGCGGATACCCTTAAGTTCCCCCTCTTGATCACAATGGTTTCCAAGACCTGGCATAAGATGTCCCAACATCTTTCCAACAATGCAGATATTGAAGTGGCTTTTGATGGCCTGATATAGGCTCTCAGTTAGAGAAGCTAGGCAAAAAAGTGGCGGTGCAAAAGTTGTACAATTTTATATTCTATTAGAATAACCAATTTCTTGCTCCAGAATGCAGAAAATGCAGACACAAATTTTTAATTTTCTTGTGGGAACATGTGTCTGTCTCCTATCTCAGCTCTTTTACCCACTTTGTTTTGTATTGGAGAAACCAGTTGTTATTTGCCAATGCGTGATGAATGTAAACAAGTGGTTGAGATTTACCAGTAAATAATAACATCAGATTGACTTTTAAGGTAAAATTGATGCTTGAGGGTATCCATGATGCATTAGATTTGCTACATACATATTTACATTCAACTTGCAATCTTGCCATCACTAGGTACGCGATATTGGCGTAATCGAATTCTGAAAGTTGCTACTGAGTTCAAGAACAAAGTGATGACCTTTGCTTTTGCATCCAAGAAAGACTTCTCTAGAAAACTTGATACATTTGGTCTATCCTCTGATAATGATGAGGTTGTAGTAGCTATAGTAAGTGATGATGGAATGAAATATCCCATGAAAGAAAAATTCAGGTATGTGTATTTTTGTGCTGTGTTGTCCTCTGCTATGTTCCTCATTAAAGTACCTTGCTCTCCTGCTCTACACTCTACTCCACACTTCTGTGTTATGTGCTATGTAGTGCTGTTAGCTGTGCTTGTTTTGTGCTGTGCTGTGCTGTGTCCTGCTTTGACTTCATTCTCTAAAGAGACATCAGTCAATAACAAGTAACATTAGTCCCAGGGCTCCCTTATTAGCTTTGTCCTTGACCATTATTTGAAACGGCAATATACAAACCATAGCTTCTCACAATGGTTGAAATGGATATAATATTAAGATCCTGAAAATTTGTTGATGAACACATGCTTTTAATTCTTTCAAATGATTTTCATAACCTTGCCTTCCCTCCTCCTCATCCTCTGCATGCCACGTGCCAATCATAGCTATGGCACCTCCTCTTCTGGCCTGATATAATGCTTTGCTGTTTACTTTTTAGTGTGGACACCTTCAGAGATTTCCTCAAAAACTACTTCGAGGGAAGCGTTGAGCCTTTTATCAAATCTGAAGAAGTACCAGAGACTAATGATGGCCCTGTGACGGTAGGGTGTGGTTACTGTTGATATCAATTCCCTTGTCAGATAATTAACAACCATTCACCGAAGTGGAAATGACTAGTGTTGGTAGATATCCACTGCTATTCCTCGACACCGAGGTGTATATTTTTTTTATTAGATAACACCAAAACAGTGAGATAATATAGCATAAAAAGAGGATTTTAACTCATTTATTCCTGCTACGATTACAATATTTTCGGGCGCAAACCGTGCGAGTTTGAGTAGCCAATCAGAGCTTGCTTTCACCGCTATGCGCTTTTTTTTTACTGATGCGCTAATTACCACTGCTAGAAATGTTCCTTATATTTCTCTAACTTCAAAAACATAGGGTCTCTCTTTATCAAAGTTATTAAAAGTAATGACCCCATTCATAGTTCATTAAAATGCACCAAAGTCGACAGTCGCTAAATTTATCGTCCCATGATTGACCAAGACAGAATCTCTCCTAACAACACAGCAGACTAGCGGTTAGATAAATATCAGTTAGGTGTGATTATTAGTTGATCCAATACCAAATTCTCCAAACTAAAATCACAAGAATTGTATGGCAGACAGTAAGGAGAAAGAAAGGGTTACTGAAATGCCTGCAAAATCGTTAAATTATGTCTTTTGATTCGTCGTCAAACCTTCATGTAATAAAGCATATATGTTTGTTTATGTTGTTATAAGTGTTTATGTTACTTATTAGTTAATTGATTTTTCCTGCAGGTTGTTGTTGGCAAGACTTTCAATGAGATTGTGAACGATGAAACAAAAGATGTGTTGATCGAGTTCTATGCTCCATGGTGCGGTCATTGCAAGAGTTTGGAACCAGTCTACAAAGAACTAGGAGAGAAGGTCGGCTACATGGCATGGAATTTTCAATTTCAATTTTTCTTTTTGTTAGGAAAGTAAAATGTTAAAAATAAGACGTTAAATTTCTTTTGTAGCTGGCTGACGTGAAAGACATAGTTATAGCCAAGATGGATGCCACGGCAAATGATGCTCCTTCACCGTACGAAGTTAGCGGGTAAGTCGAACGCGGAGACAACATGCCATTTTACCGATTTGACACTTAATAGTGTCTACGTTCTTGTCTCTTTTTTGCTTTGGTCTCTTGCATCCTTTTTGATCCGTTGGTTTGTCTTTACGTTTCTTTTGTCAGTCGCTCGTTCGTTAGTTCGTTCCTTCGTTACGGAAGTGACTCGTGCGTTCGTATGCCTGTTTGCTTGTTAGCTCATTCGCTTGTTCGCTCGCCTCTCGTTTGCTCACTCAGTGACTCGCACGCTTCTCGTTTGCTCATTCGGTGGCTCGCATTTTGTTCGTTCTTTCGTTCGTTCGCTCGTTCGTTTTCTCGGTACGAGGGTTATTCTGTTGCCTCTGTCGGTAAATTCCGATCTATAACATTGGCTTTCATCAAACATGACACCGCGTTACATAAACGGAAAAAAAGGGGAAAATTGAAATAGTTAAGCTAAATTGACCGTGTTACACGTTGCAACGCTTGTTGGATTTAGTGTCCCCGGCAGTGTACACACGTTTTGGTCCATAGGAGAGATGTTGATTCTTTCATTGATTAACTAAAACGAGAAGCCACTAAACCATAGGTCCATTGGAGAACTGAGGAGGGGGGGGTATTTCTTAGCAAGTTTTGGACAAGTGTGCCCTCCCCCTCCCGAAGCCCTCAGCAGTCCATCGTAATTTCTGTTATAAAGGCTGTTGTTATGGTGGAGAGCTACTTTATGCCAAAATGTATCATCAAAGTTGGTATAACGTAATAGACTTGCCTCACTTTGCACAAGTTCAAAACATTTCAGCAACGTTAAATGTTTCCTTTCGCCTTTTCTTTGCAGTTTTCCAACAATCTATTTTTCACCAATGTACGGTAAGAAAACGCCCAAAAAATACAACGGTGGCCGAGATGTTGATTCTTTCATTGATTATCTAAAACGAGAAGCCACGAAACCATTTAAAGTTCCCGAGAAGAAAAAGAAGAAGAAGAAGGACAAGAAACAGAAAGATGAACTTTGAACTGTGGTTCCTTCGAACATTTTGTAAAACTAGATTTAACAAATTTAGGCCTAAACTGACTTTGGAACCCTTTTTTTAATCGAAGGCGTGGGGTCTGGTACCTGATTCCCCCAGTCCTACTCCTTCTTCTACGTCTCTGTAACAGTGTCTTGTGGGGTAAAGTGTTTGAACGTTGAAATCTCATTTACTAATATTGCTGATGTGTGAACTATTGAAATGTCCTGCTTCTGTAAAAGATTTATGTGGATTGAGGGTATATTTTGGCTGTGACATTAAATGGTTTGTTTTGGAGATGTGCCTTTTTCGGTGAATCTTTCTTTAACAATTGGACTCTCAGGTACGTTTACGATTTCATGATTCTTGAGGTTCGATGGAAAAGCTCGCGATGGTCGCGAAACTGCAACTTCATAAGGTCTGCGGTTTTCCTGAATTAAAACCAGGTTTCGGTAGCGAAGAAATGTCCCTCGTAAATCTGAGTGCTACTTCAAAACGATTCTTCAAGGAAGTTGTGTCAAGGCTTACGTTAAATGAAAACTCTCTGTAGGCGACGATTTTCTTCAGAAGTCTGAGAAGAGCTGTTGCTTTAACTTGGTTAAGACAGGGAATGTCAATTTGAAACAGTTACGAAAAGTTTCCATGGGGCTATTGTATATCAAAAACTGCTTACTCACTTCTTTGAATTACTTCCCAACCCGAAAAACAGTTACAAATGTTCTCACACGTTCAATTCAGCCCTATCCTCGTCGTCAGTCGAAGTACACCTAAGAGAAAAGTACCAGTGACTTTTGCGTTTCAAAGCCGCGTTCTATGTGACTAAAAAATGGAACTACAAAAGAACGCAGTTTGACCGCGTTCATGTAGTTCCCTTTGTCATTGCATCATTCGTACCGGAGAAACCGCGGTTGCACTGAATTACCATTGTATTAATGGCGTGCTCGAACTGTCTAGGAAGCCAACAGACCAAGTACTGTACAACGACTGAGCCGGAGAGGCCCGAGAAGCAGTCGGGACTCGTGCCACAATCGCACAATAGCGAGTGTGTAAATTTACACGTGTAAGCCAGTCCCTCTTCCCTATGGAAATAACAGCGGTCTCATTAAGTGCGTTGTGAGGTATTTTCGTTCCGAGGCAGAAAACTTATCAGATAAAAGCTGGGGAAAACCGTGTAAACAAAGATCATTGCGTCACAATGCAAATATATATTGAGCCACTGTGAGGCGAAAAGAGAAAATTTGGCTTGTGCAGGCGAAGTAAGATTTGAATTCCAGCGGCCAAATTTGACGAATTTTGCAAACGGAAATTCAATAAACGCGGGATACTATTTTGTGCGGTTTTTGTAGGCTATTTATACATTAATTATTCCACGGAGTTGGATGCTTACTAGAATTATGGATCTCTCTGTGATTTTCCAGAGCCTTGGCTTTTGAAACAAGAGCAACCTTGCATTGCTGCAAGACCAATAATTACAAGTTCATAACCATGTTTCACCTGCAGATTTTGTACTTTATGCTCGAGTTGGCCATAGGTATTCTTTTATTAGATAAAGGAGATAGCTGAATTTATTTGACATGTTGTGGTGGTTTAATCGATTTCTTTTTGTGTGTGTTGTTATGCCTTATTCCATATTCATTAATTGAGGTTTGTTTTTTCGAGGGATGCGTACGTTTTTGTATGATCAACTATGAAATATGTAATAAAATCTACCGATTAACTTCTCACCTTACGTAAGATTTATTTTGAAATCTACATCGTGCAATGGTCTCAAAAAATCACAAAATTAACCACAAATCACAATGAAATAACTCAGTTAAGTCTTTTACTTGTATTAAAGTGTATACAGCCTGTTTTCGTACTTACTTACGTTTTTGATAAACAACAGCGGAGATGGAAATTGTTTTTACCGAGCTGTTGCTCTTAGGAGGAATGAAACAGGCGATGAGACAGGGAGATCAGTGGGTGGTGGTACAGTTTTTTTCAGAAAAATCCAAAGGTTTTTTTAGCTGCCACTCTTCGCTATTTTCAGCTTCAAAAACAGTCACGGTTTCTTCAACACTAATATTTTCTACAGTGATTTCTTCGGCTGAGCTATTTGACTGATCATGGTAGGTTTCTGCAACTGCTCAGTAGTTAACGTATCCCAAGGTAACACTATTAGGCGTCTTGTTCAACAAGCATTGGGCAGCCGGCGAGCAAACTCTCCCTTAGGCCGGGTGGGAACGCTAATTGTGACTTAATGACGTTGTGACGTGTCTAACCTTTGTAATTTTGTGTGAAAATAACTCTTCCACCACTATTCAGTCTTATCTAACAAGGCATGAGGATATCATCTTGCTTATGTGCTGCAGTTGTAGTAATTACAGAAAATGGACCTGAAAATTCAATTTTCGACGGGATCTGAGCCCTTGCCTCTCAAAGACTAGCTGAACGCTATTGTGTAACTTAGTTCATGAAGAGAGATTTCCCTGTCTTTTTTCGTTGTTGTTGTTGTTGTTGTTGTTACTGCTGATTTTTGTCGTCGTTTTGTCAGCTTGTTTTCGTTTCTTTGACTAACTGGCTTAAATGAGAGACTTGAATGATTACCGATTGCTTGAACTGTCACTAACGAGTTTGTTTTTCGCGCGTAGTAGCTCGAAGTTTAAATCACCGTAGGGTTCCGGGGGAAATAAAGCCCTTCCCCGTCTTCTGTACTGCCATCAAAAAATCCCCCACTAAAGCCAAAGTCTCATAAAATATTCTAAGTTATCATCCGGTCATTATTTTGAGAAATTGTGCTGTTGTGGCGTGTTTTACCGCCCACTACCAATTCTGACTCACACCACGCGGGAGTCGACCGGAAAATAAATAAAATGAGCACACCTCCAACCCAAAAGATACATGTTCTAGATTTATTAAGTTAAGTTCAGCTATTTACGGGGTATTCATAATTAACGTTCGTTGAATAGAGAAATCTTCATTCACAAAGAAATCCAGGGGCAAGAAAAACCATTCATTTAAGGTAAAAGAGTGACGTGATTTAAGGGATTCGGTCTTACGGAGTATCGAGGAGGCGGCCTATTTTAAATCGTGCAAGACTACATGAAACTGACATCTTAGTAATAGTTATTCGATTTTCTCTTGCAACTGAATTTCTTGGTTATCCAATCTCTTTTTTTCAACCGAATCATACTCAGTTTTCGAATATTCCGTGAAAAGATAAAATATTTAGGTGATCTAAACTTTAGGAAACTGTCAACAATACTCATCTGTAAACCATGACCTTGCCACCCTCAATATTGAGAAAGAGGAAGAGTTGAAAATGTTTTTAATAAGACATCTTTGTGATGTAAATCCGGCTTTAGAAAACGATGACGCATTTTAGCGTATTAGCGTGCTAGCCAAGTCAGCCCTCTAAAGGTTAAAATGTGGATAATGGATAAATGTTCAAGGAAAGACAAAAGTTACAGTTACAGTTACGCTAATCTTTAGAATTTTAAGATTGTTTTTGGCTATAGTATAATCCCGTTTTAAAAAGGAATGTACGTGATCCTTCTTGTAACAAAGAGTCGCATTTTTATTGCTTTGCATTACAGAGGAAGTCAAAATAAACATTTCAGTTTTTCCTTCTCTCAAGATGCAGATTAAAGTGTTTGAGTTGGCCCCCAGCTTGGTGAAAGAGGAAAAAGTTTCCAAAATATGAAAAATACGAGGATAATTTTTTGGCTATGAAATACACTTCACGAAATATGCGGCAGTGGTAAATAGCTTATAACCCAGTAATTTTTGCTTCGTGCAGAATAGACAGGGTTTGAAAATAACACTTACAAACACATTTCTCTGAAGCACTTCCAATGGCGGTTTATAAGGTACCCGTGTGTCAGAAGCCACAAAATATTAACTGTTTTAGCTTGAAAGAACAGCAAATACTTTTTAACCGTGATTTTATAATCCTCTTGTCTTTAAAGGTCGCGTTGTGGAAAAAAGACTTTCTGTCAGATGTTGTGTATTTGCTACTTGGGAGAGTTTTCGAACCAAAAAAAAAAAGATTGTTTTTGTTTGTTTTTTATTTTGTTTCATCTCTTTTGTGATTTCTTTTTTACAGTGGCAAAATCTTTACTGGCACATTTAGTAATTTTTGCGTTTTCCCTTGTAGCAGTAACTGAACGCATGTGATTCGACTTATAAACATCACGCGATGTCTACGGATCCGATTGTCAATAAGCGCCAAGTGAACCAATTCCTTTGGCAGATTAAAATTTACCAAGCACACCCGTACATACGCATATTTTACGCTCAGACATTTGCTAATCTGAGGCTACTGTGAAGGAAAAAACTGAGAATCCGTGCAAAACTTTTTTGAATGTCCCCAGTAACCCTAAGCTCTTCTGTCACGATTTCAAATAGTTGCCAAAACTGTGGCCAAAGTGAAAATTGGATGATGTATGGAGAGCTTAAGGCTCATTGATTTCAGTGCTACGTTTAATCCGGAAACGTTAAAAGATTTTTTTTTAATCCTGATAAAATGTGCCGCAGAAACTTGTAAACAACTTAACAAGAATTAACACCATTAAATCTCGCTCGCTGTCAACAAAATTTTGAAATCTGATTTTAAACCGCTTAAAACTTGGAGGACATTGCGTTCAACATTTTTGACGATTAACCTTCTGGGCGGGGTTCATGCCCCAAACAATAAACTTAATACGCTTTGAAAAGACTTATTATCTTACTTAAGATTATTCTTTGGCAATTTTTTTTTCACACTGCTGAAAAACAATGTACTACTTGTTCTAAATCTGAAACCGTTTTGGGCTGAAAAGTTATTGACTTGAAATCTTGAAATTCTTTTGAATTGTTCTTTCAAGGAGGCCTGCATTCCATCGAAAAGCCTCTACTTTCTATGAACGTGAGTTGAAACTTTCACTTGAGAGATTAAAAGGTACAGTGAACAGAGCTCCTTTACAACCAGTCCCGCCTCTCTAAGACCGAGGTTTAATGCCGAGGTGGCTAAAAGCGAAAGCTTAAGGATGCCAATTGCTAAGCAATTGGGAAATAGCACTTTTCAACATCTTGACCAATAATCACAGCCTCCGGGCCAGCGGGTATCGTACACACCCGGAAGAACGACTATTCACACTTGCAGGCTTGATATCGGGATAACTACAAACCGCAATTTTTTTTCTCCTTTTGTTTATTTTACTCCCAAATAAGCTTGAAATTAAATTGCTCCAGGAATTACAATTACTGGGATGCATGTAAAGCGGGCTTAAACAGAGCCCAATTCCTCTTTGCCTCCGATTTTGCTCAAGGAATTCAAAATCTTTGCAAACGTGAGAACAGAAAACGAAACGGGTTTTTTACCAAATGTTTGCCGTGCATTAAGTTTCAAAGAGTGATTTTAGTCGGTGGGTGTTTTCATTTGATTTAGCAGGTCAGCAAAGTCAAGAGCTGCTCAGTTTTCTTGAGGAAAAAAAAAACTAAAGAATTAAAGAAAATTAAGGAAGTTGTATATATTTGACTTTAAAGGCCAGTTTTTCATCTTAATATGCTATTTTACATACAGGAAACTCTAAATGAAAGTCTACATGTACTCGGTACGACATACGTTCAGTTGTGGGAAATTCAATTTTAAAAGTTGCTTTTCCCATGTGAAATGGTTATCATTCCTGACAGAATTAAAATTAATGGCAGGATAATTCGGATCGTGGCGATATCGTATTTTTCTTTATTACGATTCTATCTCTTTGGAGATCCTTTTTTTTTTTGGCAACTGATCAAAAAATAAGTATTTCCTTGTGGTTAGTTATCCGGTATAAATTCGCACAAGCGATCATGTTAAAAGTTTTTTCATCACTCATTTTTTTTCTGTTTTGACACAGAAGCGCTCTGTTTATAACGAAAATAAATACAATATCTATATACGTGACTGAACTTGATTGTATTAGAGTCATACAGTTTCCAGTGGATAATTCCAACTTTCCCAGCCGTGATCACAATATTTTCAAAATTTTAACGTGATCACGCCACTGGTAGCCTGTCTTAGGATCGTCAAGTTTCGATCCGTTAAATTATTTTTGATCCAAAAAAATATTCATGCCTTAGTATCCGTTTTATAGGCATTCGTAAGATGATAAGCTGTATTTAATCTGAGGAAACTCGTCTGCAAGACGAAAGTGCTTTTGAGGTCTTGAACAATCACCGTATTTACGCGTTCGCTCCGCGGACACAGAAAAGTGAGCGATACTGCAATTATTTCGTGATTTTTTTCTCAACAGCTTCTGTTTTTAGTTTTTCTTCTTTGCCGTGGTTGATCCAGCAAGCCAAAAACCACCCTAAGTAAGCACTCGTTCAAATCAAATGGAGATAGTGGTCACAAATTCGAGATCATTACCGAATGCAACAGGCTTCAGTCAGTTACCGACAAACACTGCCAGTCCAACTCTATTTCTCAAGGATGCGCGCATTTGAAACTGGCTTAAACTATTTTCCATTTTAAAGCTGTACGTTATCGATTAATATTTGCATGAAACTTTCCAAGTTGAATGTTTGTCACCACGGGTGGAAAAGATTGTCTAGGAAACCAGACGGAAATTTTGTGGGCCTAACTAACTACCATAGTGAAGTTGAGCGGAAAAATTCTGAACATTTTGAAAACACGTGTGGTCGAATTAAGCGGGGTTAACTTCTATTGTTCTTGTTATTTCTCATGAATAGGACCATTATCGAGGTTTACCCTAAAACGAAAGGAAAAATTTTGTTTACGTCCAAAAGCTTGTTGTCTTTCATCGTAATCTGCCCACCCAATAGTACAAGAAAATTACACCCATCTGTTGAGCAAGGGGTTCTAAACTGCGCTTTCTTTTTTCATGTACCATCGTAACAACACTGTTTTTGCAGCTGCCGAAATCAAGATGGTCTTCCAGCATGGCTGATACAAATGCTCCAATTATAAAACATATGTTTTTCTTTTTGTGAAAGCACTTTTTCCTCTTGCGTGCCCGGCTGCCCGTTGTGCAATCCCCAACACATATTTTTTGTGCTTAAGTTTAAGCTCATAGAGGTTATTTTTTGTTTCGAAACTGAAAATAATATCGTGTGAAAATGAATTGCAAATCGTACCGCACACTGAAAGCATTTAGGGAGCTTTCTTTTGTTTATCGACACAAAAACAATTCAATAGGCACTACAACACGACTCTAGGGGGTCAAAGCAAAGAATTATTAGTTTATTTTGCCGCACGCCTTTTCATACGCTAGTGTAAGTTTGCAGTTCATAACTTCAATTTGAATATTTTCGCTAAATTTTGCTTCTTTTAAGAGCCGCGGGACGGATTCTGTTTACGTAGTCACGAGCCTTTCATATGTTAAGCGAAGTGTTTACTCTCGTACTAATTTTCCAATAAACTTCATAATTGTGTGTCTTTGAAGAGATCTCGCGGGGTCATTGAATGTCACTGGCGACAATAGCAGCATAGGGGGATGGCTAATGAAACGTGGCAGATAAAGCCAGCCTTCTGGATAACAGTCTGTTTGAGTTTATTTGGAGACAAGATCCAATTTGGAGCTGTTTTGTACAGTACAAATCAGTAGTGCGCCATAATTAATCTATCTTCCGGTGGGGTCGATTTTGAGCTTTAAAGACTCCACCCCAAAAATTAAGATGGATTGCAGTTAAATTGGAGCACTTTAATTTACAAGCATACGTAAAAATCATTTTGAGTACGAAGCATGCAGTTAACGACATTAAAGCATAAAAGATTTTGGATGTTTGACGATGAAAAATTGCGGTCCGTTTATTAAGCGGTGGCGTTGTACCACGCGACAGGTAAGTTCAGGATACAACTGCGAAACAAAGAAAATTGACATAATTAGGCAAGAGAGACTTTGATGAATGACAAGTGAAGTCAATGCTTCTTTAAGAACAATGTTTACGCTTTCTATGGACATAAAACACCGCCTATAGACATGATAAACCACCAAAAGCGCGGGCCATCTTTTCGCCATATGGTCATTTCTAAGAGTAAAGCGAGGCAACAAGAAAAGTTAAAAAAGTATCTTCACAGCTTTGTCGTTTGGATCAACTCTGGTAGAGGGGTGAAGGTTATGGAAATAATACAAGATTTCGGAGATTGTGTAAGCTTTGCAAAGCTCGCTTTAATAAGCATAAGAATGGATACCGAAGAAGGCTTGTAACACTTATCTAATTGCTTTTATCTCACAAAACGTAAACACCGCAATTTGTCGACCCAAGTGATCGCTGGTTTAATTTCATCGACCAGGAATAATTTTCGTTTTGTAGTCGTTTTGGATCAAATAGAATCAAGTGTAAAAAGCAGAGACTTGGAAATGTTAACGCCTAAATTTCGTGAACAGGTTTAGAAGTGTGCAATAAACCCGTCTGTGACAATGTCTCGACGCGAATCCTTCCTATGCGATAAAACAGGACTCGATAATTAAAAGCACGACTTCGAAATGGAGTAAATATTTGTTGCTGGATTATAACGTTCTTACAGAGGCCGTTCTGTAAAAATGTTGTTAGTTCCTTTTTTTCTTTCTTTTTTTTTTTTACAGAAATTATCATAAGCCATGCAATTATCGTTTCTTAGCTGTCCTTTATCTAGATAATTTCCTTTTAGTAACCAGACAAAATCACCTCTGTATAATTTCTTGGGAATTTTGCAACTGCCCCCCAGCGAGTTGACGCTTCAATGACAGAAAAACAAACGCGGCGGAAAACACACTAGATAGTGGCGAATGAAAAATTTGACCTGTTCCTTCTTTAAATTTGGATTTTTAGAACTGTAACGAAATTTAATTCAATTAGAAACTATTCTATAGATAAATATATATGCTTCGATTGAGGTATGTTTTTAACATTTCCACGAATTACCATCGTCATTAGATAAGGAAATTAAATAACACTCGATCTTAAACATTTAGCCGTAGATAACATCAGCAAGCCTCATTTTCCGTTTCGAGTCATCGTGTAAGATCTCGCATCAGTAAGATGAATTTTTTTGTGGAAAACCGTCGATGGCGACAATAAGAACGTGATTATTCTGAAAAATCTGGGGTAGGAAACAAGGAGGAGCTTGATGAAAGACCAAACATGGACAAATACATGAGAGGAAATGGAATACGAGAACGATATGGGACGCCGCGGAAAATGAAAAACATCACACAGGAACCTTTTAGCAACACAAAAACACAGATCTCAATTGATGATCAGATTTATTCGAACATTTCAGCGTGTGTGTGTGTGTTTCTTGTGTGCATTGTCAAAATGCTTGTACTGTGGATTTCATAAATTAATTGAGAATGTATAAAACAAATAAATTTCTATGCACTTGCCCTCTGATCCGGTGCCCGACGAAAAATATTGGCATAAAGATATAAAAATGTATGTCTCTAATACTCAAGTGACGAATTTTTTTTCTTACAAACGGTATGTACATTTCTGACAATTTCATAAACAATCTTTCATTTTCGCGGGATATCTACACCGATTTACTTTCGGTCCGCTGTCTCAAAAATGCGTCGCACTCTTAAAAACTACAAGTAGATTTTGAAAGATTGAAAATAATCTCACTTCAAGTGGAATTTCTTGACAGGCCACAGATAAGAATCGCCGATACAGATCATAAATTACTGTACTTTGAAACTGCCATTATGCGCATTTCGGCTCTAGTTATCTTGCCAAAATGAACAAGGAAAACAGTAGAACCGTGAGAATGGCGAATGAATGAGACAGTGTCTGTGAACTTGAAACTGGTATTTTAACTGGCCATGTTGGCTTGTCTGTCCGTGGTTCCGTCATATTGTACGACTGTAGGTCTCTCAATGTTCCAATTTCATCCAGCAGGAATGAATCGTCTAAAGCGTGCCACGCAGCGGCTGTAAAATTCACGTTTCCCGTTGTCAAAAGATCAAATAAACATGAATCCAGATAGAAACCCGTGATTTTCGTTTCAGTGCAGTTAGCATAGGCCTCTGCGCGAGACATTTTGCTCCTCCGTGGACGCATTTTCGCGAGTTGATTGTCCGTAAATGATAATAGCTCTCGGTAGTCAATTCTTTGGCGAGAAGGACATCCCGTTACACAGAGTCCCGTAGACGGGACAGAAGACAGAAGCTGCTCGGGAATTTTAACGTGAAATGTCAGAAAATCTCCGACCTGTCGGATAATGATCGTGGTGCTGATGTAACAGATTTTTATCTCGATATGAAATCGACGTCCCTTTTTCCTCTGGAAGATTTCAGCGGAGCAGTCTGCAGGTCCAGTCCGTTGTGTTCCATCATGGAACTCAGCGGGAAGCGAACCCGCTTCGGCTCGATAAATTTTCTGATCTACGCAGCCGTTTCCATTCGCTTTTATCAGCACTGTGATCTAAAAGAGAAAATATGAGTGCAGCGATTAACATACACAGTCACCAAATCGCGATCCATCAATTTTGGCAGCCTCTTGTGCGAGCTGTGATGATGGATTGCTTTATTTCAGAAACAAATTGCATGATGATATGTGATTAGTTTCATCACAAAAGCGAACGAGATCGGTCAGTGCAACGAACGATTAGAACAGTAAACGGTTAATGAATGCAGTGGTTGGGCACTAAACTGACACCGCAGCCGTTTAGCAAACCCATTGGGAAACACACACAAGCTTGTGAAATTGACAAGCGGCACAGCGCTGAAGACATGCCGTGTTTCTGTCAAGCAGTTGGAGACCATATTTGAATAGTGTAAGGAAGCCGTAAGCTGTAGGACGTGTATGCATAATTCAAAAGCCTGTGTTGTTTGGACACGTTCCGTGTAGAGAAGTGCGCAAATTCAAAATAATTTACCAGTACTTACGGTGTTCGTGGCTGTAGCGCTTGAACCCGCTACCAGCGGCACGTTGGTAACTTGCACAGAGAAATAATTATTGTCAATAAGCGGCCACGCTCCCTGAACGACGCAAGTTTGACGTTCCTCCGTAAATGTTTTTAAATGTGGGTCCCCGAATAATGCACACAATCGAAAATGGTGTGGGTTTAGCCTAATTTGTTCTTTAGAAGGTTTGAGGTCCTCAGATGTAAAGTTCAAACAACCAGGTCGTTTCGTGGTTGGCTTAGTTGGAGACTTTGTACCGATCAGAGCTGTTTCGTTTGTAGGAAGCGAAATATTCCCACAATTTCGGGCTTTCATTTTCATCGGTATCAAAGTCGATATTGTAAGAAATTGAAGATCTGAGCGACAACTTTTGACTGTCTTTTTTACGTCCTCTACGCAGCGTAAATAAACAGCCAAAGCGGTGCAGATTTCTTGGTTGTTCTCAGGATCGACCGCATCTATAGTCCTAATGTACGGCATAGTGCAGCGGTCGTTGATAATTTGCGTACACTTTTGTGTCTCTGCTGTGACAACCAGCACTACGAGCACAAATGAGAGAACGAGTAATGTGAGTATATTTACATTTAAAGCCATCACAACATAAGGATTACTCGGTGAATCGTATCGAATAGTAACGAACGCGCGATCCGAGCGTTCGATTGAAGAGTCTACTCACGTAGAAGCGGAAATAAACAAGTCGTGAGCAACACGCGGCACAAGTCAGTTTTTCGTCGTTGAAATCGAAAACTCATGTCCCTGTTAGGCTGCCGTCTGAACTGTCGCACATAACTGCATGTAGACCATGTAACACTGTCACAATTCTGTCCTTCCTCGCGAGTCGATCGCTCGATCCAGTCCAGGCCAATTTGCTTGATGGGAATGAAAACCAAATGACTCAATTCACTTATCAATCAGAGAGTTGACAGCTCCAATACAAAGATACTGATTAACAAGGCCGTCGCCGCCCCAAGTGACCCTTACAGGCGATTGAAAACTTTTCACAAGTTACGATCGCGATACCGTCGCAAATTTCTTACAGCAAACGTTTACTTCGGCCAAACCACGTTCAAATAAAGGGCTTGGGTAAAGAAGCCGAGTTCTTATAGGGGGCTGTCGTTTTTTGAGTAGCCCCCTAGTGAGGTTTCCCGTCACAGTAGAACCACCGAAGCAGCTGTCATTGTAATTAACAACAAGTTCCTTTTCTTTGTTGTCATTGGTTGGCGCTGGGTAGAATTATCGCCCGCGGCTATTCAAAGTACCCTTGCATAACAGACCAATCGGCCGTCCGTATCCAGCTCGGAACTCGTACATAATTGAGCGGGTTGTCATTCATCATTTCTCCTTTTGTTCTCTCGCTCGCTTATTGGCGGAGACTTGTTAAAAATTACAAAGGGGGAAGGAGTGTTGACAGTACCACCGGGGGATTCCGACTTATGCTTCTAACCTCAAATAACAAAAGCCTGCTAGAGCTTACTGCCACATACGGCTACAAATAAAATCTTCGCGGTGAAACCAAGCAGAAATCCTTTCCCAGGTGACAGCATGTGACAGTTTTTAAGCTTCCTAAATCCTTCTATAACTCGACCAAACCGCGCGAGCTATTAATGACACACTTCTGTTGATTTAGCTTAATTATACTTTTGTAGTTCGACACTTCAAAAATTACAAATGTCATATTTGGGAAGGGTTCGAGACAAAGATAACATAAAAAGCTTATCAAAAAACAAAATAACAGAATTATAACTCTACAATAAGGCTGTAAAATGTTGTTTTCTTCGTTTTCGGATATATTCAACATGCTTTCGAAACGCGGTTTTTTTCCACCTTGAGAGCATGGTATAAATAAGTTATTCGAGGAGTGAAGAAGCGGTCTTGAAATGCGAACAGCGTGCTGCGAAGCTGCCAGGTCCTTATCCCGATGATATGCTGTGACGCCCACGTCTAATGAATATTGGTCTTCTTTCACGTCGCGAAGACACAAAAATCTTTTTCCGGTGGTGTCATTAAAGGTTTTCCGAGCCCCTCAAGAACGCATATTTCACAAGCAAGCGCACAGCGTGTGAAATTGAATCACAATGGTTTAGAATCTCTGGGTACACAGCGAGAAGCTTCGAGGGAAAGAGAAGTAATTTTCAGTCTTTCGATAATCAGCAGTCGAGCCACTGAGCCTTTCTTTGAGACAATTTCCTGTTGTTTTACGAGTTTGAATAAAACAAGTTTGCAACGAGTTCTAACTGCTCAACAAATTGTCTATTAAATTTTAACTACTTCAACTTAACTTCAGCTATCTGTGGCTAAACATTTCTTGCATCTCTTTTTAGCTTAAAAGGCTGTTTGGTAAAATTGTAAGACGTCCCCTGACGTTTGAGCTCTTTAAATTAAAATTAACCAGTTTATCAAAAAGTGAATCTCTAAAAGTATACTGTGCAATTTCTTGTGATGCTTTAAGGTAAATTTCCTCAGTTAGCTCAAAGTTATTGCGGTAACTTAAACAACATTCAACGATTGTTCAAAGGAGTTTTCAATCCTTCAATTGAAGGTCGTGCCCCGCTGTTGTTACAGAATGGAATTATCCGGCGCAATTTAAGCCCTGGCATGGAGGAAAGTTTGTAATAACATACGACAAGCAGCGATGTTTGTTTGGAATCCAGAAAGGAAAATTAAAATCTGTGGGAGACAGAGGTTATGCAGATAAGGTGGCCCCGACACAGTGGGTCATTTTTGTCCAAAAAATGAACACATTTCAATTTCCAACTGGGTCTGAGCTGATTACGGACAAATTAGTTTTCTCGACCAACTCAGAATTCACGGCACGATGTAACAATGTCTTGTTTACAAGCAGTTGAAAACCAACAGTTTCTTTTTGAATCGTCGGATTAAGACGAGTCACCGCGATCTGAGAAACAAGGGCTATTTGTGGAACCCATGAAGTACTGCTGTGAAGCGACGTGAACTGAATTCCAATGAAGTTCTTTCTGTGCTAAATGCACAAAGATGATTTGAAGATATCGTTTGGATTTGATCAAGAGTTTCATTCGTTGACCTGTTGTTGGGATCTTAAGAAGCTGTCAGACAGAACTATCAAGTTTTCAAGTGAGACAAAAGTTATTCACGCCAGGAAAGATTTGTTCGACGAAAAGATATCAGCAACGTAAAAGAAATATTTCCTTTGAATCAGTGGAATATCAAATTCTTCTCAGTCTAACCGCCGGTAAAATACCTTATGCTATGTTATTCTCAAGCGAGGTTTGAACTGTTTTAGTTTATAGCGTTTATCGTCCGGCAAAATCGAACTTAATATTGATAGTTCTCTTCGCCACATTTACAATCAGTTAAATTAGCCCCTCGGGGTCGGCAGGGGTCCTTGTATAACCATTAATTAGTTCTTCACTACAACTAATCCGGCCCCTCACCTTTAAAAAAGCGGCGAGGCTTGAGATTAAAAAAAAAAAAAATTGATTCAACTGAGAATTGTGTCGTTGAGATGTGTGCGACATATCAATTTAGAAGAGGGTTTATTAAGACTGTCACAAGGCAGAATTGTTGTGGTCACTTTTTTCAAGCGAAACAATCGGAAACCACACTAAATAATGAATAGGGCGGTCCGAAATTTATTCAGGACACGGTAGATTTAGTGTCGTGGTTGATCTGCATTCTGTTAGCTTGATTTTACGAGCAATTAGTTTTGAATTAGTGGTTTGTATATAGACACACTTTGAATTTTTTACGGTTTTCACACCAAACCCACGCCACCTCGTTTCGTCTTGACACCGATTCCTTTAACACAAACTTTATTTTGATGTCGCACAGCGAAGAAATTTGGTGTAAACTTTACCACGCATTCCTTATATTTATATCAACTTAAGATAAGTTGGAATGAATTTGGCTTCTAGTTGTAACTGAAAAATTCAAAATGGAGGAAATAGTATTTGAATATAAAATAAGGTTGTTAAAGCACACTTCAACTGAAGGTGACTGTTTAAGAACTGATGTAAACACATGCCACTAGAATACCAAACTACATAGAATTCTGCCCTCAAGAGCAAAGGTTCGTTATTTTTTTCAGCCACGTGTAACAAGTCTTCTGTTGCGGCCTGCATCACAAAAGAGATAATTTCAGACTGTGCGGATTGCCACTTTAAGCTGTCTTATCAATAAACGCCTTTAGCGACCTGAAATATTGACGGGAAAGGTGTTAAGTTCTGTTAAGAGTCATCTTAAAACGCAAGATTGGACCAGAAGCTCGCTCACACAAATGTAGACCACGACTTTGTGCTCAAAACCGAATTCAATATCAGTAATAACAGAAAACCGTACTTGGTCAGAAGTTTTCTAATCAAGTTCACTTTACACTTAATCATACAATTTTTGAGGTAGATTTAACTCGAAGTTCATTTTCGTGTGTTTCAGTATAACTTTTATATTGTTTTGAGTACGATAGGAAATCCAGGAACTTTTCCAAGGACTTGAGATAAAAACTCAGACAGCAAGCTCGATGAGCACTCTCACACACACTAAAAATATCATAGATACATAAACACAACTAAACGTAAAAATATTTGGGGAGTGATTGATGACAAGAGTCCATGTTCATCGGAAGAGGGCAGATGATAAAGTCACATGAATGGGATCTCAGTGAAAGCTGTTATGCAATACAAATCGTGTCTGGCTCAAATATTAAAACTGGCATTTATTCGGCACAGATATCGATGAATAACTTGCATGAATATCAGCCTAAATATCGATGACTTAAGCACTTTTGTAGCTGTTATTCAGCTCTTTAAAAAAAGAAGAGAGGAACGATTCGGTGTTAATAAAACTTAGTTTTGTTGATGTAAATGCTTGCACCGTGAAATCAAGATCTTCTAGCAATGAACTCTCCTAACAGGTTTTAATCTTCTTATTAGGAAAAAAGCTATTTTTTACTCTTTTTAAATTATGATAAACTTTCCCACCATTCGAAAGACATGAACTTTTTAGCGACGTGTCAACAACAGTCTTTGCATCTAATGAGTTACCCGTTCTTATTTCCTTTGCATAATTGCCCTGGTTGGTGTCGGCTAAAACCTTTTTTCTGCTAAGCTGTTGATCTAGAATCATCTCTTTCGCCATTATTTCCTTTGCCTCACTGTTATGTTTTCTCAAACTCTTTTCCACAAATTAAGATCATTCTCTTCCACCTGTCTAGTTTAAAGACGGTTATTATATTGAATAATGTTTCATGTCTCGAAAAAACAACTTAGCGAAGAACTCATTACGATAATCATTTAGAAAAATGACTAATTGCTCTGGGAAATTAATCTTCCAAAGTCTTTAATCATCAACACAACCTTCTTTTGTTTCAATATCGAACTTCTCTTAGTAATACAAACGAAGCAAACGGACGAAAAACAAGACAAAACAAACCTTTGTCCTTCCGTGAAGTTCTCTGAAGAAATTAATTTAAAACCAATTGTCTTTGTGGCAGTTATCAAACAGGTTTAAGGTGTTTTTAGGTGGAAGATCATATCCAATATCCAGTCTAAGTTTGATTATTCCAGCGATAAAGCAAATTATACATGATGTATAATTCAAAACTCCTCGATTTTACTAGTTTGCTTCTACATAGGGTTTTCGGTGCAGTGACCAACGAGACGAAAGGACGTTGCGTAATTACAACGAATGAACTCAGTTAAACGAAAATTATTTGAAAATATTTTATTTTTCCGAAGCAACTGGCTGAAGATGATAAGAAAGATTAGAGAGTGCTTTAAATTGAGGAAGTTCAAATTTACATGCTCAACCATCAAGCCGGTCATGTTAATTACAGCTTCATCCTAAAAGGAGGTGCAGTTTTTCATTTACTTCAAATTTAGTCTGAAAATTGTCCATATCATCTTTCCATAATGGAGGAAACGACAACAATTATAGCCGAACAGGTGAAAGGTCGGTAAATTTCCTCTGCTCTTAAGCTCTGAAATGACAGAATTCTCTTAATAGCACATTTAGCTTATCACACAAATTGATGCAGTTCACGTTTCTCTATTTTATTGTTTTAACAGGTCTGACAGGTGAGTGGACGTCCCATGGACATCGCGCGATATCACGAAAGTATTTATAGATTCTAATGAATTAGTAATCGGAAAGAAAACTGCGAAGTCAGATGTGTATGAGCACAATGTGCAAATCGAAATAGCAAAAAAAAAAAAAACATTCTGATATATACTTTGCCTCAGAGAATTTCGAGGAAATGAGCTAGTTCCTTTTTTCCAACAATCTTGCCTCCTGTGGCGACCATCTTTAGGAAGAGACCACCTCGCGAAAAACATCGCGTGCCAAAAACCCTTAAGTTGTCATTCATAAAATCAACCACCTGTACTAACTGAAAAATGGGATGTTATCACGCTGGGCAAGATGGCATGGAAAACGAAAATTCCTGCTTTTTTACTGCATTTGTAGAACATCATGTCAAGAACAAAATAATGGGAGATCATGAGAAAAAAAACCCTATCATTTTTTTCTTGAATGAAAACACCTACACCGCATACGCTAAGGTCAATATGGCTGGTAGTCAACGACTGAATGATTTCGAACAATGAAATTCAAGGAAAAAACGAAAACAGCAAGCCAGTCTTTGTCTTCCATCTGCCTGGAGAATGTTCATATCAGATAACTGAAATACCTTTTCATTTTTTCTTCTCTTTCTTTAAGGAGAATTTCGAAACCAAACTGAGAACAAAATTGTCAGTATGAAGAATCACCGAGTATGTGGAGGAGTCTGCTTGTTATCGTGATTTTGTATTTGGGAGCCGTTGGGAGCCATCAAGCTTTTGCTGGAATAACTTCAATTGAACAAATAGGTCGAGCTTTTTTAGAGACCTCAGCGAAACATAAAAAGAAAATAAGCTGCTCCCATAACCACTAGCTCAATTTTTTTTTCGGGTAGAAAATGACAATTTTCAATTTAGAATTCAGCCGCTACTTAACAACCGTTGTTTTCAGTTTAGAACATTAATATTCAGTTTAACGTTTCGTTTATTAAATGGGTTAAAACAAAGCACCCGTTCTTCTCCAACACCCAGGGAGGTCCAAGTTTTCCATATTTTCCGGAAAATTTCCGAGGAATAAAATGTTCATGATTGAGTCAAGGTAAATATCTCCTGGATCGAACTCAATATCAGGACATTTTCTCTACTAAAGAGTTTTTCGTGAGTTATGATTGAACCTTCGAACCTTTTGTCGATCTGTAAATTCTCTCAGAGAAACCCATGCCATTAGAGAAGGAATAAAAAATTGGCACTGACAGAATGAGACTCGAAACACTGCAAAATTTCATTTCGTGTCCGTCACGCGTGGGCTTCGCGTTGTAACACGAAATTTTATTGGGATAACATCAATCCTTTTTACTGAATGCTAAATATCGGCGCACCGGTTCTTGGAGTTCAAACTTTTAATATTGCAATCGGTGTACTTTAGAATATTTGCTGATATTACGTAGCCTAAAATGTAAAAATGAATAAATTGATGAGTTTCCCTGGGTGGTCCACGAAATTACCCTTTACAGGATACTTTTTGCCAACAGCCGGAGGAAAATCGTATTTTTAATCACCGGTGGAACAAAAAGTTATAAAAGAGAAGAACAAACAAAAAAAGAGAAACAAATCCCACCCTGATACGGTCTGGACCTTTCGGACAGTTTCTGTCCTACCAACACGAGACTCGATCATCAGGAAACTCAAAATGAAAATTGAGAATTCCTTAATTGCTTTTAAACCTTGTTAAGGAAAGTAACTCATTTCAGAGCTTTGTTTACTGTCTGACAAATGCTTTTAGGAAGAGGGCGGATTTAAAAATATTGTCACTTAATGACAGGTTTTAATTCGACGCACTTTTCTCAAAAGCTGATACGAGGTTTTTTTTTAGTCCCCTCTTGATGGAAAAATTAGAAGGCGAAATAAAATGTTTACAAAGAGACGAAGTAACGTCTTCCACCTGTCTGCTGTCTGTTTTATTAATGCGGTTATTTTATCTTGAATGAGGGGAAGAGGGAAGGTAAACAAGTAAGATGCTATATAACTGAAAGTAGGGTCGGTTTTAAAAATATCTTTGTTATAATTAAAAAGGTTTAATTATTCAAAGAGACATTAAATATATTGTGCCTAACTTACTTGACATCATTATAACACGCGGGTTTTAATTTGCATGTAAATTAAACATCTAAAAACATTAAATATCAAAAACATGCAATGGATGAAAAATAAACAAACAAGCACAGCTGATTTCACCTTTTTGAGACATGATAAATTTACAACCACAATAGCTACTCGTTATTTCAGGGTTCAATGGTGGATGGTATTGCAAAAACTTTCTATAATCTTGGGGAGAGGGGTGGGTGAAGAGGGAGCGTAAACACAAGCTAATATACGCCAGTACTATACCTAAATATCGCTGAGGAAAACAAAATACATCCTAATATTGACACATGATCCGGCCTCTTACGATCTATGTCAAAGATATTGCTGCATATACAGTTTAAAACAAATAATCCTCCTTCAAAATACTATTTTTTTTTTCAACACAGAAATGTGTAAATTAAAATAGATCTAAGTAGCCACCTTGACTTCCGCAAATGGCAATACTGTTTAGATCTCGCCTTCTCGTGTGACAGTCTATAAGTTTTTTGCAGGTTTTGTGATTGAAACATCGCTACAATATAGTTGCGGTCAAAAGTATTCATCAAACTACGCAGATCAGTCATATTCGCAATTGTTTTTTACTTCAGCTAACGATAAAAAATGAGTTATTGTCACGGAAGACCAAAGCATTTTTTGACCGCGGTAATATCTAACCTTGTTGTTGTGTCTTGCACAAATTCTAATTTGAGGGCGTATGTAATGGGCCATTTCAAAATGGGGACGTAACTTATTTTGTAATCGATCGTCGAAAAAAAAACTTCGGCTCAATTCATGCTATTTTTAGTGTTTCCTGCTTTTTTCTCCATTTTTTGAGAGCCACAACGTAAACAAAAAGACCTTAAAATGTTCCTCCATGAGCATGAATTTTTTCAAACACTATCAGCCTTGTTCTCTGCTTATTCTTTGAAAAATTCCGGGAGCTTCATTTACACAGAAAGAATCCAGGAGAAGGCGACCCCGCAAAGAGTGACATCAGCTTGATTTCTTGAGTTTTGGAGCAATGAAACTCCTCATGAAGGCCGACAGGGATGGTGGAATACCAGCATTTGCACGGCTTCTCGACAAAGTTTTATTCACAAACGATATCTGTTTGAAGAAAGAAATTCTTTAAATATTAAAATGAATCAGAAAGAAACCACGATTAGATTTCAATTTTTTTTCTCTCCTTTTATTTCCTTACCTGAACATCTGGCACCTGAACCAGTAGAGAATTTTCTCGCGAGTTGAATAAAGTCTTGCGTTTTTTGGTGCAGTCCAATATGGAGGGGTTTTCAGTGTTTGTGGTGTAGGTCGAGCCACACTGCTTTTCGGATAGAGTGGACACCTCACGGACACGCAGAGTAGGTTTTCTAAGACCAGACAAAAACAGCATTTTTCACCACAGTATTTTACGTGTTTACAAAGGGGCTGGACTCGCTAGTGACAGATTAAGTAACACTGATCCCAAGAAGCACTAAGTGATATCGGTACACGTTGGGCAACCCAATGAGTCTCTTTTCGATGGTAACCAAAATACCTCGAAGGTCTGGGAATCTCTCTAGTTCGACTGGGCCACGTTGTTGTTTTTTGTGATTTTGCACAGTTTTAATAATCTAAGAGATTTCTGCGACGTAAGTGCCCCTCGTGAGCAGGCCATACGAAGAAGGACGTTTTAAATGAGACTCTCTTTAAAACGGAAAGATATTCACTTCGTTTCAGAAAATAGGTTTAAAAGGCAGGAAAACCTCCGGAAAGATATATTTCATTAGGTTCTGCCTCCGGAAATATTTTTTTCCCCTGGTATTTTTGAATGAAACATCTAAATTTAAGACAGTATTGTTATTGAGCTCGTCATAGTTTAAATTCCCGAGGAAAGTGATCTATTGAGGAATATTTTGCAAGGTCACGCTCTCGACATTGTTTTTCACAGCAGTATTTGTCTCAAAATGCCATCTTACGCCGAAAACTTATTGTTTCTTGTCAAAGCTCGGATGTTGTTTAGTCTTATTGGCGTCATCTCTGCGTGTCGTGGTTGGAAAAAGGGAGGAAAGAATTTCAGTGATATTAAACTCCCTAATAAATTAGATTAAACGCTTTGGCGTTTATAATTTTATCTGTGTTTTGGAGGGCGGCGTTCACTCGAAGTTGTCTCTGAAGACTGAATATCCACTAGATAACAAAGTGAAATCGCCAATGAAGATGGAGTAGCGACTAAAAAAAATGGAAAGTGACTTTTTATATTAAGCTTAAAATACCTCAAAATAATATACACCTCTGGTCCTGAAAAGAGGCCCGGTTCATTGCCGAGTGTTCTATTGCTCAGCTGATCAAGCATCAGACTGAGAAATCGTAAGGTATGAGGTTCGAATCGTCACGTTTTTGAAAAATGTTCATCACCTTTTCAAAAAAAAAGAAAAAATCTCCTCTTTCTTGACAAAACCTCATCAACTTCACCAAAAAAAAAAAAAAAAGACAAGAAAAGTTTCTTACCTTTTCTTAATTACCTTTTGTTTGCCACCTTGTGCATTTTCTTTTGTGCCCCATACTATTTTCCCTTTGCCCCCTGATTCTGTGGGACCTTGCCCGTTTTTTCTTGATCGACCTGTGTCCCGCGAGTTCTGTTCATTAGCCTGACACGATAGTTGCGTGTTAGAATCCCTGTCAGTGGTGCCTACGTCTTGTTGTTTCTTTGATTTAATGATATCATCAACTGCTTGTAACTCCTGCGCGGTGTGCCTCTTGTTTCTGTTCTTCGAGGGGAGGTCATCTTTCTCCTTTTCATTGTTAATTTCAAGCCCACTTTGGCATTTCTCGCTATGTGAGGGTTTTTCATGGTCAGATAATGATTCTTCGACCGTTTTGATTGAATTGTCGCTTAAAACCAACTTCCCTTTGTCCGATCTCTGATTTCTGGAAAGTTGGCCATGAGCGGATGTCCCATTACTCAGCCCTTCCAGCACTTCCGTTTCCGGTTGTTGAGATGTCCCGTCAAGAGGTTTGTGAACTGTCGTCGCACGTGAGAGGCGTGACTTGTCAACACCCGGGCGATCAATTTCACATGATGACATCTCAATGTCACGTGGAAATGGATTAACTTCTGGTGATGATGTCTTCGAAATGGCGGGTTCGCTACCTTTCTGACATTCGACACCGGCTTTGGATTTCTTTGCCACGGTCTCGCCGTCAATAACATTTGGTTTTAGTTTAATTTTCTTTGCTCTTCTTCTCAAGACTCTTCTTGACCCTTGATCTGTGATTTCGTGCGCGCTTCTCTGCTCAATCGCGTTGCCTTCCGCAGGTGAAGACTTATCCTCTGTTGATGTTACTCGTCTTTGGCTTCCTTTTTCCTTTGCGCTCTTTAGTTTTTTCTTGTCCTGTTCTTGGACGCCCGAGAACTCTTCATCCCACTTATCTTTAGAAGACGTTTCTACTTTTTTATTGTCCTCAGTCAATTGTTTTTGTTCTTCACTCAGATCAACAAAGAAATCGTTGTCTTCGTCAATGGATAAGATCTTCTGTTCTTCAGTCCCTGGATTCAAACTTTCAGGAATCTGCTTCTGCGAAGGTTTCTTCTCAAATTTCTTTTCATGATCTTGCAAGTCGTCGTTTTTTAATTTTACTTTTCCTTCTTCGCCACTTTCCAATTCTCTCCTGTTTGCAATATCCTCAACAACTGCGTGTTGTAGCACCTCTCGTACAATTTCACCACGTCCCTTTTTCACTGAGCTTACATCTTCCTCTTGAACCTCCATACCAGGTTTATCTTCACTTGTATCCGGGTTTTTACCAGTCTCTGGTGATTTATGTGACTTCCCCGGGGTTTTGTAATCCTGGAAAGGGACGTCACCCTCTTCAGAAGCACCGGATGCTATCGATAAACCTCTGGCGTTGCAGACTTCAAGGATTTCCCTTTGCTCTTCTCTCAGTGTATTTGAAGAATTCCTCTCATATGTAACGTTATGATTACGAAGAACCTTCTCCTTTTGAGGACTCTTTTGTTTTCCTTCGTTTTCTTTCTTACCAAATTTGTCGTCTTCTTGTTCTTTATTACTGTCTTGGACAGTTTTATCTTTCGCTTTTCTTCCCCTGTCATATTTGTGTTGATCTTTCCTCGGTTCCGCTTTTTTCCTTCCTCTCTGATTATTCAGTTTACCATCTGCTTTCACAACATCCTTCTTTCCATTGTCACTCGCATTCCCATTTTGCAGATCTCCGCCAATCTCTTGGCCGTTAGAACCTTGGAAAAGTTCGCTCATCAAAGCGGAGGTTTGAACTTGTGTCGAGGCGTCACTCTTTTGAGAATCAACCTGAGTCATTGTCGAAGCGTTGTTCACATCAGTCCTGGCTTGAATACCCTTGGTCTTGTTCCAAAAAGGAAATGTTATTTATTACAAACTAGCTGATTTACTGAAGGCGTTTCTGCTGCATTCGTTTCTTTTTCTGGCTAACATTTGGGTGCACTGAAAGGCCGGGTTAACTAAACGACAATTCGCAGCGACGTTTCACGGGGAAAAGTCGCAGCGACAATTTTCTTCGTGTGCTCTGAATTAAGTCTATGAAAATCTGTCAGGGTGACTGAATTTTGATGCTACGTTCAGTTACAAGGATCGAAGCCAGTCTGAACTCGTGCAACTGACCACAGAGACTACAACTCAGTTCGCGAAGTGAGTCTCGCCCTTCTATGAACGGACAAAAACTAAAAAATAGCACTCAAAACGCTTTGATCCTCAAGGATGGCGAAACGAAAAAAAAATTTACCTTCATTGAAACTTCTTTCTTTTTCAACTCCCTCCTGAGTTCTTCAGCGTCCTTAGATGCTTGAATCTGCTTGTCCTTTGCGGAAAGGAGAGGAAAAATATGACTGAAAACTAAGACGTGCCCCCATGAATGGAGGAGTTTTCATTGGAGAGGGGTTCAAGAACTATTCTCCAAGACATGTACAAATCCTTGGACATAGGATATCACTTTGTGATGAAACTATCTTTAAGGCTAGCAAGAGGTTTTTATCTTTTTGTTCGTTAGAAAAATGCTTCGTAAAATTACCTTCCAGGTCTTAATCTCCCTTTTCAATAAATTTTCCTTGTTACTCGAAGTGGCTCTGTACTTTTCAATTTTTCCATCCATTTCCGATTTCATTCTGTCTTCCAGTTCTTTCTTCTCCAGAAGATGCTGAATTTTTTCATCCTATCGGTCAAAGTTTAAAATGAGATAATGATAACAGCAGTGACAAGCACGGAGGAGATGATGATGATGAAAATGACTATTGAATAATGATAAAAGATCCAGACGCTCTCAAATTTAATTAGAATCTTTCCGAGACCTGTGTGAACTTTCGAGGAGGGTTTCCACAGGTTACCCAAAATGGAGCCTACACTACAATACCTCGATCGCGATCTATTTCGCCGATCCCAAGGAGGCTCAAGAAAACAAGAATTGGTAATCAGCATTTACCTGGAGTGTCTTTTGAGTGGTTTGTTGCTGGCTTGTGACGTTTTCGAGTTCCGTTGACAGGGATTCAACCTGCTCCTATACAGGAAAAAAGATTGAGATGTGATCCTATCAAATGACCATAGATGCGAAATTCAGTGATCTAAGAACTAAAATGACTAAATTTTGGTAAATAAACATGCGACTACATCTTTTACCATTGTCCTTCAGTTTTACCTTCAGTCTGCATTCGTGTTCTCGGACTTTGTTATTGACTCGAACATTCTTCATAAGCTGCTCGTTTTTACACAAGAGTTCTAATTCTACTATAGACCGTTTACAGAAAAACGTATCTTGGAACACCTGTAGCTTAGATCTTTCGTATTCAGCCTCTAAAAGTTTCAGTTCGACGGAAAAACAGTTTTCCTTCCTATTGGAGCCGTCCGCCATCTTTATCAGTTTGAAAGCAATCGCTCGCGCTTTGTTTTCAAACTTGTTAACTTTAATCGTTGATTGGTCAAAATATGGAAAATATTTAGCGCTGATTGGCTCTTCAACACTACATAGCAAATCACCGCTGACCACAAAAATAGATGTCGCTGGCGCTTGGGATTGAAAGCAGAAAGAACATGGCGGTGCTAATTAGAAACTTTCTTATTTTCTTTCCACTTCTGGTCATATTTCCAGCACATGCCCTCGACAATGGCCTAGCCATCACTCCACCAAGTAAGGCTTTCATTGTTTAGTTTCAGATAAGCGAGGAATAAGAGATATTTACACAGGAATATTTATTGCTTTTTTTCCTCTATCAGCTGTTTTGATTGGATGTGCGATTTTTGTGCAATGCTTAGGCGTTTTCATATCTCTTCACCCCAGGAATGACATTTGTTTATATAAGGCTGTAAAGAGAAAGAGGCATGAATGAAGAAAAAATTTATTTACAATTTAGGAAGGCTATCACCTTGCTATTTGCTCTAATAAACTAGAGTAAAAAGGTTATGACTTATCTGCAAGTTATGTCTTCGTTGTGTGTAGTAGGAAAAGTGATTTTGGCAGGGATGCACCTGTTTTCTCAATTATAACCGTTATTAACTCTTAAACGCTTAATAACAACTGCATTATCGTCAATTTCATTGAACTAAGTGTCTGTTTGAGTAAACAGTTTTATAAATGATATTATTCTTAGTGGGATGGATGGCATGGGAGAGATTTCGATGTAACATCGACTGCAAGGATGACCCACAAAATTGTATCAGGTAAAAGTAGTCCTGCCCTGCCTGTATCTTAAATACTGGATACTAAAGATTTTTGAAAGTACATTAGAGCAAGTTCAAACTTATGTGTAACCTTGGTTATTCTTTTTTCACCACTGATTATCCGTAGGAACTTCTGTGGTCTCCCTTATTTTAAGTATGAAAGGTAAAAGTAATATTGAAACCCATAGAGAAATCCTTCCACCTGTTGAATTTTCTAGAATTCCAAGCAGTTTTAGGCAGTAGTGAGAGGTACTATAGTTGGTAAATTTTACTGATTACAACCTGAAAAGGAGAGCACTGAATTTTGAGGACGTTATTTTATTTACAAACTGAAATGTGCATGATATACACTCCGGGATTCCTTTTGATGAGGGGTATAAAGCTGAGAAGAAAAATAATTTTTGTATGGATAGATATGTAATTTGAATATGTGATATTTGCTGGATAATGATTCAAATATTTTACCTTTATTCACTGGTATTTAATACTTTGTTGTTGTCACTTTTTTTTTCCCTCCAAAGTGAAAAATTGTTCATGCAAATGGCTGATCGTATCGCTGAAGATGGTTTTCAAAAAGCTGGATATGAATATGTTTGTATCGATGTAAGTACCATGCTTAACTTGTTAGTTACCCATAATTTGATGCATGTAGAACTTGTTATAATAATATGAGAATTATTTTGTAGTAAGGTTAGATATCACCCTTACATCATACATTGAGGTGAGGAGAATAAAGAAACTGATCACTGACTTAAGAGGCTTGTGATTGTTAGACAAATTCTCCCTGTTGGCACATTAGGAAATGTTAGGAGAACAGTATAGAGATTATGCTTGCTGATGTTAGAGTGTCAAGGGTTAGCAGTATCAAATAACTTTAACATTTACTGACTCATGTCTCAGGACTGCTGGGCTTCTCACAATCGCACATTAGAAGGTGATCTTCAGCCAGATCCCAAGAGATTTCCAAGTGGAATTAAAAAGCTTGCTGACTATGTAAGTAATAATAAAAAAAAAAAAAAAAAAAGAAAAAATTAATTTTATAAGCAATGAGAAGCTGAGGATCTGAACTGAAGCCTGAGTGAGAAGGACCAGAGCCAAGTTGGAGGGGGAGAGGGGAGGGAGGGTAGACCTAAGTCACAGCAGGAGAGACAAGCATTCCAACCCTTTTGCTCTTATGGCTTCCTTTTGTAGCTTGATGACTGTTACCTCACAAAATTGTTTCTAATCAATAAATTATTTCAAACTGTAAGTAAACTATTAATAAGAGTTCAGTGATTTGTGGAGCTCAACTCTCAATAAAGTAGTGCCACTTCTTGTGTAAATTAGAAAATACCACTCAATACTCCTTCTCTATCATTTACTTCCAACCATTTTCTGGAATTTGTGACTCTCCATCACAGATTTATTAAATTTTCTTTTTCAATCATTCTTTTCCTCAGATTCATTCTAAAGGTCTCAAGTTTGGATTATATGCTGGTAACAATGCTCATGAAATTCTCCAGAAGAAAATTAAAAAATTGGATTTGATTTTATATTACAACTAAATTAATGTATTCCTAGAAATACTTTTTTTTACCAGTTTAACTGCTTGCTTGCTGAAATTAGGTGTTGATAAACATTAATAAGAATGAAAATACTATTAGTATGTGCTTCAATCTAATTAGCACTCTGGTCTTTGGTACAGTGGTACCATAACTTTTTAATTATGGCTGTGGTATCCCTTATCTAAATTGATCAAAAATACATGTTCAAAACTGGAATCAATAATATTCACAGCACTTGAACTTTGTCTTCTTCCAGATTATGGTGATCTAACCTGTGAGCGTTATCCAGGAAGCATAGACTATATTCAACAGGATATGCAGGTACTTCATTGTTCATTAAAGGTAACATAACACTCTCTGAAAAATCATTGGCTGAAACATCATCAAAATGGTATCACAATTAAACTGACTTGCGCACAAAACTCTTCAAAATGCAATTTTACTCAAACCAAATTAAAACACTGCCTCTTGCACAAGATATAATCATTTCCATGGCTTAATTGCAAGCAAGATTCATGTTGCAGTTTCTGCTGTAGCTGTTTTTGGCAGAGGCACTTGTGAGAGATCAAATTCATCACTCTGTTGAATAACTATAGATTCCCATTTCATTTATTTGCTACAGTTGTTTGCTGACTGGGGTGTAGATTATCTCAAGATGGATGGTTGTTTTGCTGATCCTCTTACATTTGACATAGGCTACCCAACAGTTACAAGAGCATTGAATGAAACAGGGAGACACATTGTGTTCTCCTGTAGCTGGCCTGCTTATCAAGTGTGGGGTGGAATGACGGTAATTTTGCAATAAAATTTTTGATTAATCTCAGATAAATTACTTTCTAGCTTTTAGGCCTACCCTTATCTGTGATATGCACCAAAGACCATGGTTTGATTAAGTTTCCATGTCAGTTGTGTAAGAGGATAAATTTTAGTTTATTTGCTGACAACCTTCACCCTTCAGTGCCATATCAGAAGTAAAGTAACTTTCCCAGGAGCCAGAGAGGCTATTTTCTGTCAAGCTTTTATGGTTCTAGGATCCATATAGGATAACATTTAGCTTTAGTTTATATCTAAGATATTTCTCTGTTACTATTGCAAATTACCAGCTATGATCAATTTGTGATAATGAGTGTTCTTAATTTGCTCACCAGCCTAATTACCAGCTCATTGCAAAGCACTGTAATTTATGGAGGAATTACAATGATATACAGGTGAGACATCATTATAAAGTGACTAACAAAAGTGATTTTTATTTCATTATTTTGCACTCAATTTGCTAATGCATGATTATTAATCCCAGCTGTGCTGCATCATTATTGCTTCCTTTTTGTTCTTGACAACTTGTTTGTTGTTATACGTGCAAGGATTCTTGGCTCAGTTTGGTAAGAATTGTAGAATGGTATGGTGATCACCAACATGAAATGATACCTGTTGCTGGACCTGGACACTGGAATGACCCTGACCAGGTGAGGTGATTGTCTAACTGTATAGAGACTTAAAGGCATCATCTGTGTCACACTTGACTTCAAAGCCATTTCCTGTCAATGTTGTGCTGTTATGCTGACAACCTGTGACCCCCGACTTCACACCTGCAACAGAAAACTTCATATCCAAAACCCACAACATTGTAACCACAACCTCCATGTCAGGGCAATGGGTAATTCTCCCCTAAGAGAGCTTTCATTTGAGATGTTGGATGAAACAAAATAATTGGTCAGTATGCAAAAAGAGAAGTGGGTGAAGGGGGAGAAGGGCCACCAAGTGTTCTATTTTAAGCAACTGGCATCATTTTTTTGGACTTTTTTGCACTTTCCTAGTAAGACTGTGCTTTTACTCTAAAAGAACCCTGTTTTTACCTATAATTCCTAAAATTTGTTTTTGGTTGAGTGACCTGCTTCATCATCATGTTATTAGTCACTTGCTCTTTTTCTGATTGTATATTCCAAAGAACTAAGTAAAATAGTGCAAAATAGCTACCTGCATAGAATTTATAACTTTCTCACAAACTTTCATGCTACTAACATTAATTTTACCGGTACAAATAAAGAAATTAAAAATTTAGTTCAAATTAACTTATGTCAGGTGTGATTAAACACATTTTAACCCTTACATTAGTAGAATATGAGTTATGATCAGTTGCTCACAGGATGTTTTGTTTCATCAGCTATTGATTGGAAATTTTGGTCTTAGCTATGAGCAGTCCAAGTCACAGTTTGCTCTTTGGGCAATTCTGGCTGCTGTAAGTTTTTATTTTTAGTAACTGTCCTTTGATCTTTGATGTGATCATGGTAAATATCTTACATGTTGTTTGGAGACATATGAGATTATTGGTCATTCATTTCATTATTTCATGTAATTTTTTTTGTCATTATAGCCACTCATGATGTCAAATGATCTTCGTGATATTGCTCCATGGGCCAGGGAAATATTATTGAATAAGTAAGAAGTTCAGTTGGTTTAAAATTTTTAAATGAAGAAACAATTGAATTATAATGGGTATAAAATAGTGAAATTGGAAGTTAAAAACGAGACTTCCTTAAGTGACCTTTTGTCCAATGTTCCTTGTTGAATTGGAGGAAAAGCTGAGAACCCTAAAAAAAAAAAAAACTCTCCGAGCAATAACAAGAATTAACAGCAAACTTAAACCATCTGTGATGTCAGGTTTGAGAAATGAACCCAGGCCTCAGCAGTAAGAAACGAACATTCCAACCACTTCATCATTGCTGCTCCACAGTTTCCTGCTCTTAGGCAAATTTCAGTGGATTTTCCTTTTATTTAACTATCAATCTCTTTCCTTTTGTTTTTGTCAGGGAGGTGATAGATGTGAATCAGGACAAACTGGCAAAGATGGGGTGGCGAGTGTCTCAGGTGAGAATCCAAGTGCAGCCAAGAACATTTTTGTTAACAATTTTAGATTTAGATTTTGATGATTTTCTGCATTCTAGACACTAGTGTCCGATTTTAGATACAAGTGTCCGATTTTAGACACCAGTGTCCAATTTTAGTCACTAGTGTCTCATTTTAGACACCAGTATCCAATTTTAGACACTATGGTCTGATTTAAGACACTAGTGTTCAATGGTAGACACTAGCGTCTGAGTTTAGTTGCCAGTTTCAGATTTTATTCTCTAGCGTCCAATTTTAGAGGCTAATGTCCTATTTTAGACCCAAATGTCCAATTTTTGAACATAAGTTTTTGTTTTTAGACACAACTGTTTGGTTTTACGCATTAGTGTCCGATTTTAGATAATAGTGTTGGATTTAAGACACCATTGACCAAATTTCAGAAACACGTGGCCGATTTTAGAAACTAGTGTCCGATTTTAGACATTAGTGTCTGATTTTAGAAACTAGTGTCTGACTTTAAACACTAGTGTCTGATTTTAGACACTAGTGTCCGTTTCTTGACAATCAGTGTTTGATTTTAGACGCTAGTGTGCGGCATTTGCAGCACTATTTGGTGAAGCAAAACGAATGTAATCTTTGGCTACTTTTGACATTCACTTAAAAAGTTCGCCATACCAGTATTTTCTCCATTGGTTATATTCCTATCGCCAGGAACTCATTCCTGACCGAATCTGTGTTTGTTTTATTGATTAGTCCCCCAGGAGTTTTACCGAGGTGTGGTGTCGTCAGCTGCATGATGGATCTGTTGCTGTTGTTTTGTCTAGTCGCAGAACAGACCAGCCTATTCATATCGAGGCCTACTTCCACGAGGTACCGCTAAAACATGAAATTTCTGACATGGAGACTTTGATAGTTTTGAGGCTTTATTATTTCAGTAGAGTTTGGCAAATCATTGTGACAATTACTTTTTGCTCTAAGCAGGAAACATCTTTAGTGATATATACTTTCCGAACTGGGTGTTTTAGTTTCTCGGGCAGTGAAAGTATACTTACCTACAGCGCCTCTATCCACTCAGTAGTATAAATGTGAGCCAGCGAATTTTCATGGAAATTGACTCACCAACCAAACAGTGACGGATTTTGCCTAAAACAAGGGACTGCTCGTATTCAGCATAGAATCATAGATAACAAAACGATATTTTAATTTCAGAAACAAGTGATCACTTTAAGAAAGACAAATAGTTACATATGTTTTATCATACATATTCCCCTCTCTAGCTTAATTATATTGTTATTGTTTCTTTTAGGTTGGTGTGCCTACCATCATGGCCAAGGCACGGGATCTTTTTGCACATAAAGACCTGGGCATATTCAAGAAAAGCTTCAGGGCCAAAGTTAACCCCAGTGGGGTAGTGATGGTCAAATTGTCTCCTATACATTATGAGTTATAAGATTGGGTCAGCAGTAGTTTTTAATGTAGTGTAGGGTATACCTACAGGTCATGGTGAAATGTCGAACTTTTTATTTATTTTTAAACGTAAATATTGACAGGCCGAACCCTGTATTTATGACAGGTTTTGTGAAAACCTCAGTAATTTTTGAAAACGGTCTCTCAGAGTTTAGGAAGGCAGTGTAGTGAACCGATCAGTGAGACTTTCAAAGACCTATCCAAATGACCAGCGTAAAGTGCAACACTGATTAACACGCACGACCAAGTCACGTTTATTAGCGGGGTCTCTAAAATAGAGCAGTCACATCAGTCTAAAGGAAACCAACCATGATTCCAACTGAAACAATAATTGTCAAACGTTCGTGAAGCGAATTGTTCCGAAAGACCCCTAAATGGATTTTGATTTGTTCTGATGTCATTCCGTTGTTACTTCTACGTTCGTGAACTTAGATGATAGCTAAGTATCTACTGTGGCTGCGCAGTAGTCACGATAAATTGTGTCAATCAGTGCTTACAACCAAGGCAAGCGCAGATGACAAATAATTTATATGGAGTTTTTGCTCGTTTCTTTTAATCGGATCGGTCAATTTTGTGGAAGTGGGAAATAGAATATGTGGATGATTTGAATGGACACTATTTAAACAGGGAAGATTGTTAGGATTCCCATGGAACTATGTTCCATATGCTGTAATTGCGTTCGATCTCGGAATTATATACATTGGGCGAAAAAATTGTGCGCCTAGAATCCTTTTCTTACGATACGTATCGATTTGTTTCTTCCTTTTTTGTATAATTTTTTTATTATTAATTTAGGGTTAAGATTTGTAATTAGTGTAAATTTCCGTTGTGTGTGTCCATATCTAAAAGCTAAAATTGCTACAAAACTATTTTGATATAGAGTAAGAATATAAAACTTAGATACCTGACAAATGCGGTTAAAATAATAAAAAATAAAAATTAATAAAAACAAAAATAATAAAAAAGTAAATAAATTTGATATCCAGGCGGTGTTGATATTTATTTTTTTCTTTTTTCACTTTTGTTATAAATCCAATGGACCAAGATACATAGATAGACATTCGGATTAGAATCGTTTTATGTTAAAAAGACATAGGAAAATAGACTTGTATTTATTTAGAAAACAGACAGGAAAATAGACTTGTATTTATGAGTGAAGTCCATTCAGTTATTGATTTCAATTTCTGGAAGCCGTAGTTCCATTGAAGTGGAACGATATCCTAGCTGGTGAAGGAAGAAAAATATGAAAATAAAACGAAGGCTTATTACACTGTTCATTGTAGCGAAATAGCCATTATTGCAACGCCTGTCTTGTCTCTGTCTATCCACCCACACACTACGTTTACTCGCGTAACCTCAAATCACTCTGGCTGAGTTACCGAGCGGCTGTTATGTCATTTAACTGAGCCTTCTAAACCAATGTTAAAGCAATGCAAGCTAGGAACATACCCTCTTTCTTAGTTACGTCAGTAAAGCGAGCTGCAAAAGGCTGATTAATCTGACATGACGTGGACACTAGAAACAACAAGACCCGGGAAAGAGCTACCAGCTGTAGTCATCGTTAACAGTCTAAGAGCTCACGATGAACTCCCAGCCAAGCAGGGTAATCTTCTAACGCAGCTAGCTCGACAGAACAACACTCTCTGCACAATGAACGTAATTGAAAAAAAAAAAACAACGAACAAAAAATGCAAGTCTTGCATTTCCAGGAGACTCTCACTCAACGTGTCCAAATTCCATAATGAACATCTGAAAAAGTGTTGTTCCAGTAGTTTTTCAGACCGTTCAGAAATTTTTGTCACGATAACTGAATCACATGCGATCGTTACAACCAAGAGATTATAACTGATCAGGAGTATGTTGACTACAAATGGAGTCTTAGTGAATTCAGCAAAATGGCAATCATGGCTGGCGTTACAATTATATCCTCAAGGCTCAAGAAAAAAAACTTTCAAATTTATTCTAGGAAAACGAAATCAACGATGAATGGAAAAAGAAGGAGATGGATGTTGCAGTTGGCAAAAAAGTCGCTAAATCAGCCGGCAACTTTGAAAGTCCTCTTGAAAATACCTAAGAGCATTTTTCAATACGGTTTGGTTTGATTCATGTGATCTGTGCCTCAGGAGGGGGGCATTGGGGTCTATTAGAAAGCGCAAAACCGTTGAAAAAATCATCCAAAACCGAAAAACCGAAAAAAGATTCGATCAAAACCGAAAACCGCATCCAAAACTGTCAAAACCGATGCATTTTCACATCCAAGTTATTAAAACTCTGATCGATCCGATACAGTGGTGACAAGTGGAGTATACAGAGTAAACAACACTAATTTCATTACAGGATTTATGAATGCCATGGACTTGGCATTCGTATCTTCTAGTATCTGCTTAAATCAACAGCTGCTCTCTCGAAGACCTCGAGCGTGATCTCTGCGAACTCAGCAGCTGGTAATGGAGCTTAGTTAAATTAAGGAAATTCACACAAAGTCCTCAATAGGATTGCAATTTTGCAGTCGCAAAAAGCTATAGCTCTGGAAAGTTTCATCCAAAATCCCTAATCTAACATTTCCATTTGCGAACTAAGACCTGAAAGTTTGGAGATTCTATTGGAATGTTGAATCAATAAGTCACATGTGGCCTGTAACTTGGTCACCAACTTCGAGGCGGCGTTGATAAAGACGAAACTCAATGTTCCGTGCTTAGCCGTACCCCACGTATGGCCGTACCCTCCCCTCCCCCCCCACTTTTGGGGGGGGAGGGGAGGGTACTGCGCGTAGGCTACCTAGGGATCCCTGCGATATTTCAATTGGTTTGTCATGCATTCCTCTCCATAACATTTACCTTTAGCGGCTATCCGAGATCAGTGGAGGTGCGTAATTGCCGCTCAGATCGAAGAGAAACCGGAACCCAAATAGGTCAAATAGGGAAAAACCGGAAACCGTATCGGATATCAAATCTGAAAACCCGTCAGTATTTTTCGCGGAAACCGAAAACCAAATGCTAAAAGACGGAAAATCCGCCAACCGCAACCGAAAAACCGAAGTTTTTGGGTACAAAAACCGAAAAACCGTCTAAAAATGGCCAAAACCGCAAAACCAAAAATCCAATGAACCCCTCTCTCAGCGACGTCACGCGAAAACGATCTGCCTCAAGAGTCATATACGGAAAGTGGAAAAAAGGTTTCACTCGGCATCTTCCGTGTTCTAACTTTTATTTTTTTAGCTGAGATGGATTTATTCACCGAAAATATGTTACATCGGCTGAATTTATTTGGTCACCTATAGTTGCTGTTATATGACCAGTCAGGCCTGATGACCAGTATTGCGTTAATCTGATTGCGTGACCTTCCGATGTGAGAGGAGTAAAATGGCGCCCAGATTGTCTTGCTTGTTCTCTATGATTGTTTATATGGCATCATGGCAGGAGAACTTCTTTGCAGAGTCTCTTAACAATGGCCTAGCCTTAACGCCACCAAGTGAGTTGCTGATATGATAATTTTTGGCTACTTTCGGCAGAGATCAGTTTTGGCTCTATATCACATGATACTCAGCTGATCACTGACTTGTAGTCAGCTAGTTAAGTGTCCTCGACTAAAATCTCTCGTCTTCTTCTATCGCACCATGAGGCTAGCTGATTTCTTTCCCCTAAAGTTCTTTGTTGTTTTGTTACCAAATTCAGTTGTTGAACTTCATTTAGAAGTCAACTGAAAGCTGGCAAGATTTCCGAAAAGCCCTATACTTTATTGAGCAGATTGCCTTTTGGACAACGGCTTTGTTCAAAAATAGTATGGGGTTGTACGGAAATCTTTTCCACATTTACATGAAGTTGTTTGCTTCAAAGATTAGGTAAGTGTTCGGCAAAATGGCTAAATTTCAGTAGCAGGGAACTCGGTCAAATAAGAGTCACTCTTTGCAGGAGAGGTGTTTGCCTTAACAGGTGTTGACAGACAAGATGAAGCTCAAAATAATTAATAAATTCTCCCGGAGTTTTCTGGGGACAGGGTGACGTTTTCCACCATATAGAGGGCATTAGAGATTTATCAGGGATGTAGACAGGATTTTCCCATGAGAGGTCCTTACCTCTAGGGGGGCTTATAAGGTTGTTTGTGACCATTGCTATAGATATAAATGATCACTTTTACCTGGCAGAGAAGGGATCACATGCATTCTATTGGCCCACACCCTTTTTATTAATAAAGCTGAATTTCTTTCCTTTTATAGTGGGATGGATGGATTGGGAGAGATTCCGTTGTAACACAGACTGCAAAAATGACCCAGACAACTGCATTGGGTAACTGCTTGATTTGTTGGTTTACATTTATTAGCAGTCCTTAAAAACAAAGGATGGGTTAGTTTTTTTACTTTAATTTTATCTAGTTTTGACTACCTTTGAGTGGGGTGTCCATAAATTTTTCAGTAAGTGGCTACTGATAATGCAATAGGCAGCTGTGCTATATGGCAAAACTCAAACATGAGAGTCTGATGGCAGCTGCTAAACGGATGGCAATGGAAAGTCTTATTGGTGGGGGTTAACCAGCAGTATTTTTTATCTGAAACCCTTGCTGATCTATAATATGGAGAAGTTTGGTATGGTTTAAAATTTTTTTGTTGCTTTTACTGTTTTCAGTGTTTTTAGTGTTTGTTTTTCAGTGAAAAATTATTCATGGATATGGCAACTCGTATGGCTGAGGATGGTTTTAAGGATGTTGGCTATAAATATGTATCTATTGATGTAAGGTTTGATAATTTTTGGCTTAAATTTATCATCATTTGTTGCTTGGTTTACTTGGAAAATTACAGAGATCTGATTGTGAGGAAAGACTATTTGGACCAATTATTTTGCTGGTTCTAATGTATTGGGAGGAAGTGTTCTCCATGAATTTAATAAGTGTTGTATAGATTTATAACCAGATAGGCAGTTACAGGTAACTCAGAATGATTAGAAGGTAAAGAGTTGTGATCTTGCTGTGGAGAGATTTCAATTCACAAACATATCTTCAACAAACATGATTTTACATTCACATTGCTTTACTTTATGGTTTTCTGTTGTGTTTAGCACTTAGGTGGTTTATCAGTGATGACATTAGAAGGATTAAGTCAAAATTTGTTGACACTTCATGAAAGTCTCTTTGATTTGTAGGATTGTTGGATGTCTCACAACCGAACGGCTGATGGCCAACTTCAACCTGATCCTAGCAGATTTCCAAGTGGAATGAAAGCTCTTGCTGACTTTGTAAGTTTGTTATAGTGCTTTTAAGGTCATTAAAAATTCAAATTTGGTGGGATTGTTGCTTTCTTGTTGTGTTTTTCTCTTAGTTTTAAAAGAGACAGACCAACTTTTCTCTAAAATTGTTTGTATTTTAATTTTAGATTCATTCTAAAGGATTAAAGCTGGGAATATATGCAGGTAGCAATTTACATTTTAACTCCCAAGATCTGATTGTTAAACCCCCCCTCCCCTCCCCTCTCTCTAGCTGCTTTGAACACACTTCAATGCTAGGTACAAGAATTTGGTGTTAGATCAAGATAACAACTATCGCCTGATAAGTTTGAGTCTTCTCATTACCTGTTTGCTGGGTAATGTATGGATATTATTGGGAGAAAGTAACATGTTGATAACTTCAGGGAGTTAAAGGATTGAGGACCATCTGTAAAGATATTATATATAATTTGTTCCTTATTCACTTCACAAACTTTACAATTGGTCAAAACATTTTTTTCCTTATAATTCTTCAGATTATGGAACAAAAACTTGTGCAGGATATCCAGGAACCATTGATCACATTCAACAAGACATGGATGTAAGTTAACTGTTGTGTTGTTTGTTGCTACGAATAAGTTATTTTAGGTTCAGAACAGCACTAGTGAGAGGTGACCTTACTTTTGTCTGTTCACACTTCAAGTGACCATTGCATCTATATTTTTTTTCTTTATCCTTTAACCCTTAATAGTGACTAGCATCCAAATTTCTCTCCACAACATCATCCTTGCATCAAACACTCAAGTTATGAGAATAAAGCAAATGATCACTAACTAAAGAAGTGACTGATTGTTAAACAAATTCTCCTTGCCAGCACATTTGGAAATGTATAGAGAACAGTATAGAGAATATGCATACTGATATTAGAGTGTAAAGGGTTAAAGTGCTGTGTAGAATATTTTTAACCCTTAAGGGCTCTGTATATATCTTTCAAAATACATTTTTATAGATTAATTTGCAATAACCTTTATGCGGGCTATATTCCCTTTAATTTATTCAGTGATTCCTTTTCAGACGTTTGCAGGCTGGGGAGTTGATTACTTAAAGCTGGACGGTTGCTATAGTGACCCTGACAAAATGGATACGGGTTACCCAATGGTTACTAAAGCCCTTAACAACACAGGCAGACCAATAGTATTTTCCTGCAGCTGGCCTGCCTATCAAAGTGCAAAGAAAACAGTGAGGATAGACTTCATTGTTATGATATTTTTCTTGGTGCACAATGTTGACTTCCATGCCCAGGAGGAAGTTGTGTGAGATGACATTCGTGATCTCATTGTTACTTTTCAATACTACAGAGCCTTTATGAAAAATGTAAATTATTATGTCTTGCTCAATTTGATAGAAAATGTACGCATATAAACTATAATTAAAAGTAATAGACTGGTAATGTAAGCTATATGTAACTATTAAATGACATGCAGTGTTAATTTTACAGCCTAACTACACATGGATAGCTGAAAACTGTAATTTGTGGAGGAACTACGATGACATACAGGTACCGTGTTTATAAACAAAGTATATAAATTGAAATAGTTCACATACTAATACACTTATGTTAATCTTGTTCCTAATTATTTTTCTACAGGATTCTTGGCAAAGTGTTACATCAATTGTTAAGTGGTATGGTGACCATCAAGATGAAATGATTCCAGTTGCAGGACCAGGAAACTGGAATGACCCTGATATGGTGAAAAGAATAAAATGATTTAATTACCACAGCTATACTGAAAAAAAGAAAAAAAAAGGAAAAAAATTATTTTAAGGAGTTTCTGATTCCTCACAGCCACATTAAGGGGACGGTTAATTCTGATATCTCACTCATCTTCTGGTGTATGAGGAGTAGCTAAAAGCTATTGAGATAAAAAAAATGTCTCTGGATGCAGAGTGTTCAAGGTTATGCTTATGCCTATCCCAGGTGTAGTTGAGCTTGATTTGTAAATTGATCCTGTTATTGATTTTAGATTCATATCAGGATTATTGAAAATCTGAATTTATTTGAATGTATGCTGTTCTATTTCAGCTCATTATTGGTGATTTCAGTTTAAGTTTTGAACAGTCAAAGGCACAGTTTGCTTTGTGGTCTGTGATGGCATCTGTAAGTATCTTTTATATAGATAAATAGTGTATTTTACTTGAACAATTAGGCAAACAGTGATTTTGATAGCTCTTACATAAGGACAGAATAAGTAAGGGAAGAAGTTGAAATATTTTATATGATGCTTTGTCACTAAAATATATTAAAGTTCATTAAAGTTTTATTAATTATTATTAAAGTTTATTATTAGCTTTGTCACAAATACATCACAAATACAATAGAACCACACTAACTCAAACTCCTAAGGGAAATGAAAAATAAGGCAAGTTACATTGGGGCTCTAGTTAATCAGGATGAAATTTGAATTTGAATTATCCTGTTAATGATTAATAAGGAATCATGGTTTTACCATTCTTTTACAATCAATAGTCATTTTGGCACATTCAGTTTGTTTTAAATGAACTTTTTGATATGACTGTTTAGTCTGGGAAGTCAAGGTGAATGTAATCTAGATACTGGATGTGTCAACCAGCCATGTTCAGACATTTTAATGACCTTTTTACTTAAGTTTGAGTTATTATGGTAAATTGGAACCAGGGAAAATTAAAATTAGTCTGAGTTAAGAGGGAGTTTGAGTCAACTAAGTTCAAGTTAGCTTCAGTAAATGATTCAAAAATGGTCTCAAATCCATCAGATTTTGTTGGAGTTAGCAGGGAGTAAATTAGTTAATTGGTTTCTACCGTATTCATAGATGATCTCAAGGCTATCAACTGTGGTTGTGTACTGAATCAATGTGATTTGACTTTTTTCAGCCCCTAATTATGTCCACTGATCTTCGTAACATTGCACCATGGGCAAAAGAAATCCTTCAAAATGGGTAAATTGGAGACTTCTTAATTAACTCTGTATTCAGAATAATTTATGTATAATTTGGGAGCTAAGAGTTTTTCTGATCAGTTAATAAAATTGCAGCTAAAACTGCTAAAATTTGGAAAATGTTTTCTTGAGAGGTAATAGTTTAATGGTTAAATATATTTGCCAACCTCAAAACAGGGCCAGTCATCAATCAGTCAGTCAAACAGTTACTTGAAGAAATTCATTCTTATTTATTTTTCAGCGATGTGATAGCTGTCAATCAGGACAAACTGGGGAGAATGGGACGGAGAGTTCTGCTGGTAAGGAATTCATATCTTCAGCTCTTTAGGGTATTAGTTATGAGTTGCTGACATGCTGGTATGATTTCATGCTGATCATTCTCTCAAACAATCTTATGAATTTGAGCTCATTGAATGCTTTATTGTATGTTTTTCGTTAACTCTTAAGAGTGACTAGCGTCTAATTTCTCTTTATAATATCACCCCTGAATCATACATTAAAGTCACAAGACTATATAGAATTATCGCCAACTAAAGAAGCTCTTGATTGTTAAACAAATTCTCTTTGTCAGCTCCCCAGGAAATGTATTGAGGACTGTATGGAGATTTTGCATACTGGGTTTAGATGCCATGTTATTGTTTGCTATTTCAGGATGGAAATCAAGAGATCTGGGCACGGCCCTTGTCTGATGGATCAGTTGCTGTGGTGTTATTTTCACACTCAGAGTCTACCCCTGAAACTATGGAAGCAAGTTTTAAATTGGTTAGTAACATAGAGTAATTGTATTAATGATGTTGCTTTACAAAATGTCCCCAAAAAGTTGAAGGTTATCAAAGATAAAAACATATTATTTAAGAGACTGAAGTAATTATGATTTTTTTTTCCTTCAGGTTGGGTTAAGTGCTGAGAAAGCTAAGGCACGTGACCTGTTTGAACACAAGGAACTTGGGACATTCATGGGAAGCTTCCATGCCATTGTAAACCCGAGTGGTGTAGTGATGGTCAGATTATCGCCATTAGAGTGACGATCTTGGATGTCTAATGAAACTTGGTAAGGCCAGTACTGAAACAATTGTTCTAGAATTTTTTCTCGGGACGTTAATAAATCTAAATCGGTTGCTCAATTACCACCAACTTATATTTAGAGAGGCTTCCTAGTCTAACAGGAAACGGAAAACCGGCATAAAAATGGTTCAAATTCGAAAATGCATCGAGGGCTATGATCTAAACGGGCATGAAATAGTGGTTGGCATTTATTTAGACAAGTGAGTAGGAAAAACTAGAAACTGCTTTTCTGTGGTATGAAAAACTGAAAAGCGAATGCTGAAAGGGGGAAAACCGAACCTCTTTACATGTAACTATTAAACCTAAAAAGTATTTTTCACAGTCTCGCTTCAAAGTTTGGTTTGGGAATTGCACTCATCATATTTCTTATTCCTCTTATTATTATCTAATTAATTTTTCATCGTTCTGTCTTACTTTTCCATCTCAGACTGGACCTGCGGACACAACAAGCTTTTACAGACTACCTTTTTTCGTTTGTTGGTTTTCTATTTTTGCATTGAAAGAATGCATATTTGTGATTCCGTCAACAGGTTTTTACTTCATTTCTCGTCTTTTACTTAGAACCCAAATAAATTAAATTTGCTTAGAATAAGATAAATTTAGAACTAGAGAGGCTATGTTACAGGAATACTACACGTTTTCCTGGTACGTCGAAATATTGTGCATTGAAAATATAACTTTTATAAAAATCGTCTTATTTGAACTGGAGGTAGAACTTCCAGTCAACTAGTTATGGGGCTGTTTTGTAGTCTTGTTTGCTCAAACCAGATTAAACATAATTTTTCACTTAAGACATTGTGTTTAAAATGTTCGTTTAGATTTTGCGCCATGTTTTCTGATGGCTTGAAATTGCACAGAGTATATTAAATTTTCTGAGTTTTTGCTCTTAGCTGTAAATTTTTGTTATCAAACAAGCCTCAATTTCGGCAGTGATATTTCCCGCCATTTTCACCGTCCTCGGGAAATTCCAACGTGGCGATAATAATCCTCTATTATCTACTACTAATAAGAAATTATTCTAACCAAATTAGCTTGTGTCTTAAGTGATAACTCAGTCCCCTCCCTATTGTCATCAGCTAAACGCAAAATCTCTGCCTGTCTTAATTGTCTGTTGAAGTTAAAACTCTGTGCGCGGCCGTACGCCCTAACGCCGTGAAAGATGCGTAGGTCATCAATCCCTGGATTCACATTCATCTCTGATTTACCGAAGTACTTTAGGTCTTAGGGTGTCAGGAAGACCTACAAATCGGTTTGACTCAAGTTGTAGAGTGCTCCACGTTAAAAATGATAAATTTGTTCCGGTTCAGTCGAATGTGATCTTCATGGAAACAAATTTATTAGTTATGAAACCTAACATGTCTTCCAGATCTGAAATGAGATAAGAATCTGCTTCATCTGGATTCTTGTCTATTTTAGTTGCTTTCACTCCTTGCAAGAATAGTCTCTACTCTGTAAATTGTCTGCTTTTCAGTAAATCAACACCAAATTTTTCTACAGCTCCGTTGCCACTAGTTTTTCTGCTGCTCTATTTATGGCAGATTTATGGCAGATTTAGACAGAAGAAAAAAATTAATTTTCACACGTTCAAACGTCCATTTTGTAACGACTAAGAGTAAGTGTTCTTGATGCCTCAATATCAGGGGCCATTTCAAATCTGATAAAGAACTCTTAAGTTGGCGTTTAATTAAACAAATCAAACTTAGCACACTTTTTGACAAGTTGAAATTTTTCATTCCAGAGAAATTCATTTGAAATACTTTCACTTTAAAGTAATGCTAGTGTTGGAATAAATTGTTCGAAAGTAGATAAACAGGCTTAAGAGGAAAGGAATATCTTCCCTCGATTAATTTTTACAAAAAGCATATAATTTTCTCATTACTAGCACGCTTCAAAATGCAACATTTTAACAAGTTCAGCGACTGCGTATAATATGGTTGAAATAATATGGTTTAGCACGGAAACTAGACCTCTTTTCCATGTGCGAACTGCTGTAGCCATTGATCATTAGGCTCTCATAAATTGCTGCGGGTCTATGTTAAGTGTTAATTTCTTTTGGGAATATTTTCAGCCTTATCCTCTTTTCCAGCCGGGTGGGTTCTGATAAGGGACATTTCCAGGACTCACTGCCGTATAAGTCCATCCGTTTTGGTACCAGGGGCCATACGGGTTCTCTTTGATTTTCGACGGGTTTTCCTGGGGTTGGTCCTGACCAATATTATCTGGGACTTTTTGTTTAATAAGGCTGCTCACAAATCTTTCAATAGAAGCTGGAAAAGAAAAGGAAAATTTAATCAAAGAGTGAAGTAGATCTTTTGAAATATCTTTTATAAGTACGATATACCTATCTTGATTAAAATATAATGATTAGCATCACCGCTGACTAATTAAGAGAACATGAGTAACGAAGACACTCGGGCACCATTAACACGCCTTGCAGACCTACCTTTGTCTTGGTTTCCGCTGTATTCTCCCGCATATTGCCCTCGGCGGAAAACTTTCAATTGAGGCCAGCTGTGTACATTGAATCTGTTTTCGCAGATGCTTCTTCCCTCGCCGAAGCAATCAATCTGTTCAGAACAGTAATCGATTCTTTAGGAGGCCTGAGTTCTATCTTTCGTATCAGGCAAATATGGTACTCGTATCACAATATCTCTTGAGAAATCGTGTTGAATAGGCTTTTGATGAGGGGGAAAGCTATAATCTTAAGTTCTATGGAGAGCTAAGCTGTCTATGAAGATGGAGCAGTGGTCTGGAAGGAGTACTCGCCCACTCTCATGCCCTTCTTCATCTCTGCACTGCATGGCTGTAGGGGCCTTGCACTAGATTTCTATAGCTCTAAGTAAAGTAACAATACAAACCTTAGCGAAAACAAATTTTCCCTTCTGAGCAAAATCCTCTGCGGCTTTGTCGAACTCAGGCTTTAATCTGGCACAGTCGCTGCACCTGAGGGGGAGGGGTGGATTACATTGTCATTTGGTTTTTACTGGTTCCTTGTTTTAATGGCACTATCCCTTTTTGAACAAGAAACGTTAAAGGTCGGGAGGGGACTGAGTTATCACTTAAGATACAAGCTAATTTGGTTAGAATAATTTCTTATTGGTAGTGGCGAAGAACACGGCGTCAAGGAGTGACTTTGTTACAGACAGAATTCGGAATTCATTCGATTTTCTTTTAAAGAAGTAAAATGGAAATGTTTTGAGTGCAATAAAATGTTAAAACAGTTCGTCAAAATATGTATTAGAAACACCAATGACGAGTAAGATTAACTCTTACCGAGGAAAAATAAATCATAAGCCAGACGAAAACTTTTGTGACATATATAAATGTCCTACCTGTCGTACAACTCATCCGTAAACTTATAAACAACTTGATTCTTTATCACCCGTTTGTCTTAAAATAGACGCTCTAGGTTTGAGCCGTGTACTTAGGAAACAACCACTGATTATGTCTTTCTAAAAATTTGCCCATGAAATTCTTTGTTTACCACTTATTCGTTTTTCAGTTATGTTGTGAGCACGGACCAAAAAATAAAAACCAAAACTTACCAAGGTGCATAAAAGTCCACCAACATTGTCTCTTTGTCTTTCAAAAAATGGTCAAAATCGTTGTCAGTCAATTTGAAGACTGGATCGGCCGGAGCGCCAAAAATTGTCCCTACAAGGGACAAGGCTATGGAAAGTATAGCCGCAATCATTGTTCACTTCTTTGAGGAATTCGGGTGCGATTTACGAGAAAATCGAAAATATTTATTTAAGGCACTCCACATTCTACCCTTCATATGTCATGTTCGGGCGCTCTGATTGGTTAATGTTGTCGCCTCCGCCAATCAATGAGTAGTTTTTGTATTGCATCACGTTATTCGAAGTGTAAGTAATGGGATCAATGAGGTATCACCCACAAAATTACCGGTATTATTTCACCAAAGATCTGGTTTTGCGAATTTTTCACTGATTTACTATCAAAATCAGGCCAAAAATGTTTCCTACTTCACGTTCTTGTTCTATTAACTATCACGTTGCGTGTGTCTTATATCTGTTTACTGTGTATCGTTTCTCTCACAGTGATTGCCAACAACAGGTGTGTAGTTTTGCTTAACTGTTGAATTAAATTTCAACCTGTCGGTGATTTGATTATCAAACAAGTGACCTGTTCAGGTAATGTAGAATTTGTTTATCTTAGTGATAGTAAAAATCAACTCAGTGTCAAGAAAAAAGCAGTCGTCAAGGGCGGGTTTCTCACACTGTGATACACATAAAATTATTTGGGTTAAAATAAACTCAAACACAAGTCAGTGCAATGGACGAATCAAATGTCGGTACTACGAGGGCAAAGGTCACCCAGGCTGCATGGAAAATCACAGTCATATCATGTGCATCCCGTGAAATGGGCGGATAATTAAAAGATCTATCAACTGATTGATCTAAAACTGCTCTTATTTGACTTTGTTTGCAAGGATTTTGTCTGTTTTCGTCCTCTCGAGTTTGCCAAATAAAAATACTCAAGCTTTTCGATATCGATATTAAACGCGACTTTGCTACACAAGCTGGAGAACTCAATATCGCGAATTTTCCCTGGGATACACGGAGACCTTATCTTGGAGACAATTCCCATTTTTGTACCAATCCGAAACTGGGTTCCCCACTGAGCTGGTTTAATTTCGTGTGATCAGCTGAGGATTTAAGAAGCACAGTGATGTCGTCAGCGTGTGCAGCGCAACGCCTCGTGTCTGTTGCCGAGTCCTGGAAAGATTATTCGTTAACCCCTGAATCAAATATTAAGGTAACTGTAATAAAGGAAATGATCACCAACTTGGGTAGCTCTTGATTGCCGAACAATTTCTCCCGGTCAGCTTCTTAAGATGTGTACAGAGAACAGTATGAAGAATATGTATACTGATGTTTGGGTGTAGCGGGTTGATTGGAAATCATTCACACCGAAACTCTTTGGAAAACACATGCTAAATAACTTTCCAATACATTTATAAGGAACACTGATTAATAAAAAAATAATTTTATTTCCATTTGTACTCCGACTTTTACAAAATATGATTTTATTGGATTTATAATTAGCAGTGTGGCCGTTTTAATTCTTCATTGTTTATTTCTGTTTTCTTCCGCAACACGAGAGAGAGAGGAAGGAAAAATGTTTTAATCAGAGATGAAAAGACAAGGAATTGCTATCAATCGAGCCAACAAGTTTCCATACTGATAAAATTATTATAATTCTTCTCTAACGCATTTCATTGATTTTTCGACGGACCAAATAACGACACTGGATCTAAAACTATCACGTTCAAACGATTCCCACTTGCAGATTGATTTGATAGGAACATCGAACCTGGATACGCCAAAAGAAATGTCACGAATTAATTCAGGGTGAAGAGAATTCTTCACTGAAAATCAGAGAGCAATTTTGGGTTTAAAAACATCCTTGTTCCATACTCGGAATAACGTTAGGTGTCTCTCGCCTCTTAATTTAGCTCTTCACCGGGATTCAGGTTTTAAACCCGACCCACTACCACTGTGGGTCTCGCCAGTCATAGCATCCTCAGTGCTACCCTGGTGAGGTGTATTTTGTGTCTGGACCCCAGAACCAGATCCCACTTGTTCAGGAGACGCTGCAGGAACCTGGGGCTTAGCCCTTTCACCATCAACGTGTACCTCCTCACTGGGCTTAGCCTTCTGTGCACTTTTTGACACAGCATTCCTAAGGGCATCCTGGATGGCGCTCTCAATGTCTGCTTTCAGATCTTTCAGAGCTGAAGTGTCTGGTTTTGATGGCGCACTGCTTGGCTGTTCAGGGAGAGATAAAGGAAACTTCTCCTCAGGCTGAGCCTGCTGCAAATCAAACAGACATGGAAAGTTACAAAGAAATCAATCTTTGGATTGAATCGTTCGGCACATCGGTGTTCCTAAGCCTTTAACAGTCGCTTGAATTCGAGGGCCTTTTTCTTATAGCTTATATTCTATGTATTTTTTTCATTGAGGTATGTATTTTGAGGCACCTGAAATTAGAGCCGAGTTTCAGAATTAATACCGAGCGGAAGTACCTGCTGCTGCTTGTAGGTTTGTTGGTCTCTCTGTGGCTCTTGCTGAAATTGTTTTCGCGGCTCTTGCTGAAATTGTTGTTGTGGCTCTTGTTGAAGCTGTTGTTGTTGTTTTTGCTGGTGTTGCTGGGGCTCTTGTTGAAATTGCTGTTGCTGCTGGTTTTGCTGTGGCTCCTGTTGAAATTGCTGTTGCTGCTGGTTTTGCTGTGGCTCCTGTTGAAACTGCTGTTGTGACTTCTGTGTGAACTGTTGTCTCTGTTGTTTTGGCTGTCGGTTGTATTGCTGCCGGGAAGCTTGTTGAAATTGCTGCTGTCGCTGGTGTTGTTGATTGTTATAATAAGCTGCCTGGCTGTTGACTCGAGCTGTACCAGGTCGACGGTTGTAGGCAAGTTTTCTGACAGCAGCAGGGCGCGGTGCAGGTCTCCTTTGCTTCCCAAGATGCTGCTCTTTCCCGTGACCCATTTTACTTCTGTAATACGGACTACTGGCCATAGCTTGATATCCGTAAGGACTACCAAACTGGTTGGGATAACCCATGGTATTCACACCGTATCCAGCTTGGGGATACGCACGGTTGATCTGCACATTCTGGGCTGCTAGGGCCTCTGGTCGATAATACCCGCGATAAGGCTGGGGCTGAGCGAATGCATTTACACCGGGACGAGGCGGATGAGTAACCGCGCCCGGAAAAGCTTGCGGATTGGGATTCACGTTTGCTTTACTTGCCGTCAGTTTCATTCTGTACTCTTTAAGGCGACGCTGATAGTTCTTGTAGGCTGCGATCATTTTAAGTTTAGCTCTATAAATGTCGAGTGACGACAAACTACCAAATTTCGACTGCAAAGAGTCTGGGCTCGCTTGTTGCTTGCCCAGAAAAGCGGCCAGGTTAGCTGGATGATGCGCATGCGCTGACGCACCGTAAAACGAGTTCATAAGAGATGGGTTCTTCGCGTGCATGTTTGCTTGATTGGCGAAAGTCGGCGCAGCGGCCGCGGCTGCTGCCTGAATTGCAGGAGCATGGTGCGAAGCTAATAACTGAGCGTGAGGCCTGTAGTTAATTGACTGAGCCAAAGGTGTAGCCAAACTGTTGACCAGTGGTGCACGTTGCGAGAACGTTGAGGCCACCGAATCCACATACCGCATCAGTGAGCCTGCGCAGAGTAAAATATATTGCAAAGGTTTATTACTTATGATATGTTCACGATTTTCACTGTCACAATGTCGATGATAGAAGTTTCCTCTTAGCCTTCATCGACGCAGTGAATAGTAACTACTCTCTTCACTCACTAACCTCTGTCTCGCTGTCCAACATAATCTCCAACGTATTGACCATACTTGAACAACTTAATTGTGGGATAACCCTGTATGTTAAACCGCTGACACAACTGTTTGCCGTCGTTGACACAGTCCACCTTTCAAGAGAATAAATAAGAAAATGAATAAAATAAATATACTTAAGCATGAAACAGTGAATAGATAGCTAAATATAAGTGAACTGGCAAACTATTTAGCGCCAAGCTAGAATGCATCATAGCCGCATTTTCGCCTTAAGCAGCAACATTTCAAATCGCACACGACCCCCTCCCCTCCCCATACGTACTAAGCACGGTGAACTCACCTTTGCAAACACATACATATTCTTTGAGGCGAGTTGGTCAGCGGCTGCATCAATCTCGGGACTCAGTTCTTTACAATGCGTACACCTGATAGAGATAAAATCAATGTCAAGCTACTGAAAAGCTAATGATCTGCGGAAGTTAATATAAAACAATTGCTTGACGAGAAATAATATCCTTGAGGTCACTTCCCACCCTCTAAACTCTAAAACACAAAACAAAACAACACAAAAATCCGCGCTTGAACGAAACGTGCCATTGACTTGTCCCGGTAGCGTGTATACATCCTCGATCCCACCTTATTTGGACTATATGATTATTAATTTGAGAGGCTGCAATTCTTCTTATCGTTACATATTCCCATACATTCAATTGTGTTTCACGAACGTAGCTTCTCAAAAACCTCACTAAATTATCTGGATTGGGAGGTGACAAAATCGTAAAACACCTCAGCCGAATCCATCTTTCCTTTCACCATTAACAAAACGGTGGCTGATCATTTCAAGTCTGTGCATGATCATAGATTGAAAGGAATAAAAAAGACAGGTAGAGAAAAATGTTTGGTGGGGTCACATTCACCCGTGATTCTGCTTTGATCTGAATGGTTTCCACTCATAAATGTCAAGAAAACTATTCACTCGACTGAAAAAGAGCTTGACATAATTGATAAAATGACTCCAATAACAACAACACATGTCACTAAAACAACAGTTATGTTTGAAGTTAATTATTTTTTTTTTGGAGTCTACAGTTTGCAGGTAAGATCCCATAGAGTTGTGTTTTTTTTTGTGCTCTCTGGACATTGTCGTGAATTTTCTATGTTCCTAAAACATTGCAATTGACGCCCACAATGTCATTCTAACTCTTCAAAACAAGGATGTGATGAAAGACCATCTACCTGCCGCCTGTTTATTAACTTGGAGAAGAAACATGTTTCTTACACTCCGTTAGAATTACGAACGAAAATACATAAAGTCCCATCTAATGGCTGTGAAAAACGCATAATTCTTCATCAAACATGAAGAAACAGCATTGAAAGCGAGAGCACTTTTAATAACTCATTTGCATAACAAACCTCTTAATTTGTCTTTTAACAATATTTGAATTGGAATAGATAAATAAAGGGAGGGAAAACGCCCTTTAAAGAAGATGTTCGTTTGTACCAGTCAACAATAATATCGTAAGCTAGCGAACGCAGTCAAGCGTTTAATGCACGATTCTAAATGTCAATAAGTTTTCATGTACAACTCACCAAGGCGCGTAAAAATCTACCAGCATTATGTCTTTGTCCCGGATGTACCCTTCGAAGTCCCGTTCATTAAGATTGTACACATTATTGGAGCCAAGACATCCTGGCCAAGTAATTACAGCTAAAGCAACGAGAAAGGACAGCATTTTTAAGATCTTAGCTCGCAAACGCTAATGATATTATATTTCCAGGAGTTATATTTCATCTGAAGTGTGCGAAGTTTCTATTGGCTAAAGATGTTTAATCATTATTTATTTAAGGTAAATTACCTGAACTGGGCAACCCGCCGTCGAAGCAAGGATAAGATCAATTTATTTTCACCAAGAAAACGCACCTTTATTTTGGCATTTTTCAAAATATTTACGTTTTCCTATTTATTCAAGGTTCAAAAATACGAGTGAAATATGAGGGAAAAGCAAATTGTGACTCAAAACAAATGTCACAAGGTGTCCCGTGCGGTGACAAAAGCTTGGGTCATGTCTCGAATGAGTTGTTAATCCGTCTTTTCTCTCAGGCGTTTTTAAATCAGATCACAGGTTGTCTTGTAAAGAAAGGCGGTGCAAGGCTGTATACGTTCCTCCCAATTATTTCAAGTTCCAGTACCAAAAAATACGAAATCAGGGGTGCATTTGATAACAACCTAATCCACCCTTGAAAATAGATTAAATATTGCACATTCTAAAGTTCTTCAGCTCTTTTCAATCAATCACTCGGTGATCCTTCCTGGTTGCTCGTGTAAAACCTGACAGGTGAAATTCAATCAATATACAAATTACTTGGTTTATTTATTTTTTCAAAGATGGCTCATGGGCGTGCCCTGTATAATGTGGAAAATAAGCAATGGAAAGGCGGGAAAATGAAAGCAAATCACTACATAGATAGACCTCTCCGACTGGTTCCGATGTATTGGCGCGCATCACATTGTATAACCTGTAGAGGTCTCATCCTCTGCCAAACTCAAAAAATTTGGAATATTCTCGCAGATTTTAGGCCAACTTTAATACGTTTGACTCTGTTTTGAAGTAAATCTGATTTAGCCGAGCCATTCTATAACAACTTACAGGGGAGAATGAACACTGTCTTCAAGTGTTTAAAAACTGTTCACTGTTTACCAATGTGTAGTTCCTCTTCGAAGTCCTAACCATAATATTTATCAAGTTTCCTGATATACACGTGCACTACATTGTGTAAAGACATTCTTGCCACTATGGATGGACAGACCAAAATTACAAAATCTCGTTTTCCATGGAGTGCTCAGTTTTAAATCAAATGATTTGATTACGAGTTTTATGCGGCTCTTTGTGGTAACTTGGTCTGGTGTATTCTGTATGTCTCGATAATGGGTACAAATATCTTTTCTTTGTCCCACGCTCGTGACAAGACGAAAAAAAAAATTTCTTTATTTCTTTACCGAGCTCAGAATTTACCATCTCTCTCATTTCTATCTACAAACATAACGCTATCTACATTTCTGATCCTAGCAGTATGCTGGACGCGTGTCATATGAACCTTGCTCAAAGTGGAGTCTCTGTGGCTCAGTGGTAGGGCATCGGAGCGCGGAATCCGAAGGTCTGAGGTACGATTCCTCATGGGGACTCAGAATTTTTTCTTTGTCCAACGCTTGTGACAAGATGAAAAACATCTTTCTTTAAATATCCTATTGTTTGGCTGTACGTGAAAACGAGGAAATAAATGTTAAACGAGAAAAAACCGCAATAAGTTTGTATGAATATCAAGCAATGATGTAATTTAGCTTTAAAAATCGGGTGAAATCTTCTCCAAAGCAGTCCTCAGCTGCTCGATCACTTCGCGCGTTGTTGGCGATTTTGAGAAAATTTCCTGAAAACTAGTTTTGATGGATCTGTCAGGAAAAAAAGATAAGAACATTATTAATCTGATGATATCAAATATCGCTATACTTAAAAGAAAAAAATACTCACGATTAATAACTTTAACTGAAAAGTAATGGGTCGTGTGAAATTCATCAAGGGGCATTTCTTAGCTATCCTGACAATAGCCGGTTGTTTGAACCGTCAACTAATGCAATGACTTTTAAAAAAAGTCAAAGCAGCTTGTACTTGAGTTAAAATTTGTATAAACTGAGAGCGAAGCAAATCCATCATAAAATCAAGTGACGACAAACCGATCAGAAACCTCTCGATTCTAATCGCAGGTTTGCTCCTCAGAAAACTCACGGTTTATTTGCATACGACAAACAACTTCGCAGCTTTGGTAAAGTCTGCCAACAACCCTTCTAATCTAACTGAAAGGTACCCACCGTCTTGACATGATCAAATTCTCCATTTCTCGTGATTTTGCGGCTGCTGTGTTAATGATCTCATTCGGAATTCCCGCTAGGTGAGCAACGTTTAACCCGTAGCTTCTCGCGGCCGCTCCATTCACCAAGTGGTACAGAAACGTAACTGACGGTACGGGAGACATGACATTGTTGTCTTCGCCTTCCCCACCATCGGCACAGTGTTTGGCGCCTGGCTCTTCTGATGTCATAAATGCCATGTGGCTGTTGGTGACTTGGTTTGGGAATAATCCGTCCAGCTCCGCAAGAGACGGATAGTGTGTTACAAACAGAGTCAAGCTTGCTATCTGTGGGGAAAAATTAGTAGGATTGAAGGGAACGTCCTACACGATTATGGTATATTGCCGAATTACAGATTTTGCACTGAGAGGTGGTGCCTTCCTTCAGCCATAAGTGACACTAACCTTACTTATGAAGTGGTGAGCTGTAGCATAGGCAATAGCCGTGCCGTCATGGGTACTAGTACCGCGGCCTAGCTCATCCAGAATGACAAGTGACTTAGGAGTAGCCTGAGCAATGATGTCAGACGTTTCCTGCAACGAAAGCAATAGTCGGTCAATGAACTGTTACAGCGTGCATCTTAATGCTAAATTAAACTAATCACAAAGTGTGTACAACATAATGAGGTGTCGCTTTAAATCTTTCATTATCTCGTTACCGGCTTGAGTAAACAGACTTAACTGTAGATGAAAATGAAATAAATTTTCTACTTACCTGAAGTTCAACCATGAATGTACTTTGTCCCTTATAAATGTTATCTGTGGCTCCCATCCTGTCAATATATGACGTAATTGCAATAAAACAAAAAGTAACAAAGGACTAGAAACCAAACGAGCGTAAAAATGAATTTTGGCTTGGTAATATTTTTTACCTGGTAAAAATTGCATCTAAAACTCCAACCCGTGCTTCTTCGGCCGGTACAAAAGAGCCGACCTGGGAGAGAATAACAATCAAAGCAACCTGCGAAGTAAAGTGTGAATTAACTTAGATTTAACCTTTCTTAAAAACAACGACAGTAGAATACAACTGCTTTCTTCAAGGTAGAATCGTACTTGTTTTATGTAAGAACTTTTTCCTCCCATGTTTGGTCCTGTAATGATCATGCAGCGATTGCTGTTGACCTACAAAGAGAACAATCGGCAGTCAAACTATGTACTGCTAAACACGTACCCATAATCTTCCCGAAAAACTCCAAATTCCAAGACAGAACAGATATTTTCATCACTTTCCCTTAAACTCTAGTTGGGAGAGTTTAGGACTGAGCTCTCGCCTGTTGGACAATTGAAAGGAAAGGAAGCTAATGATGCCCCAAATGACCAGAATTACGTGAACCCTGTTAATCAGAGACACGCGGATACCTCACTGCAGTTGCCATGTTTTTCAAGTCGATTTAATCGCACCTAGGCTTGCATCTCTGCTGTGCTTTAGACGTAGCCAAATATTTCACTTAATTTTCTGTTCGTGTTCACACTTGCTGCCCGTGCTTATAAACCTCCTGGTAATTTATAATTCACTTACATCCATTTGCGTATCATTCGGGACGAACTGTTCATTCTCTGAGAGAAACGTATCCAACACTGGATGTCGTCCTTGTTTAATGTAAATATGGGCTTCACAGTCTTTTACGACAGGCCTGGAACAACAAAATCAAGACTGAAAAGGTTGTAATGAGTACTATATTGTCGCTTGTTTCACAGCTCGTCGGTTGAGTCTTGCTGAAGTTTACTCAATCTCGCCTGATAGGGCGCCCGTAGAGATGGGGGAGGCGGGGAGCTCTCCCATAGAAATTTACCCCAAGGGTTTCCTTAATCACTGAGACTTTCGACATGCGACTAAAAGGTAAATGGAAGAAAACAGGAAGGGCGTTCAAGATACGAGCAAAAATTATTCCCAAATATAGCGAATAAGAGAGGTTTTTCGTTGTCCTTCAAAACGAGCGTTGCTCAAGCAAACTTGAAGGATACAAATATCATCTCACCTTTCCGTGCAAGTCACACTGTTATGTAGTCAAAAACTACACAATGAGGTTTCAAAAAGGTTTATTCAAACAGAGGGTTTATATATATATATAAATATATATATATATATGTAAAAGACTTATAAATGTCTATGTTAAATGAAAAGAAAGAGTTATCAATCGTCGTTATAAATTCACGGTTCATTTTCAGCAACGCTTTGCATGTTTGTCGTAATGTTCTATTTCTGTGGTGGTATTTGAACAGGTTAAAAATAGAATTAATGAAAGTAGTGGTTACAACAACAGGACGACTCAAACGTTTTACAGTCACAATATATTTACTGCTGTTGGATGAGATGCCAACAAATATAGCACACACTAAAACGGGTATTAAACACAAAAGTAAGGTTATAATAATTCTGGTTGTGTTCGAAGCTTTACAAAGTTGGAAGCGGCCTGCGGTGAAACTTGCTCCGATCGGATTCGATTCTCATAACGACGGGACACGAAGTAAACCGAAATACGACAGCAAATCATCACAGGCACGTTAATAAATGTAAACGAAGCACGAAAAACTCTGATCGTAAGTTTTAAACTATCGACAAGAAAATGAAGGTTGGCAAACATGCCAAGACCCATGAGTCAAGCTACGTGCAGTAAAGAAGGTTGTATAACGATAGGTGTGTTTTATCGCTACAAAGCGCACTACACTTATGAGGATTAGGTGATGCAAAGATGATAATATAGGAATAACGAGGATCAAGGAAAGAACGTTTCCGTTTTGAAGATCTGCCCGTTATAACATAAACTTGTGCAACGATGAAACTTGGTTGAACAACAATTCCCACCAACAGATCTGTACCTGCCTAGCAAACCAAAACAACGTTATAATTTGTTTGCAATCTAAGTGATGTCTTCACCAACACCGCATAAACAAAGGCACATGATGAGCCTCTGCCTCTGCGGTAAGTTTGCGGCTTATTAAGACTTTTTTCCTCATATAAATAGCCCAATGCTGCCACTTACATTAGAATATTTCTCGGTAAATTTAACTTTTTCCTGCGGAGCGTATGATTACATTTACGGAAACGCCTTAAATAAACGTTTGCAAGCTTGCGTCTTCAGATGACTGCTTAATACTTTGAACAAATTTTTTTCGTGAAGTGTAGACTTTGTCCCATACATATGTAAATGAATATATTTTATCTTAAATTTACAGTGTAGCTCAGTAGCTAATATTTTCAACTTTCGACAAGCAGACAATAAATCAAAAACAGAACAACACCTCACTGTAACAAAGTATCACCCCACGACGCATTTAATGGAGAATATTCCACAAAGTGCGCACGAACGATCTTTATTCACGAGTTGAGATGCATCAAAAACTCACTCGTTCGCTGCGCTCACTCGTTCGTCGTTTGATGCATCGCAACACGCAAATAGTGATCGTTCAAGCACTTTCCAAGATATGATGTTTCTAAATCATATATGCTGAGATTTTTTCTTGCTGATCGACACATTTTAAAGATTGGAAGTGAACGATTGCGAAAATAAACCGTTCATCCAATCAGAGACACGAACCATATCGCACTTCACAATGTAAATCTCATTTTGATTGAAATAATAGGACTTTTGCAAAGTATTCTCAAGTACCATTTCTGACGGTACCGTGTTTGAATTACCGCAAGGTAAAAAAGGTCGCACATTGCAAAGTAACTTTCCACAAAGCATGAAGACGTATTTCACTTAGAGTGTTATTTCAATTGCCATTCCGAAAAGAATGAGAAGCGGAAATACAAGTGGGCAGCTTATTTCTTTACCAAATCGGAAGCCTTTCGAGAAATCAATTATGGATGTCACTGGCAGACGCAAAAAATTTACTGAGTGTTAGTTCCCAGAGATCTGCACAATTATTGAAACACAGGTGTAATTGCTAATACCCTTAATTTTCTACACCTTATTCATGAGCCAATAGTTGGTGAGTAAGTCAGCCAATTGGGACGCATATTTTACCGGCGTCGGGTTACAAAGATATCTTTATGGCTATTTCGTGTCAAGATAGGAAATTTTTTTCAACCTTGAATTCCTTTCTGATATGGGAAGTGCGTTAAATCTTTTACCTTCAGTAGAGTGATCAAATATTAATTTGAAACAGCCCTCACTTGGACTTTAAACTTTCAAGAACCCCCAAAAAGAACACAACGTCTCAACTGAGGGCAACCACCTTCACTCTTCAGAAAAAAAAAGACAAAAAAAACAACACTTGGACAAAGTTTAATAATTTTAAGATGTCTCCATCACAAACGTAGGTAGAGTCACTATTCTTTGGTGCCTTGATATGTGCATCTAAATTTCAGCAACCTGACGCATTTGCCCCGAAATGTCCTGTTTCTATAGCAGTATATGAACGGGTTACAAACAGAATTAAGTAAATTAAAAGTTGATACGACAGGATGACTCAAATGTACTACTGTCACAATATAATTACTGCTGTTGGAGAAGATGCGCAAAAACAAACCATACACTGAAGGAGGCAGAATACACAAAAGTAAAGTCAGTATAATAATTCTAGTTGTCTTCAAAGCTTTCTTCTCCTTGGCAAAGTCAGCAGCGGCTTGCAGTGACACTTGCTCCGATCTGATCCGACACTCATGTCGACGCGACACAAAGTAAACCGAAATATGACAGAATATAATTACGAAAAAGTTAAACATCGAAAAACAAACACGAAAAGCTCTGACTATCGGTTGTAATCTTTCGTCAAGAGAGTGAAGTACGGTTGGCAAACAAGTCATGACCCACGAGATGGCGACTGCCGTAATCAGGCAACGATTAGTACAAACAGTGGTGTAACGATAGGGGTGTTTTATCGCTACAAAGCGCTCAACACTTATAAGGGTGAGATGATAAAAAGATGAGAGAATCGGAATGATAGCGAAGTAAGAAAACTCTTTTTCGTGTTGGCAGAATTGCTCCAAAGATATTCCCCTTAGAACGTTAATTTGTACGGCAATGAAACTTGGCTGAACAACAATTCCTACCAACAGATCTGTACCTGCCAAACAAGCCAACAAAAAGTTATAATTTGTTCGCAATCTGGGTGTTGTCTTCACCGCTGCGACCACCAACGCGTTCATGAGAATTATCACAGGCATGCTAAGACCATTGAGGATTATCGCGATGATGGCAAAGCTTGTCTTTTCTGTGTCATAGCTGTTGCTCCAGACAACTTTGTTCATAACACAGGTTCGTAGTTGGGGTTCCTCAGCGAAATCAGAGGTGTTCATGACCATTCTTGCAAACGTTGGTTCTGTTTAGCCTTCAACTGATTTGATAGAGTATGAAGCTAGAGAAGTAATATACTCCCGAATAGAAAACTGTTGCGCAGAGCACTTAAAATAAGTATCTGATATGACGTACAACTATTATTTCGGGAAGCAGTAAACTTTAAGCACCCATTTTGAAGATAACAGAGCATCAAGCAAATGTAATTTCGTTCTAAAGTACATCAAGCTAAGAGGTAAGGCGACTAATCGCTTCGCTAAGAATATATATCAATTTAACTCGCTTAAGTTCAATTATTGTCAAGGGATATTGCGCAAAGTTCCCTCCTATTACATTTCGATTCCGCAAAATTTCGGAAACTGCCGAGTGGAAAATACTCAAATCGCAATCTTTAACGGATGTCCAAATGTACTTCACAAATTACTTTCAAGAGCTAGCCAGAAAAGAGTATAAGTTCACAGAATGCAAAGCGAGTACATTTCCCACGGTAACAAAACCAAGAGAGGGCCTTCTACCAAAAGTTACGCCGCAAAACCTTCTTTCAGTTACCGTGCGCATAAGAATGACATTTTAATGGAAATTTGTACAAGTGTTCCTTGAAATCGAATTCTAATGTCAGGTATTTTGACGATATCTCTTACGAGTCCACGTGGCGAACGAGTGAGAAGTAAAATCAGTACGAGCAGAAAAATTCAAATCCGCAAGCGGATATGTTAGAACTCTGTTTATCACTATAGAGATATTACTTACAAGGACAATTTGTAAAGAACCCTGAATGCAGAGAATTTCAAAACAAATTCTCATTATAAAAATTGTCTTCTCTCAGAAAAGATGTTAAATTCAGCGTCAGCAATGTTGGCAAATCTAAAATCCCTTCCACCACGCTGACAAACTCAGGACCATGACGACATAAGGCTTGGGTTTGAATTCTTACAGCAAACTCGGATATGGCTTTAAAAAATGTTTCACATTTTTCCTTTAATTGATAGTGACCTCACACCGTGAGAAAAACCATTCATTCAACATTAAATAGAAAATATTTCCCATTTGATAACAAGCCATACCTGGTAAAACCTCGCTGACTGGCCACGGTTGCCAAGGAGAACAAGCAGTCGAGCGTGGCGATATGACATACGGCACGCCGGTATCTTGCGCACGCTTCTGAGAAGAGCGCGAGAAATTCTAGCCACGCCTCCTGACAGCAGATTGACAGTTGTTCTCGCCACTGGCAAAGAAGTTTGAACTTGTCCTCTACGAATGGTGTCCTGAATCTTGACACCTGTTTCGTACTGGAAAAACCACACACAAAAGTGATTCATATCGAACCTATCGTCAGAAAGTCAATACCTTAATACAAAACCGTTCGGAAAATTGTGTAGTTCGAAAATCGCACAGCGCTATTCACTGCACAAACCGCTATCAAATAAGCGAGAATTTTACTTAAAACGTGCTTAAAACCGCACAGAGCGTACTTCGTTACAATTTTAAAAAGTTAAGGCCTCTCGTTAGTGATTAGAGATTTTATTAGTTCGCCTTTCTTCGCTCTACGACTGGTCTTGAAAACTTGTATCAGCTTCTCAATTAATCAGATAAAAAACTAAAACAAATGATGACTCGGTCCCTCGCGTTTACCCGCGCTGCAAGTAGTTTGCCTGTTTATATTTCGAGTGCTCATTGGCTCCTTGTTTTATGACCTTGTGTTCGAATTGCTGTTAACTTTGGTTGTGTCTTATGAATCGAAAAGCGCTCCAATTCAAATAGCCAATGAGAGCTCGCGGTAAAAGCAAGTCATCTATTAAAAGCGCGGGAAAAACGTGAGTGACCACGTTGGTAATACTAGGCAGCGTTTGATTCACATTTCGCTCATGATCGATAGAGAGACTGGTCAGAACTTTTTAGCCTTAGTTTGAGAAGGTTTAAAGACAAAGGTAGGAGTATCAGCAGCAGAATTATCTTTTAAAAACTATTTCAAAATTAAGCAGTTATTCCTTTGCAATACTACAATCAGGCACCTTATAAACTGTTCCCCAAGGAAAACATGACTCATCACCTCTTTTTAAAGGTGGAATGATCAGTGGAAATTAGACGCAACGTTTTATAAAATGATACAACGAAGAGAAGAGGCTTAATGAGCTCTGGAGACTTACGCGCTTATTTTTATCCAATCGGCAGGCACAGTCTTCAAATTCGTGTTCCTTACTTCGATTAAGAACTGAAATAAACAATACAAAAACTTTGGTTAAAACTCAGTTCCTATGACGTTGTGATCAGTTCACTCGGGGCTGTATAAAGCGCTGATTGGCGATTCGTGCTCATTTTCAACATGTTCACTCTTCTCTTCAGAAAATTCAAGTTTACTACCCTGAGCTGAGCAAAGCGAAACAATGGATTGAAAATACCTCGTTTCCTGAAACACAGCAGTAATCCAAAGATGGATGTCGTAACACCTGTCTAAACTCTGAACGATGGTTCTTTAGGTCGGTCAGAATCTTCTCAATTTCCTAATAAACGAAGAAACTCTTAAACAATTCATGTTGGACGTAGAAGAAAGTTTATAAAAGTAGGTGAATTGAAAAACTGTGCGCTTTGTTTGAACAAAATGGTCTCTGACTCACCAAATTACATTTCATTATCATAGGGAACTGCGTTAGATCACAAAACAGCTTGGTTTTGTCACCGTCTCTGAAAATAAAATGGAACGATGGCCAGGTAAGCTGAACAGAGATAGCAGTCGGCCATTTCTCTTTATTCTGATGAGCTAGATCTTTGATTTAGATTCAACATTTTTAGTTGCGCATTGATAACTCGAAAGAGTGAATTAAAAGTTTTAGCACATGAACTTTGACAACACTACTCAATAAAAAACCGCAAAACCAAACTTTACGTCGTAAAACCGTCTACGAATGAATTTATTAGTTTACTCTCTCTCTTCCCTACAATCAGTGCAGCTACAATTGAAGGCCTTCCACTGAAGAGACCTCGATTCGAAATTCCTGTGTTCTGGCTCGCTAACTAACAGTATCTGCCGTGAAGTCGACGGTCTATTCAGTTCAGGACTACTACATCTGTATAGACGTTTGGACGTTGGAAACCAAACCGCTAAACTCTTATTTAAGGAATGTTAATTACTTGGCAGCCTTTTCATCAACTAGTCGAAGAAAATCTTCAACATCCTCCAAATACGTCGGCACCTGAAAAAAAAATTAGAAAAATAATTTCTTGGTCAAGCGTTAAGGTAAGTGGAAAACGTATATAATTACATCGTAATGTCGACACCACTTCATTGTACATACCTCAGTGAAAACGTTTCTTAGAAGTGAAGATTCAAGTTTGCTCGTGGCAACATCTTTGTTTGACTGAAGGTGTTTTGCAATCCTTACCAGAGATTTTGTTATTGTGACAAACTCTGCTGGTGTGCACTATGGTGAGCAATAAAAAAAAAACCATCATAAAATGCAGCTTTACATTCATCAGTATGAATTTTGAGCGTCACAAAGGTAGCTCTACAGTTGAAATCTGAACTAGGAGCAGATTTTTGTAGAGTTCTGATAGCAACCTCTCACATGACTTATGCAACCTGTGAGCCCAAAGGGGAGCATTGTTTTGTGATGGCTAATATTTATGGCCAAGTTATGCGAGTTCGAAACACGGAGGCCTGGTGATTTAGCACAAGGGATTTTCCACCGAGAAGTCTGGGTTCGAACTCTGTTCAGGGTTGTATAGGACCCGTTATTTAGACGAGGTCTCTATAAGAAGGTTGTTTTCATTAACAAATGTCCTTTCACTGTTAGCTTTCGGCCCTCTTGACACTGTTCACAAAAATAAATGCTCAGATAAAAGATTCAGCTAAACTCAGGATAGTTTAGAGCGCGTTTTTTACGAAACAACTGTTAAACTTTGTTTAAATAACCGGCCTATAGTGTTCTGCTCTGATCTGCTCTTTCTTGTCGCCACCCTGTAGTGTAAATGGGTTAAAAAACAAATTTTCAGGGAAACTTAACGAAATGGTGAGGAATAACTTGCACTGAACTAGTATTCCGTCCAAGAGAAGTAGCAAATCTTCTTGTCACTTCATGTTACAAAATTCAGGGCAAACTTTCGTCGTAAATGGCAATTATACTCAAATACGCGAGTAAAAAGCTAAGCAATTCAGTTTTCTTACTCGAGGACATACATTTTCCGAATCTGTTTTTTCCTCTTGCGCGAGACCATCCAACATCTCTCCTTCCCATGCCCTTCTTTTACCGACACTGTACTTCCTCTCGAAAAACAACGTTACTCTCAACCTGAACAAACCTTTTTATGGCAAATAGTGCATAATCCTCTCTCTAGGTCGGGAAGCTGCGACAAAAGGCCTTTTAAGGATGCTAAACATGATGCACTAGGACCGCACAACTCTGTCACGGCGTCAAGCCTCTTCTCGATCTCACTGATTGAAATTGTACACAAAAGATGTTGAGTTGTTAGAAAGGAGATGAAAATTCTCTTTAAAGGGTTTCTACAACCGTGCACCTTGGTGCATTCACAGAACACATCCGTCTGTTGCGCAGTGGGCACAACTACCTAAGCTAAATGTGCCTTCTATATGACACGTTATTAAGAAATTGTATTCACATAAAAGTGAGAAAAAGAAAAACACTCCAGAGGCAAGAATAGACAAAAACAAAAAACGGTTGAGGATGGAAAATGGACTTAAAACAAAAACGTTCAGTGAAAAATTCAAGTTAAACCAGTCCAGATCCACAGTTATGATTGGTGAAAAACCACATAAGAAAGAGCAACCTGCACCTAACATCTCGAAGAGGTTGTGAAATCCATTTCTTTAAAAGCCTTCGCCCAAATGCAGTTGTTGTGTGGTTAATGATCCAGAAGAGTGACGACTTTTCATTACCATTTGTCTGTGGATAAAATTAGGATGTTTATGCATCTTATAGTAAGCTAAAGAAATTTACTTAAATTTTGAATAACACTTCAATTTTCCCTTTTAGGACGTTTCATCCTTGCAAATTCTTGGAGCTAGTTTAAGTTTTAGAGTTCTTGACTTATCAAGAAAAGTAATTCAATCAAAACAAGTGTAAATATCGGTCAAGCAAAATACCTGATTCTTAAATATTTCCAAGTTCCTCAGAGTTTGTCCATTTAATTTTAGAAATTTGTTCTGTACAGAAAATCTTGAAAAGTTACTGTGAATTAAAAAAAACACATTTGTCAATTAATACCAATTGAGAATCAATCAATCCTCACATATAAGAAGTATATCTGTCACATGCATTACTCAGGAAATACTACCGGACTATTTGAACATACCTTATCAACCTAAAAATTTTTTCCAGCCTGAAGTCTTTAAGATATTTGACAAGTGCAGCAAAGCAAGACTGAACTGATTTGGGAAGCTTGAGGATTATTTCCAATGCTGAACTGTTTTCCTGCAGTTCCTGGGTAATGTTTACTTTGCAGAGTTCTTCATTCCTCACTGGCTTTTGTTCCTCATAAAATTCAGTAATGCATTTCAGAGAAGTAGAATGATCAAAAAATTGATCAGGCATTCTTTCAAGTCTTATACTATCCTCTGGTCTGCATAACAGTAACAAAAAACACCATTAACCTTAATGCTTCAATTGATACCCAAACTTCTAAACAAAAATTTAAAGGGGTTCTTACAAAATATGTTACAAGCTTATCAAGGAATGCTGGACAATAAGGATAGGGATTTGTTAGATACATCTTCCATAAATTGCATCATAACTTTAAAGAGAAAGAAACTTAATTTTTGGCATCCTTATATTTGTGAATTCAGAACATACTGCAATAATTGTTTGCTTTAGAAATATTGACATAAAAGAAAAGGTATTACAACCCAGGTTTAACTATGGTGAGATCCTTTCTTTGAGCTTTGGTACCACCATGAAAAATTTCTAAATTAATTTTTGTGTATTATGGAGTGTTCTGTTGGCATCACAGATTGGAGAATTCTGCTCTTATTGGGTAGAAATCAGCCACTGAACTCGGATAGTCCCAGCTTTCATGTAGTATATTCTCCTCTGACCTTTTAACAGGTGGTATCTTTCTTAGTTTTGAGGGGATTCCCTAAATGGAGAGAGTTTATGACAAACCTTTGCACCCTTGTAACAAAATCCTTGATGAAATTCTCTGTTTGGATGGTCAGGGATTCAGGCAGCAGTAATTCTTCAGGGCAGATGTGTTCCAAATGTGCCTCCAGCTCCATGTAGCTTGGCCCATCTTGAAAGTCATCATAGATGACATCACCAGTGGATGGTTGAACTGCCTGAATATAAAATTTAAAACCAAACAAGAGATCAGGACTGAGCCATGCGGTTATTTAACATAGTTTAAGGGTGTGAGGATTTGGAAGTTTTCATCCAAGAGAGACCCAAGTACATCTATTTTGTTATCTGAATGAGAAACAGTGAATTCTAGGACTGAGATATAATCTCCTATAGAGATGCCCTCAGATCTCTGCAGGGAACACAAGGGTCTTTTATGAAGGGACTTGCCTTAAGGATCTTGGTGAGGAACTCTAGGCTCCTTAAAGCAGGGAACTCCCATGAGGTTTTTTTTTACAATGGACCTAATGCATCTGTCATACAATGTATCTTAAGAGGGACCTCACAAATTTTTAAGGGAGTAGTTGACTTTCCAAGGGTTAGTTAAAAGTTAAGGTAGACCTGAGGACCCTAAGGAACTCTCACACAATTATGAGATTTACTTACCACCAATCCAAACAGCTTTCTATCACTGCTTATTTTAGAATCCTGTGGATCATCTTCAACAAGACACATGAGATATCCACTTCCCATCTCCACAGAATCTGCTTCATCTAAATCTTCCATAGTCTTCATATCTTAGTGTCATTGAGGTCAATACAAAATTGAATTCAAGTAAAAAATATGGCAACTGTTTGGTGAGAATTGCATATCAAGATGACAAGACTGAATGTTTTAAAAGTTTTGTAAAAAGAGTGATGAGGGCTGAAGGGATGGCAAATTGTTAATGGGGGGGCTGTCATCCTTTATTCTCACCCCTCATGCTACACCCATCATCCTATTTCAGGCCTGCACAATCTCAAACAAAGGATACCCTCCCCAACCAGGGTGGTCTTTGTATACAATGCCTCCAATTCTCTTGTGAATACTTTACTCTTATTTTCTCCAGCAGCCTTTAGTGCAGCAGTCTCTGTTTGTTTCACTACTCCAACTTTATGACCTTTACTGACCAACCTGAAAATATTTGGTTGTCAGTATGATAGTACAATGCCTATAAGTCACATGTGGTGAAGGGGTCAATTGTCAGAAGTCCAGTTCTTGGTTCCTGCTTCCTGTGAGCTTATCCTAAACCTAGTAAATGGTCCAACTAACCAATGAAATCTAAATGGGTCACTAGTAGGGCAACAGACCACAAAATCCAAATGTTTGAGGCTCAATACTTTCTGAAGGACTCAGCTTTATTCTCTTGGTCCTACTCTCACAACAAACAAATAACAACTTTCTTATTTCTTTCATATTCTAGCTTTTATGACACTCTGTAACAAGAAGTGGTGAATAAGAATGTGAGGCAACTTCTCCTGAGAAGGATGCTTGTCTATTCCAGGTAAATCCCAATATGATAGGCTCTTTGGACTGTGGGTATGTGAGGGTGTGGCATAGAAACATTCAAGTATAGTAACAATCTACCTTCCTATATAGAGGAAGAGGAATTATTTTTGAAATACATCCTACTAGAATTGATCACCTTTTGACATGAACATGAAGTCTGTGGGTAGGAATACTTGCTGTCTTAAAATTATGATCCCAATGGCATGTGATATTCAGTTCCTTAGCAGCAATCTGAAAAAATAGGTTAATGAAAGCTTATCAGTGTTAATGGTGTCATAAAAAATATATACATATAGAAATAGACAAAACTAAGCTTTATCGATTTCTTTTCATCCATGGCTGTAGCTATGAAATTAGGCTACTGAATGAAATTTCAAGTAAAGCTTCTCAGAGATAGCGTTCAATATCAAATGATTGTGTGTAACCTCAGAAGTGCCCAACATGTTTTACCAAGTGACCACTGGCTAAAAATCTAGCTGGTGATCACCGCTTTTTCATCTAGTGAATTCCACTGGCAGCCAGTGCTTAGCAACTGCCCTGCTTATCATTAATGATATACCTCAGAATCCTCTCCAAAGAATCTGTATCTATAGCCACACTCCACAAGTAAAATTACATCAGGATACTTGGATTTAATTTCAAGAAACTGAAGTTCTAAAGGTGTATATGTGGATTTAGTCTTTAAGTTGACAGGTTTATATCTTTCTGTTTCATTCTTTTCTGCTACATTTTTGATGTTCTGAATTGGTCTTCCAGATGGACGCGATGTACAAGCAAATTTAGTGATATTTAAGTTTTCCTGATGAACTCTTTCATCAAAATCCATTGGTTCTGAACCATCGTCATCCTTGTCATAGATAGCTCTACCATTGCTCTTGTTTTTATGATCTTTGTCTGGCTCAATTCTGTCTCCATATATTTCTGTGACTGGCAGATTTCTCAGCTTTTTGTCAACTTGCGAATCAGCCATGATTGAATCTTTTCTAAAGCAGTTCAATTTGGCCATTGTAGAACTACTCAGTACTTCCTTATTGTTCAGTGTGACATGATCTTCAACTATTCCATCTTCCTTTATGGACTGATTTGAACTTATCCTTTGCCTTTTTGAATGTGTGCTTGGATTGTTCTTGTTTTCATTGTGAGATATATTACTGGCACACCTCTAATAGTTTGAAAGATCACAAATAAATATCAATAAATTGAAACAATAAATTGAAATCCTCGCAAGCTTCATTTTTGTGTGTGTGTGGATTGTGGATTTCAGAGCCCACCTCTTGCAGACACAACAATTGCTTCATGGTGGCATGGATAAAACACAGGAACAACAAGTATTTGGTGCTCACTTGCATACAAAGGTTCTTGAATAATCTCATAATCTCATGTTCAAAGTAAAATGCAAAATTTACTTCTTCAACTCATTGACTTAAAAGAGGGGAAGGGGGGGGGGGGGGTGGTGGAGGGGTTGTTCGGAATTGGCTAGGGCCAAGGTGAGGTAGGGTCTAATGGTTGTTTATACGATAGCCCAAGTGTGATGTAAACAAGCTTCTTATCTTACTGCAATATCGATATCAGTTTCGAAACACAATGTCAGTGTACCAATGAATAGCTGTTTTACTAGAAAGCATACCTTAGCACCCTTTGTGAGCTTATTTCCATCAGCTGTTGTCCTGCCGGTTTCACTGGAGGAAGGATCGTTCACCGGGCAATGTTTGGTGATGAAAAAACTGGAAATCGTAGTCTGTGACTGATCTCTTGCTGATGAGCCACTCAGAGACTGGTTTTTGGCGGCTGATTGTGTGGAACAACGTAGCTTTCCGAGATTTAATTTTCTCATATTGAACAATTTATTTCCCGCTCTCTTCTTGCCACAAGATTCCAAAAGCACGAGGAAGACTGGAGAGAGTGTTTACTACTGAAAAGTAGCCAGCGGTTTAGCTGTTATGCAAATTTCCATCATGGCGGCCTTGCGGAGGAAATTTCCTCTTTGAATGTACAAATTCATGATGTTGTTTCTAGATTCCTTTTCAATGTCCAGCCAAAAAGCACACCAAGGTCCTTCTCCTCCGTCAGTCGAGCAGATTTTAGAAGATTTGGCAGCGGCAAGGGACGATGATGTCGTGTTTAAGTCGTCAATCGTAGCTGGAGAATCAGCCCAAATATCAAAGGGGAAAGGAAACAAGCTGGCCAGTCATTCAGGTGAGTTAATTTCTGGAGTTTACTGATACCTCATCACTCTGAGTTACGTCGATAATGTCGCCAAATTGATTATTGAAAGGTTATCGCAGGAAAGCGTTTTTTACTATCAGCAACAGCATATTAACCCATAACTCCCAAGATCTGACTGTTAATTTTCCCCTCTAACTGCTATACATTTGCTTGTTAGTCAGCTACGATGATTTTGCATTAGATCAAGAGAACAACCTCTACCTGATAAGTTTTTAAATTCTCATAACCTGTATATAGGGTGAAGTTACATGTGAATCACTTCTGAGAGTTAAAGGTTTAATGGTTTCTCACAAGATACATTTTTTGGTATTTAATTTCAGTTTATAGTTTTTAGCTGGTAAAAAAATTTTGTTTAATCTGTGCAGATAGTGTCATGGATCATTCAGCTAGTGGAGGAAACACATCTGAAAGTAAAGGAAATTCAGACGAAATCAAGACAAAATGTCAATCTAATGAGGAGCTCTATGGTGTGGTTGCTTCATTTTTGAAAGAAGTTAAGACATTAGAGTCTTCTCAGGAACGTCTAAATAGTGTGGACCAAGATTTAAAATCAAAGAAAGAAGAATTAGATGAAGCCATCACCAAAGTAAAAGAAGCATGGGAAGTTGAAAAACATGACAGTTAGTGAAATGTCAGGGGCAAAGAGTTCTAAATTTGAATGAGCAAGCACTTTTAAATGTTTGTTGTGTGCAAGGTATAGGTCAGATCTGAACCAAGTACTTTTGTTAGGAATATGTAAAAATTGCCTTAACTGACTACACCTCTTTTCTTGCAAAGGAAAGCTAAGATTTAACCCAAACTTTTCCATATTCTGAAGATGTATTGTTTTTTTAAATCTGTTTAGAGATATTTTGTCTGGATTCTTTTTAATCTGTTTCAAAATTTTAAATCTTTTTTGTACTTTATACACCTGTCAGGCAAGCTGAAAAAAAATTATTTTTGTGATCACTCAGAATTTTTAGGGTGAGGGAGGGGTTGTTTCATTCTTCTCTATTTCTCCTGATTACTGAGTCTTCACAATTCCATAAACCCACCACAAAAAAAGATATAAAAAAATATTTTGATCTTATTGAATTTTAATCTTCATGATTACCTGTCTGATGGGCAGTCTTTTTTTTTTTTTTTTTTCATGTATTCTCTTCAGCCTCAGAACTGGGGTGTAGAGGATAAAGTCCTTAGCTCCAGTATTGTAAGTTATTTTTTGTTTTAGACTCTTTATACCTTTTTTGTCAGCGTGCAGTGTCAAAAGTTTCATGACTATGATTATTTATTTTAATTCAAAGTATTTAAATCAGGTTTAAGTATTGCCATGTGTTATGGTGGAAAAAAATAAATTGAATTTGTATTTGAAAGAGTTTGATATCACCAGGCATGGTTACTAAGCCTTGAATTGTTCCAACAAGTAAGCATTCAAGTGTGAAATTCATTTACAGCAAATATTCCTGGTGCTGAAAACACTTTGTTCAAAAAGGGGTGTGAAGAAGGAAAGACTATAGGCATAATTGATGCCTATATCTGCTAAAGCTAAGGGTAGGGAGAGGCGACAAGTTCAAAATGAATGTAAAATTGTAAAAATTGCTATGTTGAGCGATCTGCATAGAGTCATAGGATTTCCGTTACAATTTAATTTCTATTTCGTGCAAAACACAATTTACAGGTGGTTTGAAGAAAAGTTCAAAACAGTGTCCACCCCTGTTGCCTTGCGTGACCTGCGTGATCTGAATTGTGTTTGACACGTGCCGCCTGACCACTGGACCGAATCACTCGATTGAAAAGAAGATAATCCTGAGCTTTGCACCTGTGTCGAAATTTAATCGGATATTTGCTTCTGCTACTGCTTATAATCTGAGTAGGAGACGTGCCTGTCGTTATGAAGATCAGCATGTACCATGCTGTTTGAATCTGGGATCGGTTTAACCAATCATTTTATCTACGTTGAACCAATCACGTGGCAAAAACTTTATTTGCACGTGCAATGATAAGTGGTTAAAGTTCGGTGGTAAATAAAGAGATATTTTTACAAATTTTACCGGTGAAAGGTGGACATTTCTAAACAATTCATTGTGATTTGTTGGTAATATTTATGATCCACACTTCAGTATGGGAAAAGATCTGGACCTGGTGTATTCGCGCGAGATGTTTCAAAATTTAACGAAAATGCGCGAAAATCACTGCTACACGGACGTTACTTTACGCGTCAAAGGAAAGATATTTCATGCTCATAAAGTGTTATTAGCCACTTCAAGCCGCTTTTTTGATGCAATGTTTTCTGCCGAGTTAAAGGAAAGTACGCAGAATGAGGTGGAACTTCAAGGCGAAGATTTAACCGCAGAGGCCTTCGAAACAATTTTAAATTTCATCTACTCCTCCGTTCTCCCGCTAACCGAAGATAACGTACTAGACGTTTTAGAAGCAGCTGATCATTTGCAGATACTTAGCGTGGTTAAGAAGTGTTCTTTATTCATCGGAAATAACCTTAGTCGAGATAAATTCCACATGGAAACTCAACTGAAAATTCACAGAGTTGCTGAGCGTCATAATTTGACTGAACTCCGTGAAGAAAGTCTTCAAGCGCTCGCTCTAAAGTTTGGAGAAATTTGCGAGGAAGATGGATTTATGAAGAACATCACTGTAGACGAGTTAGAGCTTCTTCTTCCGCGTAACGATCTAAGTGTTCCCTCGGAAACTTTTCTTTTCACAACCGTGATCACTTGGATGAAGTACGATAAAGAAAACCGATTGCCACATGCGCCAAGGCTGCTGAACAAAGTTCGTTTAGCACTTGTCGACATAATGGTTGTGCTATCAGAACTTGAATCGGAGGAGTTCAAAGACATCCCTGAGTGTTTTTCGCTCATGCATAACAGCTTATCACAGCATGTCCGACCCTTTTTGTTTTCTTCATTTGCTCAAGAGAAGGGAATGCCACGCCTCTCATCGAAGGTAAGTACTTTGGCCTTTGCAGTTCTGCTGCATGCGTTCATGGTTAGAGCATGGGGTAAGAGGAAATAGTAACAGCACATTATTGTCGGTACACCGATTTTGGGTCACATACTTAATCTGTTAGAGTGGGTTGATCATAAGTCAGAGGCATCAGGGGTTTTTCATTAAAGGTTGGCCTACACCAGAGTTTCACTTGACTCTAACAACATTCTACAGTTTATATATGTTATTCACGAGATGGGAGGTCCGTATTGGGAAAAACTGTGCCCGAGGTCTTGGTTACACTAGACAGAGGGCACAGTTTTTCCCAATACCGACCGACCTTGGCTGGTGAATAACGTTTTTATTTTTTCTCAAACCTAACAAATGATTGCAAAAAGAACTGCCCGCTGTGGGCGGGCTGGATGGGGAGAATACTGCCTGCTCTCAGAACCAATCAGATTGCAGGATTTGTAGAATACCAATCGCTCATGAACTGAGGAAAAAATAATTTAAATCATTACATGCTATTATTTTTTGAATGACAGCTAGCAACAAAAGTAAAGGGTTTGTATGCACCCAAGGAGCCCCCCTCATAGCCTCAGCTATACTGACACTGTTTTACCTGCTTTTGTGCACTAATTTTGCTGCTTCTTTAATATCAGTTACTTAGTGCCTGAGAAGAAGTGCCAGATGGGAAATTTTTGGCTCCACCTCCCAGCTCAGTCAATAAGCATTGCTTTAGACAATTGCAGCTCTTTCTATTTCTTCCTTTCTTCTTTAAGCTTGCATCTTGTATGGTTGTGCAGCTCTTCCAGGCCCTGCTCATGCCATGGTGTAGGGTCCATGTCTGAAATTTTTTTTGTATGCTTTCAATAAAGGCACATATGGGGTGTGTGTGCTCTTGAATAAAAAAATATGAATCACTGTCACATACAATTTGTTTTAGAAAATTTGGAGATGTCTCAGGATAGCCAGCTCATACCTCATATGCTGCACAAAATTTACATAAAACATCTATCATAACAATATTTTTTAACAGTTTATTACAACCATTGTTGATTTTTTTTAAGGCCCTGGTTTCATTGTCATGCTTGTCTGAAGTCAAGTACTTTGATAGTGTGTCTAAATCATGGAAGCCATTTCCTGGTCTTGAACTACCAAGTCTTCAAATCAAACCAGCAGCACTGTACACTGGAAATTATTTGTTCCTCTTTGATGAGAAAGATGTCCATCAGCACCAGCTTGATACACATACTTGGAGAACATTACCACCTATGAAGAATACACATTGTGATTTCCAAGTGTGCATGCTGGAAGATTTCCTCTATGTCATCAGTGGCAGTGAAGTTAATCACACTGTAGTATCAGAGAGATTCAGCTTCTCAAAGAAAACATGGCAGCGCCTTTCTTTCCATATAGATCAAGGTCTGTATGGCTGTGCTGTGGCTGTACACAATGGCTATATTTACTCTATTGGTGGTTCTTGGGCTGAAGGAGGGGCAGATCGTGGGGTGTTCAGATTTAATCCTATGAAGAATGAATGGACAAAGTTGGCAGGAACAGTTTACAGCCACACCCAGGCCTGTGCCTTTGAAGCTGGGGGAAGATTGTATGTTGCAGGTGGTAAAACAGACCCACCCAGCAAGCGTCAAAGGGGACTTGTTCCATCCAGCTATGTTGAGGTATATGATGAAGAAAATAACCTATGGTGTTCTGTTCCACAGCCTCACATACCACCTGGTAATTTTGGAGCTGTGGAGATTGAGGATCACATTTACTTTATACTTGGAAACATTGCCTTTGACAGTGGGATCCGAATTGGTGCTGAGGAGGTTTATCATGTCAACATTGAAGATTGGGAGCCAATTTCTCAGAATGATACAGATGCAGTGTTTGTTTACATGCCTGTGAACAGAACTGAGACTGATCAAATGAAACAAGAATTGACAGAAAATCATGAAGCTTCAGATGAGCTGTTACTCGAGAACAGTTAATTGCAAAAAAGTATCTGATATATTTGGAGAATATTCCAATTTCATCATTATAAAAATGCCCTTATTGGGATTGTTAAGGTCATAAAGACAACAAAGTCAATCATAGAGATTTTGAATTTAGTTCAAGTTACATTTGGAGACTATTTTAGTGAGATACCATTTAAACATTGACCAATTATTTGCAATCATCCTGATAATCACCTGAGTCCATATCAACTAAGAAAACACATCAGCACCCTGGTTTCATAAAGAGACATCAGGCATAGACTTTTTTCAAATTTATAGGAGGCATTTCAAAAAAAATTGTGCAAACAGCATTTTAATGAAAAGACTAATTTGAAATCAATGTTGATATTTTAATGCAATGTAAATAAAACCCATAGAAATGTATGAAGCCGCATAGTATTTGATAATGTAACAGTAATGGAGAATATTCTACCAATCCTTCACAACCGCCCCTTTGTCACGTTACGTAACACGAATCCCATATTGGAAGGTATGTGTCAGTCTTCCTTGGTTTCATTTTGATTTAGAAATTTTTTTACTGAGTTTCTCCTCTGAGCGCAGAATGAATCTTAGAACCATAACGTTCGACTTGCTTTGTGCCGTGATTAATCAAGCAGAAAGAAAAACGAAATATTTCCGTCACGCAAGACATTCGTCTCAGACATCTGGATCATTGTCAATATCTGAGCAACTGCACACCTACCACTCACCGAACCACTTACGGTCATCTTGTGGTTAATGTTGGGTTAGGGGAGGGGCTGGTGTATAGTTACTCATGTTGCGTGACTGTTTTATTTCCTGGTCACGCGATGATTTGCCCCAGTTTCTGCTCCTCCGAAATCGGAAAATTCCTACATTTCAAAATGGTTGTAAACAATTCCGAGACTCTTTTGTCCAAATGTGCTCAGTTTAGAGGCGAGGAGCAGTTCATTGATGTTCGATTAAAAGTTGGTGAAGACATCTTTCCAGCTCATCGCATCGTGCTGGCTGCGAATAGCGATTATTTCTACGCCATGTTTACAGATGGAATGAGAGAAGCAAATCAGGAAGTGATCGAGCTGAAAGACGAGAGTATTTCACCTGATATTTTAACGATCATACTGGACTCCATCTACACCGGAGAGCCTCACCTCAACGAAGATAACGTGTTTGAAGTTCTTGCTGCAGCAGATCATCTTCAAGTGACGAGTGTTGTTCAACAGTGTGGTGATTTCCTGCTGACCGAGTTTGTGAAGCTTCGCTTTAATTTTGAAAAATTCTGCCGCATCTGGAAAATCGCTGATAGCCATGGCTTGAAAGATCTGCAGGAAGCTGCCGAGTATAAAATTGCTAAGATGTATAAAGATGTCTGTGAAAGCGAAGAATTTTTGACCCACATCGAAGTAGATCAGTTATTCAGCCTTCTCAGTCGAGATGACCTCAATGCACCGACCGAGACGTTCATCTTTAAATCGGTGGTGCAGTGGATTAAACACAAGAAGGAAGAGAGAGTGGAAGTTGCAGCCAAAGTTATTGGAGCCGTTCGTCTGGGGTTGGTGAATATCAGAGAGGTTATAGCGGAGCTCAATACGCAAGAAATGCGAGTTATTCCAGAGATCCACACGCTTTTGCACGAATCACTGTTGTACAGCTACGAGCCTTCAGCTAGCTCCGAGTTCGCTACCAACAAAGCAAAACCGAGGTCCATGAAATCGGTAAGACAAACACTGTTTATCTTTCTAGATCTCAGGAAAGGTCCCAGGCAGGCTAGTGGGCTAATTAGATGCCCTTTTTCCTAAATTAAATTTTATTCAAATAGTAAAACAAATATAACACAAATAAAAGACAGGAAAAGAGGAATCACACCTTAAACAAAAGATAAATAAAGTCAGAATACTCCAAAATTGCAGAATAAGGCCAACGAAAGACTTCTTTGATTCAAAAATGTTTCCAGGCTTACTAAAAGTCTAGCAAAATCCTGATACAATTAATGAGAGCTACAAATATGATGACATAACTTGGATATTTTCGAAGGGTGTAGGAAAATTAAATGGTCTGTCAAAGATATTGTTCGAAGTCACATGATCACAATTTGACGTCGTTAGTGGGAAGTGTCGGAGATTTATGGAAGGACCGTGAAGAAAGGGATCAACTGCATATCGTAATCGATGCAGTATTGATAGAGTTTACCCTGAATTTTCATCAAATCCATGATTTTCATCTCACCCGTTGGTATTCTTGATAGGTACTTGTGGCCATTACTCCTCAAGCCCAGATGCAGTACTTTGATTTTGAAATCAAAGAATGGAAACCTCTTCCAACCATGGCTCAGTTGACTGAGGCAAATGCGTGTTTCTGTGCAGAGTATGTCGGTAATCACCTGTATGTAGCGGGAAAAAAGGAGGAATATTTTGTTACTTATCGATATGATACCGTTAGTAATACTTGGAAGACGCTACCGCCTATTTTAGGGTGTGAGCATAAGATCGATTCTTTATGTTCTATCGATGATTATATCTACGCAATCAGAGCATCGCAGCCACCCCATAGGTTTAGTTTAAAAACAAATCAGTGGCAATGCATAAATTCATTTTGCTTCACTGGAGTTTCTCCGAGCACATTTTGTTGTAAAGCGTCCGCAGTTTTCAACTCGTGTTTGTTTGTAGTTCAGGGTAATGGTAGAGTGATGAGATCTACCGGAAGTGGGATTCCTAGATATGAGGAGAAACCAGCCGTGGTTTTTTGTTTTGATCCAGAACTAAATCAATGGAAAGCTGGGGCATCAGCCAATTGTGCTCATTTTGGATCCAGTCTCTTTGTAGTAAACGGTAGACTATGCATTGCAGGGGGCACACGTTGTATTTATAACAATTCTGTCGCCCCAGTTGAAATTTATAATGAGCAGAACAACCAGTGGTCTCATGTTGAACAAAGCCACATTCCAAACAACAATCTCGGTGCGGTTGAAGTAGAAGGGAGGGTGTATTTCATTATCAATAATTTCCCAATTGATAGTGGAATTAGGATTCCACCAGGAGAAAAGTATCCTGTGCCTTTAGATGAATGGGAGAATCTTAGAGAGGTTAATAGTTACGCAGTTTTGTGCTACTTACCTGTGAGGAACGAGAGTTTAACAGCAGAGTAATGCTTGTGATTTGAATTAAATTTGCTGTTGTTAACTGTGTCGGCTGAAGAATAAATACAACTTTCAGCTTGTCTAATTAGAATGCCGGGGTGTTGTCCTACCTCAAAAGCTGAATGCTTGGGTCTTATGAATGTCGGTAGAATTGGTTCCGTTTTAAAAGACGTAAGTTAAGGGTCGGGCTTTGTTATTTGCCACAGATAGTTGTGGGGCTTTATTTACTTGTTAACAGGGATTATTCTCAGTTATTTTTCTAAATCACTTTCTTGGTGTCAATGCATCACTGTTTTAAAAAGGAAGCCTTACCGTTTGTTATGAGTATTCAACTTGAATAATAAAGACTAATTGATGGATCAAAAACGTGCCAGCTAATTCTTTTCTTGCTTAGTTAGAAATAATTTTCTGGTATTCCCAGGGACGAAAATTGAGACAGCAGTTCATGCCGCTGTAACTAAGATAGACAATCCTTTTTTTGACACACTACTTCTCATAAAAAAAAACACCTCTTTAAATTTTATGCGTATGTACCTGCAAAATTGAAAAATAGTCACGGTTGTTGTATATCCGCTATGTTCTCAGTTATGGTCGGATTGAACTTACATTCTATAGTTATAACATCAGCAGTGGGTTGGAAACCACTCTAAATAATGTTCGGGGCATAAAATCTATCGTCAGTGTGTTTCTTATCAGCTTTTTACGAAATATAACCGGCTTTGAGAAAGCCTTGAACTGTATGAAATGATAACGCTAACAGTTCTCGTGATTTTTATCCTAAAAAAAAAGTGTGTATATATGTAATTACAGCAGAATGCAGGGATAACGAGAATTTAAAAAGTAATTCCACGTAAAAGATATGACTTAAAATGTGGTGTTACATGAAGAAAAGATGTTAAACAAGATGTACGTCATACGTTTGATGAATTAATCCAATGATTTTAGGAAAAGTTTTTATTTATTTACCACATTGACCTTCTTCAGATATACCACTATTAGTTGCCAATTTAACTGCAAAAAGATTATCGTCGGGATTATGCCCCAACAGAGACCCTGATATCGATATCTTTGCAAGTTAATATTTGCATCGCAGGGCGTATGTCACCGGTAACTAAGCAACCAATTCAAGTGGAAATTAGCATAGTTGTCAGTGGGAGGTCACGCGATCCACGTAAAAATTCTTGTTTCCTTCTAAGTTTTTGCGAGCAGATATCTTTGCGTTAAAACAGCACAAAGATGGTGGTCCATTCTAGAATTCTTCTCTCTAAGTGTTCCCAGTTCCGTAGAGAAGGTGAATTTATCGACATACGTTTGAAAGTGGGTGATTCACTTTTCCCAGCTCACCGAGTTGTACTCGCTTCGTATAGCGATTATTTCCACTCCATATTTACTGATGGGAAAGAAGCAAACCAGGAAGTGATCGAAATGAAAGACAAAAGCATTTCACCGGAGATATTCAAGATCGTTATGGACTCTATCTACGCTGGTGATCTTCATGTCAACCAGAAGAGCATATTTGAGGTTCTTCTCGCTGCTAGTCAGCTTCAAATCGCAAGTGTTGTTCAACTGTGTTGTGATTTCGTAAAGAAGGAATTCATAGAAAACAGAATTGACCTGAAGAACTATTCTGTGCTGTGTACAGTCGCCGAAAGACTCGGTTTGAGAGATCTGCAAGAGGCAGCAGAGGCCAAGATGGCATCCATGTACAAAGATGTTTGCGAAACTAAAGAATTCCTGACTCACATCAATGCAGATCAACTACTCAGCCTTCTTGGTCGAGACGACCTCAGTTCACCCTCTGAAGCTTTTGTCTTCAAATCAGTGATGAAGTGGATCAAATACAAAGGAGAAGAGAGGATGCCAGTTGCTGGAAAAGTTATCGGAGCTGTTCGCCTGGGGCTGGTAGACGTTAAGATTGTGATTGAAGAGTTGAAAACAGAAGAAATGCAGCGATTTCCAGAGGTAAACATGCATCTGCAAGAATCCATGATGCATCACATCATGCCTTCTCTTGAGTTTTCCGAAGAGAAAGTTAAACCTCGATCAATGAGACCGGTGAGTGAACAGCTAAGCTCTTTAACTGCTTCCTTTATCTACAACGCAGCTTTTGTTGAGATCTCACAGTACACTGAGTTTCATAACAACTAGCTCCAAGTTTTGACATTCCTGAAGTGTCATTTGCATGTTAATTCGTTGTCCTGATTCTATCAGCGACAGAGTTCGATGATTTTCATTGAGAATCGGTCAATTAGTCAGTCCGCCACTTGATCAAGAAAGCAAGTTTTTATCTATGCACGGGGTATCTATATTTAAAATAACCCAGAGACTGCATGCTGTGTTGTCCGTACCGTGATCGATTAAAACTATTTCAATAAAAATATACATGCGCAACAAATTAAACATCTACTCTAGTATATTTTTGGAGCCTTAAATTGAATACTTTCTTTGCAAAAAAATTCCAGAATGTCAGCTGAAAAGAGGAATATTCAAACGATTGTGTCTTGTTTTAGGTGCTCGTTGCCATTCACCCTACGTCCTGTGTAAGGGTACCCGAGGCATCTCAAAGTGCAAAGAGCATCAAGTACGGTGCGTATAGACGTATGTCACCACAGTGTATAGCTTATTTCTTTGATTTCGAAGCGAAGCTATGGAAACCTTTGCCATCTGTGGCACAACCAGATGAAAAAACTACAGCAAGCTTGTGTGCTGAACGCATTGGAAACTACTTATTTGTAGCTCAACAGAGGCAGGAAAAAGTTAATTTCATACATCGATATGATGTGGTAAATAACTCATGGGTTGAATTACCAAAATACGGAAACAACCACGAAGTTAACTGCTTGTGTTCTGTTGGCGACTATCTTTACGCCATTAGTGAGTCAAATCCTCCTCAAAGGTACAGTTTGACAAATAACAGCTGGCAAGGTGGAGAAGGCTTAAAAGTAGGGGGAAACAAGGAGAAGTTAAGTACTGTAGCAGCAACAGTAACGAACTCTAAAATATATGTAATTCATGGTTATCAAATCGCTAAAAGTGAAGGGATAAACCCCAGCTGGGTCAATCAACCAGCTGTGGTTCATTGTTTTGACCCAGAATATAATGTGTGGACAAAACTCGCGTCAACCTTTCATCCTCATTTTAAATCCAGTCTTTTTGTTGTCAATAACAGACTGTGTGTGGCGGGGGGGAATATTGATGGTTATAGTTACCGTGCACCTGTGGAAGTGTACGATGAAGGTACTAACACCTGGTCTGTAGTGTCTCAGGAACATATTCCCCCTAACAACTTGGGTGCAGTTGAAATAGAGGGGAGGGTGTATTTCATCATCAACAAATTTCCAGTTGACAGCGGAATTAGAATTCCACCTGAGGAAAGGGTATCAAGTTGACTTAAGTGGTTGGGAAGATGTAGCTAAAGTCAGAAGTGGAGCAGTTTTGTGTTATTTGCCTGTCAAGAGCGAAAACTTGAAATGAACCCAGCAAGGAAAAAAATTTCAGATCATGAATGACACTTGTGCTGAATTTGAGCTTCTCTTAGGTATATGAGATATAAAAGAGAAACTGATTGGTAACTTAATATAAAGAAAATTAGTGGTTCTGCGAAATACACTATTTATTTCTAAGCCCATTTTTTTAACAAAGTCAGTGGGAAAAGACCGTACATATGCATGTGATAGGTTGTGATCTAACTTGTGATGTATCATTCAAGGTTTCATATGCATGTATAACATCATTTATAAATAAATTTCATCCAATTTCTTGTAAAACTGGCTACTTATGTTTGTGTTACTAGTTATATGTCCGTGACAGACATATAATCTGGTGGTCCCAGGTTCCAGATTTCCACCCCGTTGACAATTGAATTCCTTCGAATTCTCGCTTGCCCTAGCCTGAGTCAGTTCACCCTCCTTGGCTGCATGCACTCTGTAAATAACGAACTGGTCAGCCTCCTGCCTTTTGGAAAATTCAACTAGTTTATTTTTATTGAAAGGCCTCCATGATTATCATTGTCGAAGATATAATGATTGTATTTTTAACATAATTATCATCATTATTATTACCCATTATTACACGCAACAGAGGGTCAGTTTATGCTTTCTTGAGCCACGCAAAAGTTATTCATATTTTACCCGTTACGTTGAGACTTAACATGAATTATCTTTGCTGATATCGTAGATTGTTTTAAGGATCACGTCCGCAATTAGCCCCCGGAAAGAAAAATATATGGCGGGAGAAGGAGAATAGAACTTGACAGAAAATGTAAAATGTGAGTGGATAACGGAGAATTAAAAGTGTAAGTCTCTGACGTTAGAATTTTTTTAAAATCGCATTCTGTTGTCTAATACATTAGTAATACAGTAGTGAAATAGAAAAAGAAAGCAGTTTCAATGGCTGGATACATCATGTTTCATTCAAATACCGCATCTAAAAATTAGTTTAAGTCCTGAAGACAAAACCACCCTCAATACCAAAATTGATCTGGAGGCATCAGACAATGAATCGTAATAAAGGGGGGTAAGTTTCTATAGAAATTGTGGTGCTGCGTCGATGGCAGAGTATAACAGGGTAATTTAATTTTATCAACTGAGTTGATAATGCAAATTGGCCACCGTAAAGAGTTTTAAAGCTTACGTTTCAAGCGTTAACCCTTCGTCATACCGATAGACACAGCCTTAGAGAAGTTAAGAAGGCCGCAGATCACAAGATGGCATCCATGTACTCAGATGTTAGAGAAAGGGAAGAGTTCCTGTCGAATATCGACGCAGACCAACTACTCAGCCTTCTCAGTCAAGATGACTACAACGTACCTTCGGAGACGCTCATCTTCAAATAATTAATGCAATGGATTAAACAAAAGAGTGAGGAGAGGATGACTGTTGCAGCCAAAGTTATTGGAGCTGTTCGTCACGGACTCGTGGATATACGAGAGCTAATCACTGAGCTTGACACGCAAGAAAAAATGCGAATGCTTCCAGAAATAAATACGTTTTTGCTTCAGTTGCTCTTGTACAGTTACCAGCCTTCAAGTAGCTTCGAGTTAGCTACAAACAAAACAAAACCGAGGTCCATGAAATCAGTAAGGCAAACACTATTGATCTTTCTAAATCTCAGGATCTCTGAGTTCGATAGTCCTAAATTACAATGACATTATTAACATTTAATAAAGAAAGTTGAAATACAATATTACACCTTTTCAAGCCTAATATATACCACTATAAGCATAAGCTATCTCTTAAGTCAGAATACTGGATGGAATAGAATAGGATGACAGCAAAGAACGAAGCCAGGGAAAACTTCCTTGATTCATTGATGTTTTCAGGCTAAAGATCAATCTGTTGGGCAAAATCAGTTATAAAGTATTGCAAGCTGCAATCACTATGGATTGAAAAAAAGATAGGTGAAACTTAACATTCCACATAAATCTCTTCCATAAAGTTTACTCATAGTGTCACTGGTTAAAAATTTGGCCAGTCCAAATGGGAAAAAATAAACTTTTTGAAAGTATTGAAATGTTCCGTGAGATCGATGATTCGAAGGCACATGACAACAAATTGACGTCATTTTTTAGATGGATCCGGGATTTAGTGAAGGAGGGATCGATTAATGTCCGCCTGGAAGAACCAACCCAGGAGGTCGGGGGGCAGCACCCCCTGGAAAAGTAAATTTCAATGCGATGATTGCAGGTTCTTTTACGCCTTTGAACCAATTCATCTCTGTTTTAAGCTATTTTAAACATCCACTGTGTTTACTGACGGGTCTGTTTTTTGTAGCAGAACCGAGGAAAAGAGACTTCATTGGTGTCGTGATTGACGTAAACGTGAAACACATTTTCCTTATCGAATAAAATTTACAATAGCTTGCTCTACCCTGTTCACTCAACTCAATCATTTTGGTCTCATCTTGGTAGGTTCTTGTGGCCATTATTCCTCAAACCCAGATGCTGTACTTTGATTTTGAAACCAAAAACTGGAAACATCTACCATTCTTGGCTCAATTGACTGAGACAGAATATGCAGAATACGTTGTTAATCACTTGTATGTGGCGGCAGAGAAGGGGCCGGAAAGATTTCATTACGTGTCATTATGATGCAGTTACTGATACTTGAGGGTCATTACCAACTATCTTAGGGTGTAAGCATCAGATCGATTCCTTATGTTCTATTGGTGATTATATCTACGCAATTAGAGAATCGACGCCACCCCATAGATTAGGTTTGATTAGTTTAAAAACAAATCAATGGCAGTGTATAAGACCATTTTTACACCGAAGGAACTTGTCCAAATAAATTTTGTAGTGAAGCGTCCGCAGGTTTCTCAGTCAACTCATGTTTTTTCGTATTTCAGGATCAAAGGGAAAAAACTTTTTACAAAGACGGGTCCTCAAGGCATGGGAGGGGGGGCATACCCAATGGAACAGGTGCAGCCCCGGTTGAAGTTTATGATGAGCAAAACAACAAGTGGTCTTATGTTGATCAAAGCCATATTTTTGAAAACAATTTCGGTGCGGTGGAAATAGAAGGGAGGGTGTATTTCGTCATCAATAATTTCCCAGTTGATAGTGGAATTAGGATTCCACCAGAAGAGGTGTATTCTGTGCCTTTAGATGAATATCCTGTGCCTTTAGATGAATATCCTGTGCCTTTAGATGAATGGGAGAATCTTAGAAAGATTAATAATACCGCAGTGTTGTGCTACCTACTTATGAAGAACGAGTGTTTAAAAGCAGAGTAATGCTTGTAATTTGAATTTGTTGTTGTTAACTCTGTCAGCTGAAGAGTAAATAAAAGTTCAAGTTAGTCATGCTGGGGTGTTGTCCAAGCTCCAACAGACCCTGTTATCGTTATCTTTGCAGATTAATCTTTGCATCACTGGGCGTATGTCACCGGTAACTAAGCAACCAAAACAGGTGGGAATCAGCATAGTTCTCACTGAGAGTTCACGCGAACAGAATACAAAAACATTCTGGTTTCCATCGAAGTTTCTGCAACCAGAAAACAGCAGAAAGATGGTGGCTCACTCTAGGATTCTCCTCTCTAAGTGTTCCCAGTTCCGTAGAGAAAGAGAATTTATCGACATACGTTTGAAAGTGGGTGATACACTTTTCCCAGCTCATCGAGATGTACTCGCTTCGTACAGCGATTATTTCCACTCCGTATTTACTGATGGGAAGGAAGCGAACAAGGCAGTGATCGAACTGAAAGATAAAAGTGTATCACCGGATATATTCAAGATCATTATGGACTCTTTCTACAGTGGCGATCTTCATGTCAACCAGAAGAGCGTATTTGAGGTTCTTCTCGCAGCTAGTCAGCTTAAAATCTTAAGTGTTGTTCAACTGTGTTGTGATTTCGTAAAGAAATAATTCATAGAAAACGGAATTGACCTGAAGAACTACTCCATGCTGTGTACAGTCGCCGAAAGACTCAGTCTGAGAGATCTGTAAGAGGCAACAGAGGCCAAGATGGCATCCATGTACAAAGATGTTTGCGAAACTAAAGAATTCCAAAGTCACATCATTGGAGATCAACTACTCAGCCTTCTTGGTCGAGACGACCTCAATTCACCCTCTGAAGCTTTCGTCTTCAAATCAGCGCTGAAGTGGATCAGACACAAACGGGAAGAGAGGATGGCAGTCGTTGGAAAAGTTATCGGAGCTGTTCGCCTGGGGCTGGTAGACGTTAAGATTGTGATTGAAGAGTTGAAAACAGAAGAAATGCAGCAATTTCCCGAGGTAAACATGCATTTGCAAGAGTCCATGATACATCACATCATACCTTCTCATGAGTTTGCCGCTGAGAAAGTTAAACCTCGATCAATGAGACCGGTGAGTGAACAGCTAAGCTCTATAGACATCTCTATAGGTGCTTCCTTTAATTTCAACAGAGCTTTTGGGGAGATCTCACTTGATGCTCAACACTACACTCAGTTTAACAACAACTAGCTCTAATAAGTTTAATCTGAAATTCCCGGAACATTATTTATATGTTAAGTTGTTGTCCTGATTATATCAGCGGTGAGGTTCGATAATTATCTATGGAAGTCAGTCAATTACTCAGTCTCAATCAAGAAAGCAAGTTTCCTGTGATCGATTAAAACTATTTCAGTAAAATTACAGTCACTGTGATGTGCAAAAAAGCAACCAACTGCTTTATCATATTTTTGGAATCTTAAATTGAATACTTTCTTTGTAATAAAAAAGTTATAGAATATCAGCTGAAAAGAGGAATTTTTAGATGATTGTCTCCTGTTTCAGATACTTGTTGCCTTTCAAACTCAGAGAGTTTGTAAGCTTCACGAGGCACCTCCAGATGCAGACAGCATCAAGTCAGACAGCATCAAGTCAGACAGCATTAAGCACCAAGTGCACAGACTTCTGATCTGGCAGTGTAAAGCTTATTACTTTAATTTCGAAGCCAAGCTATCGAAACCTTTGCCATCTGAAGCACAATTAGAGAAACTAACTAACCCATGCTTTTGTGCTGAATGCATTGGAAACTACTTATTTTTAGCTGGAAAGAATCAAAAAATACATCGATATGATGTGGTAAATAACTCATGGGTGAAATTACCAGAATACAGAAACAACCACGAAGTTAAATGCTTGTGTTCTGTTGATGACTATCTTTACACCATTAGTAAGTCAAATCCTCCTTAAAGGTACAGTTTGACAAATAACAGTGGCAAGGTAGAGAAGCACAACCTCAACCTGATGCAACCATTGGGGCAGTGGCCTGAGTGTCTGAGTGTTGGTAGTCGACTGTGGAAGAAGACAGCTGGCAAAGGTCTTTCTACAGTGTTCAAAAGTACAGCTTGTACAGTCATGGGAGAGGAGAGGTTGTGCTTTTTTGTGAGAAATGTAATGCTCAAGAGGCCTCTCTCCACTAAGGGGAGGGGTGGGACTACATTGAACTAGCATCCCTGGACTCCTAGTTGCTCTACATTGTAACATCAAAATTGAGGTGTTTTAGCTCTGACTGAATAAGCCTCATGACACTAGTACTAGGCAGAGTTGGTGATTAATAACTCTGTTTAAGGCTTACAGATGATAAAAAGTCTGCAAATTAGATAAATGTCTTAAGGATGACAAACTGGACAGGATTCAGTTAAATGTAACAAGGTGACTCATGTCTGGTTTTATGTCTGTGTTCTCCTTTTTGGGCAGTGAACACTAATGTTTACTGCATTTAGTACCTCATATTACAGCCTAAGGCATAAGAATTGCCCTACCAGTTTGAAAATTTCTTTTTCCTGTCCTGAATACACAGTAGATGTGTGGTGCATGCCAATACTGTGAACTAGGAAGAATGTTACACTTGGCCAACTACTTACCACTGATGTTTCATGCATGATCAAGTAAAGAATCTGAACAAGAGTCCTCATCACCCTCACCCAAGGAAGATGGATTTATGAAGAACATCACTGTAGATGAGTTAGAGCTTCTTCTTCCACATAATGATCTAAGTGTTCCCTCGGAAACTTTTCTTTTCACAACCGTGATCACTTGGATGAAGTACGATAAAGAAAACCGATTGCCACATGCGCCAAGGCTGCTGAACAAAGTTCATTTAGCACTTGTCGACATAATGGTTGTGCTATCAGAACTTGAATCGGAGGAGTTCAAAGACATCCCTGAGTGTTTTTCGCTCATGCTCATCAGCTTATCACAGCATGTCCGACCCTTTTTGTTTTCTTCATTTGCTCAAGAGAAGGGAATGCCACGCCTCTCATCGAAGGTAAGTACTTTGGCCTTTGCAGTTCTGCTGCATGCGTTCATGGTTAGAGCATGGGGTAGGGGGAAATAGTAACAGCACATTATTGTCGGTACACCGATTTTGGGTCACATACTTAATCTGTTAGAGTGGGTTGATCATAAGTCAGAGGCACAAGAGGGGTTTTTCATTAAAGGTTGACCTACACCAGAGTCTCACTTGACTCTAACAACATTCTACAGTTTATATATGTTATTCACCAGATGGGAGGTCCGTATTGGGAAAAACTGTGCCCAAGGTCTTGGTTACACTAGACAGAGGGCACAGTTTTTCCCAATACCGACCGACCTAGGCTGGTGAATAACATTTTTATTTTTTCTCAAACCTAACAAATGATTGCAAAAAGAACTGCCCGCTGTGAGCAGGCTGGATGGGGAGAATACTGCCCGCTCTTGGAACCAATCAGATTGCAGGATTTGTAGAATACCGCTCGCTTACAAACTGAGGAAAAAATAATTTAAATCATTACATGTTGTTATTTTTTGAATGACCGCTAGCAACAGGAGTAAAGGGTTTGTATGCACCCGAGGAGCCCCTCTCATAACCTCAGCTATATTGACACTCTTTTACCTGCTTTGTGCACTAATTTTGCAATTTCATTAATATCAGGTACTTAGTGCCTGAGAAGGAGTTTTTGGCTCTAGCTCCTAGCTCAGTTAATAAGCATTACTTTAGACAATTGCAGCTCTTTGTATTTCTTCCTTTCTTTTTTAAGCTTGCATCTTGGATGGTTGTGCAGCTCTTCCAGGCCCTGCTCATGCCATGGTGTAGGGTCCATGTCTGAAATTTTTTTTGTATGCTTTCAATAAAAGCACATATGGGGTGTGTGTGCTTTTGAATAAAAAATATGAATCACTGTCACATACAATTTGTTTTAAAAAATTTGGAGTTGTCTCAGGACAGCCAGCTCATAGCTCTTATACTGCACGAAATTGACTCAAGACATCTATCATAACAATATTTTTTTAATAGTTTATTACAACCATTGTTGATTTTTTTAAGGCCCTGGTTTCATTGTCATGCTTGTCTGAAGTCAAGTACTTTGATAGTGTGTCTAAATCATGGAAGCCATTTCCTGGTCTTGAACTACCAAGTCTTCAAATCAAACCAGCAGCACTGTACACTGGAAATTATTTGTTCCTCTTTGATGAGAAAGATGTCCATCAGCACCAGCTTGATACACATGCTTGGAAAACATTACCACCTATGAAGAACACGCATTGTGATTTCCAAGTGTGCATGCTGGAAGATTTCCTTTATGTTATCGGTGGCAGTGAAGTTAATCACACTGTAGTATCAGAGAGATTCAGCTTCTCAAAGAAAACATGGCAACGCCTTTCTTTCCATGTAGATCAAGGTCTGTATGGCTATGCCGTGGCTGTACACAATGTCTATGTTTATTCCATTGGTGGCTCTTGGGCTGAAGGAGGGGCAGATCGTGGGGTGTTCAGATTTAATCCTGTGAAGAATGAATGGACAAAGTTGGCAGGAACAGTTTACAGCCACACCCAGGCCTGTGCCTTTGAAGCTGGGGGAAGATTGTATGTTGCAGGTGGTAAAACAGACCCACCCAGCAAGCGTCAAAGGGGACTTGTTCCATCCAGCTATGTTGAGGTATATGATGAAGAAAATAACCTATGCTGTTCTGTTCCACAGCCTCACATACCACCTGGTAATTTTGGAGCTGTGGAGATTGAGGATCACATTTACTTTATACTTGGAAGCATTGCCTTTGACAGTGGGATCCGAATTGGTGCTGAGGAGGTTTATCATGTCAACATTGAAGATTGGGAGCCAATTTCTCAGAATGATACAGATGCAGTGTTTGTTTATATGCCTGTGAACAGAACTAAGACTGATCAAATGAAACAAAAATTGACAGAAAATCATGAAGCTTCAGATGAGCTGTTGCTTGAGAACAGTTAATTGCAAAAAAGTATCTGATATATTCGGAGAATATTCCAATTTCATCGTCATAAAAATGCCCTTATGGGGATTGTTAAGGCCATAAAAACAACAAAGTCAATCATAGAGATTTTGAATTTAGTCCAAGTTGCATTTGGAGACTATTTCAGTGAGATACCGGCATTTAAACATTGACCAATTATTTGCAATCATCCTAATAATCACCTGAGTCCATATCAACTAAGAAAACACATCAGCACCCTGGTTTCATAAAGAGACATCAGGCTTAGACTTTTTCAAATTTATAGGAGGCATTTCGAAAAAAATTGCGCAAACAGCATTTTAATGAAAAGCCTAATTTGAAATCAGTGTTGATATTTTAATGCAATATAAATAAAACCCAAAGAAATGTATGAAGGCGCATAGTATTTGATAATGTAACAGTAATGGAGAATATTCTACCAATCCTTCACAACCGCCCCTTTGTCACGTTACGTAACACGAATCCCATATTGGAAGGTATGTGTCAGTCTTCCTTGATTTCATTTTGATTTAGAAATTTTTTTACTGAGTTTCTCCTCTGAGCGCAGAATGAATCTTAAAACCATAACGTTCGACTTGCTTTGTGCCGTGATTAATCAAACAGAAAGAAAAACGAAATATTTCCGTCACGCAAGACATTCGTCTCAGACATCTGGATCATTGTCAATATGTGAGCAACTGCACACCTACCACTCACCGAACCACTTACGGTCATCTTGTGGTTAATGTTGGGTTAGGGGAGGGGCTGGTGTGTAGTTACTCATGTTGCGTGATTATTTGATTTTATTGGTCACACGATGATTTGCCCCAGTTTCTGCTCCTCCGGATCGGTAAATTCCTAAACTTCAAAATGGTTGTAAACAATTCCGAGACTCTTTTGTCCAAATGTGCTCAGTTTAGAGGCGAGGAGCAGTTCATTGTTGTTCGATTAAAAGTTGGTGAAGACATCTTTCCAGCTCATCGCATCGTGCTGGCTGCGAATAGCGATTATTTCTACGCCATGTTTACAGATGGAATGAGAGAAGCAAATCAGGAAGTGATCGAGCTGAAAGACGAGAGTATTTCACCTGATATTTTAACGATCATACTGGACTCCATCTACACCGGAGAGCCTCACCTCAACGAAGAAAACGTGTTTGAAGTTCTTGCTGCAGCAGATCATCTTCAAGTGACGAGTGTTGTTCAACAGTGTTGTGATTTCCTGCTCACCGAGTTTGTGAAGCTTCGCTTTGATTTTGAAAAATTCTGCCGCACCTGGAAAATCGCTGATAGCCATGGCTTGAAAGATCTGCAAGAAGCTGCCGAGTATAAAATTGCTAAGATGTATAAAGATGTCTGTGAAAGCGAAGAATTTTTGACCCACATCGAAGTAGATCAGTTATTCAGCCTTCTCAGCCGAGATGACCTCAGTGCACCGACCGAGACGTTCATCTTTAAATCGGTGATGCAGTGGATTAAACACAAAAAGGAAGAGAGAATGGAAGTTGCGGCCAAAATTATTGGAGCCGTTCGTCTGGGGTTGGTGAACATCAGAGAGGTTATAGCGGAGCTCAATACGCAAGAAATGCGAGTCATTCCAGAGATTCACACGCTTTTGCACGAATCACTGTTGTACAGCTACGAGCCTTCAGCTAGCTCCGAGTTCGCTACCAACAAAACAAAACCAAGGTCCATGAAATCGGTAAGAAAACCACTTGTTTATCTTTCTAGATCTCAGGAAAGGTCCCAGGCAGGCTAGTGGGCTAATTAGATGCCCTTTATCCTAAATTAAATTTTATTCAAATAGTAAAACAAATACAACACAAATAAAAGACAGGAAAAGAGGAATCACACCTTAAACAAAAGATAAAGTCAGAATTCTCCAAAATTTCAGAATAAGGCCAACGAAAGACTTCTTTGATTCAAAAATGTTTCCAGGCTTACTAAAAGTCTAGCAAAATCCTGATACAGTTATAAAGTAATGAGAGCTACAATATACGATGACATAACTTGGATATTTTCGAAGGGTGTGGGAAAATTAAATGGTCTGTCAAAGATATTGTTCGAAGTCACATGATCACAATTTGACGTCGTTGGTGGGAAGTGTCGGAGATTTATGGCAGGACCGTGAAGAAAGGGATCAACTGCATATCGTAATCGATGCAGTATTGATAGAGTTTACCTTGAATTTTCATAAAATCCATGATTTTCATCTAACCCGTTGGTATTCTTGACAGGTACTTGTGGCCATTACTCCTCAAGCCCAGATGCAGTACTTTGATTTTGAAATCAAAGAATGGAAACCTCTTCCAACCATGGCTCAGTTGACTGAGGCAGATGCGTGTTTCTGTGCAGAGTATGTCGGTAATCACCTGTATGTAGCGGGAAAAAAGGAAGAATATTTTGTTACTTATCGATATGATACCGTTAGTAATACTTGGAAGACGCTACCGCCTATTTTAGGGTGTGAGCACAAGATCGATTCTTTATGTTCTATCGATGATTATATCTACGCAATCAGAGAATCGCAGCCACCCCATAGGTTTAGTTTAAAAACAAATCAGTGGCAATGCATAAATTCATTTTACATCACAGGAGTTCGTCCAAACGCATTTTGTTGTAAAGCGTCCGCAGTTTTCAACTCGTGTTTGTTTGTAGTTCATGGTATTGATAGAGTGCTGAGATCTAACGGAAGTATTCCTTTTAGTTATGAGAATAAACCAGCCGTGGTTTGTTGTTTTGATCCAGAACTAAATCAATGGAAAGCTAGGGCATCAGCTAATTGTAGTCATTTTGGATCCAGCCTCTTTGTAGTAAACGGTAGACTATGCATTGCAGGGGGCATAGGTCCTCCTATGTGCAATTCTGTCGCCCCAGTTGAAATTTATGATGAGCAGAACAACAAGTGGTCTTATGTTGAACAAAGCCACATTCCAAACAATAATCTCGGTGCGGTTGAAGTAGAAGGGAGGGTGTATTTCATCATCAATAATTTCCCAATTGATAGTGGAATTAGGATTCCACCAGGAGAAAAGTATCCTGTGCCTTTAGATGAATGGGAGAATCTTAGAAAGGTTGATTATAACGCAGTGTTGTGCTACCTACCTGTGAGGAACGAGAGTTTAACAGCAGAGCAATGCTTGTAATTTGAATCAAATTTGCTGTTGTTAACTCTGTCAGCTGAAGAATAAATACAACTTTAAGTCAGTCTAATTAAAGTGCCGGGGTGTTGTCCTAGCTCAAAAGCTGAATGCTTTTTGGTTTACATGAATGTCGGTAGAACTCGTTCCGATTTAAAAGACGTAAGTTAAGAACCCGGCTTTGTTATTTCCCAACAGGGATTATTAACAGATATTTTTCTAATTCACTTTCTTGGCGTAAATGCATCATTATTTTAAAAAGGAAGTCTTGCCGTTTGCTATGAGTATTTTACTTGAATAATAAAGACGAATTGCTGAATAAAAAACGTGCCAGTTTATTCTTTTCATGCTTAATCAGAAATAATTTTCTGGCCTTCCCATGGGGCGAGTATTGAGACAAAAGTTCATGCCGCTGTATCTTACCAGAGAACTATGGTTATGGGACCCCTGTGAGCTAAATAATAATCTGTAGTAAATCCCTTTTTTAGACGCACTTTTCATAAGAACATCTCTCTGAATCTTATTCGTATGTATAGTCACCTGCAAAAACGGAAAAATAGTCACAGTTGTGGTATATCCGCCATGTTCCGCTCAGTTGGCCGGATTGAGCTCACATTCTAGAGTTAAAACATCAGCACTGGGTTGGAGACCTCTCCAAACAGTGCTCGGGTGTGAAATCTGTCGTTAGTGTATATCTTATCAACTTTTTACGAAATATTAACTAATTGCCTTGAGAAAGCCTTCAACTGTAATTTAAATACTAACGCCGGCTAGCTTCTGGCGATTTTCATCCTAAAGAAAAACAAAGTGTGTACGTAAGTAATTACAGCAGAATACAGGGACAAGAAGATTTTAAAAAGTCATTCCAGGCAAAATATATGACTTATAATGAAGTGTTTTATGGAGAGAAGATGTAAATGAAGATGAACGTCATACGTTTGATGAATTTGTCAATGATTTTAGGATAAATTTCGATTTATTTACTACATCGACCTTCTTCCGATATACCACTATTTTTATGCCCCAACAGAAACCCCGTTATCGATATCTTTGCACGTTAATCTTTTCATCACTGGGCGTATGTCAACGGTAACTAAGCAACCAATACAAGTGGGAATTAGTATAGTTTTCAGAGGGAGATCACGCGATCCACGTACAAAGACATTTTGGTTTCCTTCGAAGTTTCTGCAAGCAAAGATCTCCGCTGATTGAAACAGCACAAAGATGGTGGCCCATTCTAGAATTCTCCTCTCTAAGTGTTCCCAGTTCCGTAGAGAAGGAGAATTTATCGACATACGTTTGAAAGTGGGTGATACACTTTTCCCAGCTCACCGAGTTGTACTTGCTTCGTATAGCAATTATTTCCACTCCATATTTACAGATGGGAAAGATGCCAACCAGGAAGTGATCGAAATGAACGACAAAAGCATTTCACCGCAGATACTCAAGATCGTTATGGACTCCATGTACACTGGTGATCTTCATGTCAACCAGAAGAGCGTATTTGAGGTTCTTCTCGCAGCTAGTCAGCTTCAAATCTCAAGTGTTGTTCAACTGTGTTGTGATTTCGTAAGGAAGGAATTCATAGAAAACGGAATTGACCTGAAGAACTACTCCGCGCTGTGTACAGTCGCCGAAAGACTCGGTCTGAGAGATCTGCAAGAGGCAGCAGAGGCCAAGATGGCATCCATGTACAAAGATGTTTGCGAAAGTAAAGAATTCCTGACTCACGTCGATGCAGATCAACTACTCAGCCTTCTTGGTCGAGATGACCTCAATTCACCCTTTGAAGCTTTCGTATTTAAATCAGTGATGAAGTGGATCAAATACAAAGGGGAAGAGAGGATGGCAGTTGCTGGAAAAGTTATCGGAGCTGTTCGTCTGGGGCTGGTAGACGTTAAGATTGTGATCGAAGAGTTGAAAACAGAAGAAATGCAGCGATTTCCCGAGGTAAACATGCATCTACAAGAATCCATGATGCATCACTGTATGCCTTCACATGAATTTGCTGCAGAGAAAATGAAACCAAGATCAATGTCTCCGGTAAGAATGTAATTCAAGTCATCTTACATTTGCCTGTTTATATGAAAATTTCATTTATTGTTTATAGCATACCCTATTCACTCGACTAAAGAGAGCCCGGTTTCATAGACTCTCTCAGTTCTGAACAGAAGAGGTGTAACACTCTGACTTAGTCTATTGTTGCCCCAACATTTCCGACTGTGTCGTTGGAGAAAATGTGAAATCTTCTCGGCCGTGAGCTTAAGATGAAAGATCTTCCCTTTTTAAGAGAAATTGTCAGGTTACTTTTCTTCAGAATTTTCATCAGTTCTGGAGTTACACTCTCTTTAAACCTCTGTCTGGTAATGCAATCAAGTCGCTCTGCCTACCACGTAAGTCCGGCGGATCAGGACGAAAATTTTCTTATTTAATTTCGTAGCACACTTTCTCCATAGTAAAATCGGTATTACCATTAAATTTATTCATTTGACGACGATGCTTAAAAATGAAAAAGCTTTAAAGGTTTGTAATGAATAGTCTCTCTTCTGGTGCATGTAGCTTCATGTGCCTCGTCGCTATTATAGTGGTTTGCGATGAATAAGTATACGAGCTTCCGTTTTGAGAGTGTAGAGCATTTTATTCGTTAAAAATCCGTTGGTGTCAAACTCTAGACGTTACTCCTAGGCTTTCTTGTAATCACTAAAGATTGATTTCAAGTTATAATTAATTGATCAAGAAGCGATCTTTTGCAATGGAACACTGAAAGTTTAACAATCGTATCATTTTGTTCCCAGCTTTTATCAAAGCCTCGTTCAGCATAATGATTTCGGTGTCACTTGCGTGCTTCAACGAGATCATTTTCATTTCAAGTTTTTTTTGTTGTCATTTCAGGTTCTCGTGGCTATATATGGAAGCGAGTGGAAGACCAGAGGTAAAATAGAGGGGAAAGCGTTAAGCACCGTGTTCTCGACTTTCCCTGATCCTCTGCCTGAAGTCGCTTTCGCTCAATATTTTGATGTTGACACCAAATTGTGGAAGCCTTTGGCATCGGTTGCTCAGCTAGATGAAACGACTGATGTGTGTTGTTCTGCAGAATTGATTGGAAGTTACTTGTTTGTAGTCACAGGGGTGCAAGTTAGGTCAAATAGTGACTGTGACTATGTTGTATACCGTTATCACATATTAAATAACGAGTGGGAGAAACTTCCAGAGTTGAAAATAAGGGAATCATATCAACATTTGGACATCGGGAGTAAGATTTGCGTATGCTCAGTCAGTGGGTATTTGTATGTCATTACTCAATCAAATCCTCCCCAAAGGTATTCTTTGAGCACTGGCGTTTGGCAAGCTGGGAAAGAGTTGAATTTTGTCAAAAATGTACAACGTGACAAAGAAAGGTTCGATTCTGTGGCGGCAACAGTAATGAATTGTAAAATATATGTAATTCATGGCTATCAAGCAGTTGATTATCTTATGCATTCATTTTTCCCAGTGGGTCAACAAACCAGCGGTAGTGCATTGTTTTGACCCAGAGAAAAATGAATGGGAACGTAAAGCTTCGACCTGCCATCCTCATTTTGGGTCTAGTATTTTTGTAGTCAATAACAGACTATGTGTGGCAGGGGGTTCAAGCATAAATCGTTCAGGGGCCCAGGTGGTGGAATTGTATGACAAACGTAATGACACCTGGTCTGTTGTGGAGCAGAAACATATCCCGAAAAACAACTTAGGTGCATTTGAAATTGAAAGGAGGGTGTATTTCTTAATTAACAATTTTCCTATTGACAGTGGTATTAGAATTCCTCCGGAGGAAAATTATCCTGTCCACTTAGGTGATGAATGGAAAGACTTAGCAAAAGTAAGTAGAGAAGCAGTCTTGTGTTATTTGCCTGTCAAGAAAGAAAACTTAAGATGAACAAAGAAGTGACAAATCCAAGGTAAAATTTTAGACATGTAAAAATCGGTTAACGAACGGAATGGTAAAGAAAAAGGTCTAGATACTTGTTTTAATGTAGTTTACTGACAAGCCATATTATAGTACTCAACACACACTATTCAAATTAACTGTTGTTTCGAAGAAGTAGTTTTAATAGGTGTGCAATAAATATATCTTATTAGATGTTTTGGTATGCAGTATCACTGAGTATTTTTACGAATTGTGTTGTATTTTGACGAGCCCATAGGGGAGTCAAATTAGAAACAATGAGTGCAGTGCATTTGGATAATTTATGCAGTTGGATAATGAAATAGGTTATTGTGTGGTTTGTGTACCCTATCAATTAGCTGAGGGTATGGCACATGAAAACACAATTTGGTTTTCAATACGTAAATTGAGTTAAGATTTTAAGATAACATAGTTAGAAATGAGGAGGAGTCATGAAATAGAACTGTTGGTTATGAGTATGACTCATGGTAGAGCTGTAGAAAAAAGTACTAAAGTACTAAGTATGCAAACTAAAAACTGGCAAAGGTCAAGAGGTCATAAACTGATCTTAGTCTCGTAAAGGCTTAATGAGTATGATACTTTAACGCTCTGATTGATTTTATTGTGCCATGTAATAACCTGATTGCATAATAAAGTTGTGAGTTTATTGGTAAAAGGTTTATTTTTACTAAATGGGCTTTAACAATAAATGATAAACCCTTTCACTCTCAAGATCTTGATGTTAATTCTCCCTTCTAGCTGCTACACATTTCCTTGTAACTTGGTTATACGAATTTGTTGTTACATCAAGATAACAACTTCTACCTGATAAGTTTGAGTATTCTCATAACCAGTTTGCTGGATAATGTGAGGATTTTATATAGAGAATTTTTATGTTAATCATTTATGGAAGTTAAAGGGTTGACAATGAAGAAAAACACTTAGAAGAGAGTGCTCGCGCTCCAGAGGAGTCGATTCTTGTAAACGGCGAGTCGATATTATTGATTTTCAAGGAGTTCTCTTAGCTATAACTACACCTTTTTTGTTTATTCCAAAAAAAAAACTGAAAACTCTGTCACTGTATTACAATCACCCGTGATGTTTGCCCAATCCTACATTTTGAGCATTGCCAAAAGCAAAAAACAGATCTTTTCCCTTTCTTCGAAAAAAGAGACATCGTTCGTTCAAAATTTGAACTTAATTCACCATTTGAAGATACCTATCATCTGTTTTGCAAAATTCAACCCTTCCCCCTTCCTCTCGTAACTTGAAGGTGTTTGCGTGACCGTTGTAGATATTTGATCACGCAATCGAGCGAAAGTAATATCTCGTGTATCGTCTTTCGCATCAATCGTCTTGCAAAATGGCTGCATTCTCTGAGATTCTCCATTGCAAATGCGCTCAGTTCAGAGATGAAGGTCAATTTATCGACGTTCGATTACAAGTCGACAAAGAAGTCTTTCCAGTTCATCGTATCGTGCTGGCTGCGAGTAGCGATTATTTCTACGCCATGTTTACGAACGGAATGAAGGAGTCTAACCAGGAAATGATCGAATTGAAAGACAAAAGCATCACGTCAAATGCTCTAAAGATCATCTTAGACTCCATCTACACTGAAGATCTTCATGTCACCGAGAAAAACGTGTTCGAAGTACTCGCTGCAGCATTTCATCTCCAAGTGACGAGTGTTGTACAACGCTGCAGTGAATTCCTGAAGAAAGAATTTGTTCAGCTCCGACTGGATCTGCAGAATTACTGTCTGCTCTGCACGGTTGCCAATAGACACGGTATGAAAGATCTGCGAGAGGCGGCGGAGAGCAAGATGGCATTAACGTTTAAGGATATCTGTGAAAGCGAAGAATTTTTGTCCGTTATAGAACCACACCAATTAGTTGGCCTTCTCAGCCGAGATGACCTCAGTGCACCTTCTGAGACGTTCATCTTTAAATCAGTGATGCAGTGGATCAAGCACAAGAAGGAAGAGAGGATGGTAGTTGCAGCCAAAGTTATTGGAGCTGTTCGTCTGGGGCTGGTGGACATCAGAGTTGTGCTTGAAGAACTGAACACAGAAGAGATGCAGAGAGATCCTCAAATTCACAAACAAGTTTATGAAGCATTGGTCCATAACAACATGCCCTCTAATTTGTCCAAGTTTACTGAGGAAAGAGCTAAACCAAGATCAACAAGTCAAGTGAGTAAATGCTTTTTTACTGATTCACATTAACAATAACTAACAGCCTCGTTGAAGGATTGGACCGTGAACAACTCACGATCCTTTGAGATATAATCAGCTCAATTTAGGTCAATGTGACAAACACGGCCGTACCCTAACTAAGAAGTTCTTTTGAAGCAAAGAAAATAATTCTGTTCTCAAATTATCAAAAAGGTAAAAAGGACCTGATTATTTGTAGACATCTAACGTGTGACAGGCTCTTGGTTAGTGGGAAGGAGGAACAATTAGATTTGATTGGCGACGTTCATCTTTCATTTCAGGCGCTGATTGCAGTTCTTCCTAAGCTTCAAATGAAGTATTTTGATTTCCAAAGCAAAATATGGAAAAACTTACCATCGACAGTACCGTCGATCCAGGCGGCTCGTTGCGATTCTGCAATCTCTGTAGGCTGCAACTTGTTTGTCACAGGACCAGCCCCGGATCACAGCTTTTTCTTTTATCGTTACGACACAAAGAGTAATGCTTGGGAGAGGAAGCAGATTTCGTCAAATGGATATGCGACAGTTAACAATCTGTGTAATCTAGGAGATTATATTTATGCTATTAGTTCTTGTTTAGATCAGGTTCCTAAAAGGTACAACATTGCCAAAAGGCAGTGGCAAAGCATTTCAAAACTGCGTACAAATCCTTATTATCAGGCCTGCAATATTGGAGCAATAGTTCACCAGTCAATATTTGTCCTCTGTGGCGATACGTCCCATATAAAAGGAAGATATCGACCAGCAGTATTACATTGCTTCGACCCGGCTAAGAATGAGTGGGAAGAAAGGGCAAAAACTTGCCAACCACATTTTGGATCCAGTCTTTTCGAAGTAAATGGTAAACTCTTTGTTGCTGGGGGCAGATGTACTCTTGATCCAAATCGCAATTATCCCGCACCAGTAGAAGTGTATAGCGAGGAAACCAACACCTGGTCTATTGTTAAACAAAAACATATTCCCGACAATAATCTCGGTGCAGTGGAAATAGAAGGGAGGGTATACTTCATCATCAATAAATTTCCAATTGACAGTGGGATTAGAATTTCACCAGGGGAGTTGTATCCTGTTCCTCTGGATGAGTGGGAGAACTTAGGAAAAATTGAACAATGTGCAGTTCTTTGTTATTTTCCGTTAAAGAGAGAATATACGAAAACTGAGTGAGTTCATTCACCGTCAAATATGAGTAGTCTGTTGATCCAACCTCAAACAATTCCTATAATCTTTGATTACAATTATCAGCTTCATAAGTAAGAAGGGAACCTAAAAATCTCTTGTTTCTTCAGTTAAAAAAGATATCGGCTCCTATCAGTGCAGGGGTTAATTAGGCTTGTTATTATTTTATTTACAATTTTGCTAGAGTAATTTTGTCAGTTTTCATGTAAATATCCTTCAAGGCTGGAAAGAAAAGTTCACAATACCTTACTCTTTTGTCTATACTATAGCACAATAATTTGTATCAAACAGATTTTTCCTTTGACCCAGCCTCCAGATGATTTCTACATTGATGCTACATCGCCTTTTGGTCTGCATTACCACCTGAACTGCGATTTATGAACAGTTTACCTGCTGAGGTCGTCAATGTAGTTTAACCCTTTCCCTCCCATGATCTCATTACTAATTCTCCTTACTGTCTTCCGTACAATTCTTATGATATTATCTCCAAGAAGTTGGTATTGGATCAACTAATAATCCCCTAAATAATATTTTTCTTTATTTTCATCATTTGTCTGCTTGATATTGAGAGGAGAAATCAAATTGAAATGTTTGAAACTGCCACCAGATTAGAAGGAGGATAAAGGTGATGAAGGTAACGAGATGACGTTGGCGTGTAGCGGTCACGCGATCACACGATCGCCTAAACACCGTATTGCCGCAAGGCACTGTCTGATCTGTTGTTGAAATTGAAGTACAGTAGAATCATTTTCTTCAGTAAAATGGTTGCTCATGCCGATATTCTCCCGTCGAAATGTGCTCAGTTTCGTAACGAAAGTCAATTCATCGACGTTCGATTATTTTTTACATCATGTTTACAGATGGAATGAAGGAGTTAAGCCAGGAAGTGATCGAGCTGAAAGATGAAAGCATTTCACCAGATGTTTTAAAGATCATACTGGACTCCATCTACACTGGAGATCTTCTTGTAAACGAGGAAAGCGTGTCCAAAGTTCTAACTGCCGCAGATCATCTTCAACTCGCAAGTACTGTTCATCAGTGTTGTAATTTCCTGCTGACCGAGTTCGTCAATATTCGTTTGGACTTTGAAACTTACTGTCGCATCTGGGAAATCGCGTTTAGCTATGGGCTGAAAGATCTGCAAGACGCTGCAGATTGTAACTTAGTTAAGATGTATACAGATGTTTGTGCACCTTCTGAGACGTTTGTCTTCAAATCCGTGATACAATGGGTTAACTACAAAAAGGAAGAGAGGATGGCAGTTGCAGTTGAAGTTATCGGAGGCGTTCGTCAGGGGCTGGTTGATATTGGAGTTGTGATTGACGACCTTAACACTGAGGAGATGCAACAAATTCCTGAAATTTACAAGCAGGTCCACGAGGCAGCAATCTATAAACACAGGCCAACCTATAAACCTTAGTATTCAGTGGAGCAAATGAAGCCACGATCAAAGAACCCAGTAAGAACATTCTATTTTGAAAACTGGTGAAATTTTGTTAAGTTTGTGGCTTTCAAATCCTACTTTATTTATCCTCTCTATTCTGGAACATTTTCGTTTTAGTTTGTTTGTCTGGGTGTTCGTTTGCGTGTATTTTTTTATGCCATTCAGTTGCGTTCCTTACTTTTCTGATACTAATTTTGTGGTTTCCTTCATTTTGAAAGAAGCAGTTTGTAGTTTCCACTGTAAGAGAGAGAAGAGCCAAAAAGTTTATGGAATTATGGAGTTGTTTGTTAATTTTATAACATAACATTATAATTCCCCAGTAGGTTCTTGTGGTTATCTTGCCTAAGAAGAGAATGCAGTACTTCGACGTAGAGGCCAAAACTTGGAAGACTTTGCCGGTCGCCTCCCCGCGAATTGGGGCAACTTGTGGTTTCTGCGCAGTGTCTCTTGGCGATAAGTTGATGATTGCCGCACGGGACTCCTTAGGTAACTGCATCTACCGTTATGATACAGATACGCATTCAGGTAATAATACCACTGATCTCTGTGTTACAGATGAGTTGATGTACGCAGTGAGTGCAAACGATTATCAAGCTTGTCAAAGGTACAGTTTCACTAAACGGCAGTGGCAAGCATTTCCTCGCCCTACAGTACAAACAGACAATAACATAAGTGGTGCAGTGGTTTTAAATTCAAAAGTGAGTGTTCTGGAGAAAAATGAGGATGCTTTCAAAACGTCAGTCGTGTTTTGATCCTCAAAAGAAGAAATGGGAAGTAAAAGCAACAACATCCACCCGTTACCAAGAATCCACAAGGCTGATAGTAGTGAAGAGGAAACTCTACATTGCTGGGGGCAAAGTTCGAGGTAGTCCAATGGCAGAATATTGTAACGAAAAAACCAACAGCTGGTCTGTTGTTAAACAAAAACGTATCCCGGCCAATAATCTCAATGCAATGAAGAGAGGGTGTATTTCATCATCAATAACTTTCCAATTGACAGTGGAATTAGAACTACAGACGGGCGCCTAAATTCTGCTGTTCTGAACGAGTGGGAGAATTTGAGAAAAATAGATTACAATGCAGCCCTTGGTTATATGGTAATGAAGAGGGAGAGTGGTGGGTGATAAACGAGTCAAGCGTGGCTGACTGACTTCTCCTAATTACTCTCAGAGCATTATTTCTAGTAGATATTTACTCATTCATCCATGTTATAACTATGCACTTTGGAAAGGTGGAATGTATGACCATGTGAAAACATTTCTATCTTGGAAAAATAATCGAGAAATATGAAGCTAAAGATCCGTGTTGTAAATCACTTTTAAAAAAAGACCGTTGTACAATGCGTGTTCGAGAAGAGAAAATAGGTACATATCAAGAAAATACTCTCTCGTTGATAAGTTTGTCTGTTTAGCAAAGAAGTGATAACTGCGGGTGAACTATAATCAAAAGTTAATGCAGAAACCCGTCCCTTTCAGTTACGAGTTGAGCGTAATTCAGACCAACCGAGCTAGGAAGCCACACGTTAAGAGCGAAGCAAATTATGTGTTAGTTGTTCCGTTGCGGAATATGTTCAGGGTTAAGTGAAAATAAGCTATATTGTGGCCTGCGGATGATCGAAAAAGTAGCGAAATGCCAGGTGTACTGCAATTAAAGAAATTGCAGAAAATCAAGCCTGAAAAACGTAAGGTTTCGTCGGCCGTTTCGGGATTCAAGCCCGTGTCTCGGCCCCCATTTAGTTGATAATGAAATTCAGTAAACTGTGAGATGGACTCGCTTATATTTCACTTCAGAAAGTTAAAGCCGGTCTTTGATGTGTCGCGACAATCTTGTAAGCGTATCGCGTGATACTTTATTTTCGAATTTAATCATGTAAGCTAAGGGTTTGATGACAGTTGCGTTACTTAAGATTTAGATGAAAAATTAAGCGTAGCACGGTAATGATAGACTTGTAGCAAGAATGTTTGGATTGCACACAGCAGAAGTGATATAGAAAATAATACTAATCTGAAATAATTAGATAAGGAATTGTCTAAAGAAATTGTACGCGCGCGTTTGGGTTGGAACGTCCTGTGACGTTGTATTATGTGTCATTTGAGCCGTTAATACTGCGTGCTACTGAAGTGTTGATCGGCGTATAATGGTAAACAGCTGTTAAAATCAAGTTAACAGGAAATAACTTTGGATTTTAATATGTAATGTTAATCTTGGTTTTTCCTAGTTTAGGCGTGCATTTCCGTTGTAATAGTAGATGAATAGAATCGCTGTCTTATAACAGACGATCGAGATCGATTGAATGTAGAAATTACGGATATTGTATGGATCATAAATAAATGCAAGAAAGCGAAAAGATACAGTCCTGTTAATTGTCGAACCAGCGGTCCGCAGAGATTTTCCTTAGTGCAGTGTGGAATTCTGCAACATGATGCAGGCAATAATATCGAAGACGTACAAAGACCTGTGTATTTTCATAATTGTAGATTACCTTGCCAAATTACAATTTTACTTGGCTTTAACTCTAAAGCTGCATTGTTAGACTTATCAGATTATGTTAGACCAGCAGTTAAGACTACTGGTAAAATCTAAATCTGTTCTAAGCCTCCTGTAAAGCATTTGAGTATTGAATAAATCTACCTTAATGTTTGAGAGAAACAATAGTTAGTGTCCTTTTTCTTGTTGAAGGTCCTAACCACGTGGTAAGCAGCTCTGAGATTTATCAAAACAAAAGAAAGTGTTCACAAAAAAAAGGTCATAAAAAAGAGTTCAAATCCCGCAGGACTGATTTGATACACCAACATGGCAGGCGTTTTCTTGTCTTGTTAGCCAATACTGCAGCCGTGAAGTCATATAAAAACGGTGTGTAAACAAACTCAAAGACGACCTGATTTTTCTCTAATCTAAGTTCCACGAATTCTTTTTGGAGCAAGTTACAGTACTCAGAGGCGTCCCAGAATTCGTCCGCTTCCGTTGTTGTTGCGGTTTTTTTTTCCTTTTTAACTTGCGACCCTCGCACAAATTCGTGGATTTGCGCTTGGGGGGAGGGGGACTGGAGGATTTTGGTGTTTCACGACAAAGTTTACCTAATCCCCCACAAGGCTCTGTAATATTTTTATGACCCCCACCCACCCCACCCCCCATCTTCATAAGCAGTTATTTGGTAGTTCATTTTCTATCAGGCTCCGTTGGCGGAGACTATAATTCCCCTCCTTTGATCCCCCTGAAAACCATGTGATCCTCAAAGATCCTCAAACTCGCGCCTATCCCCCCCCCCTTGCCTAGGAGATAAACGGTGACTGGTCCCTGAGACAAAACTGGACTATGTATGTGACGGCCGAGAAGAGAAGTTAGGCAGTCACGACGGCAACCCCGAGGAAAATGTCGATCTAAAAAATTAATAGATATTTTTGTTAGAAATTTTGCGAATGGCTGGAGGTGTTAACTGTCTCCAACGGCACTCTCTGAATCAGCCATGATAAGCAGCCAGTGATAAATTGAGTATTCATTATGTTGTCAAAACAAATATTACTTTACATATCAAACTCTTTCCCCAGTGCGACGAACATTTGTACAAAACTGTATGATACTGAGATCGATATGATATTAAATCGATACCGAAAGCCCGTTTCCAACTTGCTAAGAAGCGCATTTAATTGCCTTCCGCCACGATCACTAGCTTTCTTGACAGCCTTCTGAAGACAGAATACTTTCTTTCCGAAGACTTCTAATGTGCGGCTATTGATTATTACACCTCGTATACCTGATTGCTCAAACACTTTGTTTACGATTGTTGAAAGGACCGACTCATGGTTCTCCGTCTTCGTCTTTACATTGCTTTGAAATAGTATAGATTACTAAGCTGAAACGAAAAACTAATCAGGGATGTTTACGAAAAATCCAGCAAACAAGCTTAAAAAAGGCATTTATTTAGACTTCGTACTTCAACGAACTTCACAAATCTTACTTGTTTATCTTGTAAGTAAACGATGGCAGACTAGTTCCCGAAGCGCTTTCTGAGTTTCCCGATCCCTCTCCTACTGCTTTCACGCTTACAAAACAGGAAAAAATCAAAAGGAGGAAGATACAGCTGTTTTGAAACGCCATTTGACGAGGGTAAATCTGCTTTACGTACGATAAGATATGATGAGATATTAAAATGATACATTTTTAATTCAAACTTATCTGTATTAGGGTAGGTTTTCTAACTCACCAAAATGTAACCCTTTTCATCATATTCACTTAAGTTTTTCAGTAGTTTCGACCCGAACTACCCAAACCACTCCTTGATCTGCTCCAGCGTTCGTTGTGACAGGTCGGTGTTTTTGTTTGTTTCGATCATTTTGGTCTCATCTTGATAGGTTGATGTGGCCATTTTTCCTTAGGCCCAGATGCAGTACTTTAATTTTCAAACCAAAAACTGGAAACTTCTATCATCCATGGCTCAATTGAATGAGGCAGACACGTGTTTTTGTGCAGAATATATTGGTAATCACTTGTATGGAACGGCACAAAAGGGGAAAGATGCCATTGCGTATCATTATGACAGTTACTGATATCTGAGGGTCATTAACACTTATTTCAGGGTGTAAGCATGAGATCGATTCCTTATATTCTATTGGTGATTACATCTATGCAATTAGGGGATCAACGTCACCCCAGAGGTTTAGTTTAAACACAAATCGATGACAGCGTATAAGACTATTTTACATCGACGGAACTTGTTCGAATACAATTTGTGGTAAAGCGTCCGTTGTTTCCCCAGACAACTCATGTTTGTTTTTACTTCAAGGACAAAGGAAAAAAAACTTATTTTAAAGACGGGTCTTCGAGCTGGAGCATGGATCGTTGTTTTGATCCCGAAAGGAATGAAAGGAAATGTAAGACATTAACTAAAAGTGCTCATTTTAGATCCAGTTTATTCTTAGTAAACAGGAAACTATGTATTGCAGAGGGTATGAGTTCTATTAGTGGCAGTTCTGGCATACCCAATGGGTCAAGTGCAGCCCCAATTGAAGTTTATGATGACCAAGACAACAAGTGGTCTTATGTTAATCAATGCCATATTCCTGAAAACAATTTCGGTGCGGTGGAAATAGAGGGAAGGGTGTATTTCATCAGCAATAGTTTTCCAATTGATATATTGGGATAAGAATTTCACTAGGAGAAGTTATCCTGTGCCTTTAGATGAATGGAAGAATCTTAGAGAGGTTAGTAATAACGCAGTTTTGTGCTACATACCTGTGAGGAACAAGAGGTTAACAGCTGATAGTAACGCTGAATCAAATTTACTGACGTTTATTCTGTCAGCTGGAAAATAAATACAACTTTAAGTTAGTCTAATATTAAACTTCCCGCGCCAGATTGTTCAAAGTTGTGTTAAGATATAACCCAGGGTTAGTGTGAAATCTGATTTCAGTTCTAAAAGCCGGAAAATAGTTAAAATATTGGTAGAATTATTGTTTGTCTTCCACTTAATGATTGAATTCTCTGAGAAGAATAGGTTGTCGTTCTCGAAAACTGAATGAGTATTGGTTTTTAGGAGTGTACGTTGAATTCGTTTCGTTTCGAAAGACGAAAGTTCAGAATCGGGCTTTCTTATTTTCCTACTGATAGGTCTGGGGCTTAATGCACGTGGAAACAGCCTTAGCAACAGTTATTTCACTAAATTACTTTCTTGGTATTGATAAATTATTGAAATAACGTGGAATATCGCCGCTTGCATTGTCTAGATTTCTTGAAAAAAATAAAGACGATTTGCTGGATCAGATACGTGCTAGTTTATTCTCCTCCTATTTAGTCAGAACAATTCCTTGCCTTTCCAAGGGTGGGCATGGAGACAAAAGTTTTTGCCACTGAAACCCTCGGAAAAAAGTAGAAACAGCTGTGGTAACTCGCCATGTTCTCTCTTATTACCGGATTGAATTTGTAGTCTAAAGTATCAACATCAGCATTGGGTTGGAGTGGGGTGTCAAATTTGTCGTTGGTCTGTTTCATCACATCTTGCTACGTAATATTATTTAATAAGCAACGAAAGGCCTTTACTGTGGTTGCAAGTTTTACCGTTCGCGTCTTGTGCTTGTTTGTATGAGGATAATCAAGGCCGAATGCGGGATAATTCAATTATGTATAACACAAAGTGAGGCGTCGTATTGGTCCAATTCTGTCTGTAATCATATTCGTGATTGACAAATTGGACTCCCGCTTCGCGGTCGTCCAATTTTGATAATCAATCGTATAATTACAGACAGAATTGGACTCCACTCAGTCCTATTATGGTAATAAGACTGTATCGCCCTTCTTCAGATATACTATTATTACTTGCCCCTGTAACTGCAAAAAGATTGTCGTCGGGCTTACGCCCTAACAGAGACCTGATATCGATATCTTTCTAAGTTCATCTTTTTATCGCTTGGCGTATGTCAGCGGTAACTTTGCAACCAATACAAGTGGAAATTAGCATAGTTTTCAGTGGGGGGTCACTCGATCCACGTACAAAGACATTCTGGTTTCCTTTGAAGTTTTTACAAGCAAAGATCTCCGCCGATTGAAACATCACAAAGATGGTGGCCCCTTCAAGAATTCTTCTCTCTAAGTGTTTCGAGTTCCGTAGAGCAGGTGAATTTATCGACATTCGCTTAAAAGTGGGTGATACACTTTTCCCAGCTCACCGAGTTGTACTCGCTTCGTATAGCGATTATTTCCACTCCATATTTACTGATGGGAAGGAAGCGAACCAGGAAGTGATCGAAATGAAAGACAAAAGCATTTCACCAGAGATGTTCAAGTTTTGAAATTTCTGGAGCGTCATTTGCATGTTAAATCGTTGTCCTGATTCTATCAGCGACAGAGGTCGATGATTTTCATTGAGAATCGGTCAATTAGTCAGTCCGCTACTTGATCAAGAAAGCAAGTTTTTATCTATGCACGGGGTATCTATAATGATTTACAATAACCCAGAGACTGCATGTCGTGCTGTCCGTACCGTGATCGATTAAGACCATTTCAATAAAAATATACGTGCGCAACAAATTAAGAGAGTGTCTCTGTAAGAGCGGTCCGGTCCATTTTGCTTGAGACACGGATTTCGCTCGTTTCTCGTGTGTTGTAAGACATTCATGTACCTATACTAAAACCACAATCAGTTAGATCGGATCTCTTTATTTTTCAGAGTTTTACGGAAATTAAATTTCACTCGAGCGAAGGCTTGTCGTGACACTTTTCAAGACTTTAATTTCATACAACTTTGGAGGACAATTTACAAAAAACTACGGAACTCAGCAAAAAACAAATACCACAGCCATTTATATTAACTCTATCTTATCCATCGAGGCGACTTTCGTAACCATCACGTGTCAATAAAGGAAACAGGAAGACTTGAACAACACCTTATCGGTTCGCCTAAATCACACACGCCAAAACCGATCAAATTCAAGGTAAATTTTTGAAAAAGTGAGGCGTTCTTAACTGATCCAACTAACATAGCTAGGAAGTAGGTGCCATAGAAAAGGTAACTACAGAAAAAAACTTTGCGGCCCGACCTATACGAAAACTTTATAACTCCGTGAACCTACCTAATTTTCGGCAATCTCCAAGTTTGGCCGCCATTTTGAGGGACTTGTCAACATGAAGCGTAACCGATATAAATCAAGCAGGTAGATTTAAAACCGTCAGAAATACATACGAAAGCAATTCAAATGAACTTTACTTTCAATTTAAGTGGCAAAATTTGAAATTGTTCGTTAAACTTACCATCCCCATGCGACCATTTCTTCCAACAATTCAAACACTACAACTAGTGTTCGAATTCCCCTCGTCGATTCCACCGCAATAAATAGCCTGTGCTACCCAAGCTTCGACTCGAATGTGAAGTACGAATCAAATAACATAACTGCTTCATCTTCGCGGCAATATCACGCTGGTATTTTGATTTTCCGATCGACAAGAACGGTGATCAGAATCGATCGGTTTGTTTACCTCATAGACGTGACCGCTGACCAGCTGCTGAGTGAAAACAGTACGGTTCAGTGGCGAGGGGCGGGGTGAGGGTGGGTGCAGGCAGATTATCAGAAGATTTTTGGGATCATTTGAACATATGCATTAAAGTATCATGATAAACATTAGGATTCTCAGCCTTAATGCGAAGGCATGCTTCGTGTTGCAGACAACTTTTATTTTACTTAGTATTCTTTTTTATTTCAAATACATTTCGTTCCAAATAGGAATAGCATCAGTTCATAGATTTAAAAACAAATCTTTACCACGTAAATAAATGTGTTTAGATAATCGAGATAACCATTGAACCTCTTGTATCGCACCGGAAATAACGTGTCTTGTCTTTGCACAACTCTGAGAGCGTGGAGCGGCAAAGACGCGAGATACGAGTCTCGCGTCTCGCGGCTTCTCCATGCTCACAGGATACGCGTGACCTCACTATCTTTAAGAAAAATAAGAGACTGCTCGAAGTCTGTATTCCGTTCAACCATTTCATAAGAGTGACGCGAGTCTTCAATTGAGTGAGAAAGTCACAAACCCATTCTTTACCTCACGAGCGTAACCACTGACCACTCACGAATTACAATAGGCTTCTCCTTTGACGCGGAAATTGAAATCGTATCGAATATACAAAGTTATAGTGAGTTCCTTTAGATCTCCCGAACTTGTATCGCGTTGGAAACAATTACAAGTACAGAAGAAGTCGTTCATTAGGACTCCTTTTTGAATAGCAAAGATGGAAAAAACTTTGGTTCATCGTGTGGCTTAAGTGGTTTGGTACGACTGTCTGAATGCAATGACGAAGTAAAACATCATTTGATAAGCTGCCACCTGTCTAAAGAGGTTTTTAAGTGAAAATGAGCAAATCTTCGCAAAGATTGGCCTATTTCACTTCGCTCAGGAGGATAAACAAAAAAATGTGGATTTGCTATAGGCATCGCCACACTCTGGGGAAGTTTTGGAGAAGTGCAAAGGTAACATGTCAGTATCCTGACCATGATGGTGTCAGGAAGCGTATCCAAGGCAGAGATATAATTACCTTGCGTATGTCTCAGGACATTCAAAAGCTGTTTGGAGTTATTATTCCAGTTGAATCAGGTAGTCTTCAGTAACATTTTCTGTTATCTATTTTTGTCACGTGACATCTGCTCGAAAAGAGAAGAAATTCTTTATTAGATGAAAGGTACTTAAGTGCACATCACGTTGAAAAAAAATAGATCTATGTGTAAGTACTTTTAATTACAGATGGAAATATGTACAATATTGCTCGGTTGATAATCAATAATGTTTTTGTAGAAGATCAAATCACCTGACAACGCAATATACTTACTCATGCGAACGGTTCACAATTATTTGCGGTCAGTTTTCCTCAGTTTGTATGATTCTCATTAACCAGTATGATTAAATTTGCAGACTAAAACACCCCTTATTTGATTAAGAATAATAAAAGTAAACAGTGCATGTCGGTTTTTAATTCCTGATGGATGCTACTGGGCTTTACTTTAAGAAATTTGCAATCGCTTACCTCAGCTCTCTGTTTCCCATGCCGTAAGAAGCACAAGAAAAAAGTTGATGATAGTGAGTCTTGGCTGAGACAAGAAGAATCAGAAAAGAATCTACGGTCCCTAGAAACGCCACTTTTAATCACGAGACAACTAAGGTAAATTGAATTAAGTGTTATTTGTTTTATTTAAAACTATCGTTCAGATTATAAGATACGCGAAAAACTCTCCCCACCGAATTTTCTTACATTCTGTTAATCTAAAGTTTCAATAATCATAAAGGCTTTCTTGTTGATCGTCTTAATAGTAACAGTTTCCAGGATCCAAGGGGAGCAAAAGAGAGAACAATTTTCTGTGTAGCTAGGTAAGGCGACATGCCGGCTTTATACTTCTTCCGGCGTGATAACGATAAGGATGACAACAATGGGCAAAAAGCACCGTCCGCTAATGATGACGATTATCATAGTTATTAACAAATCTCAGTTATAGTCCTGAAAAAAATCTCAGGGGGTCCTTTGAAAAATCCACTTAATCTCGCCAAAAGTCAAAGTTGCCTACACTCATTCTAAGGTTTGTGCGATTTTACGACGAATTTTCAATTCCGGTGTGTTGCATGCGCGACTTTTGATAGAAAAAACCTGCACGCGCCATAACTTAAAAGAACGTGTCAGCGGAATGAATCAAATCTCTATCACTTTGCATACATTCTTGGGAACAGAAAAAATTATTTAGAGCAAACATTCTAAGTATAGTGTTCATTCCGTGCAATGGGGCATAAATAAAAGGTTCTGGTGGAAAAGACACCTTATTTTATACCACTGATGACAAGCAAAAAGGTTATATGGGTACCCCGGTTAAAAATGTATTGATAACTCTATTTAATTAATACCAGTTCTAATTTAAAGGAGAAAGTTATGAGAATAAAATAAAAGTTGTCTTTACCACTAAGCATTCCTTCACTGTTTAGACTGATAGTCTTAGAGTTTTTTGAGCATGTATTCGAATATCTTATGACGATAAGCCCGCCACCCACCCCACCCCGCGCTATGCTGTTTTCACTTCGCGGCTTGTCAGCGGTCACGTTTATGAGGTAAATAAACCGATCGATTCCTGATCACCATTCTTGTCGATCGGAAAATCAAAATACCAGCGTGATATTGCCGCGAAGATGAAGCAGTTATGTTGCTTGATTCGTACTTCACATTCGAGTCGAGGCTTGGGTGGCACAGGTTATTTCTTGCGGTGGAATCGACGAGGGGAATTCGAACACTAGTTGTAGTGTTTGAATTGTTGAATTGAAAGTAAAGTTCATTTGAATTGCTTTCGTATGTATTTCTGACGGTTTTAAATCTACCTGCTTGATTTATATCGGTTACGCTTCATGTTGACAAGTCCCTCAAAATGGCGGCCAAACTTGGAGATTGCCGAAAATTAGGTAAGTTCACAGAGTTATAAAGTTCTCGTAAAGGTCGGGCCGCAAAATTTTTTTCTGTAGTTACCTTTTCTATGGCACCTACTTCCTAGCTATGTTAGTTGGATCAGTTAAGAACGCCTCACTTTTTCAAAAATTTACCTTGAATTTGATCGGTTTTGGCGTGTGTGATTTAAGCGAACCGATAAGGTGTCATTCAAGTCTTCCTGTTTCCTTGATTGACACGTGATGGTTACGAAAGTCGCCTCGATAGATAAGATAGAGTTAATATACATGGCTCTGGTATTTGTTTTTTGCTGAGTTCCGTAGTTTTTTGTAAATTGTCCTCCAAAGTTGTATGAAATTAAAGTCTTGAAAAGTGTCACGACAAGCCTTCGCTCGAGGGAAATTTAATTTCCGTAAAACTCTGAAAAATAAAGAGATCCGATCTAACTGATTGTGGTTTTAGTATAGGTACATGAATGTCTTACAACACACGAGAAACGAGCGAAATCCGTGTCTCAAGCAAAATCGGCCGGACCGCTCTTACAGAGACACTCTCTTAACCATCTACTCAAGTATATTTTCGGAGTCTTAAATCGAACACTTCCTTCGCGAAAAAATTTGAGAATGTCAGCTGAAGAGAAGAATTTTCAAATGATTGTCTCTTGTTTTAGGTGCTCGTTGCCATTCATCCTGTGCACTGTACTTCAATATTTCCCGAGGCATCACAACATGCAGCGAGCATCAAGGACGGTGCGTATAATCGCAGGTCAGTACAGAGTATGGCTTACTACTTTGATGTCGAAGCGAAGCTATGGGCACCTTTGCCATTTGTAGCACAATCAGATGAAGAAACTAGCTGGTACTTTTGTGCTGAACGCAGTGGAAACTATTTATTTGTAGCTAGACAGAAGCATAACAATGTTAATTCCATAGAGCGATATGATGTGGTAAATAACTCATGGGTTGAATTACCAGAATACGGAAACAATCACAAAGTTGACTGCTTGTGTTCCGTTGGTGACTATCTTTACGCCATTAGTGAGTCAAATCCTCCTCAAAGGTACAGTTTGACAAATAACAGTTGGCAAGGTGGAGTAAGATTAGAAGTAGAAGAAAGGTGTAAGAAGTTCAGTACTGTATCAGCAACAGTGATGAACTCTAAAATATATGTAATTCATGGTTATCAAAGAAATGAAAGTGGAATGAGTAACACCCGTTGGGTCAGTGAACCAGCTGTGGTTCATTGTTTTGACCCCAAATATAATTTGTGGAAAAAACTCGCGTCAACCTGCCATCTTCATTTTAAATCCAGTCTTTTGGTTGTCAATAACAGACTATGTGTGGCGGGGGGTTGGGAACATGATACGGTTTTTCGTAAACCTGCACTTGTGGAAGTGTACGATGAAGCTGCTAACACCTGGTCTGTAGTGCCTCAGAAACATATTCCCCCAAACAACTTGGGTGCAGTTGAAATAGAGGGGAGGGTGTATTTCATCATCAACAAATTTCCAGTTGACAGTGGGATAAGAATTCCACCTGAGGAAATGTATCAAGTTGACTTAAGTGGTTGGGGAGATGTAGCTAAAGTCGAAAGAGGAACAGTTTTGTGTTATTTGCCTGTCAACATGGCAAACTTGAGCAGAGAAAAAAATTCAGATCAAGGATGACACTGCTACTGAATATGAACTTCTCTTAGGTATATGAGATATATAAGAGAAACTGATTGGTAACTTAACATCAAGAAAATTAGTGTTTCTGCGAAATACAGTATTTGTTTGTAACCCCATTTCTGAAACACAGTTAGTGGGAAAAGAAGAATGAACTAAGAAAATAACCGATTCCTTTGTCTTTCCTTATCTCTTTACCGTTTTAGCCACTGTTTTTGGCTTTTGCCTTTTGCACTTTGTCTAAAAACAAGGAAATTTACATATCGCGTAGTAGGCCGGCTAAATTAAATTTTCTCTATCAAGTTAAACGTTTTATTTTAGTGAGTAGCATGTTGAGACAGATGCTACCTATTTTCATACAGTTTTCTGCCAAAAGGGCCTCTCTGGACCCTTAAATTGTACTTTTTAAGATCATTTTTTGGCATTGTTTTTGTAGCATTTTCCTTGTCAATAATTTTTAATTCACTTTAAGGTGAAGTGCACACGGGCAAGATGTCTAGAACTATTGTTGTGTTCGCAGTTGTATAGCAATTGTCTAAGTGAATCAGTCAAAATATTTTCAGCTAGGTTACATAGGTATTTAGCTATGGGCTATTTTTCATTGGCACCAAAATCAGTTCCGAGTAGCCTTAAAATGTTTAGGCACAGCTTTATAGGACTTAGCTTAGTGCTATGTGTTTAAAAGGTAAATTCAATTTTGCCGTGTGTCTGTTTAACAAATAGGTTCCAAGTTGCCGTGCGTCTGTTCAGTAATAGATCACAGATGACGTCAAAATGTGGTAAGAACAAAAAAGTGGCACACTGATGTTCTTACCACATTTTGACGTCCTATGTGATCTATTACTGAACAGACGCACGGCAACTTGGAATCTATTTGTTTTATATAATAAAGAATTGAAAAGAGTTTTAATGATGACGTCATCTATACGTCTGTCCTCCAATAGATCATAAGTGAGAACCAGTCAGAATGCATACATAACTGAGCTTATTATATAATTAGTTATAGATGACTAGACAGATGACGTCACATAAGGTAATAACGTAGCACATGAGCCGTTAGCGAGTGTATCACTTCGGTTATCACATTTTGATCTTCTGATCGGAAACGCGGAAAAATAAAATATGTACGCTTCATACAATTAACCTGTTGATATTTTTCTGATTTGATATTTTTCTTGTTTGTAAGCAGCTCGTGGTTCATTAATTTTCCGGTGAAGCCCTCTTTAGCTTAACCGCAAATTATCTCGGAAACAACTAGTTTTTAAACCATGCATCATAAGGGACAATACTAACAAAAAATGTTTGTGTGACGTCAGCTGTGTGTCTGTATCCCGATAAATCATAGATAATGACCATTAACAGAACCCGTGATATTTCTCTGTATAAAAGTCTTTATAATGATTGTTCAAGAAATATTTTCGCCGGAGGTTTGTCTTTGTGTCTACGTGATAGGATCAATGTCAGCACTTATTTTGATAACAGTGCATATGCATGTGATAGGTTGTGATCTAACTTGTAATGTATCATTCAAGGTTTTATATGCATGTATAACCTCACTTGTAAATAAATTTCATCCAATTTCTTGTAAAAATTGGCTACTTATGTTTGTGACCGAGTCGTTAGGGTGATGGACATATTATCTGGTGGTCCCATGTTCCAGATTTCCACCCCGTTAATCATTGAATTCTTTCGAATTCTCACTTGCCCTGAGTCAGTTCACTCTCCTCGGCTGCACTCTCTAAACAACGCACTGGTCTGCCTCCTGACTTTTTGAAAATTTAACAAGTCTATGTTTATTGAAAGGCCCCCATGGTGAGTGGTCTTTTTAAAATGCTATCATTGTCAAATATTTGATGATGGTATTTTAAACATAATTATCATAATTATTATTATCCAACGTTTATAGTTTCTATTTGAAACAGGAAACTTAATGAAAGGCTGAAATCTTGAACATAACTATTTGTTTTTGTCGCTTGGAAGCTCTTTCTACCCTCGGGTATAAACATGCTCATGAGAGAAGATGGCTTCATAGTCCATAGTCGAATAGCGCACAAGAGACCACATTTTTATCAGGAGTGTTGCGAAAAAACACTGTAATAGAGGGTCAGTTGATACTTACTTACTTTCTTTCTTCTCCATTTACTGTGTTTTTTTATTTACTTATTTCATTCCTTTTGTTATACAAAGAAACAAACTGAAAAAGAAGCAACTACACCATCGTTAGGTATTTTACGATATTCTATATGACAAATGATGCATGTACAACAAATGTTATCTCATACCGCTAACAAGATGCCAAAATGACCCGAGGCTCGAGATTGTGGTTTGCCTTGACTCACACCATGTGGAAAACTGACCGAGAAAGCCTGAGGACAATGTTGTAAATGTGAAAGATAGATACCCATTCTGGAATTCTCTTGACCAAATGTGCTCAGTTTCGAGAGGAAGGGCAATTTGTCGGCGTTCGGTTAAAAGTCGGTAAAGAAACTTTTCCCGCTCACTGCAATGTGCTCGCTTCGTACAGCGATTACTTCTACACCATGTTTGCCCCAATAGACCCTGTTATCGAGATCTTTTCACGTTAATCTTTGCATCACGGCTTATGTCACTAGTAACTAAGCGACCAAACAAGGTGGGAATTAGCATAGTTTTCAGTGGGAGGTCACGCAAACAGAGTACAAAAACATTTTGGTTTCCTTCGAAGTTTCTGCAAGCAGAGATCTTCGCGTTAAAATAACACAAAGATGGTGGCTCACTCTAGAATTCTCCTCTCTAAGTGTTCCCAGTTCCGTAGAGAAGGAGAATTTATCGACATACGTTTGAAAGTGGGTGATACACTTTTCCCAGCTCACCGAGTTGTACTCGCTTCGTATAGCGATTATTTCCACTCCATATTTACTGATGGGAAAGAAACAAACCAGGAAGTGATCGAAATGAAAGATAAAAGCATTTCACCAGAGATATTCAAGATTGTTATGGACTCCATCTACACTGGTGATCTTCATGTCAACCAGAAGAGCGTATTTGAGGTTCTTCTTGCTGCTAGTCAGCTTCAAATCGCAAGTGTTGTTCAACTGTGTTGTGATTTCGTGAAGAAAGAATTCATAGAAAACAGAATTGACCTGAAGAACTACTCCGTGCTGTGTACAGTCGCCGTAAGACTCGGTCTGAGAGATCTGCAAGAGGCAGCAGAGGCCAAGATGGCATCCATGTACAAAGATGTTTGCGAAACTAAAGAATTCCTGACTCACATCAGTGCAGATCAACTACTCAGCCTTCTTGGTCGAGATGACCTCAATTCACCCTCTGAAGCTTTCGTCTTCAAATCAGTGGTGAAGTGGATCAAATACAAAGGAGAAGAGAGGATGCCAGTCGCTGGAAAACTTATTGGAGCTGTGCGTCTGGGGCTGGTAGATGTGAAGATTGTGATTGAAGAGTTAAAAACAGAAGAAATGCAGCGATTTCCAGAGGTAAACATGCATCTGCAAGAATCCATGATGCATCACATCATGCCTTCTCATGAATTCGCCGCTGAGAAAGTTAAACCTCGATCAATGAGTCCGGTGAGTGAAAAACTAAGCTCTTTAACTGCTTCCTTTATCTACAACATTAACGCAGCTTTATTTGAGACCTCACTTGTCTCATCACAATACACTGAGTTTCAGGACAACTAGCTTCCAGTTTTGAAATTTCTGGAGCGTCATTTGCATGTTAATTCGTTGTCCTAATTCTATCAGCGACAGAGTTCGATGATTTTCATTGAGAATCGGTCAATTAGTCAGTCCGCCATTTGATCAAGAAAGCAAGTTTTTATCTATGCACGGGGTATCTATAATGATTTACAATAACCCAGAGACTGCATGTCGTGCTGTCCGTACCGTGATCGATTAAGATCACTTCAATAAAAATATACGTGCGCAACAAATTAACCATCTACTCTAGTATACTTTTGGAGTCTTAAATCGAATACTTCCTTCGCGAAAAAATTCGAGAATGTCAGCTGAAGAGAAGAATTTTCAAATGATTGTCTCTTGTTTAAGGTGCTCGTTGCCATTCATCCTGTGCGATGTACTTCAATATTTCCCCAGGCATCACAACGTGCAGCGAGCATCAAGGACGGTTCGTATAATCGCAGGTCAGTGCAGAGTATAGCTTACTACTTTGATGTCGAAGCGAAGCTATGGGCACCTTTGCCATTTGTAGCACAATCAGATGAAGAAACTAGCTGGTACTTTTGTGCTGAACGCAGTGGAAACTATTTATTTGTAGCTAGACAGAAGCATAACAATGTTAATTCCATAGAGCGATATGATGTGGTAAATAACTCATGGGTCGAATTACCAGAGTACGTAAACAATCACAAAGTTGACTGCTTGTGTTCCGTTGGTGACTATCTTTACGCCATTAGTGAGTCAAATCCTCCTCAAAGGTACAGTTTGACAAATAACAGTTGGCAAGGTGGAGTAAGATTAGAAGTAGAAGAAAGGTGTGAGAAGTTCAGTACTGTATCAGCAACAGTGATGAACTCTAAAATATATGTAATTCACGGTTATCAAAGAAATGAAAGTGGATTTACTAACGCCCTTTGGGTCGATGAACCAGCTGTGGTTCATTGTTTTGACCCCAAATATAATTTGTGGAAAAAACTCGCGTCAACCTGCCATCTTCATTTTAAATCCAGTCTTTTGGTTGTCAATAACAGACTATGTGTGGCGGGGGGTTGGGAAAATGGTTGGAGCATTCGTAAACCTGCACCTGTGGAAGTGTACGATGAAGCTACTAACACCTGGTCTGTAATGCCTCAGAAACATATTCCCCCAAACAACTTGGGTGCAGTTGAAATAGAGGGGAGGGTGTATTTCATCATCAACAAATTTCCAGTTGACAGTGGGATAAGAATTCCACCTGAGGAAATGTATCAAGTTGACTTAAGTGGTTGGGCAGATCTAGCTAAAGTCGAAAGAGGAACGGTTTTATGTTATTTGCCTGTCAACATGGCAAACTTGAGCAGAGGAAAAATTTCAGATCAAGGATGACACTGCTACTGAATATGAACTTCTCTTAGCTATACGAGATATACAAGAGAAACTGATTGGTAACTTAACATCAAGAAAATTAGTGTTTCTGCGAAATACAGTATTTGTTTGTAACCCCATTTCTGAAACACAGTTAGTGGGAAAAGAAGAATGAACTAAGAAAATAACCGATTCCTTTGTCTTTCCTTATCTCTTTACCGTTTTAGCCACTGTTTTTGGCTTTTGCCTTTTGCACTTTGTCTAAAAACAAGGAAATTTACATATCGCGTAGTAGGCCGGCTAAATTAAATTTTCTCTATCAAGTTAAACGTTTTATTTTAGTGAGTAGCATGTTGAGACAGATGCTACCTATTTTCATACAGTTTTCTGCCAAAAGGGCCTCTCTGGACCCTTTAATTGTTCTTTTTAAGATCATTTTTTGGCATTGTTTTTGTAGCATTTTCCTTGTCAATGATTTTTAATTCACTTTAAGGTGAAGTGCACACGGGCAAGATGTCTAGAACCATTGTTGTGTTCGCAGTTGTATAGCAATTGTCTAAGTGAATCAGTCAAAATATTTTCAGCTCGGTTACATAGATATTTAGCTATGGGCTATTTTTCATTGGCACCAAAATCAGTTCCGAGTAGCCTTAAAATGTTTAGGCACAGCTTTATAGGACTTAGCTTAGTGCTATGTGTTTAAAAGGTAAATTCAATTTTGCCGTGTGTCTATTTAACAAATAGGTTCCAAGTTGCCGTGCGTCTGTTCAGTAATAGATCACAGATGACGTCAAAATGTGGTAAGAGCAAAAAAGTGGCACACGAGGCGCAGTTGAGTGTGTCACTGATGTTCTTACCACATTTTGACGTCCTCTGTGATCTATTACTGAACAGACGCACGGCAACTTGGAATCTATTTGTTTTATATAATAAAGAATTGAAAAGAGTTTTAATGATGACGTCATCTATACGTCTGTCCTCTAATAGATCATAAGTGAGAACCAGTCAGAATGCATGCATAACTGAGCTTATTATATAATTAGTTATAGATGACTAGACAGATGACGTCACATAAGGTAATAACGTAGCACATGAGCCGTTAGCGAGTGTATCACTTCGGTTATCACATTTTGATCTTCTGATAGGAAACGCGGAAAAATAAAATATATACGCTTCATACAATTAACCTGTTGATATTTTTCTGATTTGATATTTTTCTTGTTTGTAAGCAGCTCGTGGTTCATTAATTTTCCGGTGAAGCCCTCTTTAGCTTAACCGCAAATTATCTCGGAAACAACTAGTTTTTAAACCATGCATCATAGGTGAAAATACAAACAAAAAAATGTTTGTGTGACGTCAGCTGTGTGTCTGTATCCCGATAAATCATAGATAATGACCATTAACAGAACCCGTGATATTTCTCTGTATAAAAGTCTTTATAATGATTGTTCAAGAAATATTTTCTCCGGAGGTTTGTCTTTGTGTCTACGTGACAGGATCAGTGTCAGCACTTATTTTGATAACAGTGCATATGCATGTGATAGGTTGTGATCTAACTTGTAATGTATCATTCAAGGTTTTATATGCATGTATAACCTCACTTGTAAATAAATTTCATCCAATTTCTTGTAAAAATTGGCTACTTATGTTTGTGACCGAGTCGTTAGGGTGATGGACATATTATCTGGTGGTCCCATGTTCCAGATTTCCACTCCGTTAATCATTGAATTCTTTCGAATTCTCACTTGCCCTGAGTCAGTTCACTCTCCTCGGCTGCACTCTCTAAACAACGCACTGGTCTGCCTCCTGACTTTTTGAAAATTTAACAAGTCTATGTTTATTGAAAGGCCCCCATGGTGAGTGGTCTTTTTAAAATGCTATCATTGTCAAATATTTGATGATGGTATTTTAAACATAATTATCATAATTATTATTATCCAACGTTTATAGTTTCTATTTGAAACAGGAAACTTAATGAAAGGCTGAAATCTTGAACATAACTATTTGTTTTTGTCGCTTGGAAGCTCTTTCTACCCTCGGGTATAAACATGCTCATGAGAGAAGATGGCTTCATAGTCCATAGTCGAATAGCGCACAAGAGACCACATTTTCATCAGGAGTATTGCGAAAAAACACTGCAATAGAGGGTCAGTTGATACTTACTTACTTTCTTTCTTCTCCATTTACTGTGTTTTTTTATTTACTTATTGCATTCCTTTTGTTATACAAAGAAACAAACTGAAAAAGAAGCAACTACACCATCGTTAGGTATTTTACGATATTCTATATGACAAATGATGCATGTACAACGAATGTTATCTCATACCGCTAACAAGATGCCAAAATGACCCGAGGCTCGAGATTGTGGTTTGCCTTGACTCACACCATGTGGAAAACTGACCGAGAAAGCCTGAGGACAATGTTGTAAATGTGAAAGATGGATACCCATTCTGGAATTCTCTTGACCAAATGTGCTTAGTTTCGAGAGGAAGGGCAATTTGTCGGCGTTCGTTTAAAAGTCGGTAAAGAAACTTTTCCCGCTCACTGCAATGTGCTCGCTTCGCACAGCGATTACTTCTACGCCATGTTTGCCTCAACAGACCCTGTTATCGAGATCTTTTCACGTTAATCTTTGCATCACGGCTTATGTCACTAGTAACTAAGCGACCAAACAAGGTGGGAATTAGCATAGTTTTCAGTGGGAGGTCACGCGAACAGAGTACAAAAACATTTTGGTTTCCTTCGAAGTTTCTGCAAGCAGAGATCTTCGCGTTAAAATAACACAAAGATGGTGGCTCACTCTAGAATTCTCCTCTCTAAGTGTTCCCAGTTCCGTAGAGAAGGAGAATTTATCGACATACGTTTGAAAGTGGGTGATACACTTTTCCCAGCTCACCGAGTTGTACTCGCTTCGTATAGCGATTATTTCCACTCCATATTTACTGATGGGAAAGAAACAAACCAGGAAGTGATCGAAATGAAAGATAAAAGCATTTCACCAGAGATATTCAAGATTGTTATGGACTCCATCTACACTGGTGATCTTCATGTCAACCAGAAGAGCGTATTTGAGGTTCTTCTTGCTGCTAGTCAGCTTCAAATCGCAAGTGTTGTTCAACTGTGTTGTGATTTCGTGAAGAAAGAATTCATAGAAAACAGAATTGACCTGAAGAACTACTCCGTGTTGTGTACAGTCGCCGTAAGACTCGGTCTGAGAGATCTGCAAGAGGCAGCAGAGGCCAAGATGGCATCCATGTACAAAGATGTTTGCGAAACTAAAGAATTCCTGACTCACATCAGTGCAGATCAACTACTCAGCCTTCTTGGTCGAGATGACCTCAATTCACCCTACTCTAGTATATTTTTGGAGCCTTAAATTGAATACTTTCTTTGCAAAAAAATTCCAGAATGTCAGCTGAAAAGAGGAATATTCAAACAATTGTGTCTTGTTTTAGGTGCTCGTTGCCATTCACCCTACGAGCCGTGTAAGGGTACCCGAGGCATCTCAAAATGTAGAGAGCATCGAGTACGGTGCGTATAATCGTATGTCACCACAGTGTATAGCTTATTTCTTTGATTTCGAAGCGAAGCTATGGAAACCTTTGCCATCTGTGGCACAACCAGATGAAAATACTAGAGCAAGCTTGTGTGCTGAACGCATTGGAAACTACTTATTTGTAGCTCAACAAAGGCAGGACACAGACACAGTTAATTTCATACATCGATATGATGTGGTAAATAACTCATGGGTTAAATTACCAAAATACGGAAACAACTACCTAGTTAAATGCTTGTGTTCTGTTGGTGACTATCTTTACGCCATTAATGAGTCAAATCCTCCTCAAAGGTACAGTTTGACAAATAACAGTTGGCAAGGTGGAGAAGGCTTAAAAGTGGTAGAAAACGAGGGGGAGTTAAGTACTGTAGCAGCAACAGTAATGAACTCTAAAATATATGTAATTCATGGTTATCAAAAACTTGAAAGAGGTGGAGGATGCCCCAGTTGGGTCAATGCACCAACTGTGGTTCATTGTTTTGACCCAAAATATAATGTTTGGACAAAACTCGCATCAACCTGCCATCCCCGCTATGGATCCAGTCTTTTAGTTGTCAATAACAGACTCTGTGTGGCGGGAGGAGGTATTAATGTTGTGGAAGTGTATAATGAACGTACTAACACCTGGTCTGTAGTGCCTCAGAAACATATTCCCCCAAACGGCTTGGGCGCAGTTGAAATAGAGGGGAGGGTGTATTTCATCATCAACAAATTTCCAGTTGACAGTGGGATTAGAATTTCACCTGAGGAAATGTATCAAGTTGACTTAAGTGATTGGGAAAACTTAGCAAAAGTCCTTAGTGGAGCAGTTTTGTGTTATTTGCCAGTCAAGGGAGAAAACTTGAAGGGAACTTAGCAAAGGAGATAGTTTTATATCAAAATGGATAACACTTGCATTTCATTTTAGGCCCTCGGTGGTCGTTTTTGTTCAATGGGTTTAGGTACAGTAGTGAAACTCACTTATTAATTATTTCTAAAAACAAGGAAAGTGAAGAATCCTCGTGCGTTTTTATACCCTTAAAACGTAACAGAGATGGATTTTTTAGATTTGCTTTTCACCATTTTCCTATTCAATAATTTGTAGTTTAATATAAGGTGAAGTGTACATAGACATGGTATCCGTAGAACTGTCAATGTGTTCCCCGTTGTAGAGGAAATATCTGAGCCGGAAATTAGAATTAATATTTTCAGGTTAATAGAAATTTGGGTCCTTTTCAATGGCATCCTTATTGGATCCGAGTAGCATTTAGATGTAAAGGAACAGCTTAACAGGACTTAGCTTAGCGCTCTATAAAGTAAAGTAAATTCGATTTTGCCGTGTATCTGTTTAGTTGTAGACAAAAGCAGGTTACGTCACGATATGGTAATAACAGTAAATTGGCGCACGAACCGTTAGTGAGTGTATCACATATCAGACACAAAGAAAATGAAATGAATCTGGTTCGTACAACGAACATGTAGATATGTTCCTGATTTGGTATTTTTCAAGTTATCTAGAGATTGGTTTCTTTTTCTTGCTTACAAGCAGCTTCTGGTTTAACTATTTCTAAAGGCCTAAATTTGTGATGTCAGCTGTGCGTCTGTTTTCTGATAAATCAAAGATAAATAAACAATAGCCTCTACTTGGCGCGAAAATATGCACGGATATTTGACATTATCTGTTCCAAGATGCGAACAGTATTCCGAGAGCGAAGCTCAAGGAAAACTGTGAACTTCGAGAAACAGATAATGTCCAAGGACAAATATACGAATATATTTTCGCACAAAAAGAGGCTATTGTGTTTATTATCCTTTCAACATTTTGCAACGCGTGTGAAAAGATGTTTATCAACAGCTTACTGTTTGGAGCGTAATATTTTTTCTCTTGAGTGTTCTCTGGCACAACTTTATGAACAAACAAATATATCTCTTAATCTGCAGCAACCACAAAACGCTCTCTCATCTCAAATTTAAATTTTGAACGAAAATCTATCGTAGTGGATGTAAGGCTTGAAAAATTGGGAAAAAATATCACTTTGGTGATATCCTCGGATATCCCCCAGTTTTAGCTGGGGGAATATTCGGTAACTTGATGCGTCTAGGTTAATCGCACGCGAGCAAAAATAGTTGATGGATCATAACGACCATTGACAGAGTGCGTGACATTCCACTGCATAAAAGTAGTAGCCATGAAATAGGCGTGTATGACGGACAGAGTGAAAATGTAAGTCTTTTGGGGGGGTGAATTTTTTTAAAAGCGCATTCTATTGTCTCAAAACATCACTAACTAAAGTAGTGAAAAAGATAAAGAAACCTGTTTCAATCATCATGTTTCATCCAAATATCTCCCCTTAGACATCTTAAAATTTGCCATGTTGAGCTTTAGTCGCAGAAGCCATAAAAATAACACTCTCAATATACCAAAAGTGATCATGATGAAAGCAGACAATGAATCGGAAATTTGCCTGTTGAATAAAAAACGAAAACCTCTTTCTTCGCCTATGAACGCCAATTTAAGTACAACACTGGTGAAGATTTTACCGTGAAAGAAACTAGTATGTAGTCGTCAGGTATCTGTACAGAGACTGTCCGGATTGCGTTAATGAAGTCCTCGGTAGAATACGTCTGGAATCGTCAGCGAGCGGTTGTAGTATTTTCTTGAGGTACTAGGATAGTTTTTGCAGTATGCAGGGGACCCACAGAGCGAGATTACAGGTCCCATTGGAAGACCAGTTTTGTGAACTTGGTAGAACAGGGAGTTTTGGTTTCATTAAGGTGTTATCTGTTATACTTCGCCTTTGTTCTTTGTGGCGTAACACTCACTACTCGAATCGACAAATCTTCATTTTACTCCTTACTCTCGACTCTGAGGATAACTTCCGCCATGATTATGGAAACACCAGTCACTAGTAACGAAAACTCCTTCTCAGGACTACTCCCACCCGGAAGAATTTACTTCACGATCAAATATTACTGCATTATGTATTTTTGTATTCATTTATATTCTTTATTTTTTACAAAGAAACAAATTGAAAAAGAAGCAACTCCACCAACGTTAGGTATTTCACGCGGATACGCTCTGACAAGTTATGTCCAGCAAATTTCATCCCAGATTGCGGTTGATTTAAAAATGGAAGCCGTGACCAACAATTTTCTTCTGCGTGAAGTTTGAATCGCGTTACAAGCACCAAGTTCAGGGTTACTTTAAGGCGTAGGAAAACTCGACTTCCGTTGACGAAGTTATTAAAATGAAAGCGTAGTGAGCTCTCTGAAATGGATACTTATTCTGGAATTCTCTTGACCAAATGTGTTCAGTTCCGAGATGAAGAGCAGTTTATCGACGTCCGTTTAAAAGTCGGATAAGGAACTTTTCCCGCTCATCGCAATGTGCTCGCTGCGTACAGCGATTACTTCTACGCCATGTTTGCAGATGGAATGAAGGAATCGAACTAGGAAGTGATCGAACTGAAAGATGAAAGCCTTTCACCACACGTCTTTAAGGTCGTTATGGACTCCATCTACACCGGTGAACTTCAGATCAACAAAGAAAACGTGTTTGAAGTTCTTGCTGCCGTAGACTATCTTCAAGTGAGGAATGTTCTTCAACAATGTTGTGATTTCTTGTTGACTGAAATTATTCAGTTAGCTCGCTTTGATGTGCAAATGTATTGTTGCGTTTGGACAATTACCGATAGACACAGTCTTAGAGAAGTTAAGGAGGCCACAGATCACAAGGTGGCATCCATGTATACAGATGTTAGTGAAAGTGAAGAGTTCCTGTCGAATATCGACGCAGACCAACTACTCAGCCTTCTCAGTCGAGATGACCTCAATGCACCTTCGGAGACGTTCATCTTTAAATCAGTGCTGCTGTGGATTTAACACAAGAAGGAAAGGATGGCAGTTGCATCTAGAGTCATTGGAGCCGTTCGACTGAGTCTGGTGGACGTCAAGGTCGTGATTGAAGAACTAGAAAAAGAAGAAATGGAGCGAGATCCTGAGATCAACAAACATCTACAAATAGCAATGAAGCGTCACTGCATGCCTCGCAAATTTGTTGCGGAGGAAGTTAAACCGCGATCGATGAAAACGGTAACATAGAAAATGTACTACAAAAATCAATTAAGACTCTTTTAACTCAGGAGCTTAGACAATGGAGGTCATTTTATTCCATGAATATCTTTTATTGTCAGTGTTATAACCGCTATAAAAATGGCATTTTTCTTTCGTATAACTCAGATATGATTTTCCTCTGTACCACTCGTACAAAACCCGTAAGCCGACTCGTATTTGCCGTGATTCTTCCGATTTGAGTAATGTTAATTCGATCCCAATCATTGTTCTACGAATTTTAACTTACCTAGTGTCGATTAGCAGTAATTTGGATGAATGCATGTTTGATAATTGACAGAATATTGAGTATTATCTTGGTTTGGCTATCTTGTCTTGTTTTCACTCAGTTTGGCTTTTGCATAGTTGATGAATTATAAAGGTATCACAAGTTTCATCAGTGCCCCAATTTTTTTGGTTTTAAATCTGAATCTACAACATCATCTGACGGTAATCAACTTAGCGTACTGTTGCTTTGTGTTATTTAGATGTTCTGTTGTATCCTGGCTTCTGTCTTGTTCACCCCCGCTACTTGTTTACATGACTGTCGTTATCTCATGTGAATGGCAAATATAGGTCGGCATGCATGCGGTCGCTGTCTTTTCGTGACTGTCGCTAAAAAGATGTCAAATTGCAATCGGCGATAGAATACTTATTGCCTATCCTGGCATTGAGTTTATATCATCGCTGAATTATGCCTTTGATTTGACGCCATTTCCTGTTTCGGTTTGTTTTCTGGACGAGTACAACACAGAGTAGGGCAGGAGAAGAATTATATTGTGGTGCTGAATAAAACCTTGAACCATAGCATGCATAGCATACACATGCAGTTATTTTTTTTTTTTTGTCGAAAGTGTTATACCAGGACTTTATCCAATGCAATGCAAGAAACGAGTTTTTCTTTCCTAAACTGCACGGCAAGAAAGGATGTTATTAAAACGGGGACTGGGGACTGGCTAATGAGGATTGAAAAATAGTTAATGGGGAATAGAGAATAAGGAAAGGACAATGGGGAACAGGCAAATAGGAAAATTGGGAAATGAAGCGGGAAATTGTTAAATGGGAAACTATTATTTTTTCTAAAGTTAACTGTCTGTAATGTGGAATAAACAATTTTTCAATTAATTATGTTTTTTTTATTTTGGCGCGGTACGTTGCAAAAATCGTGTTCATCGATAATCACCGCTGAAATTATTTCCCATTTTCAGTTTTCTAATTCATTTTCCCATTCCCAATTCCCCATTCCTCGTTTAAATAACATCCCGGCTTGAAACAAATAAATAAAAGTTGTAAGGTTAAAAAACAGAAACTTTTTTTATTTTCAGGAGGAGCCCCATAAGCGAACTATTGGGAAACTAAGTAAAAATCATACCCCAGCAGGATTATTCATCCACTAGATTGCGGGCTAATAAAAAAATATTATTTTTTCGTGAAAAAATGATATATAAAGTGCGCTGGATATCATTAACATGAACTTTACGTTTAACTTTACGATAACTCTTTGTTTGTAAAGACTGCGATATTTAAATCTCATGTATTGAAAGAAACTATAATGTCACATTTTTTCACTAGAAAATTAAAAAATTCTGATTGATTTAGATTTATTTTATTTTCTTCCTCTCCTTCTTATTTCACATGTTTATTCACTATTCTGTAGGTTCTTGTTGCGTTTCGCTCAAAGGAAAGGTCATACTGTTACAAGGCTGCTGACCAGGCGATGACTCTCTACTTTGATGAGGAAAGTAAAGTATGGAAACCGTTACAAGCTGTGCCAGATGTAGGTGAAGAAGTTATACGGTGGTCTAGTGCAGAACATATCGGAAATCATTTGTATTTAGTCTCAGATTCATCAGACTCACACATTTATAGTTATCATGCAGTTACAAAATCTTGGGAAAAACTTCCAAAGTTTAGCTCCTCCAAGGAAATCCATTGCTTATGTTCTGTTGGCGACTACGTTTTTATGCGATAAGTCGATCCAATCCACCTAAGATTTACAGTTTAGCTGACAACACCTGGCAGCAGGGTAAGGCTTATTCGAATTCATTTGAACATGAAGGGTTAGATACTGCAGCAGCAGTCATGAACTCTAAGTTATATGTTATGCATGGGTTTTATGAACGTGCTTATGATTTTCACTTCGTCAATTATAAAGTAAAACCTGCCATAGTGCATTGTTTTGACCCAACAAGAAATGAATGGGAAAATGTCACCTCAACGTGTTATCCTCACTTTGGATCCAGTCTCTTTGTGGTCAGTAACAAACTGTATGTGGCAGGGGGGAAAAGGGAGTGTAGTCAGCACGGTGAGCCACTCGGTGAAGATGCGCCGGTGGAAGTTTTTAAGGAGAAAAAAAAGACCTCTATCTTGGTTTGGTAGAGGGAAAGTAAAACAACCACCGAACAGCTGGTCTGTTGTAGAACAGAAACATATCCCCGCCAACAATCTCGGTGCTGTGGAAATAGAAGGGAGGGTCTATTTTATCATCAACAAATTTCCAGTGGACAGTAGGATAAGAATTCAACTAGAGGACACGCGCCAGTTTAATCTTGAAGAATGGAAAAACGTAACGGATTTAACATGAAATGAGCTCGGAATCAGATTTTAAGTGTCTGAACGGTTTGGTTTAAAAAAATTTACATTACATTATAAAATGTCGAAAAAATGTTTCTGTTTACGCCTTTCTTAGACCAAGGTAGTCACCCCGCAACAACATTTAGTGCGTGGTTTAGACTGAGAAGGACTGGGAAGCACCCATTTTGTTTTTTGGATTTTTAAAATCAGGGAAGTTAGAAACCTGGATTTAATGTACCGATTTTTTCTCGATTATTCACGTCAGATAATTTAGGTACCCGCACGTTAATAAAGACTCGCGCTTTTTTACCTCTTTACAAATGATACAGTTTTCTATATGCATAAATAAAACTGAAAAGTGTTTTTTTGTTGTCTTTCGGATTTCATAGTCCTTAATTTGGAGCTATGACTTGATTATGGAGGGTCTCAATGGATGACGGCTTTAAAGGTTAACGATTAAAATTATAGCCAATTTACGGCTACAGGTTAACGTCTTTCCATTATTGTCACCAGGAAACATTTTTTTACGGTTATCTCAGTTTTTTTACGACCAAAGGTTAAAATTTGTCAATTTTTTACGCCTTAAGGTTAGATTTTTTAGCCTATTTACGGCTAACGGTTAACCCCATTGAGACCCTCACTATGTACTGAGCGCGTAAAGGCCCAGGGATGGTATGAAAAAGCATATCGTCAGTTTTGCTGCTAGAGATATGTTTGTAAGTTTGTGTGTAGAAACATTATTATTGACTCTCGGTTAACAGTTTTCGGTCAGCATTAAAAGTGGCCCACAGAATCCGTAATTAAAATTGCAATTATCAGGGTTAGGGTTATATCAAGTGTGCTTATGGTTCCTGAGCGATTTTTGGGTTACGACTTAAAGAACCTAGGAAAGTGAAATTTGGTGTTAACTGTACTGATCTTGAAAAATCTGAGGCGCTATAATTTAATATGCTAGTTATACTGAATCAAATTGTTACTTTCACATTGAATGTACATTTTATAATGCTCAATAAATTTGTTAGTTTATCGTCTAGTGTTTTGTCTTTGACTCGCAAAACATAACTAGACGTAGGGAGATTAGAGCACTCGTTTCCTTGCGTTCAAATATTTTTCATTCTTAGGCACTGTTCACTGGCACGTAATTACGGGTTATTTACGTACACTGAAGGATTGCCAATGTTAGGCATGTTATGGCTTATGGGATTTTACTGAATCACTCAATAAACTACTGCAACCATTCGGTTGAGATCGCGTTTAAAAGCAGGAGCAAATGAATACAGATTTCAGTAAGTGCTTTGAATCGATGATTGCTTAATGCATTCCTTTTTGAAAGATCGAGATCGAGAGATACCAGTTGAACATTACTTAAAAAATCAAACTTAAACACTGACAGGCATGATTTAGCTTATTCCTGTTTTGAATTAGGAGTTACAATCAGTTTTAAGCTCAGCGTTAATACAAGATTCAAGTTAAGTATGACCTTGACTTTTTGCAGAATTGTCGCTGAAGGTCTATTGTTGTAACTCAAGTAGTTATTATCCGCAGTTGAAATATATGACTTTCATATATTCACAGTCGTTTAGAGAAAAGCGCTTATTTTAAAAACTTTATCGCGCGCGTGGTAATCTATGAATCATAATTTGTTTTTGATCCTCTCTCCAACAAGCCTCTATTAAAAGTTATTTCAGTGCTTTTGTCAACACATCAATTTCCATGCTTAATTGAGGCGGCGTGTGTCCTATTGTCAGCGGAGGCTGAGCTATGAGTCTAGCGGGGATTTTAAAGCAAGCCCGTGGTCTTTGAAAGTCTCTTGGAGGGTCCAAGGCTTGAACTTCAGTAAGAACTTTCAAAAGTTTGATATTGCGACCACTTCCCACCATCGTTTTCCCTTAGAACTTAGCAGGAAGTTTCTTGATACAACAAGCAACAAAAGCCATATGCTAAGTTTTATGGAGAACACTTTGACGAGCAAAAACTCTGGCGTTTAACATTTTCATGGTACTTTCCCACACAATAGAAAAAAATTGCGACCTGTTCCTCTCAGGTCAAAATCTCAGACAAGGTCTTATTCACAAGATCCGTGTTTACTCTTCAAAACCCATATGCTAACTTTTCAAAAGCGAAAGTGTTTAATTCACAAGCTTGCGAAACGTGCGCGCTGTTAGCCATTTTCAGGCCATTTTCTTTATTGTCTGGCCGTCTGAAATGCTAGGTCGATTTAAATTTAGCGCGCGTTACGCACGAAAGTCCCGGATGATGTCGCCTCATTCTGCGCGGTAAGCTGAATGCTTTTTGGTTTCCATGATTGTCGATAGAACTTGTTCCTTTTTACAAGACGTAAGTTAACAATCGGGCTTCGTTATTTGCCACTGATAGTTCTGAGGCTTCATTTACTTGTTAACAAGGATTATCAACAGTTATTTTTCTAATTCACTTTCCTGATGTCAATGCATCATTCTTTGAAGCGTTGCCGTTTGTTATGAGTATTTTACGTGAGTAATAAAGACGAATTGTTGGATCGAAAACGTGCCAGTTTATTGTTTTCTTGCTTAGTTAGAAATAATTTTCTGACCTTCCCAAGGAGCGAGTATTGAGACAACAGTTCATGCCGCTGTATCTTACCAGAGAGTTAAGGTTATGGGACCCCTGTGAGCAAAAGAATATTCTGCAGTAAATACCCTTTTGATGCACTTTTCATAAAAACACCTCTCTGAATCTTGTGCGTATGTATAATCACCTGAAAAAACGGAAAAATAATTACGGCTGTGTTATAACCGCCATGTGCTCAGTTATGGCCGGATTGAGCTAACATTCTATAGTTATAACATTAGCAGTGGGTTGGAGAGCTCTCTAAATGATGCTCGGGTGTAAAATCTGTCGTTGGTGTAGTTTTTATCAGCTTTTTACGAAATATTAACTAATCGGCCTTGAGAAAGTCTTGAACTGTAATTGAAATGCTAACGCTAACCTCTCATGATTTTCATCCTAAAGAAAAACGTAATGTGTATATATGTAATTACAGCAGAATGCAGGCATAACGAGATTTTAAAAAGTCATTCCAGGCAAAAGATATGACTTAAAATGAGGTGTTGTATGGCATATGGGCGTATGTCACTAGTTACTAAGCAAGCAATGCAAGTGGGAGGATAAATTTTCAGTTACGCGATCCTCATACAAAGACATTCTGGTCTCTTTCGAAGTTTCTACAAGCAGAGATCTCCGTTTATTGAAACAGCAAAAAGATGGTGGCCTCTCCTCTCTGAGTGTTCCCAGTTCCGTAGAGAAGGAGAATTTATCGACATACTTTTGAAAGTGGGTGATACACCTGCAAAAACGGAAAAATGGTCACAGTTGTGGTATATCCGCCATGTTCCGCTCAGTTGGCCGGATTGAGCTTACATTCTAGAGTTAAAACATCAGCACTGGGTTGGAGACCTCTCCAAACAGCGCTCGGGTGTGAAATCTGTCGTTAGTCTATTTCTTATCAGCTTTTTACGAAATATTAACTAATTGCCTTAAGAAAGCCTTCAACTGTAATTTAAATACTAACGTCGGCTAGCTTCTGGCGATTTTCATCCTAAAGAAAAACAAAATGTGTACGTAAGTAATTACAGCAGAATACAGGGACAAAAAGATTTTAAAAAGTCATTCCAGGCAAAATATATGACTTATAATGAAGTGTTTTATGGAGAGAAGATGTAAATGAAGATGAACGTCATACGTCTGATGAATTTATCAATGATTTTAGGATAAATTTCGATTTATTTACTACATCGACCTTCTTCAGATAAACCACTATTTTTATGCCCCAACGGAAACCCCGTTATCGATATCTTTGCACGTTAATCTTTTCATCAATGGGCGTATGTCAACGGTAACTAAGCAACCAATACAAGTGGGAATTAGTATAGTTTTCAGAGGGAGATCACGCGATCCACGTACAAAGACATTCTGGTTTCCTTCGAAGTTTCTACAAGCAAAGATCTCTGCTGATTGAAACAGCACAAAGATGGTGGCCCATTCTAGAATTCTCCTCTCTAAGTGTTCCCAGTTCCGTAGAGAAGGAGAATTTATCGACATACGTTTGAAAGTGGGTGATACACTTTTCCCAGCTCACCGAGTTGTACTTGCTTCGTATAGCAATTATTTCCACTCCATATTTACAGATGGGAAAGAAGCCAACCAGGAAGTGATCGAAATGAAAGACAAAAGCATTTCACCGCAGATACTCAAGATCGTTATGGACTCCATCTACACTGGTGATCTTCATGTCAACCAGAAGAGCGTATTTGAAGTTCTTCTCGCTGCTAGTCAGCTTCAAATCTCAAGTGTTGTTCAACTGTGTTGCGAATTCGTAAAGAAGGAATCCATAGAAAACGGAATTGACCTGAAGAACTACTCCGTGCTGTGTACAGTCGCCGAAAGACTCGGTCTGAGAGATCTGCAAGAGGCAGCAGAGGCCAAGATGGCATCCATGTACAAAGATGTTTGCGAAAGTAAAGAATTCCTGACTTACGTCGATGCAGATCAACTACTCATCCTTCTTGGTCGAGATGACCTCAATTCACCCTCTGAAGCTTTCGTCTTCAAATCAGTGATGAAGTGGATCAAATACAAAGGAGAAGAGCGGATGCCAGTCGCTGGAAAACTTATTGGAGCTGTTCGTCTGGGGCTGGTAGATGTGAAGATTGTGATTGAAGAGTTGAAAACAGAAGAAATGCAGCGATTTCCAGAGGTAAACATGCATCTGCAAGAATCCATGATGCATCACATCATGCCTTCTCATGAATTCGCCCCTGAGAAAGTTAAACCTCGATCAATGAGTCCGGTGAGTGAAAAACTAAGCTCTTTAACTGCTTCCTTTATCTAGAACATTAACGCAGCTTTAGTTGAGACTTCACTTGTCTCATCACAATACACTGAGTTTCACGACAACTAGCTTCCAGTTTTGAAATTTCTGGAGCGTCATTTGCATGTTAATTCGTTTTCCTGATTCTATCAGCGAAAGAGTTCGATGATTTTCATTGAGAATCGGTCAATTAGTCAGTCTGCTACTTTATCAAGAAACCAAGTTTTTATCTATGCACTGGGTATCTATATTTACACTAACCCAGAGACTGCATGTCGTGTTGTCCGTACCGTGATCGATGAAAACCATTTCAATAAAAATATACGTGCGCAACAAATTAACCATCTACTCTAGTATATTTTTGGAGCCTTAAACCGAATACTCTCTTTGAAAAAATATTCCAGAATGTCAGCTAAAAAGAGGAATTTTCAAATGATTGTATCTTGTTTTAGGTGCTCGTTGCCATTCACCCCACGAGTTGTGTACGTGTTCCTAAGAGATCTCAAAATGCAGAGTACGGTGCGTATAATCCTTACTCACTTCAGTGTATAGCTTATTACTTTGATTTCGAAGCGAAGGTATGGAAACCTTTGCCATCTGTAGCACAATCAGATGAAGAAGATATTTCATGCTTTTGTGCTGAACGCATTGGAAACTACTTATTTGTAGCTAAACAGAGGCAGAACGAGGGTAATTTCATACATCGATATGATGTGGTAAATAAATCATGGGTTAAATTACCAAAATACGGAAACAACCACATAGTTAACTGCTTATGTTCTGTTGGTGACTATCTTTACGCAATTAATAAGTCAAATCCTCCTCAAAGGTACAGTTTGACAAATAACAGTTGGCAAGGTGGAGAAGGCTTAAAAGTAGTAGAAAACATGGAGAAGTTAAGTTCAGTAGCAGCGACAGTAATGAACTCTAAAATATATGTAATTCGTAGTTATCGAGAATGTGAAAGACACCTCGGTTGGGTCAATAAACCAGCTGTGGTTCATTGTTTTGGCCCAAAATACAATGTTTGGACAAAACTCGCCTCAACCTGCCATCCTCATTTTAAATCCAGTCTTTTTGTTGTCAATAACAGACTGTGTGTGGCGGGGGGATGTATTGATGACCTTTGGTGCGACCTTGCACCTGTGGAAGTGTATGATGAAGGTACTAACACCTGGTCTGTAGTGCCTCAGAAACATATTCCCCTAAACAACTTGGGTGCAGTTGAAATAGAGGGGAGGGTGTATTTCATCATCAACAAATTTCCAGTCGACAGTGGGATTAGAATTCCACCTGAGGAAATGTATCAAGTTGACTTAAGTGGTTGGAGAGATCTAGCTAAAATCAACAGAAAAGCAATTTTGTGTTATTTGCCTGTCAAGAGCGAAAACTTGAAATGAACCTAGCAGTTGAATTTGAGCTTCTCTTTGGTATATGAGGCATATCAGAGAAACTGATTGGTAACTTAACATCAAGAAAAGAAGTGGTTCTGCAAAATACAGTATTTGTTTTTAAGCTCATTTTTGAAACACAGTCAGGGGAGAGAAGAAGAATAAACTAAGAAATTGATTGATTCACTCGTCCTTCCTTCTCTCTTCACCGTTTTAGCCACTGTTTTTGGCCTTCGCCTTTTGCCCTTTGTCTAAAAACAATGAAATTTAAAAAAATTTATTACAGTCACCGTATAGCTAGTAGGCCGGCTAAATTAAATTTTCTCTATCAATTTAAACGTTTTGCACACATGCAACGGATGTCTAGAACTATAGCTGTGTTCGCAGTTGTATAGCAAATGTTTAAGTGAATTAGTAGAAATATTTTCAGCCAGGTTACATAGATATTTAGTCATGGGTTATTTTTCATCGGCACCAAAATCAGTTCCGAGTAACTTTAAAGTGTTAAGGTTCAGCTTTATACGACTTAGCTTAGTGCTATATTTAAAAGGTAAATTCAGTTTAGCCGTGTTTCTGTTCAGTTATAGATAACAGATGATGCTACAATACAGTAATAACGTAGCTCATGAGCCGGTAGCGAGTGTATTACTTCGGTTATCACGTTTTGACATAATGATTGTAGTTATATAAAAAAACATATATGTGCATTGCGGTGAAGAAACGAATATAAGAGATCCTCGCAGCTATGAACACTACTGAACTAGTAGTTGAAATGAGACCTGAAAAAAATTCAGGCTCGTACGGGATTTCAACTACTAGTTCAGTAGTGTTCATAGCTGCGAGGACCTCTTATCTACGTTTTGATATCTTCTGATCAGACGCGCGGAAAACTGAAATATATCTGGTTCATACAATTAACCTGTAGATTTGGTATTTTTCTTGTTTGTAAGCAGCTCTTGGTCGATCAATTTTCAGGTGAAGTCCTCTCTAGGTTAACCGGAAATCATCTTGGAAACTACTGGTATTTAAACCAGGCATCATAAGGGACAATGCAAACAATGCATCTGTATTCTGATAAATCATAGATGATGACCATTAACAGGACGCATGATATTTCACGGTATAAAAGTCTTAATAATGATTTTTTAAGAGATATGTTTGCTAGAGGTTTGTGTTTATGTTTACGCGACAGGATCAATGTCAGGACTTATTTTGATAACTGTGAATATGCATGTGATAGGTTGTGATCTAATTTGTAATGTATCATTCAAGGTTTTATATGCATGTATAACCTCACTTGTAAATAAATCTTATCCAACTTCTTGTAAAATTGGCTACTTATGTTTGTGACCTAGTTCCTAAGGTGATGGATATATAATCTGGTGGTCCCAGGTTCCAGATTTCCACCCCGTTAATCATTAAATTCTTTCGAATTCTCGCTTGCCTTGAGTCAGTTCACTCTCCTTGGCTGCAATCTGTAAATAACGAACTGGTCTGCCTCCTGTCTTTTGGAAAATTCACCCAGTTTATTTTTTTTGAAAGGCCTCCATGATTAGTATAGTCAAAGATTTGATGATGGTATTTTTAACATAATTATCATTATTATTATTACCCATCTTGTTATAGTCGCTTACTAAAAGGCCGAAATCTTGAACATTACCACTTATTTTTCTCGCTCAGAAGCTCTCCCTACCCTCAGGTGTAAACAAGCTCACGAGAGAAGATGGCTTGATAGTCTATCTTCAAATAGCGCACAAGAAACCACATTTTCACCAGGAGTATTGCGAAAAACACATGCGATATAGGTTCAGTTTCTGCTTTCTTGAGCCACACAAAAGTTATTTATATTTTACCCATTACGTTGAGACTTACCATGAATTATCCTTACTGATATTGTATTGTCTTAAGAACCGCCTGTGCATTCATATGGCGGGAGAAGGAGAATAGAACTTGACAGAAAATGTAAAATGTGAATGGATAACAGAAGAAGTAAAAGTGCAAGTCTCTGAAGGCGGAATTTTTTCAAAATCGTATTCTTTTGTCGAATACATTATTAATACAGCAGTGAAGAAGAAGAAGAAAGCTGTTTCAATCGCTGGATCACATCATGTTTCATTCAAATACCGCATTTAAAAACTAGTCTAAGTCGCAGAAGACAGAAATCAAACCCTCTGTCAATACCAAAATTGATCACAAGGCAGCAAGCAACGAATTGTAAATTTATCAAGTCTCTACTTGACTATGAAACACGTAATAAAGGGGGTAAGTTTCTAAAGAAACTGTGGTGCTGCGTCACTGGGAGAGTATAACTAGGTCATTTTATATTATCAACTTTTTGTAATGTTAAATCGGCCACCACCACGTTTCGAGCGTTAGCCCTTTGTCACAGCGATTGGCGAAGGGCTAACCCTCCCTCTCATGGAGGGCTAACACTCCAAACGTCAGCTTTGAAACTCTTTACGGTGGCTATCAACTCAGTTGATAATACAAGTACACTGCGTCGATAAGGTCCTCGGAGGAACGTAACCTATGCAGGGGACCCGCAGAGAAAGACTGTAGCTCGTATTGGAAAATCAGGTTTGTCCAGTTTCAATAGACCGTTGAGATCCGTTTTTGTTAAGCCGTAACTGAGTATTAAAGTCTAATCCAAGGAACGGGAAGAGGTATTCGTTACTTGGGTGTTACCTGTTATATTTCGTCTTTGTTCTTTGCTGCGTAACACTCTGCCGAGTCGGCAAATCTTTATTTGACCCTTCACTCTCAACTCTGATGATATCTTCCGCTAAGACTGTCTCTACTACCAAGACGATCAGGCTGAACGATCAAATGTTACTCCCGGGTTCAAACCATTTACTGTAATATGTGTTTTGTATCTTTACTTATTACATTCTTTTTATTTTACAAAGAAAAAAAATAAAAAAGAAGCAACTACACCATCGTTAGGTATTTTACGATATTCTCTGAGAAATGATGCATGTACAACAAATGTTATCTCATACCGCTGACAAGATGCCAAAATGACCTGGGGCTCGAGATTGTGGTTTGCCTTGACTCACACCATGTGGAAAACTGACCGAGAAAGCCTGAGGACAATGTTGTAAATGTGAAAGATGGATACCCATTCTGGAATTCTCTTGACCAAATGTGCTCAGTTTCGAGACGAAGGGCAATTTGTCGACGTTCGTTTAAAAGTCGGTAAAGAAACTTTTCCCGCTCATCGCAATGTGCTCGCTTCGTACAGCGATTACTTCTACGCCAAGTTTGCAGATGGAATGAAGGAGTCGAACCAGGAAGTGATCGAGCTGAAAGATGAAAGCCTTTCGCCACACGTCTTCAAGATCGTTATCGACTGCATCTACAGCGGAGATCTTCAGATCAATAAGGAAAACGTGTTTGAAGTTCTTGCTGCCACAGACTATCTTCAAGTGAGAAATGTTCTTCAACGATGTTGTGATTTCTTGTTGACTGAAATTATTCAGTCAGCTCGATTTGATGTACAAATGTATCGTCGCGTTTGGGCAATTACCGACAAACACAGCCTTAAAGAAGTTAAGGAAGTCGCAGATCACAAGATGGCATCTATGTATACAGATGTTTGTGAAAGTGAAGAGTTCCTGTCGAATATCGACGCAGACCAACTACTCAGCCTTCTCAGTCAAGATGACCTTAATGCACCTTCGGAGACGTTCGTCTTCAAATCAGTGCTGGAGTGGATTAAACACAAAAAGGAGGAGAGGATGGCAGTTGCATCCAAAGTTATCGGAGCAGTTCGTTTGGGTCTGGTGGACGTCAAGGTCGTGATTGAAGAACTAGAAAAAGAAGAAATGCAGCGAGATCCTGAGATTAACAAACATCTACAAATAGCAATGAAGCGTCACTGCATGCCTCACAAATTTTCTGCAGAGGAAGTGAAGCCGCGATCGATGAAAACGGTAAGATGGTAAATATCACACACAAAGGAAGGCCCAGGAGCTTAGATTAATTCAGGAGCTTAGACAGTGAAAGTCGGTTTGTTTTTTACTCTCTATTGTCGGCCAGTGTTATAATTTCCTTTCGCATAATTCAAGTACGATTTTACGTTGTGCTACTCATACGGAACCTGTAAGCCAACTTGTATTTGCTGTTTGAACGTGATTCGTCTGAGTATGAGTAATGAAGCTATAATTCACTGACTTCGATTTCAATCAAAGTCCTACGAATTTTTATATACCTTGAATCGAATTTCCAGTACTTTCGTGGATTACAAATCTTTTTAACGACAGTCCCGAGAACAAAGACCGCATGCTGACGACTTTTAATTTGTAGTACTTTCTAATCACACCGGACGGACACCTGATGGGTCTGTGTTGCAGACGTTGAGTATGATTATTTAGTTATGAGTGTGCTCGGCTATTTTATTTCTGGCCATCTTTTCTTGTATCCATTTTTTGGCTTTCAGCAAAGTAACTAAATTACAAAAGATATCACAGTTTTTATCAGTGCCCTCCGTTATTAAGGTATTCATATTCACTATGGGATTTCGATATGTTATGAAAATTACAAACGAAATGCCTTAATCCGATAGGAGTAAAGTGTGCGAAAAATAACCCAATGAAAAACCCAACCCCTATTTCCTGTAACATATAAAATGAGGTGTTTTTTTTTGTTCTGCCTGGTGTACCAACAAAAACTTCGCATTAATTTGTTGGACTTGAATCTAGGGACCAGCATTATTTGTCGCCTAGGGGGAGGGTTCAGTCGTCGCCAACATGTTACAAAGTGACACAATTATTCCTCCGAATTCCCCCTCTCCCCCTCCCCCCGAGGCGATAAATCATGTCCGATGCCTTACCTCAAGAGATTATATAATCCATTGCTTACCAAGAGATGTTTTATTATTATGCTGTAGGTTCTTGTTGCATTTTGCCCATTTGAGAGGTCAGACTATTACAGTAGTGTTCGGGAACCGATGTCTCTCTACTTTGATGAGGAAAGCAAAGAATGGAAACTGTTAAAATCTGTGCCAGATGTAGGTGAAGTAGTAGAAAAGTGGTCTAGTGTGAAATATATCGGAAATTGTTTGTATTTAGCCTCATCAAATGTTGTAGAATCAGATGTTTATCGTTATCACATAGTGAACAAGTCCTGGGAAAAGCTTACAAAGTTGAGTTTCCTCAAGATAATCCAATGTTTGTGTTCTGTTGGTGACTATATTTATGCAATAAGTGAATCTAGTCCACCCGAGATTTACAGTTTGGCTGACAACACCTGGCAGAAGTGCAGGGATAATTTGTATTTATTTAAACGAACAGCGTTAAAATCTGTAGCAGTGGCGGTGATGAACTATAAGTTATATGTTATGCATGGGCTTATTGGTTTGCGTCGAGCAAATGCAGCAAAATCTGCCTTAGTGCATTGTTTTGACCCCCAAAAAAATGAATGGGAAAGCGTCGCCTCAACGTGTTATCCTCACTTTGGATCCAGTCTTATTGTTGTCAATAACAGACTGTATGTGGCAGGGGGGAAAAAGGAGTACAGTCGATACGGTCAGCCGTGCGGTGAAAATGCACCGGTAGAAGTTTTTAAGGAGAAAAAAAGACTTCTACCTTGGTTTGGTAAAGGGAAAGTAAAACAACCACCGAAAAGCTGGTCTGTTGTAGAACAGAAACATATTCCCACCAACAGTCTTGGTGCCGTGGAAATAGAAGGGAGGGTATATTTTATCATCAACAAATTTCCAGTCGACAGTGGGATAAGAATTCAACCAGAGGACACGCACCAGGTTAATCTTGATGAATGGAAAGACTTACGGACTGTGAGTGAGCAGGCAGTCTTGTGTTATTTGCCTGTAAAAAATGAAGACTTAAATTGAAAGAAGCTCGAAGTTATATTAATGGTCAAAATGAAGTTATTACTTAGTCAAAATTTAAGTGTCTGAATGGTTTGTTTTAAAAAATATTTATCACAGCATAAAATGTCGAAAAAACGTTTTGTTTACGCCTTTCTTGGACCAAGGCAGTCACCTCGCAACAACATTTAATGCGTGGTTTAGACTTAGAAGGACTGGGAAGCACCCATTTTGTTTTTTTTTTTATTTTTAAAATCAGGAAAGTTAGGAACCTGGATTCAATGTACTGATTTTTTTCTCGATTATTCACGTCAGATAATTTAGGTACCAGTACGTTAATAAAGACTCGCGCTGTTTCACCTCTTTACTAATGATGGAGTTTTCTATATGCATAAATAAAACTGAAAATTGTTTTTTGTTGTCTTTCGTATTTCGTAGTCATTAATTTGGAGCTAGACATGATTATGGAGGGTCTCAATGGGTGACGGCTTTTACGGTTAAAATTATGGCCAATTTACGGCTAAAGGTTAACATCTTTCCATTGCTGTCACCAGAAACATTTTATTTTGTCTCCACTACACAACAAATAACACAGTAGTGTACACCAAATAAGTTTATTTAGGGAAGCCTGCCGAGAACCAACCCGAGGCATATATAGCCCGGGGCATGCATACATACATATATTCGCAACTGATATACCATATACAATCCTGATATACAGTCAATTCCTTACACATTAAAAAAAGGTATACATTACTAACATGCAAACTTCACCAAGTCTGGATTAACAGAGATGGGCAACCGCTTACAAGGACATAACTACGGTTATACAGACGCCAGAAAAAACCTGCCAGAAAAACCCCTTTGGGGAAAAAACATGACAGGAAATCTGGGTAGGAACCATGGCCCAAACTCAGAGCAGTTGGCAGCCCATCCTACGAGGCTTCACAGCTAAAGAAAATATGTTTTCAAACTAAACTAAATTTGTCATCAGCCAGAGGTGAACGGTTGGTTCTGAGGCCTAGATGGACGCCACGTGCTATACTTTCCCTTATATACCACTGCATCATTACCCATGATGCTCGGGCCTAAGGCCTAGGCCTTGTCGTATCTCGTGCCGACAAAATATTTATTTCTGCCTTATTCGCGGACTCATTCGTCAGAAACACCATTTTTTACTGTTAACTTTTGTTACGACTAATGGTTAAAACTTGTCAATTTCTAAGCCTTACGGTTTTTTTTGGCCGTTTTACGGCCAACGGTTAACTCATTGAAACCCTCATTATATTGAGTGAGTATAGACACAGGGATGGGATGAAAAAGCATACGTCTTTTTTTCTGCTAGAGATGTGTTTGTAAGTTTGTGTGTAGAAACATTATTACTGAATTTGTTTACAGTTTCGTCCAGCATTAAAAGTGGCGCGAAGAATCCGTAATAAAAGTTGCAATTATCAGGGTTAGAGGTACATTACGTGTGTTTATGGTCACTGAGCGATTTTTGGGCTACGAACTTAGAGATCGAACTTAGGAAAGTGAAACTTGGTGATATAACTGTACTGATCTTGATAAATGTGAGGCATCATAATCATGATCTTACTTGTTAGTTATATTGACTGAACTTGTTATTTTTACTTTTGAATGTACATGTGATAATGCTCAATAAATTTGTTACTTTATCGCCTAGTGTTTTGTCTTTGACTCGCAAAGCATAACCGCAGTAGGCAGATTAGTGCACCCGTTTCCTTGCGTTCAAATATTTTCCATTCTTAGGCACTGTTCTATTGCACGTGATTACGGGTTATTTACGCACACTGAAGCTTTGTCAATGTTAGGCATGTTATGGCTCGTGGGATTTTACTGAACCACTCAATCGACTACTGCAACCATTCGGTTGAGATCGCGTTTAAATGCAAGAGCAAATGAATACAGATTTCAGTAAGTTCTTTGAATCGATGCTTGCTCGATGCATTTGCTTCTTACTTTTTGAAAGATTGAGATCGAGAGATACCAGTTGAACATTACTTTAAAAATCAAAATTAAATACTGACATGCATGATTTAGCAAATTCTTGTTTTGAACTAAGAGTTACAAAGCTCCGAGTTAATTCAAGATTCAAGTTATGCATGAGCTTGACTTTTTGCGGAATTGTCGCTGAAGGTCTATCGTTGTTAACTCGGGTTGTTATTATGCGATCATGAGAAACTGCAATGAACTTAACACCTGACGGAAAAAATTGAGGTGCGTGGCAAATGTAAATTTGTTTGCCTGTAAAGTGGTTAATAAATTCGTTGAAGGAGAAATCAATTAAAATTTAACGTTTTAAGTACCCAGAAGTTTTGAGACGTAGACGGCTGCCAAAGAATGGAATAAATTCTGGTGAGTCTTGAAAATCAACTGTGAAACTCTTGTCTCAGCATCTCAGGCATAACGGTAAGGACACAAGATCTGTTGTAACCGCTAGGGAAAAGAACTCTAAACTCCCGGCTGCCTCCCGTGTTACTAAAATGTATTTTCTTAGGCGCACTAAGTTTAATACTGTACGGAGTGTATTGCGGTGAAAAAACAAAATTGTAATAATTGAACGAAATCAAGCGCTGCTGTTACACTTTTCCTCCTAAGTATTTAAAAAACTGAGCTCAAATGATCTCAAATTCCTTACCTCTTTATATCTATCTTTCCAACCCTCTCCGTGGCAATATGCAAATACTGCCTAACTCAAGTTTCATAATTGATCTCTGGTCACGCGATCAAGCGACTCAAGCGAGTGACGGGAGTCGTGCGAATTCAACTGTCTCTCTTCCTAAAATGGCTGCATCCTCTGAGATTTTACTTTTAAAATGCGCTAAGTTTAGGGATGAGGGTCAATTCATCGACGTTCGATTAAAAGTCAGCGACGGCGTTTTCACAGCTCATCGTATCGTGCTGGCTGCGAGTAGTGATTATTTCTACGCCATGTTTACAAATGGAATGAAGGAGTCAAGCCAGGAAGTGATTGAATTGAAAGACGAAAGCATCACGTCAAATGCTCTAAAGATCATCTTAGACTCCATCTACACTGAAGATCTCCATGTCACCGAGGAAAACGTGTTCGATGTACTCGCTGCAGCATTTCACCTTCAAGTGACGAGTGTTGTACAACAATGTAGCGATTTCCTGATGAAGGAATTTGTTCAGCTCCGACTGGACTTGCAGAATTACCGTCTGCTCTGCACGGTTGCCGACAGACACGGTATGAAAGATCTGCGAGAGGCGGCGGAGAGCAAGATGGCATTAAAGTTTAAGGATATCTGTGAAAGCGAAGAATTTTTGTCCATCATAGAACCCGACCAGTTAGTCAACCTTCTCAGCCGAGATGACCTCAGCGCACCGTCTGAGACATTCGTCTTCAAATCAGTGATGCAGTGGATTAAACACAAGAAGGAGGAGAGGATGGCAGTTGCAGCCAAAGTTATTGGGGCTGTTCGTCTTGGTCTAGTGGACATCAGAGTTGTGATTGAAGAACTGGATACAGAAGAGATGCAGAGAAATCCTGAGATCCACAGGCAGCTACATGAGACGTCCTTGTATAACAACATACCTTCTCGCAATTCGAAGTTTGCAGAGGAAAGAACTAAACCGAGATCAGCAAGCCAGGTCAGTAGAAGCACCGGTTAATATTTGTGATCCATCACAAATATTAGCATTTTTATGCTAGAATAGAACATTATTATAATCAATTAACTAAGTGGACGAATTTGCTGAGTTCTGTCGATAGAACCTCTTTCCTTTCACGTTCAAAAAAACGGTTGTTTACAAATTTACTTTATTTTCTTATTTCAGGCTCTGATTGCAGTTCTGCCTCGAACTCAAATGAAATATTTTGATTTCGAAAACAAAACATGGAAAACTTCACCAGCATCAATACCGTCAATTAAATCAACTCGTTGCCATTCTGCAGTCTCTGTTGGGAACACCCTATTTGTTACTGGAGAAACACCAGATGGTAACAATTCCCTTTTTCGCTACGACACTGAGAGTAATGCATGGGATATGAAGCAACATTCGTGCGGTGGATCAATTGACAATTTATGTATCATGGATGACTATGTATATGTCATTAGCTCTGATTCATGTCAGGTTCCTCAAAGATACAACATCGCTAAAAGGTTATGGCAGAGTATTTCTAATGTACATAATCCAAGCTGGAACCTTTTAGCATGCAATAATGGGGTTATAGCTCACGAAAAAGTGTTTGTTCTTTATAGTAACAGGCCCGATCGCAAAGGACCCAATCAACCAGCAGTACTTCAATGTTTCGACCCAACTAAAAATGAATGGAGTGAAAAGGCCACAACCTGCCATCCTCATTTTGGATCCACTCTTTTTTTAGTGAATGACAAACTTTTTATAGCTGGGGGCCGTATTGGATTTAATAACTACGATCGCCCATGTGGCAACCGTGCGCCTGTAGAAATGTATAACGAAGAAACCAACACTTGGTCTGTTGTTGAGCAAAAACGTATTCCTGCCAACAATCTCAATGCAGTGGAAATAGAAGGGAGGGTATATTTTATTATCAACAAATTTCCAGTTGACAGTGGGATTAGAATTCCACCAGGGGAGTTGTATCCTGTTCCGCTGGGTGAGTGGGAAGATTTAGGAAAAATTGAACAATCTGCAGTTCTTTGCCATTTGCCTCTGAAGAGAGAATGTATAAAAACTGAATGACCTCATTCGCCTTTCTTATTTCGAAGGAGCCAAGAGATAAGGAGCTGTGAAAGGGTAAATAAACAGCTGCTGTAACCTTCTAAGCATGCCCAGAAAACTAGTCGGTTGGTATTGCTTGGACTTAAGTGGTCTAACTTGAAAACAGTGTCTATCATATTTAGAAGTGAGAGTGAATCTTAAGACGTTCAGTACAGTCCATGTAAATTGTAAGAAGTAATAACCCTACAAAAACTATGAAGGTGTAAAATAAACGCCGAATTCTTAAATTGTAGAAGTCGCAGAACGTTTCAGGAAGTTCGTATATACTAAATTGAAGGAAGTTATAATCTATGAGTTTCGTTCTTAGTTTCCTGGGAGTGTCAGCTGCAAATGTGTGTGTATCGGTTGATTTCAATTCGATGTAGGGTAGAGTAGGTGATAATTATGGACTTATATAAAACCTTGAATATTGTAACCAACCTTTCAGAACCCTTTGTAGGTCTTTTCCCCTTACATAAAATTTTAATTTTTTTTTCTTTCAAACAAACTTCTTTAAAGGATGTAATAAAAATTACACAAAAGTTAGTTTTAACTTGTTCTCTGTTCTAACCTACGAAGACGCGGAATTTTTCTTTAATAGAGTTCTCCAAGTCATTTCTACGTCTGCGCAATAGGAGTTACGCCGTAGATGCGTCTCAGTGTCAGTCTCGCATTTCTACACGTATTGTGATTTATTCAAAGTCCCTGCCTAAGTCGTGAATATGCACCGTAAATGAAAAATGATCGTAGCTTGGTAAACAACAGCGATGAACGCTCGAGTGATCAGGAAGAGGATTTGAGTTGCATGTGTGATCGATCACGCAAGGAACCTAGGCTGATATAGTCCCTTAAAATACGACAGGAAACCCAAGAATCTTGAAGTATTAAAAATTTACTATAGGGGACAAGAGAGGATTCTGATTCTCTCTTGCCGTGGTCGGCTGTCTGATTTCTGATCAGGAGCGTAGAATTTGTAAGTGTCATGCAGGTAATTGTTCTTCAAGACTTGATAGAAACGCGCACAATAATTTCAATTTCTCTGCTAAACCACGATAACTGATATTAATCGGATTTTTCCTTTGATTTAGTCCTCCAAAGGATTACTATTTTGATGGTACATCGCCTCTTAGTCTCCAATGTCCTTGCGAACTGTGATTTATATGAACAGAATAGCTTGCTGAGGTTGTCCTCTTACGTTGATTAACTCTTTCAATCCCAACATCTCATTAGTAATTCTCCTTACTGTCTCCCTAGCAATTCTTATCAAGTTACTTTCAAGAATTTGGTATTGGATCAACTGCTAATCCTTTAATTGATATTTCTCTTCTTATTCTAATCACTGGTCTGTTTGATATTGTATTGACATTTTAAAGAGAAATTCTGTCTTGGTCACTCATTAGGTAACCAACCAAAAGGGCTCGTGTTGCATATGTAACTGATTACACAGACTAAGTTACTTAACCTGAGTTTAGTCGGTTTTCAAAAGTACGAAAAGGACCTTTAGAATTTTAAATGATATTTTCCATATGAAGTAAGAGAGGATCCGTTCTTGGCAGTAATAGAGACGTTTATACACAAGGTCGTAATGTGGGCTCACCTAACAATCTGCCCAGCTCGCTAATGAAATTTTTAAAGACCTTCAACAGCCCATAGATCGCCCAAGGAACCTAAAGTGTATATATATTTATTTCCTTAGACACGACTGATTTAATAATAATCATAAAAAATAACAATAATATTTAACGAGAGACCCAACTCGCCACAGCGGTTTTCAGTGGGGCCCTCTTTGTTGTTGATAAATTGTTTTCATCCATTTTTGAAACGCCATTGTCTAACCCGTTGTTCCTGCATGAAGATTACTTTATGAGCAACTTGTTTGAAGATTTCAAACGAGAAGATTTGCTTTTCGGGAAGATCTTTGAATCTATTTATAATACTTCATTATCTGCATCGCGGAATGATTTTGCATTACATGCCTGAATGCCTCTTACTCTGCCACTAGATTGAAAGGAGGATGGGCGATTGAAAGGAGGATGGGCGATTGCCTAAATACCGTGTTGCTGCAAGGCACTCTCTGATCTGTTGTTGATATTGAAGTACAGTGAGATTATTTCCTTCAGCAAAATGGTTGCCCATGCCGACATTCTTCTGTCTAAATGTGCTCAGTTTCGAAACGAACGTCAATTTATCGACGTTCAATTAAAAGTCGGTGAAGACATCTTTCCAGTTCATCGCATCGCACGGTGCTGGCCGCAAGTAGTGATTATTTCTACGCCATGTTTACAGATGGAATGAAGGAGTCCAACCAGGAAGTGATCGAGTTAAAAGATGAAAGCATTTCACCAGATGTTTTAAAGATCTTACTGGACTCCATCTACACTGGAGATCTTCTTGTGGACGAGGAATCCGTGTCCAAGGTTCTTGCTGCCGCAGATCACCTTCAAGTGGTGAGTGCTGTTCATCAGTGTTGTAATTTCCTGCTGACAAAGTTTGTGAAAATTCGCTTCGACTTTGAAACTTACTGTCGCATCTGGGAGATCGCGTTGAGCTATGGGCTGAAAGACCTGCAAGACGCTGCAGAGTGTGCTGTGGCGAAGATGTATAAAGATGTTTGTGAGAGCAAGGAATTTTTGACGCACATCGGTGGAAACCAGTTAGTCAGCCTTCTTAGCCGAGATGACCTCAATAAACCTTCTGAGACGTTTGTCTTCAAATCCGTGATGCAATGGATAAACCACGAGAAGGAAGAGAGAATGGCAGTTGCAGCCAAAGTTATTGGAGCTGTTCGTCTGGGGCTGGCGGACATTGGAGTTGTGATTGACGATTTGGATACAAAGAAGATGAAGCAACTTCCCGAGATTTATACGCAAGTGTACGAAGCAGCAGTTTATAAACACAGACCCTCCCATAAACCTCAAACCGCTACACAGCAAACAAAGCAACGATCAAAGAACCCGGTAAGAGTTTTCGGAAAAAAGAAGTTGAAAATTAATTGTTAGAATGATATGGCTACAGAAGAGTTTTTTTAAAAAGATATATTGTATTTTAAGATGAGTGTAATTTAGTTTGTTATTAATAGTCTGTGTCATTCTCCTTCATCCTCAATTGTCGTCGTTCCTTTTTCGTCGTTACTTTGCATCCTTTATATAACCTTGTGATTTTATTTCAGGTTCTTGTTGCTGTTTTAACTCGAGCTCAAATAAAGTACTTCGACGTCGAAGCCAAGGCTTGGAAATTGTTGCCAATAGGTTCACCGTCAATTGAGGCCACTCATTGTTACTGTGCATTATCTGCTGGCAGTAACTTGTTTGTTGCTGCGAAAGACTCCATTGGTTACCGCCTTTATCGCTATGACCCAGAGGAAAACGTGTGGGAGAGACTTCCAATTCCTTGTGGTGAAATAAAAAATCTGTGTCTTTTAGAGGAATACTTGTGCGCAATCCCTGCCGATAGCTACCTTTCTACTTACCGATACAATATCGCTAAACGTAATTGGCACAGTAGTGAACAGCCCTCTGGTTACAATCGTTTTTTGAATGGTGCAGCTGTCTTGCATTCCAAGGTGTTTATTCTTTATGGACGCTGCATTTCTTCGCCTTCCGGTAGTTCACCCTCGCCGGCAGTTTTACACGTTTTGATTCACAAACAAATGTGTGGGAGACAGAGAAAGTAACAACCCATCGTTGTCACTTCAGCTCAAGTCTTATAGTAGTGAACGGCAAACTCTACGCTGTTGGGGGCACAGATTCTCTTGATTTTTCCAAGTGGTAACCCTGCACCCTTAGAAATGTACAATGAAGACACCATCACTTGGTCTGTTGTTGAGCAAAAGCATATTCCCGCCAACAATCTCAATGCAGTGGAAATAGAGGGCAGAATCTATTTTATCATCAATAAGTGAGTTTTTGCGTGTACTGTGCACCCTGCCACTGTCCAGTGGTAGGGTGGTGATCAGTTTGGGTGGGTACAGAAGGCTTGCCACGTCTATTCGTGCTGTTTGTCAATCGTGGAGTTTGTCCAGTCCCGCCAGCTTGGTCAGTGTCCCATAGTTTGCAGAGTTCTTCGCCTATTTTAGGCTGCAGCTCCTGCAGAATATGAGCATGTTTGTGATTCATAGATTTCCAATTCTTAATTCAGTCTTGGCACAATTCATCCGCAAACCACCAATTTATTATATTCATTTGAGCTGCGCAAGGTAAGTTACGAAATATTATCTACTGAATTAGCCGTGAAAAAGTATAGAAATGCTCGCATTAGCTGGCTTTTCGTGCTTTCTACTTAAAAAGAGGTCATTGTGTGTATATGGAGGTAATTACAGCAGAACGCGGGGATAAATCGAGTTTGAAAAGTTATTCCACGCTCAAGATGTGACATGAAATGAGGTGGTCTATTGGGAGAAGATGTGAATAAAGTACGTCCTACGGCTGATGAATTTAAGCAGTGAATTTTGGATAAATTTCGACTTATTTAATTCACCACCTCCTGCTCCTTAAGATATGCCATCATTGCTTGCCTCTGTAATTGCTAGAAGACGATTGTCGGGCTTATGCCCTTACAGTGACTCTGGCATCGATATCTTTGCAAGTTTAATCTTTGCATCACAAGCTAACATCACACGTTACTAGACAACCACGAAATTTGGAAATTAGCATATTTTTCAGTGGAAACCTTTGCCATCTGTAGCTCCATTAGAAGAAACTCACTTTTGCTTTTGCACTGAACGCATTGGAAACTACTTATTTGTAGCTGCACATATGCGGCAGAACGTTAATTTAATACATCGACATGATGTGGTAAATAACTCATGGGTTGAATTACCAAAATACGGAAACAACCACAGAGTTGAGTGCTTGTGTTCTGTTGGTGACTATCTTTACGTCATAAGTGAGTCAAATCCTCCTCAAAGGTACAGTTTGACGAATAACAGTTGGCAAGGTGGGGAACGCTTAAAAGTAGACGAAGACAAGGAGAGTTTAATTACTGTATCAGCAACAGTAATGAACTCTAAAATGTATGTAATTTATGGTTATAAAAAAAGGGAAGGTGATGGAATAGACTCCAGTCCGGTCATTAAACCAGCTGTGGTTTATTGTTTTAACCCAAGATACAATGTGTGGACAAAACTTGCGTCAACCTGCCATCCTCATTTTGAATCCAGTCTTTTTGTTGTCAATAACAGACTGTGTGTAGCGGGGGGAAATATTGATGGCCACCAGGCACCTGTGGAAGTGTACGATGAAGGTACTAACACCTGGTCTGTAGTGCCTCAGAAATGTATTCCTTCAAATGACTTGGGTGCAGTTGAAATAGAGGGGAGGGTGTATTTCATCATCAACAAATTTCCAGTTGACTGTGGGATCAGAATTCCACCTGAGGAAATGTATCAAATTGACTTAAGTGGTTGGGGAGATGTAGCTAAAGTCAACAGCGAAGCAGTTTTGTGTTATTTGCCTGTCAAGAGCGAAAACTTGAAATGAACCTAGCAGTTGAATTTGAGCTTCTCTTTGGTATATGAGACATATCAGAGAAACTGATTAGTAACTTAACATCAAGAAAAGAAGTGGTTCTGCAAAATACAGCATTTGTTTTTAAGCCCATTTTTGAAACACAGTTAGTGGGAAAAGAAGAATAAACTAAGAAATTGATTGATTCCTTTGTCCTTCCTTCTCTGTTCACCATTTCAGCCACTGTTTTTGGCCTTCGCCTTTAATTTGCCTCGTAAAGTAGGTCTGCTAAATTAAATTTTCTCTATCAATTTAAAGGTTTATTTTAGGGAGTAGTATGGTGAGACAGATGTCCTTTCCTCATACAGTTTTCTGACAAAAGGGCCTCTCTGGACCCTTTGATTGTACTATTTATGATCAATTTTTTGGCATTGCTTTTGTAGCAATTTCCTTTTCAATGATTTGTAGCTCACTTAAAGTACACATAGGCAAGGTTTCTAGAACTATATCTTTGTTCGCAGTTGTATAGCACGTCTACGTGAATTAGTAGAAATATTTGGCCATGGGTTTTTTTTCATTGGCACCAAAATCAGTTCCGAGTAGCCTTAAAATGTTAAGGCACAGCTTTATAGGACTTAGCTTAGTGCTATATTTTGAAGATTAATTCAGTTTTGCCGTGTGTCTGTTTATTCAGTCATAGATGACAGATGACGTCACATATGGTAATGACGTAGCACATGAGCAGTTATCAAGTGCATCACTTCGGTTATCACATTTTGTTATCTTCTGATCAGAAACGTGGAAAAATGAAATATATTTGGTTCATACAATTAACATGTAGATATGTTTCTGATTTGGTATTTTTCTTGATTGTAAGCAGCACCTGGTTGATCAATTTTCCAGTGCAGCTCTCTTTAACTTAACCAGAAATTATCTCGGAAACTACTAGTTTTTAAACAGTGCATCATGAAGGACAATGCAAACAAAAAATGTTTGTGTGTCTGTTTAACAAATAGATTTCAAGTTGCCGTGCATCTATTCAGTAATAGATTACGGATGACGTCAAAATGTGGTAAGAACAAAAAAGTGACACACGAGGCGCAGCCGAGTGTGTCACTGATGTTCTTACCACATTTTGATCTTTATATAATAAAGAATTAAAAAGAGTTTTAATGATGACGTGATCTATAGTCTGTCCTCCAAAAGATCATAAGTGAGAACCAATCAGAATGCGTGCATAACTGGGCTTATTATATAATTTGTAATGTATCATCTTCAAGGTTTTGTATGCATGTGTAACCTCACTTGAAAATAGATTTCATTCAATTTCTTGTAAAATTGGCTACCTATGTTTGTGACCTAGTTGCTAAGGTGATGGACTTATAATCTGGTGGTTCCAGGTTCCAGATTTCCATCCCGTTAATCATTGAATTCCTTCGAATTCTTGCTTGCCCTGAGTCAGTTCACTCTCCTTGGCTGCACTCTCTAAATAACGCTCTAAATAAATCACGATAACTAAATAACGGTTCCTTTTGGAAAATTTAATAAGTCTATGTCTATTGTAAGGCCTCCACGGTGAGTGGTCTATTAAGATTAATATCATTGTCAAAGATTTGATGATGGTATTTTAAACATAATTATCATCATTATTATTACTCATCTTGTTATAGTTGCTATTTGAAACGGGAAACTTAATAAAAGGTTGAAATCTTGAACATAACTGCTTGTTTCTCGCTCGGAAGCTCTTTCTACGCTCAGTAGTATAAACAAGCTCACGAGAGAAGATAGCTTCATAGTTTATCGTCGAATAGCGCACAAGAGATCACATTTTCACCAGGAGTATTGCGAAAAAACACATGCAATAGAGGGTCGGTTGATGCTTTCTTGAGCCACGCAAATGTCATTCGTATTTTACCCATTACGTTGAGACTTAACATGATTATCTTTGCTGATATTGTATTGTTTTAAGAACCGCGTCCGCAATTAGAAAGATATGTGGCGGAAAAAGAATAGAATTTGACAGGAAATGTAACTTGGGAGTGGATAACGGAAGAAGTAAAAGTGCAAGTCTCTGAAGGCAGAATTTTTTCAAAATCTCATTCTGTTGTCTAACACAGTAATACAGCAGTGAAAAAGAAGGAGAAAGCAGTTTCATTCGTTGGATACATCATGTTTCTTTCAAATACCGCATCTAAAAACTAGTCATGCTGAACTAAAGTCGCAGAAGGGGCATCAGTGTAAAGTGTTGAATTAACTGTACCAAAACTCCGCAAAATCACTCGAGACAACACAGAAAAACAAAGCTAAGTGAACTTTATTTATCTGACTGTCATTAAGCGGATTTTGGAGATGAAATGTTACGATTTGCGGTATTTATAAAACATTTCCCAGGATCACTTGCGTCTTGCTGAGATCGACCGTTGCAAGTTACAAACAATGTAAGAGTTCAACTAGCGTATCAAATAAGTGACGTCACACGACCTCAAACCCTCAGGGTTGTTTGCCTGTGGTATAACAGGGTAATTTAATATTATCAACTGAGTTTATAATGTAAATTGACCGCCGTGAAGAGTTTCAAAGCTGAAGTTTCGAGCGTTAGCCCTTCGTCAGAGCAATTGGCCAAGGGATAATCGTCCCTCTGATGAAGGGCTAACGCTCGAAACGTCGGCTTCGAAACTCTTTATGGTGGCCAATTTACGCTATCAACTCAGTTGATAATAATAAGTTACCCTCTGAAACACATACACTGTGATGCCAATTTAAGCGGAACACTGGGGAACATTTTACAAAAAAAGACAATGGTTTGTAGCCGTCGGGTATCTGTACAATCAGTCTTCATGACGTCGATGAAGTCCTCGGAGGAACGTAACCCATGCAGGGGACCCACAAGCAATACTGTAGTTCGTATTGGAAAATCAGGTTTGTCCAGTTTCGGTAGACCGTTGAGGTCCATTTTGTTAAGGCGTGTAACTGAGTGTTTAAGTCTAATCCAAGGAACGGGAAGAGGTATTTCTTACTCGGGTGTTACCTGTTATATTTCGTCTTTGTTCTTTGCTGCGTAACACTCTGCCGAATCGGCAAATCTTCATTTGACCCTTCACTCTCAACTCTGATGATATCTTCCGCTAAGACTGTCTTTACTACTGACAACAGTCCGTCACAGGTCTACCCTCACCAGACGATCAGGCTAAACGATCAAATATTACTCCCGGATTCAAACCATTTACTGTTTTTATGTTTACTAATTACATTTTTTTTATTTTACAAAGAAACAAAGTGAAAAAAAAGCAACTACACCATCGTTAGGTATTTTACGATATGCTATGACAAATAATGCATGTACAACAAATGTTATCCCATGCCGCTGACAAGGAGCCAAAATGACCCGGGGCTCGAGATTGTGGTTTGCCTCGACCCACACCACTAAGAACGCCTGGAGACGAAGTTGTAAAAGTGAAAGATGGATACCCATTCTGGAATTCTCTTGACCAAATGTGCTCAGTTTCGAGACGAAGGGCAATTTGTCGACGTTCTCCTAAAAGTCGGTGAAGAAACTTTTCCCGCTCATCGCAATGTGCTCGCTTCGTACAGCGATTACTTCTACGCCATGTTTGCAGATGGAATGAAGGAGTCGAATCAGGACGTTATCGAGCTGAAAGATGAAAGCCTTTCACCACACGTCTTCAAGGTCGTTATGGACTGCATCTACAGCGGAGATCTTCAGATCAATGAGGAAAACGTGTTTGAAGTTCTTGCTACCGCAGACTATCTTCAAGTGAGGAATGTTCTTCAACAATGTTGTGATTTCTTGTTGACTGAAATTATTCAGTCAGCTCGATTTGATGTACAAATGTATCGACGCGTTTGGACAATTACCGATAGACACAGCCTTAGAGAAGTTAAGGAGGCCGCAGATCACAAGATGGCATCCGTGTATAGAGATATTGGTGACAGGAAAGAGTTCCTGTCGAATATCGACGCAGACCAACTACTCAGCCTTCTCGGTCGAGATGACCTTAATGTACCTTCGGAGACGTTCGTCTTCAAATCAGTGATGCAGTGGATTAAACACAAGAAGGAGGAGAGGATGGAAGTTGCATCTAAAGTTATCGGAGCCGTTCGATTGGGTCTGGTGGACGTCAAGGTCGTAATTGAAGAACTAGAAAAAGAAGAAATGCAGCGAGATCCTGAGATCAACAAACATTTACAAATGGCAATGAAGCGTCACTGCATGCCCGACAAATTTTCTGCGGAGAATGATAAACCGCGATCGATGAAAACGGTAAGATGGTAAATATCCCTTAAAAAAGGAAGACCCTTTTAACTCAGGATCATTAACAGTGAAATTCAGTTTGTTTTGTGCTCCCTATTGTCAGCCAGTGTTACAATTTCCTTTCGCATAATTCAAGTATAATTCTACGTTGTGCTACTCATACGGAACCCGTAAGCCAACTTGAATTTGCTGTTTGAACGTGATTCGTCTGAGTAAAAGTAGTGAAGCTATAATTCACTTAATTCGATTTCAATCAAAGCCCTACGAATTTTTATCTACCTTGTATCGAATTAGCAGTACTTTTGTGAATTAAAAATATTCTTAACGATAGTCACTTGAATACAAAGACCGCATGCCGACGACTTTTGATTTCTAGTACTTTCTAATCACATCAGATGGACACTTGATGTGTCTGTGTCACAGACGTTGAGTATGATTATTGATATACGAGTGTGCTCGGTCACTTTATTTCTGGCCATCTTTTCTTGTATCCAATTTTTGGCTTTCAGCAAAGTAACTAAATTACAAAGAATATCACAGGTTCTATCAGCCCCCTCTGTTAAAGGGTATTCATATTTCGATATGTTACGAAAACTCCGCCATTGCAAACGAAATGCTTCAGTCCTATAGGAGTAAAGTGTATGAAAAATAACCCCCTTTCCCTTGTAACATATAGAATGAGGGAAGTCAGTCTTTGCCAACATACTATAAAGGGGGAACTAAAATTATTACAGAGCCTCAAGGGATCATGTAAATTTCATAGTGACACAATTATTCCTCCGAACACCCCCCCCCTCCTTTCCTTCCCCGAGGCGTTAAATCATAAGCGATGCGTTACCTCAAGAGATTATGTAATCTCTTTCTTACCAAGAAATGTTTTAAATTATTCTGTAGGTTCTTGTTGCATTTTGCCCAAGGGAGAAGTCGAACCATAACAGAACTGTTCGAGAAGCGATGTCTCACTACTTTGATGAGGAAAGTAAAGAATGGAAACCTTTAAAATCTGTGCCAATTGTAGGTGAAGTAGTTAAAAAGTGGTCTTGTGTGAAATATATCGGAAATTGTTTGTATTTAGCCTGCTCAGATGCTGATAAATCAGATATTTATCGTTATCACGTAGTGAAAAATTTTTGGGAAAAACTAACAAAGTCGAGTTTCCCTAAGATAATCCAATGTTTGTGTTGTGTTGGTGACTATGTTTATGTATTTAGTGAATCTAGTCCACCCGAGATTTACAGTTTGGCTGACAAAACCTGGCAGCCGGGTAGGGACAATTTGCATTTATTTGAACAAAAAGAGTTAAAATCTGTAGCAGCAGCAGTAATGAACTCTAAGTTATATGTTATGCATGGGCTCCTTATATTTCACCAATTCAGATATGTACCAAAACCTGCCTTAGTGCATTGTTTTGACCCAACAAAAAATAAATGGGAAAAAGTCGCCTCAACCTGTTATCCTCACTTTGGATCCAGTCTTATTGTTGTCAATAACAGACTGTATGTGGCAGGGGGGAAAAAGGTGTGCAATCTATTCGGTGAGCTGAACGATGAAAATGCACCGGTAGAAGTTTTTAATGAGAAAAGGGGACCTTTATCTTGGTTTGGGAGAGGGAAAGTAAAAGAACTACTGAACAGCTGGTCTGTTGTAGAACAGAAGCATATACCCGCCAACAATCTCGGTGCAGTGGAAATAGAAGGGAGGATATATTTTATCATCAACAAATTTCCAGTCGACAGTGGGATAAGAATTCAGCCAGAAGACACGCACCAGGTTAATCTTGATGAATGGAAAAACTTAACGACTTTAAGTAACCAGGTAGTCCTGTATTATTTGCCTGTAAAAAATGAAGACTTAAAGTGAAAGAAGCTCGGAGCTAGATTAATGGTCAAAATGAAGTTATTACTTAGTCAAAATTTAAGTTTCTGAATAGTTTGCTTTAAAAATAAATAATATTTATCATAACATAAAATGTCGAAAAAACGTTTTTGTTTACGCCTTTCTTATACCAAGGCAGTTACCCCGCAACAACATGTAATGCGTGGTTTAGATTGAGAGGGATTGGGAAGACCCACTTTGGTTTTTGGATTTTTAAATTCAGGAACGTTAAGAAAGTTAGGATTCAGTGACCCGCACGTTCACAAAGACTCGCGCTTTTTTACCTCTTTACCAATGATAGAGTTTTCTATATGCATAAAGAAAACTGAAAAGTGTTTTTTTGTTGTCTTTCGTATTTCATAGTCCTTGATTTGGAGCTATGACATATATAACTGTACTGATCTTAATAAATCTGAGGCGCTATAATTTAATATGCTAGTTATACTGACTCAAATTGTTATTTTCATATTGAATGTACATTTTATAATGCTCAATAAATTTTGTTAGTTTATCGTCTAGTTTTTTGTCTTTGACTCGCAAAACATAACAAGAAGTAGGCAGATTAGAGCACTCGTTTCCTTGCGTTCAAATATTTTCCATTCTTAGGCACTGTTCTATTACACGTAATTACGGGTTATTTGCGTACACTGAAGCATTGCCAATGTCAGACATGTTATGGCTTGTGGGATTTTACTGAATCACTCAATAAACTACTGCAACCATTCGGTTGAGACCGCGTTCAAATGCAAGAGCAAATGAATATTTCAATATTTCAATATTTCAAATGAATACAGATTTCAGTAAGTTCTTTGAATCGATGCTCGCTTGATGCATATGCTTCTTACTTTTTGAAAGATCGAGATCGAGAGATACCAGTTGAACATTACTTTGAAAATCAAACTTAAACACTGACAGGCATAATTTAGCTTATTCTTGTTTTGAACTAAGAGTTACAATCAGTGTTAAGCTCCGCGTTAATCATGACAAGATTCAAGTTAGGCATAAGCTTGACTTTTTGCGGAACTTTCGCTGAAGGTCTATCGTTGTAACCCATGTCGTTATTATACAATCATAAGAAACTGCAGTGAACTTTATGCCCGACGGAAAAAATTTAAGTGTGTGACAAATGCAAATTTGTTTGTCTATCTTTAAATGTGAAGTGTCTATAAATTCCTTAAAGGAGCAATCAATCAAAATTCAGCGTCCTAAGTACCCAGAAGTTTTGAGACGCGGACGGCGAATAAATTCTGGTGAGTCTTGACAATCAATTGGAAGTCTTGTGCAGCAAGCAATAGCATCCAGCTTAACGGTACAGACAAAAGATCTGTTGTAACCGCTAGGGAAAAGAACTCTTAACTTCCGGCTGCCTCCCGTGTTACTGAAATGTATTTTCTTAGACGCACTAAGTTAAATGCTTTACGGAGTGTATTGCGGTGAAAAAAATTGCAATAATTGAACGACATCAGGCGCAGCTATTACCTTATTTTTCCAAAGTATTGTAAAATTAAGCTGAAATGATCTCAAATTCCTTACCTCTTTATATCCATCTTTATCACCCTCCCCTGGGCGATGTGTAAATGCTGCCTAACTCAAGTTTCCTAATTTGATCTCTGGTCACGCGATCAAGCGAATGACGGGAGTCGTGCGAATTCAACTGTCTCTCGTCCTAAAATGGCTGCATCCTCTGAGATTTTACTTTTAAAATGCGCTAAGTTTAGGGATGAGGGTCAATTCATCGACGTTCGATTAAAAGTCAGCGACGACGTTTTTACAGCTCATCGAATCGTGCTGGCTGCGATTAGCGATTATTTCTACGCCATGTTTACGAACGGAATGAAGGAGTCCAACCAAGAAATGATCGAATTGAAGGACGAAAGCATCACGTCAAATGCTCTAAAGATCATCTTAGACTCCGTCTACACTGAAGATCTCCATGTCACCGAGGAAAACGTGTTCGATGTACTCGCTGCAGCATTTCACCTTCAAGTGACGAGTGTTGTACAACAATGTAGCGATTTCCTGATGAAGGAATTTGTTCAGCTCCGACTGGACTTGCAGAATTACCGTCTGCTCTGCACGGTTGCCGACAGACACGGTATGAAAGATCTGCGAGAGGCGGCGGAGAGCAAGATGGCATTAAAGTTTAAGGATATCTGTGAAAGCGAAGAATTTTTGTCCATCGTAGAACCCGACCAGTTAGTCAACCTTCTCAGCCGAGATGACCTCAGCGCACCGTCTGAGACATTCGTCTTCAAATCAGTGATGCAGTGGATTAAACACAAGAAGGAGGAGAGGATGGCAGTTGCAGCCAAAGTTATTGGAGCTGTTCGTCTGGGTCTGGTGGACATCAGAGTTGTGATTGAAGAACTGGATACAGAAGAGATGCAGAGAAATCCTGAGATCCACAGGCAGCTACATGAGACGTCCTTGTATAACAACATGCCTTCTCGCAATTCGAAGTTTGCAGAGGAAAGAACTAAACCGAGATCAGCAAGCCAGGTAAGTAGAAGCACCGGTTAATATTTGTGATCCATCACAAATATTAGCATTTTTATGCTAGAATAGAACATTATTATAATCAATTAACTAAGTGGACGAATTTGCTGAGTTCTGTCGATAGAACCTCTTTCCTTTCACGTTCAAAAAAACGGTTGTTTACAAATTTACTTTATTTTCTTATTTCAGGCTCTGATTGCAGTTCTGCCTCGAACTCAAATGAAATATTTTGATTTCGAAAACAAAACATGGAAAACTTCACCAGCATCAATACCGTCAATTAAATCAACTCGTTGCCATTCTGCAGTCTCTGTTGGGAACACCCTATTTGTTACTGGAGAAACACCAGATGGTAACAATTCCCTTTTTCGCTACGACACTGAGAGTAATGCATGGGATATGAAGCAACATTCGTGCGGTGGATCAATTGACAATTTATGTATCATGGATGACTATGTATATGTCATTAGCTCTGATTCATGTCAGGTTCCTCAAAGATACAACATGGCTAAAAGGTTATGGCAGAGTATTTCTAATGTAGATAATCCAAGCTGGAACCTTTTCGCCTGCAATAATGGGGTTATAGCTTACGCAAAAGTGTTTGTTCTTTATAGTAACAGGCCCGATCGACCAGCAGTGCTTCAATGTTTCGACCCAACTAAAAATGAATGGTGTGAAAAGGCCAAAACCTGCCATCCTCATTTTGGATCCACTCTTTTTTTAGTGAATGACAAACTTTTTATAGCTGGGGGTCGTATGGGATTAAATAACAATTTTCCATATGGCAGCCACGCGCCTGTGGAAGTGTATAACGAAAACACCAACACTTGGTCTGTTGTTGGGCAAAAACGTATTCCTGTTAACAATCTAAATGCAGTGGAAATAGAAGGGAGGGTATATTTTATCATCAACAAATTTCCAGTTGACAGTGGGATTAGAATTCCACCAGGGGAGTTGTATCCTGTTCCGCTGGGCGAGTGGGAAGATTTAGGAAAAATTGAGCAATCTGCAGTTCTTTGCTATTTGCCTCTGAAGAGAGAATGTATAAAAACTGAATGACCTCATATGCCTTTCTTATGTCAAAGGAGCCAAAAGATAAGGAGCTGTGAAAGGGTAAATAAACAGCTGCTGTAACCTTCTAAGCATGCCCAGAAAACTAGTCGGTTGGTATTGCTTGTACTTTAGCGATCTAACTTGAAAACAGTGTCTATCATATTTAGAAGTGAAAGTGAATCTTAAAACGTTCAGCACAGTCCATGTAAATTGTAAGAAGTAATAACCCTACAAAAACTATGAAGGTGTAAAATAAACGCCGAATTCTTAAATTGTAGAAGTCGCAGAACGTTTTAGGAAGTTCGTATATACTAAATTGAAGGAAGTTATAATCTATGAGTTTCGTTCTTAGTTTCCTGGGAGTGTCAGCTGCAAATGTGTGTGTATCGGTTGATTTCAATTCGATGTAGGGTAGAGTAGGTGATAATTATGGACTTATATAAAACCTTGAATATCGTATCCAACCCTTCAGAACCCTTTGTAGGTCTTTTTACCTTACATTAAATCTTGATTTTTTTTCTTTCGAATAGACTTCTTTAAAGGATATAATAAAAATTGCACAAAATTTGATTTTAATTTGTTCTCGAACCTACGAAGACGCGGAGTTTTTCTTTGATAGAGTTCTCTAAATTATTTCTACGTCTGTGCAATTAGACTTACACCATAGATGCGTCTCAGTGTCAGCCTCACATTTCTAAACGTATTGTGATATATTCAAAGTCGTTGCCTGTATCGTGAATATGCGCCGTAAATGAAAAGTGATCGTAGCTTGGTAAACAACAGCGATGAATGCTTGAGTGATCAGGAAGAGGATTTGAGTTGCATGCGTGATCGATCACACAGGGAGCCTAAGCTGATTCAGTTCCTTATAATACGACAGGAACCCAAAGAATCTTGAGGTATTAAAAAGTTACTATAAGGGATAAGAGAGGATTCTGGTTCTCTCTTGCCGTGGTCGGCTGTCTGATGTCTGATCAGAAGCGTAGAATTTTTAAGTGTCAGATAATTGTCCTTCAAGACTTGCTAGAAACGCGTAAAATAATTTCAATTTCTCTACTAAACCATGATAACTGATATCAATCGGATTTTTCCTTTCATTTAGTCCTCCAAAGGATTTCTATTTTGATGGTTCATCGCCTCTTAGTCTCCAATGTCCTTGTGAACAGAATAGCTTGCTGAGGTTGTCCATTTTCGTTAATTAACCCTTTCACTCCCAATATCTTATTAGTAACTATCTTTACTGTCTCCCTAAGAATTCTTACCACATTAGAATTTGGTATTGGATCAACTGCTAATCCTTCAATTGATATTTCTCTTTATTCTCATCACTTGTCTGCTTGATATTGTATCAACATTTTTAAGAGAAATTCTGTCTTGGTCACTCATGAGGTAATCAACCAAAAAGGCTTGTGTGGCACATGGAACTGATTACGCAGACTAAGTTAATTAGTCTGAGCTTAATCGGTTTTCAAAAATACGAAAAGGAACTCAAGAATTTTAACTGATATTTTCCATATGAAGTAAGAGAAGATCAGTTTTCGGCATTAATAGAGACGTTTACACAAGGTCGAAACGTGGGCCTAGCTAATAACCTGCTCATCTTGCCGAAGAAATTTTTAAGACCTTCAACAGCCCATAGATCGCCCAAGGAGCCTTAAGTATATATATATGGTAATTTCCTTAGACACGAATGATTTGTTGATAAACAGTTTTCATCCATTTTCGAAACGTCATTGCCTACTCTGTTGTTTCTGCATGAAGATTACTTCATGAGCAACTTCATGAGCAAATTTTCAACAAGATTTTCTTTTCGAAAATATCTTTAAATCTGTTTATGAAACTTCATTATCTGCATTCCGGAATGATTTTGCATTGCATGCCTGAATGCCTCGTTCTCTGCCACTAGATTGGAAGGAGGATGTGGTGACCAAGGTAACGAGATGACGTTGGCGTGTAGCGGTCACGCGATCGCCTAAACACCGTATTGCCGCAAGGCACTGTCTGATCTGTTGTTGATATTGAAGTACAGTAAGATCATTTCCTTCAGCAATATGGTTGCCCATGCCGATATTCTTCTGTCGAAATGTGCTCAGTTTCGAAACGAAAGTCAATTCATCGACGTTCGATTAAAAGTCGGTGATGACATCTTTCCAGCTCATCGCATCGTGCTGGCCGCGAGTAGCAATTATTTTTACGCCATGTTTGCAGATGGAATGAAGGAGTCAAGCCAGGAAGTAATCGAGCTGAAAGACGAAAGCATTTCATCTGATGTTTTAAAGATCTTACTGGACTCCATTTACACAGGAGATCTTCTTGTCGATAAGGAATCTGTGTCCAAATTTCTTGCGCTGCAGATCATCTTCAAGTCGCGAGTATTGTTCATCAATGTTGTAATTTCTTGCTGATGGAGTTTGTGAAAATTGGCTTCGACTTTGAAACTTACTGTCGCATCTGGGAAACCGCATTGAGCCATGAGCTGAAAGATCTGCAAGACGCTGCAGAGTGTGCTGTAGCCAAGATGTATACAGATGTTTGAGAGAACGAGGAATTTTTGACGCACATCGGTGGAAATCAGTTAGTCAGCCTTCTCAGCCGAGATGACCTCATTGCACCTTCTGAGACGTTTGTCTTCAAATCCGTGATGCAATGGATTAACTTCAAGAAGGAATAGAGGATGGCAATTGCAGCCAAGGTTATTGGAGCTGTTCCTCTGGGGCTGGTTGATATCGAAGTTGTGATTGACGACCTTAACACAGAGGAGATGCAACAAATTCCTGAAATTTACAAGCAGGTCCACGAAGCAGCAATCTATAAACACAGGCCAACCTATTAACCTAAGACTTCAGTGGAACAAACGAAGCCACGATCAAAGAACCCAGTAAGAACATTTTATTTTGAAATTTCGTCAAGTTTGTGGCTTTCAAATCCGAGTTTACTTATCCTCTCCATCCTCGAACATCTTTGTTTCAGTTCGTTTGTCAGACTGTTTGTTCGCGTGTATTTTTCTACGCCATTTGGTTGTGTTCTCTACTTTTCTGATACTAATTTTGTGGTTTCCTTCATTTTGAAAGTAGCAGTTTGTAGTTTCCACTGTAAGAGAGAGGGGAGCTAAAAAGTTAATGGAATTATTGGATTGTCAGTGTTAATTTTATAGCATAACATTGTAATTCTCTTACAGGTTCTTGTGGCTGTTTTGCCCGGGGAAAGAATGCTGTACTTCGACGTAGAGACAAAGACTTGGAAGAATTTACCGGTTGCCTCCCCGCCAATTGAGGCAACTCGTTGTTTCTGCGCAGTGTCTGTTTGCGATAAGTTGATGGTTACCGCACAGGACTCCTTAGGTTACTGCATTTACCGTTATGATACAGAGGCAAATGTGTGGGAGAGGCTCCCGCATTCAGGTAATGATATCAGTAAACTGTGTGTTACAGATGAATATATGTATTTAGTAAATGTAAACCATCATTGTCGAGCTTGTCAAAGGTACAGTTTCGCTAAACGGCAGTGGCAAGCATTTCCAAGCACAGTACGAAAAAAAAGTAGGGGACAACCACTAAGAAACATAAGTGGTGCAGTGGTTTTAAATTCAAAAGTATATGTTTTGGAGAGAAATCAGCATGATTACATTGATTTCTCAAAGCCAGCCGTGTTACACTGTTTTGATCCTCATAAGAATATATGGGAAGTAAAAGCAACAACATCCTCCCATCAGCTCGAATCCATCTTGACAGTGGTGAAAAGCAAACTTTACGTTGCTGGGGGCGAAGACATTTCGACAGATCGTCTATGTGGTACTAAACCTGCATCTGCAGAAATGTATAACGAAGAAACCAACACTTGGTCTGTTGTTGAACAAAAATTTATTCCCGACAATAATCTCAATGCAATGGAAATAGAGGGGAGGGTGTATTTCATCATCAATAAATTTCCTATCGACAGTGGAATTAGAACTGCAGACGGGCCCCTGAATTCTGCTGTTCTGAACGAGTGGGAGAATTTGAGAAAAATAGATAACAATGCAGCCCTTGGTTATATGGTGATGAATAGGGGGAGCGGTGAGAGTCAGGCGTCGTTGACTGATTTATCTTCGTAACTCTCAAGCATTATTTCTAGTATATATTCATTCATTCATTCATGTTATAACTATGCACTTTGGAAAGGTGAATAAATTTCAATGTTGGAAATAATATTAGAGAAATATGAAGCTAAAAATCCGTGTTGTAAATCACTTTTAAAAATGGACCGTTATACATTGCATGTTTAAGAAGAGCAAATAGCTACATATCAAGAAAATACTCTCTCGCTGATAAGTTTGTCTGTTTAGCAAAGAGGTGATAATTGCGGGTGAACTATAGCCAAAAGTAAATGCAAAAAAAGAAACTTTCAAATTCAGGCTTAAACGCGATTCGAACCCGTCTATTTCAGTTACTAGTTGAGCGTAATTCAGAACAACCTAGCTACGAAGCCTTACGTTAAGAGCGAGAAAATTATAATGTTTTCGTTGTTCCGTTAAGGAATATGTTCAGGGTTAAGTAATAATAAGCTATGTTATCACGTGCGGATGATTTAAAAAGTAGCGAAATGCCGGGTAAACTGCAATTAAAGAAATTGCAGAAAATAAAGCCTGAAAAACGTAAGGTTTTGGCAGCCGTTTCGGATTCGAGCCCATGTCTCGCCCCCATTTACTTGATAACGAAATTCAGTAAAGCGTGAGATGGACTAGCAAATATTTCAATTCAGAAAGTTAAAGCGTTAAATATGATTAGGAAAGTGTGGCTCTTTCTTGGTGTAGAAGACACAGTATACGTCACAATATAATTTCATCACAACTGGGAATAAGAAAACAATGAAAATAATAATTCAAACTATTTACTGAAAACAATAATGTTACGTACACTGTGTCTTCTACACCAGGTAAGAGCCAAAAGTGTCAGGTTTTTATGCAAGCATTAATATCGAAGACGTACAAAGACCCGTGTATGTTTTAAACTGTATATTTACCTCGCCATATTATAATTTTACTTGACTTTAACCCTAAAGTTATATTGCTAGACTTGTCACGTTATGTTAGACCGGTAGTTAAGAATACTGGTGAGCTCTAAATCTGTTCCAAGCCTTCTGTAAAGCATTTGAGTTTTGAATAAACCTACCCAAGCGTTTGAGAGAAATATTATAATTAGTGTCTTTTCTCTTGTGGAAAGTCTTCAACCACGTGATAAGCAGCTCTGAGATTTTCCAAAACAAAAGAAAGTGTTCACATAGGAAAAGGTCATAAAAAAGAGTTCAAATCCCGCAAAACTGATTTGATACACCAACATGGCAGGCGTTTTATATTCTTGTTAGCCAATATTGCTAACAATATTGCTATTGTTTGCTTAGCAAACTCAAAGACGACCTGGTTTTCCTCTTATCTGACTTCCACGAATTCTTTTTGGAGCAAGCTATAATATGGTCGACTCAGAGGCGTTCACTTAACTTACGACCCTCGCACAAATTCGTGGATTTGCGCCTGGGGGGGAGAGGGACTGGAGGATTTTGGTGTTTCACAACAAAGTTTACCTAATCCCCCTTAAGTTTTTGTAATATTTTTAAGAACCCCTCCTCCCCTCTTCATAGGCAGTTGATTGGTAGTTCATTTTCTGTACTCCGTTGGCGGAGACTATAATCCCCCCCCTTCCATCCCCTTGAAAACCCTGTAATCACCCAAAAATCCTCAAACTCGCGCCTCACCCCCCACCCCTCCCTGCCCAGGAGATAAACGGTGACTGGTCCCTGAGACAAAACGGGACTATAAACATAATACGCTATTGTATGTGACGGCCGAATAGGGAAGTTAGGCAGTCACGACGGCAACTCCGAGGAAAATGTCGATTAAAAAAAAATTAGTTGATATTTTTGTTGGAAATTTTGCGAATGGCTGGAGGTGTTAACTGTCTCTAACGGCACCAGACCTAAACTTCAGCTTGATTTATGAGGCAGCTTTGAGTTCCAAAAAGAAAAATGAACGATTCGCCGACGCGGTTCCCTTTTTCAGACTACGAAAATTATGTTGACTTAACGTTCTTGCTCTACAAAAGATGGCCGAAAATGCTCAAGGTTTTGGAACGCACATGCTAAACTTTTGTTCGACTCATTAAATCTTTTTTCCCGCCTCGTTCTCGTTGCCGTCGCCGTCGCCGTCGCCGTCGCCGTCGCGGTCGCCGTCGTAGTTTGCATAGGGTCCCAAATGTTCATGTCTAGGACGGAAGTAAAACTCACGGTTCCAGCATAACTGACGAGAAGGTGCTGCCTTTCGTTACTTAAACGCGAGTGATATCCAGTGGTCATGGTAACGAGCTGACGTAGCTATCAATCTACGGTCAAGCAATCACGCGATCCCCAGGACTTCAAACACGTGAGTGGCATTGCTCCTCTGTCGCATTTTGAATAGCAGTGAAAATCTCTTTTCGATCAGCAAAATGGTTGCCCATGCCGACATTCTTCTGTCGAAGTGTGCTCAGTTTCGTAACGAAAGTCAATTCATCGACGTTCGATTAAAAGTTGGTGAAGACATCTTTCCAGCTCATCGAATCGTGCTGGCTGCGAATAGCGATTATTTTTACGCTATGTTTACAGATGGAATGAAGGAATCGAACCAGGATGTGATCGAGCTGAAAGATGAAAGTATTTCACCTGATGTTTTTAAGATCATACTGGACTCTATCTACACTGGAGATCTTCTTTTAAACGAGCAAAGCGTGTCCAAAGTTCTTGCTGCCGCAGATCATCTTCAGGTCGCGAGTGCTGTTCATCAGTGTTGTAATTTCCTGCTGACCGAGTTCGTCAAGATTCGTTTGGACTTTGAAACTTATTGTCGCATCTGGGAAATCGCGTTGAGCTATGGGCTGAAAGATCTGCAAGACGCTGCAGAGTGTAACGTGGCTAAGATGTACACAGATGTTTGTGAGAGCAAGGAATTTTTGACGCACATCGGTGGAAACCAGTTAACCAGCCTTCTCAGCCGAGATGACCTCAGTGCACCTTCTAAGACGTTCATCCTCAAATCTGTGATGCAATGGATTAACTACAAGAAGGAAGAGAGGATGGCAGTCGCAGCCAAAGTTATCGGAGCTGTTCGTCTGGGGCTGGTGGACATTACGGTTGCGCTCGACGACCTGAATACGGAGGAGATGCAGCAAGTGCCTGATATTCACAACTAAGTCTATGAAGCAGCAGTATATAAACACAAGCCATCTCATAAACCCAAGTCTTTTGGGGACCAAACGAAACCACGATCAAAAAGCCCGGTAAGTGACTTTAAATAAATTAAGCAGTATTTTCAAAGGCAAAAGTTTCCATAGCTAAGATTTTTATGTACAGTAATGTTTTGAGAGGGTGGAGCTGTGTAGCTTAATCGTTTTTAGTCTTTTTTCTCAGGTATCACATTCCGGTAATTGTATTTCAGGTTCTTGTTGCTGTTTCGCCTCGTTCTAGTATGCAGTTTTTTGATGTCGGAACTAAGACTTGGAAGCTGTTGCCAGTCTCTACACCAGCTACTCTAGCGACCCAATGTTACTCTGCGGTGTCTGCTGCCGATAAGTTAATGGTTGCCGCATATGACTCCCTTGGACACTGCCTTTATCGTTATGACCCGGAGACAAATGTGTGGGAGAGGCTTCCTCATTCATGTCGTGAAATCAAACATCTTTGTGTTACAGCAGAGCACCTGTACGCATTTCCCGCTGACTGCAAACAGCATTCTCAAAAGTACAATTTCGCTCAACGTAAGTGGGAACACTTTCGAAGAGTAGAAATAACTTTCAATGCTAAGAGTTTGTTTTTCTATAGTGGTATAGCAGTATTAAACAACAAAGTTTATGTCCTCTATATAGAGAAAAGTCAAACGATCATGAATCGAGCCGTATTACACTGTTTTGATCCACCAAAAGACCAATGGGAGAAAAAAGCAAACACTTCCCAATTCCACTTTGGATCCAGTCTTCTAGTAGTAAACGGTAAACTTTACGTTGCCGGGGGCAACGTTTCTTGCGACCACGCCCATCGTCCATATGGTAATCCTGCCCCTGTAGAAATGTATAACGAAGAAACCAACGCTTGGACTGTTGTTGAACACAAAAATGTTCCCGCCGACAGCAACCTCAGTGCAGTGGAAATAGAAGGGAGGGTGTATTTTATCATCAACCAATTTCCTTATGACAGTGGAATTAGACTCGCTCACGGGCAGCTTTATAATACAGTTCTGCGAGAGTGGGAGAATTTGGCAAAAATCGACCAAGGTGCAGTTCTTAGTTATTTGGCTATTAAGAGGTTTTAAGGAGTGAGAAGAATGAGTCGTGTCAAGAGTGCTAATGTTTTTTTTTATTTGAAGCAAAACTGGTGAATATTTGTCGGATTTCGTAACTAGGCTGAAACTGTATTGAGGTTTTTCTCAAAATATGGCTATGTGATATAAAATAATTCAACTTTTGATTTTTTTCCTTAAAAAAATTCTTACTCATATTTATATACTTAGCATGAAGAAATTTTTGAATACGTATCATTTTTGAGGTAAATATTCTAACTTCCTAATACGTGTGTATTTCAATCACGGTATGTATTTCGTTTTCGAAATCGCACGTATGGTGTTGGCAACAGGCAGGATATATGTGTCTTACACTGTCATATTAACCTTTGATACTAAGAAAGATTACTGCCACTGCTAATGCATGGGTCTGTAAAATTGATTGTTGATGGTAAATGAAATATAATTGAACGCGGGAATGTGTTTATCAAATTTCTCCTAAACGGAACTTATTGTTTTTGCTAAGGTGAAACAACTCCATCATTAATGGGCGTTGAAATTTGCCGGGCTACATTTGTTCGATTTTACCAGCAATGAAACACTGTTTTGACTTGCAAAAAATAAATAGCAGACTTAAGAAGCAACGGCTCATTATCGCCTCTTTTCATTGGGTTTTCTACTTATGCTTAAGACACTTAATTTGCAGATGTATCTTCATATTGCACAATAAGGAATGGGTACTGCACAAGCATCTTACTAAATTTTCTTCTGATCAAAAACAAATTTCAATAACTCCGGAGTATTTGTAGGATGTTTTGTACAAGGCACATGTTATAGCAGATTACAAGCATTAAAATCTGTAATATATTCATCTTAAAGCTACTCGCGACACGATCGTTTAGAGCAAGTATAAATTTCGACGCAAAGATGCCTGTATTTGAATATTTTTGTAATGTTTTGTTTGGCAAGCAAATAAGTGGCAGACAGAATTGTTCAACCGTAAGCGGGGGAGGGGTAAGGGGGAAAGTTGAGAGACAGGAAGGGGGAGAGGGGTCTTTTACCAACGTCTACTGGGGATCTTGGGGGCACGGTGTAACAAGATGTTTCATTTTTTCAAATGTCCTTTCTAACTTGTGCAAACGAATTTTTATGGGGACACAGATATGCAAATGATTTACTAACTCACTAAGATGTAGACACTGCCGTAATTAGTCGTCTCGTAGTTGCCCGAGCACGAAACCATATTGGAGTAGTAGCTGCGTATAAAACGATAATGAAGCTTTGTTACAGTTGTTACCAAGTATCGTTGCTTTAAATGTTACCTTCCAAGTGAGCAAACATTTATCGAGTTAGGCACAAACCTAATGCTGTCAATCGCTTCGATTGTTTATGATCTGATGTAACGATGATGCTGATCTGACGTTGGCTGAACCGATCAGAAGGGGACGAAAATAATCATGTGCTTTTCTGACTTAAGAAAACTTGTAGAAATCATTGTGGTGCTCTCCATGATTTTCCGCTAGCTTGGCTTTTTAGATAAGAGCAACCTTACATTGGACAATTATTACAAATTCACAACCATGTTTCATCTCTGGATTAAGTACTTATGCACGAGTTGGTCATCGATATCGTTTGATTTTTTAAATTTATGAATGGAGGAGCAGGTCATGCGCATTCCAGGGATATCAGTCCCTAGCTATGTCCTTAGTAAGAAATGAATTCTTAATAAAGTTTACTCTACTTCAATTTTATTCCATAAGTTGATACTAAGAAAGACAATAGCTACCAGTAATTTGTAAGTCTATTTCAGGCTTTCTGTACAATACATTACTATTGCTCAATAAATCTTAATGGAAAAAAAAAGTCAATTTCGTTTCCATCCTTCTAAAAGCTACCCTAGAGACTGAATACCCCAGCACTTTATGATCTCTTTTTACCGTAGTTCCGAAAATCACTTTTAGAGGTACAAAGTTTGGCCTAGATGCGTACACGTATCATTTCCAAGTAATTGTTCATTCACAAGCCTCCCCTGCACAACAATCCAGAAATGCAGTAAGAGCAAAAACTTACTTGGATAACAAAAAAGACAAAATGAAGAAACATCACCTAAAAGCATTAAATTAAGCAAGTCCAATTGAAAGAGTCCTACGGTATGTTTCATTTTTCCCTCACGGAGGGAATAGTTTGCTCGCTAAACTCTTTACACAAGTTACGCAAAAGATAACAAGCGAAGATTGGAATAGGCGTTTCCTTAGTTTCCATATCGGTACTATTACTCTAAAATAGGAAATGACTGAGTTTTCAGGGTGAGAAATCAGTCTGGAATATCTCCAGTAAAGATTCAGCAGTTTTGTCCAGAGGGTAAACGGCTTATTTTCTTTCTCAGTGACTCGATTATTTGAGGTATGAAGTCTTAAGAGCTCATGTTACAACAACATCATAGAATCCGAGCATCAGGATGGAGTTTTCCCTTCTCCATCACTCCCCTGATGGAGTAGGGAAAAGGATTAGATGGCAGCAAATTATGACAAACAAGAGAGTAGTTGAAATGGTAGAGAGATCAATAAAATGGGCTGCAAGGTGCGAAAAAGAACTTGGAACTGGTTAGGACACGTACTCAGGAGAGAGGGTGTGAACGACTGTTTTACGGCATTGGGGTAGACATCAGAAGGTCGAAGGGCGAAAGGGAGACCAAAAACCACTTGGAGAAGGACTGTTGAAGGAGAGGGAGGCAAGGCCGGGTAGAAGAGCTGGAATGTGGCCAAGGCGGCGGCACTTGATAGGGGGGATTGGGTGGACAATGTGACTACCCTATGCGCCTACTGGCGCAACAAGCGATCATCATGATGATGATAATGATTACTTTCTTGGAGAATGATACGAGCCTCTTGATGCACGTGGTGGTGCACCCATGTTCCTTATATGGGGTGCCTGAACAACTGCCCCGGGGAACCTTGAAGCCGCCGCCGGACGGAACTGAGACTGCAGTGCCATTGCATGAGCACCGAAGGGGACGGCGGGATGTGGGTGGACAGCCATAGGCTGGGCTGCCATCACTTGGGGACGAGGGTACGGCGCAGCGATGGTGTGTCGGGAGTGCGCTGAAGGAATGGGAACGGGTATTGGCATGGAGGGGGTGTGGGTAGCGTACACCTGTTGCATTGCAGTGTACTGTGCACCTTGCCACTGACCAGTGGTGGGGTGGGGATCGGCTTGGGCGGGTCCAGAGGGCTTGCCACGTCTACTCGTGTTGTTTGTCGATCGTGGAGTTCGTCCAGTCCCACCAGCTTGGTCAGCGTCCCATAGTTTGCAGAGTTCTTCGCCAATTTTAGGTTCCAGCTCCTGCAAAAGATGTGTATGTCTGTGATTCTTAGAATTTCAATTCTTGATTAAGTCTCAGCACCATTCGGCCATACGCTATCAATTTAGACTTAAATTGAATGCACAGGGTGACAGAAGCCCATCTCCCGATGAGTTTATCTTCCCAACGGCGTTTTCACAGGCTTCGATTGTTCATGATTCTAATGTTGTCCGCATGATATAAAAATGCTTTGAAAAGAATAAAGGGCACCTTTAAATTTTTTAAAATGTTATTCTGGAGATAAAGGACCATTTGGTTTTCCAACCCTGTGCGCGAGAGGAAGCTGTAATCTTGTCTTATCTCTCATCAAAGAGAGTAACCTCTACATAGGTGCACTGTAGTGACTCGCATTTACCTGTCCATCGCGACTAATCTGAACCTTCTTGTGATCATTCCAAGGGTTAACTAGGTGGTGAGCTTGTTGGAATGGAATACTGGCTCTATGGAATAATGGGAAAACAGAATTCGGTTACACCTGATAGAAGGATAAAAGTCATGATGAGGATATGATAAGATTTGACTCAAGAGACTGATATATTTTTAATTCAAATTCAGAGTGGGTCTTCTAACTCACAAAACTGTAAACCCTGATGCACTTTGTCCTGACTAAGACTTACAAGTTACAGATGTGGAGTAAAATGAAGAAAACAGCAAATACGTTATAACAAGTACATGTGCAGCACATACTTTTTTATCCATTCGACACTAAAAACACCGCTTAGTGAACTAGAACCAAACTCCGGAGACTTGTCTTTGCCAATGGGTGACGTCATCTGTGCATAGCCTGAAACAAAAGAGGAACATGAACCTGGTCAGAATGGCAAGAACTTTCTTTTTGGCTGAATAAGAATTCTTGGAGATTAGTTCTTAAATAAACCAAGAGAAGATGATACTTAGAGGCTAAACTCTTCATTTGAGACGCTTCACTGCAAATGATGACCTATCTCAAGTTACTTTTAGACTCAAGGCAGCTTGTCTCCCAAGAATGACATGACATGTTCTTCGCGAGTATCTAAAAGTTGGATCCTCTCTTGAACAAACCAATTACCTTGAAAGTGTCCACTTCCTTGCACCGAGAAGACCAGCATAACATGCTTAGATTCCTACAAACAAAATCACTTTAGTATGGACACTGCCTACGAAAAACCATCAACTAATTTGCTTCAGTTTCTTCTTGACCTTGTCCACTCAAAAGTATCCTAGAATATTTTTCCAATTAACAAATATTCAATCAATTTATTGCAGCTTAGACTTTTCTCCGTCCTCCACAGTCACTATAACAAACCTTGAAGGCTTTGTTCAGCTTTTTTTCATTGGCTAGTGTTGTTGCCCAAATGCCCTGTAAAGACAATGAAATACCTCTGTAACATCTACATAACACTGTATTTCATAAAACCACAGACATGCAATCTTTGTGTACTTATTGTATAAATAAAATTTTTTTTATAATCAAACGTCAGCAGTTACCTTGGCCATCGATATATCCAAATTTCTCTGATTGTTGCATTTCATGATAAAGTACCGAGCTGAAAAAAAAAGAAGGCTTTTGTTGTATATCATTTGTGAATAGAGTTTAGAGTGTTTTATTGAAGTCTCTGTTCTTGAATTGACTGTGAGTTTTTTCACACTTAGTCTCTGTCTACTGCGGTTTACATTCCCTGTTTTTATTTTGTTTGTTCACTTTGCGCTTTATTTTGCAGGTGGCTCAAATGAGAAACTTAAAAAAGAATCAAAAACCGGAATGTGCTGCTACACCTATTCACTCATTTCATTGTTTCATTTTAATCATTCATTATTTAAACTAATGATGCTCACCTTCACTCAATTTCTCAAGCTGTTGAGGAGACCTTGGGGACCAACCATCACCAGAAACTTTGTTCCCATTCTGTTTACATTTGAAAAAGAAAGTTAATACAGATAAGATCTTCATACCATTTCGAACACAGACAAGATTTTTAGTCATAGTTACAAACATTAGCACTAAGTAAGTTTGATCATTAAATTTCAAAACTAAAAATAACATTATCGTCGCCAAAGTTACCAGAGAGGATGACTGTATTTCACTTTTCACTTGTGAACTTGATCCTGGAGGAAAAAAAATTGCAACATGAATTCTAAAGATTTTTTTGACATTGGGGTCAGAGATCTACTTATTCTGAAGACGTCTTAATCACGTTGGACATCCCTATGAGAACAACACTTCATAAACTCTAAATTATTTCACTGACTTTAACAACAGCTCACCAGAGGATTCTCGTGTACGATCTCTGGATGGAGAGAACTGCTCACCCGAGCGAGACCTGCAGATGGAAAGAAGTTATGATTATCTATTTGTGGCCATGCACATTGAAACTTAAGCTTTTTTAGGCATCGTTATGAACACAACTCCAAAGCTCGCACCATAAAATACTTTGTTTTTTTATGAAATTTATCATGTTGCAATTTTAAGACATGAGTGTTATGATTCAACTATAAGGAAATAATTCACAGTATACCTTGGAGATCTCGAGTCGGGTCCACTTTCAAATCCTGAAAAGAAATTCACCCTCAAGTTAGATTCAAAATGTGACATTAGAAACAACACAGGGATTTAGGGCTTGCAAAATGATCAAATTGCTTATAATGAATTCAAGAAATTGAAAAATCTAGAAATAATAATAATAATAATATCATAGATATATTAAAGACATTTAAGAAAAGTAGGCCATAGAATAATTGAGTTAAATCAAACATTTCAAGCGCTTTGTTTGTGTAAATATAAACAAGTGATCAAAACGACCAATCAAAACAAGCGTCAAAAGCATGGGGAACCAATGAGAACCCAACGAAGATCAGACCGCACAACCCGTAAGAAGCGCGGGAAAACACCAATAGCTAAGTCGCAGTTGATTCCACGTTTGCTTTTTTAGGGTTGATAGACTGACACAAATTTCGCAGCTTAACACAGAGCACACTAGAAAAAAATCCACATACAATCTCGAATCACTTACGACACTCAACTGTAACGACATTTATTTCTTTATCAGATTTCTTTTTCAGAGTAAGTTCAGTCACCTGGTCGTGTTCGTCTTTGACGAGGATGCGGATTCATGGCTTGTTCTTCAGCTGTCAAAACTGCTGCTACTGCACGGACAACCATCTTTGTACCAAACAAACAAACAAACAAACAAACACAAAAACAAAATAAAAATAAAAATTAAACATTGGTGCAAACTTTAATAACCAACTTTTAGGTAAAGACGACTATTTGGCGTATGGTTAGTAAATAAAGCTTCCAAGAGCCGACAGTACTTGCAGAACGTTCCTCCATAAAATTTGAGCAAACACAAGCCTAGCTAACTGTGGTTTCGTATCATACCTCGTCCACTTGTGACCACGGTCTGGAAGGGGAACGAATTCTTCGAACAAACAAAGCTTGTAACTTGTGATGCAGATATGACACGTGGTTAACAACCTGAACGACAAAAAGTCGCGCAAAATGAGAAAATACTGAACGTTCGCAAGGTAATGCAAGCGGTATAATAAGAGGAAGTGAAGTTTATAGATGAAAATACAATTTCATTGAGATAGAGGACAGGTATTAGCAGCATTGTAAAAATGGTGTTCTCTCCAAATTCTAACCACGCAAATGACAGAGAATGTCGACAAAAACATTCCTTCTCGGTTTGCAATTGAACATAAAATCATATAAATTCTAAATGACTACATTGAAGTTTGCTAATGTTAGAGGCATTTTTGACTATGGGCAGTATGAATTCCTTCCATTTTTTGGGTTATTCTTGATGTGCCAGTACAAGATAAGCTTAAAAGAGGTAGAAGTAGAAGTAGAAGTTTTTGAGGATCACAACTACCTCTTGACTCGCAGACAGCGCGATCCACTCATCCACGTTAAACAGAGCACCATTTTTTTCTTTCTTTCCTGATGTTTCCTCTGTTTCGCTATCACTGCTTTCACTCTCTCGTCCTAGTCCATCTCCAAGGTACCTCTCACTGTCACGAGTAGCAGAGGAGTCCTGGGTAACACGCTCGGAAGACAGGCTTGGTCCAGTGAAGAGTGCTATCGTTACAGGTGACAGCAGTGTACAGCATTTAACTGTCACTGTTGTGTACAACCTGGAAAAGGATAGACAGTAAATGACACGTGTTCAGAGGCGAATTAGTAGAAGTAGAGGCTTTTGGTAAACTTGTTTCTTTTACAGAGCCTAATTGAAGAATTAAAAAATAACATTGTCGACTCGCAAATTTTTTAAAAAAATTTTTTGAAGAAGTTTTACAGCTATTCAACATGATTTGAGTCCATTTATCTGAGCTCAAGTCAGCATGCAGCAAACGTGAACCACTGCTAGGAACCACCAGTTAGGTGGCACTGAAAGCGGATTAGCTTGAGATAAAAATGAAACAAACAAACAAACAAACCTCGACATTTCCTCATAAATAAGCCAATCGGAGGGAAGTCTGTTGATGGCCTTTGTTTGAGCAGCGGACATGGAGTCTCCTTGTGTTGGAGACTGGTACAATATGGAGGAATTGTGGAACCGAACCTTACTCTCTTTCCTGCAGCATTAAGAACACAGCTTTATAAAAAAAAATGTTAGCTGAAATCGCTAAGGACCGGGCGAAGAAACACTTCTAACTAACAAAGGCTACAAAATAAAGCAAACATTAGCACAATGTAAGTCTAACAGTATTTGCTCTTACTGTGTTGTAAGTTTTTTCGCACTTCTATCCACACGAGCCACCTGTGGAAATGTTCCAGCACAGAGAGCCGCCTGTCAACAAAGGAAAGTTTAATTTTACCAGCTTTAAATAATGGTATGCAGAAAGGATAAGGGCATTACACTGGAAACCAAACTAAGAATAGTATCTGTTCATTTTAAGACTCAAAATGGTAGAGTTCTTTGGATTACAGCAGGCAGGTATGAGCAATGGCTAGTGTGTTCGAACAGTTCTTTGAGGAAGAAAACAGCAACCAAGAAGGAGAAAAAGGACATTCATGGCGGGTAGTCATGACGTTGCCCACGACAACAAACATTACAACGAAAAGCGACAGTGAAAATGATGAAAACTATGACAGTAAACCAAACAGAGTCAATGATAGCAACGAAGGATATGCGACGATTATTTCTTCACCGCAATTGCACCTATATTCAGTAGAAACATACCTTAACAACAGCCCAGTTGTTTGAATTGGAATTCAAGTCCCTGATGTCTCCTGCTCCGCGGGGGCGAATGAAACCGGCAAATTTCAATTGTCCAAGAATTTGTGCTCTAAAATGACAACAGGTAAATCAGAAACATGACGGGGATCGCACCACCCCTCCAATCATTTAACCAGTACCTTCATGTAAAAAGCACGTTAAGGTCCAAGGTTACCTTGCAATGGAATAACTTCTTGAGATTTTCAAATCTAAATTATAAACCGGCCTTTTAAAAGCTTTACCTCATACCAGCCATCATTTCTAAGGTAGCTTGAGACAAGTAGTTCCTCCGACAGAAGTTCCTGTCGTAACCTTCAGATCGTGCACGTTGCCAGCCCTAAGGAACAAAAGATCCAAACGGCATGTAACAATGGCATGGGTACATAAAGCACTAATGAGGGATCCAACACTGAAAAATTGAAAAAAGTTCGGTTTGCTCTATAGTTTCCTGGAGAATCTTGCTTAATTTGAGCCATCAGAGAGTAGTGGTGGTGAGTGTTCTTCCATCACTCTTGCTTCGAATTAGTATGTATAATTTCGAAATTCTTCGATTCAAAAATCACCTTTGATTTTAAACTGAGAAGAAGCAGATAAGCTATCGTATCTGCCAGAAATATATCCTACTGTTTCTTTTTTTCGTTATTGCAACGTACCAACCCTGCATCACAAGTAGTAACCAACTCACTCTGAACACTTGCACGAACACCAAGTGATCGCTGAAAGGATCCAAGATGAATCTTTTTCTAGCGGCAGCTGCAGCTCGCTTCTCGGCCGCGTACATTGGAAGAATAACTGAAAAAAAACACAGAGCAAGTATAAGGCTTTTAAAAAGTTCCATACACCAAGAGTTTACCTTGGTATATGCTGTATTTGAGTTCCAAAGTGAGTCGTAAATTCTATCCGAACAAGACGAACTGAAAACCCTTATCCCGTCAAAGGGGAAGGTAGTATCTGTCGGTAAGAAGTCCCACACAAGCACCGCACTGCCACAGAGGAGCATGTCAGAAAGTTTTGCTACCATATTTTTTGACAAAGACGAAAAGTATAATCGTATAAAAGTTTTTTCACCACGATGACTGAGTGATTAATTATCAATAGGCCTGGAATTTACTTAAAATCACTCGTTTGTTCCTTGACAACGGAGATAGCAAGTCGGTTTAACGATTCACCGCGATTCTCAAATTACGGGTCTGCTTTGTCGGCTCAGAGAATTTCCTCTGCTTCTTTTTTGTAATTTTCCTTTACTTACAAGGATCCCTGTAGGCCAGAGCACAGGCGATGGTCACCACTGGATCCACACACTTCAGTACAACTGAATACAGGATCATCTTCCCCAGTTGTGGACTAAGGGGTAAGTCAGCAAGATGACGACCTAGGAGAGGTGACACAGAATCACACAGTAATTATAAAAAACTGCATGGCCATTACACCGAATCGTATAGTTATTCCACAAAAACGTTACTACAAAGATCGGCATAATTGCCAGAATAAAACGTTTCTTATGCTTGATAAGTAGCTTTTCAGTTATCATACTGTAACAACGAGTCATGAAAGACTCAGTTTATGGTAAAAGAGTGTCGGATAGTTTTGGGCAGGAGAAAAGAAAACCATTATTAAATGAACATATAAAAGCAGGATTTCTAGAAAGTGAATTTTTATTTGAGTGGGAAGCAATCCGACAATGCTTTGTCTTCTCTAAGGTCTTTGAGTGGTCCAATCCCTCAACCAATCAAATGCAAACTAAAATCACAAGTGACTTGGTCACGCGCTTTGCCCGCGCTTCAGGCAGTTTGCCTGTTTTTTCTTTGAGTTCTCCTTTTACAAAGTTCTGTCAAATAAAGCAATGCATTTACCAAGGTCAGTCAGGTCTTCCCATTGGTCCAAAGCGTCTATAGTCTGGATCAAAAATAAATCAAATCAAACGATCAGCCACAGTTACTTATGCAAGAGCAGAAGCAGTGAAGAAAAAGTGGAAAGAAAAGTAACAGACGCGGACAAAAACTTTACAGTAAGTACACCATGTGCATGTACCTCTCTGAAGTGAAATTAAGATCCAATGGGTCAAACATAAGAAAAAACGTTTGGTAATCTAAAAGTATATAGTGTACACAAAATCAGTGAAGGAAATGCGACGAATAGTGTAAACAGAATTAACTAAGACGGTTTGGCAACAATACTACTGGTGTCAACACCAACCTTAAGAAGGGCCACAGCATTTCGAAGAATCAAAAGCGGAGGAGCCTCGGGAGCTTTGGACAAGAAATCACTTATTGACGTGTTTGGTGATGCTAAAAGTTTTGTGTGAAGACATAATTCCTACAAAACAAGAACAACAGTAATACAGTTGAAGCTTCACCTAACACTGCCTCTCTTCGTTAGCTATACGCATCGTAACCGAGTTGTAAAGGACTCAGGTTAAACAGGTGTCACATTTTACCCCAACCCCCTCTCCCCTCCGTAAGAGCCACCTTTCTCATAAACGGTTTCTTTTGTCTGTCTCCAAAGCGATATCTGTGAAGACGATCGACTAGATTAAGTTAAATAAAATCTTAATTTACGTGTGAGTTCTTTTATTGCAAAAAGGTCAGGTTAATAAAATTGATATTCCCTGAATCCTACCTGCAGAGGAATTCGTAATAATTCGGGGATTTGGTATTCCAAGAAGCTATCATGTCGAACTCGGCTGAATAAGTGGTAACAAACGCCAGGGGAACATCTCCCAGCCCTGAGAAGGAAAAAGAGTTAGAAGATGTAAGTTTGGTTTTATGTGGATGGGAAACGAAGAATGTAAATATGTAAATATGCTTAACTATGAACACAATAAAAATATTTCAATAACAAAAAGTTTGAAGAGAAAGATGTTTTCGTCTTATCACGAGCGAGGAACAAAGTACCTCAGTACCCATGAGGAAGTGAGTTCCTCTTTGTCCTACGCTCGTGACAAGACAAAATTATCTTTCTCTATTTCTATACCAAGCTCAAAACTTACTGTCTCTCTTATTCTATAAAAAGTTTGGAAATTTATAAAACAAACTTAAAATGTTTCAATTTGCCGGTTACTTTATAAAAACAAATAGATCACCTTCCCTTCCTCTGAATTGCGCTTGCTTTGGACACCCATACAGATTGAAGTGAAGACACTGATGTCAGTGCATCAAAGGCTTTCTAGAGATTCAAAAAGGTTGATAAATATTTCCTATCTTCTAAATTAAGACTACATCACAGTTAGCATAGATAGCTACATTTACAGTGTAAACCAAAATAATCATCCTTATGCCACAAGCCAAAGAAGTAGATGTTCAGTTGAAACCGTTCAGGACACCGAGAAGAGCATTATCAATGGCGCATGGATATGCAGCGTGCCAAAGGGAAGGTTATTTATTTTTTGAATTGCTTTGGTTGCCCCACAAGGAGAAGTAATCTGTTACCAACCTCTTTCACCTTTCCACTGTCAATCACAAATACAACATCATCAATGGTGACACTAGTCTCTGCTATATTTGTTGAAAGGATCTGTGTGAAAACAAAAGCACATGTCAAGGGTATACCATAATTGTTGAATATTTGTTCAATACCCAGAGACATCACTAATAAAATCGAAGGTATGCATATGTGTAAATGCACAATGTAGCTGAGTTATACTTTTGTTGTTACCTAGCTGAGGATAAACATGAACATTTCAACTTATGAACAACTTACAATTTTTCTGATTGATTGGTGCAGTTTTCTGAAAACCTTGAATAAACAAAAGAATATGACTTAGTCATGTGCCATAGAGACATCCTAAGCTTATCAAGGACTCTTGCAAAATTTAAACAAGAAGAGAGTACTCTTCATCACTCACCTTTCTTTGCTCTGTAGCTTGCATGGAAGAATGTAGGGTAAAAATCTGATACCTAGGAAAAAGAGGAAAAAAATACTATGGGCATGAATCTGAGGCACTGTTTGTGAATACTTGAGAGTAGGGGTCAAACAAACAACAAAATTTTATCAACAACTACCTTCTAGTATTTCCAAATTCCTTATCAGCCGTTAAATTGTCACGGAGAGTGATAATTTCATCATAACCAGGAAGGAATACCAATATAGAACCTGTGTGGGTATAATAAATAAATGTAATTTACTTCTAGTGGAGAAGAACTCACATTCAACATCTGCCAGCTATGCAACTGTAGCTAGAATGGAGAAAAAGGATTCATACATTCTCACCATTTTTTTTTTTTTAAAGTATCATTAATAAAATGGTGGGTGACTAAAATTTATGTTCTTTAACTGGCACAGACAACCTAACATTGATTTTAGAGGCATAAGAGTCCAGTCTGTGGGAGTCCAGTCTATATCTGCCTCACTTTATTGTGTCCTCAGGTGAGACAGTTTACAGTGTAACCTCACAGTGCCTGTCTCCACCCTGGAGTGTAATTGGGTACAAGGAAATTTTCAGTGAAGTGTGATGAAATGCTGGGGGTGACAGAGTAATACGCACTCCGGAGGGGGGGAGGGAATCCATAGTTCTAATCTCTTTATGCCATGACATGACAACCAGAAATAAGCTCTTACTTGGTGACTTAACTTAAAATATTTAAAGTTGAACTGACCTTCTTGCTGAGTGTTACAAATATATGTCAGTAGACTGGTGATTAAGTCAAGATCAACCTGCAAAAGGAACAGAGATTTTTACCAAAGACCTTTCTGCACAACTGAAACAATAGTCTAGTAATAACCTAGGCTATCCAAATTAGTAATGTTGGTGGAGAAGAAGGTAGAAGAATCAGCCACAGAATGGCTACTCTTGCTGATTTTAGACATGTATCAATATACAACTTTGACATCATACTTGCTGTCTTCTATAGTAGATTCCTCATTCCAATCAGAAACCTGACATTGCAACCTATCAGTGATTGCAACTGGTGAGACTAAGGTTTGATTCAGACTTAACTTTTTGGAAAAAGCATTCTTTGAATAATTACAGGTGCATTTACCAAGCCTTGCCTTACCCGATCATCATCAAATGTCTTGTGGTAAATAGCAAGCAGTTCTTTGCTTTCTTCACTTAGTTCATTAGATTCCCTTTCTAAAGCTGTTTCATCCACATATGGAACTTTGGGTGTTGACCTAAAAAGATAATCATACAAATTTCCCTTCAAGACGTTGGCAGATACTTCAGTGAAGACTGCCTTCACTCTCAAATTTACTTGGAGAAAAGTACACTGCTGTGATCAGACTTCATAATGCCTTCACACCCTAACATCAGTATGCATATTCTCCATACTGTTCTCTATATATTTCCCAAGGTGCTGACAAGGAGAATTAGTTTACCAATCAAGAGCTTCTTTAAATGGTGATCATTTCATTTATTCTCATCAGTTTAATGTCATATGATTCAGGGAGATATGGTAAGGAGAAGTTGGATTCTAATCACTTTTAGTTTTCAAAGGGTTAATATGACATGATACCTACCTTACTTTATAAATACCTTTCCTAAATCTCACCAAACCTTCTACAACCTTATCATACTCTCTAAATCCATTCTTAAGCTAATCTCTGAACAAGCTATATGATTACATGCTGAGCAATTCAACACCTGGAGTACACAAACTATTAAAATCATACTTTAAATCCTCATACTTACAAACACGATTCGAGAATTTGGACAACATCACTGTGTTCCCATTTCTTGGCCCAATCTATAGCAGTCCTAAGGGAGAGAAATTATGTCCATAAATTTGTCGCATGATTTAATTCAGCGACAAGACCTTGAAAAAATTTGATGGTAGGGTATACAAAAAAAAATTAATATTTCCTTACCATCCATTCTTGGGCTCCTTAATGTGAGGATTGGCTCCTAAACTCAGCAACTGTTCAACAACACCAGCACAACCTCGTCCTGATGCAACCATCAGGGCAGTGGCCTGCGTGTCTGAGTGTTGATGGTCAACTGTGGAAAAAGAGAGGCAAGGGTCTACAATAGTGTTCTAAAGTACAGCTTGTATGATCATAGGAGAGGTGATGTCTTAATAATCACAGTGGAATCCTGTTTAAAAATTTCACACCCTGGCCAGCTCTTTCTATTGCGTTTTTGGGTGAGAAATGTAACTCTCACAGGGCCCCTTTCCACCAAGGGGACAGGGGGATAACTCTATTGGACTAGCATCCCAGTAATCCTAGTTGCCATACGACATCAAAATTGGGGTAAGCCCTGGCTGTATGAGCCTCATCACACTGGTACAAGGCAGAGTTGGTGTTTAATAACTCTGTTCAAGGCTTACAGTTGATAGAAAGTCTGCGCATTAGATAAATATTGTGGGGATGACAAACTGGACATGATTCCGTTATATGTGACGAGGTGATCCATGTCTGGACTTTATGTCAATGTTCTCCTTGTTAGGCAGCAACCATTAATGTTTACTGCATTTAGTACCTCATATTACAGCCTAGGGTAAAAAATTTGCTCTACCAGTTTGAAAATTTCTTTTGCCTGTCCTGAATACACAGTAAATGTATAGTGCCGTGTATGTCAAAACTATGAACTAGGAAGAATGTTATATTTTGCCAACTACTTACCACTAATGTTTTCATGCATGATCAAGTAAAGAATCTGGACAAATGAGTCCTCATCACCCTATCAAGACAAAAGAGCAGGTTATCCTAATTTCTCATTGATTCTCACTTGATTTTAAGTTTAAATCTAATCTTAAAGAGAAAAAAGAGTTCAGGCTTTCACAGACATGTATAACCTATTTTACACTTACGTTTAGCCATGCCTCTGAAATGCTGTTATCCATTTCTTGCCGTAAATATTGTTCCTCGCTGTCACTCTCCTTGGAGATAAAAAAAATTATAGTTTATAGGAATTTCAAGAAGAAGATTTTTTTAAGCTTAATGTACAGTTAAACCTACCTCATCCTGCTTATCATTGTCATCATTTGCTGGGCCTTGCAAAGCATTATCACCATTATCTTCTTGAAGTTTGATTCCTTCCACAGCTTCATCCAGCTCTTTAATGTCTCTATCATCAACTTTATCCTCGATCTCCTCAATATCTACATCATCTCCCTCCTCAACATCTTCATCATCATTTGCATCATTTTCACCTTCCTCTTGTCCTTCCAGTAAGATGTCCTCATCCATGTCTCCATCACCCAGTTCTTCATCAAGCTGGAATTCAGGAAGATAGTCTTTGTCTTGAGAATCTTCATCTAGTTTTCGAACAGGATCATCTTCAAGTTCTGCGTCTGATAAGGGAAGTATGTGTTTATACATTAATTGTCAAGTAAACTAGTAACATTATTCAGTAAAAGAACCTACATAACCATCATTAAGCACAAGGAGGTAAATGTACAAAGAGTCATTAATACCTGCCAAGGTAATAACACAAACTGCTTATATTCTCAAAAGAATTACCACATACCTTCTGATGCCTGTAGTTCTACATCAAACATCCCTTCTGCTTGTACGTCAGCACTAGGAGGACCTGTCTCTTCTGTGTTGACATTATTCTCACTTCCAGTCTCATTATCTTTGTGAGAACTCTCAACTTCCTCATCATTTGCTGCATTTGAAACTTCCTGCTCAGTAGGAAGGGAAATGTTGTCATCCTTTTCTCCTGCACCATTTTTGGTTTGGTTGTGTTTCATATGTTTTACCATTTCCTTGTTACAGTATGATGTCCTGGCAAGTTAGAGTTGTAAAGTTTTTTAAGATATTTGTACAGCACACTACCAAGATGCATGTATGTGGAAATGTAATAAAAGGAAAAGTTTGTCTTAGAGAATATACTTTCCAAATAAAAAATACTCACATTTTAAGAACATCTTCCAAGAAATATGCTTGTACATCAAAGCACCTACCAGGTACTATGAAAAATAATGTGAGTTGACTACATCAGGCAATAGTACAGTTCCCCTTTGTTTATATGGCAACCCAAGAACAGTTCACTGGCCAAGCAATGAAAGATTGTTAAAGTAAACTAATGCACCAGCTCACGACACTGCACATGACTACAATAGGGAGATAATACTGTGGAGTTGTTTGGAGTGCTTGGTTGAGTGCTTGGTCAGATTGGTAGAAATGTGCCTGATACTGGTAGATTTATTACACAACTATAGAGGTATTGATTTTATTCTTCATCACAACAATAATGAACAGTTCTAAGATTAAAAAAAAATAGAAAAAAAAAAATAGAAGGATAATTGCAGGTAGTCTACCAAATAACTTACCAGCCAGGCAATCGTTTTATTTGTGTAAAGTTACTTTTGAAATATCTGTGGCTATGAATGTAACACTGGAAAAAGTATCCACACAGTAAGGGTCAAAAGTCAGGGTGTTACAGGGCAAGTAGTTTGACTTACCATGAATAACTGGACACTTTCCAAAGTAGTCAATAAACAAGTTGATATCTAAAGCAGCACTCATTAAAATTAACTTCAGTCTCCTGTTAACTGTTAAAAGGTCCCTCAAGGCTATTAGTAGGAAGTCTGAAAATCTATCTCGCTCGTGAACCTCATCCTGATGAAGGAAAAATTTTCATTATTGTTCAGCACAATTAACTATTTTTTAAATATACACGCTGTTTACTTTCAATTTACTATTTCCTTGACACATCAATAAACATGACATAAGTTCTGTCTACAGTTACTTTTAATACAGTATGTACTGCCACTGAAAAATCAATCATACTTTACATGTGTATATTTATATGCCAATACTACTGGATTATCTTGGAGTCTCCAGGAACACCATGAGTCTTTGCAATAAAAGCATTACTGGTCAGGATCATTTTCCACAAAAAACCCTAACATTTCAAATGATTTTAGAAATCATGATATCATCCTGCTTATCTTATGTTTCTCGGCTTCCTTTTGGCAAGTTTAAAACTCAACTCAGTCACAATTACTATTATTTAACCCTTTGACTCCCAAGATCTGATTGTTAATTCTCCCCTCTAGCTGTTACACATTTCCTCATAAATAAGTTACAAGAATTTGGTGTTAGATCAAGATAACAATTTCTACCTGATGAGTTTGAATATTCTCATGACCTGTTTGCTGGATAATGTTTAGATATTATAGAGAAAAGTTACATGTTGATCACTAATCTGGGAGTAAAAGGGTTAAGCCACTACCTTTTTGGATCTACATGTATGCCTTGTCATAGCAGAAGGTGGGGGAGGGGGAGGAGGGGGGCTTCTGAAATGGACTGATATTTTAAGATTTGAAATTTTTTTGTGGTTGTCAGGTATCTCTGTTCCCTACCTAGAATTAAATTAGCTTCATGTTGTTTTAATAAATCTGTTTAGATATTAAATAATTATTATACACTAAAATATTTCTTATCATACCACTATAACATGAGTGATAAATGAAAGTGAATTATCTCCTGACATCAAAGTCCGTAACAGCACACCAGTGGTACAATATGTTAACAATGTTTTTGGAGATATTCTGCAAGATAATCAAGTGTACAAAAGATGACACATGTTACCATTGGTCATTCACATTAGACAAAAAAATGAGAGTTCCTTACACATTAAATCAAGCAATAAGACTAGTTAAAATATAAAAATCATACTGAAGAGAGAAAATTTTCATGTGTAAATCTTGCAGAGTCTTTAAGATTACAATTAAGGAGCTAAACAATACAAACCAAAAAAGAACTGGAACAACCACGATTACTTAGTGCTGACCCACCACATAGAACTGATACGTTTGTTGGCTTTATATCTTTCATTGTTGATAAGAAGTATACAATCCTTCACAGTGTCTCTCTCTACTTTATGGTTAGAAGGGTATTGATAACCAATAGGGGTAACTTTCTTGTAGCATGTTACTTAAAGTGTACATCATACTTTCCAATTAGAAATGCTTTAAATTATGTGAGATCTTCAGATTACCTATTATCCAGCCTAATTTGGTAACCAACAGTCTGTCCAAGTCTTTCTCCTCTTTCAGTAGCAACTCTTTCACTCACTGACAAAGCTGATATGCGTCGAGGTTGAGTGCAAACCACTCGGCAAGGAGTTGAGTTAGCATAAGCCTCCTCCAGTACAAATTGCGGAACCTAAATGTTTTGAGGAGGAAAAATAAAATAATGAATAAGGATGATACTGAATATTTTCAATGTTTCCAAAATGATTTTATGTTCCAAAGAAAAAAAAATTTAAAGGGCAATTTTAGGAGAATAAGCATTGTTCTCCCTTCAACTTCAACTGGTTGTTAATTGTTAAATTTAAGTTCATTACCTGAGTTGTTTTTCCTGAACCTGTTTCACCAGATATAAGAACAACCTGGATGGACAATTCATAAGACACAAAATTATCAATTAACAAGTAATATGACAATGCATAAAATTTTGGAGACAGCATTGATATACAGCTGTTTCGAGATTGTTATTAAAAGCATAAAAGTGTGTGTGACAACCCCAAACATATGATGGGTAATTTTCAGGTCACAGTTCTGAATTTCAGGGAAATCTTGGAAAGCGTCATTGTAAGGACAAGGCAATGTATATTTGATAAATACATTTATTTATTTGATTTCTTAAAATTCATGGATTACAAGATACCCAAATTACTTTTTGAGATGGTCACATGAACTTTTCTCCTTTTTTTCCCATAACCTTTCTTAAAACAGCTGGATTAAAAAAAGTTGTTTATTCAGCAGTTCCTTAATTGAAAGCAAACAATTTTAGTTCAAGTGCACCAGATGTTCATAACAATTTTAGTAACTTTAAGACTTCACCTGGTTCTCAGAAATAAGCTTCATGATTTGTTCCCTCAGCTCATAAATTGGTAAAGACTTGCGAAATGAAAAGAAATCATTCTCTTTCACAACTGGTGGAACTGCAGGAGTGTTGTTGTTAAGCCTACCAACAACTCTACTTTCTCTTCCACCGCGTCCTTTTCGAAAAAAAATATGCATTATATACAAAATATCCATTTAAATAAAAATAAATAAAAAGTATATGTAACAACTCCTAATAACACTTTACACACTGATTTAAATTAAAATTGCTTAATAAATAAATGGCAAAATAAAACAGCTATAAGTAAATAGTAATTAAAAGTACTTTTAAAATTTGGCCAAACCAAAGATTAATTTAAAAAATTATATCAAAATGATGAATCATGTAGTTTTTCAAGGGTACAGGATGATTTTTCCCTTTTTTTGAAATAAGTTTGAGTATTTCATATTTTCTGTTGTTTATGAACTATGGAAACATACCTTGGTACATGTACCTTGATACAGAAGACAACACTGAGCTAAATCAAAATAATTATGGTTTGACTCTTTTACTCCCATGATCTCATTAGAAAATCTCCTTACTGTCTGTGATATAATACTTATAATGTTACTTTAGAGAATTTGGAATTGGATCGGCATATAGTCCCTTAGTTGATATTTTTCTTGTTTATTTTCATCCCTTGCCTGATTCATATTGCATTGATATTGTGAGGAGAAATTCTGTCTTGGTCATTCATGGGAGTTAAAGTGTTAAAACTCATTTTGGAGTACTATAAAGATACTACAAATGAAAGATTATAAATCCAGTGAACACATTTGAGGAAGAATTTCAGTCTACCATATATGTCAGATTGCTTAAAATGAAGGAAACCTTTTCTTTTTAGAGTGTAAAACAAAAACCTAATACTACTGAGTAAATCCTTGGCAAATAGAAACTACATACCTGTCTCAAAGGTAACTGTTGACCTTTCTGTCTTGGGCTGGAGCTCTTGCCTTTCTTTGATGTTCAAAGGAAATTTCTTCAGTAAATGTTCAATATGGTGTGAAGCATTGCTGGTGAGATTCAAAACAGTGCTACAGGTTCCAGCACTAACAGTTTTCTTAGAGACTGTTAGAAATCTATTACTTCCATTCCTGCAAAGTAATGAAAGTATAAAGGAAATGAAATGTACCAATTTCAGCCTACTGAGAAAAGGTGTTTGTCAATTATGTTAGTATTAAATGCCCAATATGCCACCATGAATACATAAGAGAGTTTGATGTATTTGAAAAATAAGACAGATCAGAAGAGAGAGTTGCACTTTAATTCAGCAAAATCCATCCAAAAAGAGGGGAGAACAAGACCACATGCATGAAAATTGATCTTTAAATACTGACCCCTCAAAGTGACTGGCACCTAATTTCTCCTTACAGTGTCATCCCGAATGTCAGTTGTTTTGCAGTATTCTAAATCGTATGGTTAAACCCAGGTTGACATGTAAATGTTTATAACTGACTTCTAGACATTTACAAACTGACTTCTAAACGTTTGCGAACTGACTTCTACATGTTTGCAAACTGACCAGCAATGTTTGCAAAACTACTGTTGGTGAAACAACCAGTTACTGTCACATCTGAATAAAACATTAGGTTCAGGAGAGTAGAGGAAATGAACTCCAAGTAAACAAGATCTTGATTGTTAAGCAAAATCTCCCTGTCACCACCTTAGGAAATGTATAATGAAGTAGTGTGGAGAATATACATGTTGATGTTAGGGTGTAAAGGTTAATATTATCATACTCATTGTCATTAATATAACTCATAACATAGAGCTGCAATGAAGGTAAACAATCCACATCTTACCCTTTGCTTTTTGATTTTAATCCTAAGTTCTGACATAATCTGTGTACGTAGGCTCTTTCCACAGATGTAAATGATGAAGGAAATTCTAGAACTATATAAAGATAACAAATCACCTCATGAAAATTCAACCTTTTCAGACACTTGTCCCTAACAAAAAGCACTGACTGTACATTCTGAATTTACAATGTGATGGGATAAAAAGGTATAGTTATTATATTAATAGTGATAATAAGATAATGTTTCTGGTTTCATATGGTTGCTTACTGCTGTGAATCAAGTACAGAATGAGACCAAACTGTTGTACTGACACAAAGACACATGACTCAATAGCGCTCGGCTTTTTATTGTATAAATTTCCGCCGAAAAGCATCAGTGCATATAGACAATCCCTCATCACTGTGTCTGATTTATCTTGGCTTGTTTTCAAATTGCCAATCAATGAAACAAGTATTTAGAAATCGAGCCACGTTTCTATGATAGATCTAAATGATAATTTTATTAGAAAAATTAGTACCTCGTCGATCTTACCGAAGGAGTACTGATGCCCCCCTCATACATAATTTAAATGTTGTTTACGCGGCGTTTCCTGTTACAAATATTAATACAGTGTCACGCATAAAAAGGAATAAAAAGTACTAGCGCTCAGAAACGTAAAAATGCTTGAAAATTGCTCAGCTGGCTTTACAATTGCCTGTGTAAGCTTCACCTCAATCAAACCTTTTCTTAGCAAATTATTCCAATCTGATAACAATGATATGAACACAATGTAATCATCAATTGAGTTCTGGGAGACACATCTTGATTCCAAGAAAATCCAAAGGATTACCTTTTTGTTTCTCTTCAAATCGAAATTTATCCAGGGCAATTTTCACTGCGATCTTAAACTCTTCTTTCACGCAAATTTCTCTCTGAGCCCTTTTTGTCTTAACCGGGCCAGTGGTGGCCATCTTTGATATCTGCAGTTACATAAGATTCAATTTACATAACGTACTTTTTCAGATTTGTACCGCTGATCTAACAGGATCAATGTAAATTTCTGCCCGTGCGATCCCTCCCTGATGAGAAATTTGACCCACGTGGAGGACATGGCGGACTGAGCAAAGAAAGATTTTCAAAGGTTTAATTTGTTTTGCGAAATCTGATCGCGAAACGCTGTAACCAATATAATGAAACGTAGAGCACAGGCTACAGATAACTCTTTTGGGGTTGATAATATATCGAAGAAGGTAAGAAAGGACCCGAATTAATGTATGTGAATGTAGTTGTTGTTGATGGTAAACAACAAAACAGCTGCATTCACCAGTTACAACATCACACTTGCACCACTCATTAGATTTACCATCACCTGTTTTGTCTATGAACGTCCATGGATAAGGTGGACCTCAGTGGTTCCGTATTTTGCCGTTGATTAGCATGACAGTTGGTGGATTTCTTTGAAAGTTTACTTAAAGTACCAGGATGTGGTGAGAAACATGGTTATCTGAGTGCCCAGCTGCTGCAAAAAGTAGAGCTGTAGCATGTTATGGTTGGATGAGTGTATCGATCTCAGATATCAGCCAATTGTTCCATCATTTATGTAGACAACGTTCTTGACAGCTCAACTAAACTTTTCTTTGAGATGCCCTTTTGGTCATTGATGCTATGATTACACATTATGTCTTAATTAGAAAGCTGTTGTTGTAAATGGAGAAGAAAACGATACAAAGACAACAAACTATAAAGACAGTCTGTACCGACCACCCACAAGCGAGGAAATCACTTCCCTCAAAGAAACTGAAAATCTTTTCAAGTCCAGTCTTTTCCGTATGCAGGTTTGTGCTTTTCATTCTAAATTTTCCCCAAGATTTGAATTAGGAAGACATCAAGTTGTAGCATTTGTCAATGTTATCATCACCCTAACCAGCACTCGTTTGAGTCATTGAATCAAATGGCCATCTGGCTTCCATCCATCCAGCAGAAGAAAAAGTGAACTAGTAGTCTACCGTGACTCACAGACTCATGAGGCTTCTTGCCACTGTTTGGTGTAGTTAAGATTTTGTTTAGAAGATTTTTATGAATCCCAGTGGTTTGTGTACTGGATTCTGCACTGAGAGGTCTGGGTTTGAAACCTGACCTGGTTATGTATTGTGTTCTTGGGCCTTTGACAGTGACTCTCTCCACCCAGGAGTATAAATTTGTAGCTGCAAATTGTTAAGGAAGCCTGAGGAAATGCTGGAGGGTAACCTTGCATCCCATCTAGGGAGATGGGGAGGGAGGTAGGTTATACTCCTAGTTGTTTCATGCCATGGAAGCTGAGATAAGCTTTGGCTGGATCTGCCACTTTGCTTGAGTGCAGACTGTATCTATTTGTGAAATGGAATGATGTACATGTGCAGTGTATTCTGTGCATAAATCAACCTATACCAGCTATTGACAGTGTATTTTAATCAACTCTTTTAAAGATAACTGAACTTCTTGCTGAAGTACAACCAAAGAAAGACAGGAATAAAGCTCTTGATGAAGTCCTGCACGAACTCAATACTCTTCTGTTGTCATTACCTGATGGAGAGATGGTACACGAGGTAAGTTGTTTTGAGAAGTGACATGTCAATACATGAGTGGTTTACTCATGAACTTCTGGTTGGTGACCAATCAGGTTAACTCCCAGGAGTGACCAAGACAGAATTTCTCCTTACAGTATCAAAATAACATTAAGCAGACATGTGATGACAAAAAAGGAAAAAAAATCAATAAAAGGATGATTGATTGATCCTGTTCAAAATGTTCTGAACTAACATTATAAAATTTATATGAGTGTGAATATATGAAAATCATATATATGTGTACCAACAAACTGACCTGCTCCCAGTTGGCTTGTCAGCGCAGTTGGATAAAAGCACTGCACTGGAATCACAGAGGTCATGAATTCAGATTCTGTACAGGCCTAAATTTTTTTCAGACCTCATTTTCTCTACTGCTAATTATAAGATGTGTTCATTACTATGTAGAATTATATGCATTAATTTAAGAATTGTATGGCAGGTATGTAGTTTGGAAGTGAAGTACATGATTGTGTAAATCACTCTTACAAGTAGCTCATCAATATATCAAGCATTTACTGCCATGTATGTGTTATTAGCTTACTAATTATCTTATAGATTGAAGATCACTCATGGCTTCCCAAAGAAACCAAATTTCCTCTTCCATCCAGCCTTTCACCTGTGAAAGGAAAGTTCTGCTTTAGAAGACCAGTTAGTGTGAAAGTTGTGGGGAGTTACCTTCTTGGTACTGTAACTAAACCAAATATGAATGTGGATGTTGCTGTTGAGATGCCAAAGGTAATGTAATTTTAAACTATTTTTTAACCTACAGAACTACTTTTTAACTCATGTTCCAATGAGTGACCACTACATGATGCACTTTTTAATAAAATAATCTTTGTGTTTCATTTTAGGAATGCTTTCAACATAAGGACTACCTAAACCTCAGATATCATCACAAGCGAGCTTTGTACCTATCCATCATGGCATCACATTTAGTAAACAGCTCTTTATTTGAGAGTGTCCAGTTCAGTCACATGAACGGAGAAGTATTGAGGCCAATCCTGGTGCTTCAACCAGAAGGTGAGATTGCTCACATGTACATGTAGATTGTAAAGAAGTGTTGTTGCAAGGTTTTCATTATGGTGTGAGATAAATATGGATGCTGTTGTGTATCATTAGCTATTGAATGGGTTTACATTGTCCTCTTAGCTATGTTGTTAAATAAAATCCTTCAAAGAAACAAGCAAATTTTTTTTCTTTTAAGTTGGTCATAAATCATAAATAATTTCAGTCTAAATTTTTCTTTGGTTTGTAAAAGTTTCTTATCAGTTCTTCCAGTTAAGATCATGGTACTCACTACTAAAAGTAAGAGATGGTATGTGAAGTGAAAAGCTAGAATTTAGGTGGTTTGAAGATCTTTAGAAACTTCACTTATGTTCTAATATACATTAAATACAGTATAAATAAATTGATTGTTCCTTTTTGTGTAGGTAAAGCTGGCAAACAGTTTGTCATCAGATTGCATCCCTCTTTATCAGAGGGCACATTCAAGCCTCAGAGATTTTCTCCAACCAGGAACAATGTTAGACAGCGCTGGTTCAAAGGAGAGGAGGGTGTGGCTGATGATACAGATGGTGAGATAGAACTTTTGGGTTACATATCTTAAGGGGTGCTGACAAGAATTTGTTTAACAATCAAGAGCTTCCTTAGTTGGTGATCATTTCCTTCATTCTCATGACCTTAATGTGTGATTCAGGGATGTTATTGTAAGGAGAAATTAGATGCTGGTCACTACTAGGGGTCAAAGGGTGAAAACAGTGAAAGCTGTGTATAGGAGTGCTGCATTTAAGATTTTTTGACTCAACTTTCTAATTGTTTTTCCTTTTCAATATTATTTAGATACAGGGTTACCAACCTTTCATTACAATGCATCAGTATTGTCTGACATGTTCCTGGAACGACATCTTCACCACTTGTACAAGTGCATCACAGATTTTCCAGGAATGAAAGATGCTGTGGCTCTTATCAAAGTTTGGTTGCATCAGCGGGAACTTGATAAGGTTTGGACATCTCCATCATCACTATTTACGACTATGATTTTCATTTCAGAGAGGTGCAACAAAGATTTAGCAATCAGGTTTGAAAATGAAAATTGTGCTGTTGACACGGGCAAATATGGCCCTGTTTCTACTGTGACAACTTGTTGTTTGATTGCTTTTAGCACGCTCTCATGTTTGATGGTAGGGTAAATACCATTATCAAGATTTGGTTACCACAGGAAGCGAGGAAGGTTCCCTGTGACAACACAGTAATTTCATGGTCCCAACCCAGTCACCAAACTTATTGTTATTTCTCCACATAGGGCCAGGGTGGCTGCACTGGATTTTTAGTGTCTATGTTCATCTCTCATTTACTACTTATAAAGAAAATTAACAAGCAGATGAGTTCATATCAGATCCTTAGAGTTTTCCTACAGTTCCTTGGTAAGTATTTAACAGCAAATCTCTCTCTAAATATGCATTGTATTTTTTTTATTCTTTATAGGACAAAAATATATATACATGTACTTTTTAAATAAATATTGGTCTCACTCTTTTCAGGATCAACTGATTGGACTAAAGAAGGGGTAACAATGACCAGGGAAAACAGTGATGATACTAATGTGGTATGATAAATATTAATAAATAAATAATAAATAAATAATAAATAATTAATAATAATTAATAAATATTAATGATATTTCTTTAGATATTACAGACTTGAATTGTCTGTTGAAGGAGCTTTTTATCTATTTGCTGTTTAATCCTTTGGGTATCATTTAAAATTGCCACAAGATGGAAGGATTGGATGAGATGGAAGATTTTCTTTTAAATTTAAAGTACAAATGAAAATGCAAACCTTATTCAAACAAATGAAGACAAGAGGAAAGAAAATCTGAAAAGAACAAGGAAAAGTTTATCTTTGTTTTTTTTTCCAGCCATCAAAAGCAGATTTTCATGCAGGGTTTGATGTGGTGTTTGTTGACCCATCTGGTTACCTAAACCTGTGTGCAGGAATGACTGGGGCTCAGTACAAAAGAGTGAGTGAATAGTAATTATTTTTGTAAGCATATTTATAAAAATTGGAATCCGTGGTTAAACTCTCAGGCTGATGCTAAGTGGAAGTTGCTTGGTTGAAGAGAACTTTTGTAAGACTGTTACTCCTCATATATCAAGAATTTTCTTCAATCCTTTAACCCCTAAAAAATGACTAGCCTCTAATTTCTCCTTACAGTTACAACCTTTTCATGAATATCACAATTCTTGAACAAAATAACACTGGAGCTCTCTAAGGATCATGTTTAAGGAAACAGGCAACAGGCAGTCTCTGTACAATAATGGTATTGCTAATTTAAATGAAGAGTGACTCATATGTGGCTGTTTTCATTCAATCCACAGTTACAGCATGAGGCCAGGTTATCTTTGGAATATTTGGACAGCAGTTTTATGGACGGCTTTGAGATTCTTTTTATGAAGTCTGTGCCATTTATACAAACATTTGATCAATTTCTACAGTAAGTATTCTTAATTGTAGATGTTTAGTTTTTTGATCCAAAATTCTGTTTGTTAGGGCTTTTTCTTTCTTAAGGGGCATACTGAATTTCAGATGTTTTGTAGTCCTCTGAATCTTAAGTAATGGAGAACAGGGGTGAATGTTTTGATGTCTCTGTTGCAGAATTCCAAACATTAGTTCTTTAGAAGTGGTTTGCAAGAAGGATGACCTTCTCAGTCACCTTATTGACCATCCTGGAGACTGGACCCCGGTCATTACTGATTGGCTACTTCATCTTGTTGACAAGGGTCTAGGAAAAAGAGTAGACATGCTGTGCTTTGAGCCACAGGCTCCCTGTCAGGTACAAACTAAATAGTGATCAATATGAAGGGAGCCAGAAAGATTTTAAGTAACCCAACTATGACATAAAGTAGGCAACACTACAGGTTACAATCATTCAGAATAGGCAGTGTATTTTTCAGAGGATTTGTGAAATGTGCTGATTGCTGGCATATTTTGGTGAATTTTATGGGAATTGGAATTTTTTTCTTCTCATTTTCTGGCTGTTTTAATGTAATGTGTGGAGGAAAAAAGAGCACAATCAGTGTTAATTTTGGCTGTGTACTATTGTTGTAGCCTCAAGCTCCAACTCACTCAAATGTATGGTTTAAAAACTCTTTTTTTCCCACCCCATTAGTTCATGGCAAGTCAGCTTCTGGTCATTTAGCTCTGGGAAAAAGCTTCATTTTGTCTTACTTTTAACCAGTCGAGGAACCAGTCGATCAGAAACGAACAAAAAACGCAGTGTAAAAGTGCTGATCATAAACTTGTCGTTATGTGTATATGCTTTACATAGAATGTTAAGTTCGTTCAGTTGAACCATTATAATTCGAATTAATATTTTATCACGACATGTCCATCAGTGGCCAGTTAGCAAGACTCCACCCGACAAAAGTCAGAAGGCTTTGACCCTGGGTTTGCTGTTGAACTCTGATCACTCTGATGTCGTGCTTGACACAGGACCCCCAGCCGACAGCGCAGAGGTTAGTGATCGTCATTGTTATCCTTTTCTTTCACAAACATCCCAAAAGCTCAACACACTAAATCTGAAAAACCATTAGGTTTGTCTTTTATAAAGTTCCTTTGAATCATTTTAAGTCATTCAGTACTGCACTATAAACCTACGCGAGTGACAAACAAGATCATGCTATTTTTTTTTTTCCCAGGCGATATCTTGGCGATCATTTTGGGGTGAGAAGTCTGAGTTGCGCCGATTTAAAGATGGATCAATCCTGGAGGCGGTGTTATGGCCGTGCAACAGTATAGCAGAAAAACGAATTATCTGTGAAAGAATTATCAAACACCTTCTTCAAAGGTGATGATCACATTTTGAACTAATCTTTTGAAAAAGTTATGATTGATGCGCGTAACGTGAAGCATAATAGCTCAGATGGAGGAGCATAGTACTGTTATTGCATTAGATACAGCTCTAATCCTCTGAAACTCCAGTACAATTTGTGCCCATTTAATTTCGGCTTTTTTTGCAACGCTTACAAGCAATAGGATATGTTGCCAGAAAAAAAGGGAGAATTAGTTCTGCTTGGGAAGTTGGAAAATAAAGAAAATTAGTGGAACTTGAGAGGTTCTCTTCACCCTCCCCTTCCCACGCTTTCCCCATTCGTATTACCCGGAAATACATGGTTTGATTGGATCTTTTTTTTTCAGACACGGAGATGTCGACACTTCGTCGTTCACCTACGTTGCAAGTCAGCTGGACTGTGTACTACAGACTCATGCTGAATCTTCCAAAGACGGAACAGGCGAGGAGGACGCACAGAGAGTGAATCAAGTTTACAACACTTTGTGTAAACAGATCCGAGCGTTGGAGCTGCCGCTCAGTGTGAGCTCGTTGCAGGGAATAAGCCCGGTGTTCAGAGGAGCAGAGGTAGTAGATCGAGGTTATTGGCAACCATTTTTGCTCATACTTCACAAAATCCGTGCGTCTGTTCGTTAGGGAGGTCTTCGTTGACAAAAATTTACGAACACTTAAAATGTATTTGATCCGAATCTTATCGTATCAGATTAACTATTCTCTCTTATAGTAGCTCGGCATTTCCTTTTATACAAGTATAGATAATTTGGCGCTTTATTAACATAACACCGTCCCACTTATAGTTTTCTCTTTCCTGATCATTTTGTTAAAAAAAATGTACATAACTTGTGAGGAAAATTACTTGCTTATCTCTGGAAGGGGAAAAGTTGAAAATAAGTATATCATTATGTTTGTTTTCTTGTCCTTAGGTTTTTCCGCCAAGAGCTTGCTTTAAAAATAGCAAAGTGAAACCGCAACCTGGCAATGAAAACTTAGCAGACAATGTATTGCTGCCGTCTGAACTAAAGAACACCACTTGGTGTCCAGCTATGGAAGGTAATTAGTGTTTTGATTATTTTTTGTGCAAGGTGCATGTATCTGTGAGATAATAACCGCATGAAAACACTCGGATGTATATGTGTTAAGGTTTCTATGCTTTGAACGCGCATATTTCACCCATGCAGCCTTCATATTTGTGTAAGAGCTAACAGTGTGATGGATACCATCTCAAAGCACAGCAAAGCTAGCGAAACGAGAAACTGGTTGGCAACTCTCCCAGCAGTTTTAAAAACGAATAGGTCTTATGCTGAACTTAGAAAATTTTGATACTATTTTAGTACATTCCTGTCTGCAATTTATGAGTTTCAAATGTATTTTTCTGTTTGTGAAAATCTCCCTGAGAAGTATTATGGTAAAACAGTATTTCTCCGTTAATATTAGCAATTATCTGATTGAACCATAGTGACTCTCTTTCTTTACAACTAAAATGAGCATAAGGAGCGGTGAGGGGAGGGGAGGGGAGGGGAATTTAAGTTACTTTTTCGTTCACTTGTTCGTTATACTCTGTGCTGTCAGGTCATTTTGGAAGATACGTGGAAGAATCTAAAGTCATTTCTCTCGTAGTTATCTTGCAGTTTGAGACAAGCGGTAAATGGCCGGACGACTTGACCGCCATTCAACACATCAAAGCGGCATTTCACATCAGACTTGCAGAGTTACTGAAGAACGAATGTTCACTTATTACTGCTGCTTCACATCAACATGTAGACGTACTGAAGGTCGGTTGCTGTAAAAGAATTTCCTGGATATGAGTTTTAACGCTTTTTTGTACCATTTGGCCTCTGAGTTAATTTCTTTGAGTATTTTATTTAAACTACAGCTACGATAACTGAAACGAGTAGCATTGTAGCGTGATTTAACCGTATTCTTGCTCTTTGTGGCTGTTATGCAGGATGGTTTTGTGTTCAGAGTCAAGATTATGCACTACCGTGAAATGGTGTTGCTTCAAAAAAGCGATATTACACAGGAGTCAAAAACGGATCACGAGAAGAAAGCTAAAGAACTGGAGCGGGAAATAACACATTTGCCGCTGTTGACAAGCACGCTTCATGGGTAGGTTATAAAAAATAATAACGATTCTTGCAATCAATCCCGGGTGTTTAAAATGGACTGAAACTAGGATTAAGTGTGCCAAAGAAAACAAGAGAACAACCTGTAACAAAATTCTTAACGGAGCATCTAAGCACTCAAAGTCCCCCTATCCTTTGCATGGACTGAGTGCAAGAGAGCTAGAGAGAAGTTGCAATCGCGGGAAGGTATGCATCCTGTTAGTGTTAAGGGCAGAAAAACAATTTAAACCGGTGACCAGCACGACAAGGCGAAAGAGACAACTTGTTTCAAGCACGGTTAAAATGCAGATGCCAAGGGCGGGAAAAGTGTTTCAATTTTTTTTTTACATTATTGTGCTTTATAGGAATAGATTCTTACAGTGTACGAGTTCCAGAGCTCGACATATGTGGGAATTGTACACAGTTATTCCTGAGAGGGACTGCTTGCAGTAGTGGTGACTGAGGGTTTCGAAAACCCTCGCCGAAGTCATCGTCAGAGTTGAGAGGACACGATCAAACACAAATTATCATTTTTACTTCCTACAGCATACAACAGCAGTTCAGTGGATATAGCGGAACTGTACGTTTGGCTAAACGCTGGTTGTCGGCTCAACTGTTGTTTGATCACGTGACTGAAGAATGCATTGAGCTGTTGGTAGCCTCTCTGTTTTTCTCCCCAGCCCCCTTCACTCCTCCCAGGTAAGCCGCAGTGGGCATAGACCCATGGAAATCTTCAAACGTGAGTAGATGTTTACAGGAGGTTTCAGAACTATTAGGAAAATATGGAACTTTCAGTTTCATGTGAAAAAAACTTTTGCAAGAGAATGTCAAAACCGTTTTGGCTAAATCGTAAAGTTAAAAATTTGACCAAATAAAATAAAGGAAACAAACAGTACTGTTAAGTATCTATCGGATCACAACTGTTGGCCTTAGAGTGTTTTGTTGTTTTTTTTCGAAAATTTCAGTGCAATAACGCATGAGATAAAGTGAGAGAATTCAAAATTTTCTTTTTCCTCAGATCTCCTCTCGTCGGATTTCTTCGATTTCTTCATCTGCTATCCTCGACCGATTGGCAAACAACGCCCATAATTCTTAATTTCAATAACGACTTTTCTGGTGAGTCTTAAGAGCTGAGTTTTGAGTTTCGCAATACCAAAACCAAAGAAATCACAACAGTCGCTCAGAACAAAGGAAATGTCACAAGGAGGCAATGAGTGCGTAAAGTAAAAACAAACAAACTGCCAGAAGAGCGGGGAAATGGAAGTGATCACGCGACCATTTCATTTGGTTCTGCATCTGATTGGTTTACAATTTGGCGCGATTTTTCTCGACCAATCTTCAGTTATGGATAGTTAAAGAACTGCAATAGAAACATGTGTCACAGCGCTGGGTCTTTATAGTTTGGATCAATGGAGTACAGTTAAAGCTGCTCCTGTAGAAAAATTATAAAATGGGATTCTCTACTTACAGTTAAATTTTTCACTTGAAGTCACGATTACTCTTTTTCTTATCAAAGTGTAGCACCTTTCTTGCTTAATGACCGTTGATTTGTAATACTTACAATATGGAGGATAGATAAGATCAGGCCATCTTCGCCATTTGTCCCTCTTTGTTCGTCTTTGCGAGCTCGTCTTGGCCATTACGTTTCACCTCGAAATCAGAAGCCCTTAGATTTTATTCCTTGCGATTTTTAGATACTTTGTCTCTTATTTCGTAGCTGAAGAATATCAGGAAATAACTTCCAAGTTTTCAAACAACAGAGCACAGCTTCCGGCGGTATTTATTTCTACTCCTAAGGATAAATTTACCTCTTTGTGGACAAAGGACAAACCCTCCAAACAGGTTCTGTTTTCATGCATTTACATGTAGCTTTTTACTACTTTAGGTGAATGATACATTGCGCTTTTAATTAATCTTTTAATTCCCACACCACAGATTGTAAATAGACTTTCCTTGCTGGCGAGGGAGTCGCAGTCGATCTTGGAACATCAAATTAAAACGTGCCCCCTTCAAACAACAGATTTCAAGGTACAATAGATTCACACTTATTGTATAATTCCGACGAAAAAACTCATCGTGTATTGTGGAGGTGCTCTGAGTACACGAAAGATTGAGCTAAATGGATTAGCAGAGATACGGCATGTGCACAATAGATTGTTGATCCACCTGACCCTTTGTTTGTTTGTTTGTTTGTTTGTATGTTAAATTTGTTTTACATAAGCATGTGGATCGGTTGAAAACCAATTATGTGAATTTTTTTCTTTCGTTCGTTTCTCTCCTCAGCTAATCTTCCGTCCACCATTGGATCATTATGACGTCATTATTCATCTTCACAATCGTCTCCTCTCTCGAAGAAGCCAGGCCCTTGATCGTGTGAAGCATTCAACAGAGGAACCTTCATCATCAAGTCCGTCTGTTTTACTTCCGGTCGTCAATTTTGACCCCTCGTGGTTGTATCTCGAAGAACTCAAGGTAAAAACAGATTTTTTTCTTGTAACATCAAGAGGACGTTGACTGTAGATAAGCCGAATATATCCAGATCACAGTTTAAGATGTTCATGAAATTCGTTTTTTCCAGGAAGCGTTTTCAGATGTTGCGATGTTCTTTCACGATGTTTATGGTGGGAACATTGTTGGGGTTGTATGGAAGCCTCACAGCTTTGAACCAGCTCCGTTTAAGGTGCAGTCCCCTTTTATTTTGTAGGACGTTGTCCCTTCATTAATGCTGTTTTCTTTGTTAGTTATTTTATAGTCTAATCGGACTGTTATTTGGTCTCAACAGATTCTACACGCGCAGCACAAGATGCCATTAACCACTCCTCAAAAGGGTGCAAAGGTAAGTAGCGCAATGCGAAAGACAGCTTAACCCTTAAACTTCTAGAAGTGATTAACTAATAACTTCTCCCATACATCATCCTGCAAACAGGTATTGAGAAAACTCCAACTTATCAGGTAGAGGTTGTTATCTTGATCTAACACTAAATTCTCATAACTGATTTACGAGGATATGTGTAGCAGCTAGAGGGGAGAATTAACGATCAGATCATTGGAGTTAAAAGGGTTAAAACATGTAGGTGTGTTTGCCCTGAACACCGATGAAAAAGGGTTCATGATAGATTTAGCCATTTGTAAATTCCACTTTTCAGTGGAAGGGACAAAATATGTTGTCATGGGTGTTTTTAGCAAAGTGCGCGGCAAGATCCAATGTACTGCTCAGGTTAACTAGAACTTTCAAGTTTTAAATTTGATTTTGGTACTGCTTCACTCCTATGAGTTGAATCTTAAGCCGCAGAGCGTCGAGGGCACGATAAATTCCCCGTGGGGGGGGGGGGAGAGTGGCGGAAGTACATTTGCATCGTGCTTGAAAGGGTAGCAAATCAGATACAGGAAGAGCTTAATCTTTCCTGCTCGTAGAGCCAGCCTCACAATAAAAATTTCTTTTTTTTTCAGTCGAGTGGGAGCTGGGTCATACCTAATATTGCAGCCATCTTGTCTGACTTTCAAACAATCGGAGACGGACTAGTGAAAAAGATCGAGGTTATGAATGGTTGAAGAAAGAAAAAACAACCCAACATATCCTCCTGAAAAATAAGACGACTTCTCCCAAAAAAAAAACCTGATACTGAAAACACTGTGAACTTGAAAATCTTATCGATTATCGTGAATGAAAGAAAATGGTGCAATATACCAGCTTAGCCAAAAATGTAAAGTACCTTAAATCTTAGAGGGCCCTGTTGAAATTGTTCTTCTTAAATGGCAACTGATGTCCCTTGCACGGATTCAACTTGTACAGTCTTAAAACAAAATTTTTTAAAAATAAAAGTAAAGATGCATTTGCTTCATCGAATCATAGGAATGCTTGGCCCCTTCTGTTCTTTAAAGTAAATATCACAAAATCTTATTTACAGACTTAACTTTAGAGCCAGCCAATCGCTGAGAATTCTTCGAGACTAACTTGTATATTTACTAAAGGGAATATTAGCCTTCGACTTCGCCGCTCAGTCAGATTTATCTTTCATAGTATGAGAACAGTTCAAATCTCGCGCCCGCTTCGTAAGTCAGACTAATTCTTTTTGTGCAATAATGGTGATAAGACTGAATGGAGTCAAATTCGGTCTGTAATCATACGAGTGATAACAAAATCGACGACCGCGTAGTGGAAGTCCGATTTGTTTATCACGAGAATGAAAACCGGCAAACTGTCTGATAAAAAAAAATTGCGATTTGGCAAAATTTTAAAAATTTTAATTTTTGAAAGTCCCGCGAAAATAAGAAACCATTAGGTATGAGCAGTCATTTGTGCGACGAGAACACTGGAGAGCGGACTGCGCGAAAATTTGGAGGTGGCCACTTTCCGACCATCATTGATTGGTTTTTTTTTTCGCTCGACGGATTATTGAATTACGAATCCACAGCTCTCAGGTTATTTATCTACCAAAGAAAGGAAGCATTCAAATGACGCGCGTGCTAAAATCCTTAGTGTGAGTAAGAAGGTAAATAATCTCCTCCCACACTTTGCTTTATTTCTTTCGCTCGCCTATTGTCCAATCATTCTTCGAGATTCTAGAAGAGATTTTAAGTGTTGCTCGTGCACTGCGCGCGCCCTACCTCCATAAACTTCTGAAAAAAAAAATATGAACATTGTATCTTAATAATGTAGTTTGATCGTCCGGGTGAGTGTAGTCCTGAGAAGGACTTTTGTCGGTAGTGGTGACTGACGTTTCGACAACCTGAGCGGAAGTCATCTTTAGAGTCAAGCTTGTCAAGCTTGAGTCAAGCTCCGGACGATTAAACCATACTATTACATGGTACTCCCTGGTTCAAACCATTTACTGTATGGTGTCTTAAATTATTAGAATTCGGTTTAAAATAAATGAAAGCAAAGTCTGGAGAGAGTTTTGTTCAAAAAGAAGACCTGTTAATCTGACATGGTTTAATGTTGCTCTGGTTTTAAGATTTAATGAATGTTACCGAGAAGTTACAATTCATAGACCCAACGTTTCGACACTCCTGCCTAGTGCCTTCATAAGGGGTGATCTAAACGCTGCAACAAGAGGTCCTTTTATACGCTCACTAACTAGTGACCGTATAAAAGGACCTCGAAAAAGTTTTCTCAATCGTCAAAAATATTTCTGGACAATCGAAAATATATCTCGAAAGACAGAATTATTTCTCGGCCAACAAAATTATTCTCGACCACTTTTGTTCAGTATGGCTTTCCATATTTTGTTGCCTATTCATGTCTCAAAGCAACTAGGCGGCTTATCCTTTTATTTAAGATAGATAAGTTAATGATTAGATTTGTATAATTTAATTTTTGTTATGCACGCAATTCAGTTTTCGAACAGCTATGTATTTATGAATTAATAAACTTCAAACCTCAACATATCTCAAATTCCCAACCTCTTTAAATCTCCCACCCTCTCCTTAGCGATATGCAAATGCTGCTTAACTCAAGTTCTAGTTCCCTATTTGATCTCTGGTCACGCGATCAAGCGAGTGACGGAGTCGTGCGAATTCAACTGATTGTCTCTCTTGTTAAAATGGCTGCATCCTTTGAGATTTTCCTTTCAAAATGCGCTAAGTTTAGGGGTGAGGGTCAATTCATCTACGTTCAGGTTCCTTAAAGGTACAACATTGCCAAAAGGCAGTAGCAAAACATTTCAAAACTGAGCAAAAATGCTTAGTTCATTCAAAGGTATCAATATTTGTCCTCTGTGGCGATACGTGCTATATAGAAGGATATCAACCAGCAGTATTACATTGCTTCGACCCGGCTAAGAATGAGTGGGAAGAAAGAGCAAGTACTTGCCAACCTCATTTGGATCCAATCTTTTCGAAGTAAATGGTAAACTCTTCGTTGCTGGGGGCAAATGTACTTGTCAAAATCACAATTATCCCGCACCAGTAGAAGTGTAAAGGAAACTAACACCTGGTCTGTTGTTAAACAAGAACATATTCCCGACAATAATCTCGGTGCAGTGGAAATAGAAGGGAGGGTGTACTCCATCATCAATAAATTTCCAATCGACAGTGGGATTAGAATTTCACCAAGGAAGCGGTATCCTGTTCCATTGGATGAGTGAGAGAACTTAGGAAAAATTGAACAGAGTGCAGTTCTTTGCTATTTGCATTTAAAGAGAGAATACACGAAAACTGAATGAGTTCATTTACCGTTCTGAGTTAGAAGGAGAAAAGACTTGGCGAACAGATTAAAAGCTAAATCATAAACAGTTGTTGTATTACAGTCAACTTAAATAAAAAATGAGTAGGTTGGTGTTACTCCTAGTCTGTTGAGCCAACTTCAAAACCTTTAAACTTTGAGCACAAAAATTTCTCGATCGACAAAAAAATTCTTGATCGACAAAAAATTCTCAACGGACAAAAAATTCTCGATCGACAAAATTAATTCCCAATCTACCAAAAAATTCTCAACCATAAAAAAAAATTGTTTGACCGATGAAAAAGTTTTCTCGATCCTTTCAAATATTTCTGGACTCCCATAATATTTCTCGTCAGAGAGAATTATTTCTCGACCGAGGAAAAAGTTTTCTCAATTGTCAAAAATATTTCTGAACCATCCAAAATATATCTCTAAAGACAGAATAATTTCTTCAGCGATAATTCCGCAAAAAGTCAAGCTTATGCCTAACTTGAATCTTGTATTAACGCGGAGAGTAAAATTGATTGTAATTCTTTGTTCAAAACAAGAATAAATAGCTAAATTAGGCCTCTCAGTAGTTGTGATTTTTTTAAGTAATGTCCAACTGGTATCTCTCGATCTCGATCTTTCAAAAAGTAAGAAGCACATGCATCGAGCAAGCATCGATTCAAAGAACTTACTGAAATCTGTATTCATTTCAACGCGATCTTAACCGAATGGTTGCAGTAGTTGATTGAGTGGTTCAGTAAAATCTCATGAGCCATAACATGCCTAACATTGGCAACGCTTCAGTGTACTTAAATAACCCGTAATTACGTGTAATAGAACAGTGCCTAAGAATGGAAAATATTTGACGAGTGCACTGATCTGCCTACTTCTAGTTATGTTTTGTGAGTCAAAGACAAAACAGTAGAGGGTAAATTAACAAATTTATTGAGTATTATAAAATGTACATTCAGATGTAAAAATAACAAGTTCAGTCAATATAACTAACAAATTCGGTTATGACGCCTTACATTTATCAAGATCAGTACAGTTATAGCATCAAGTTTCACTTTCCTAGGTTCTCTAAGTTCGAAACCCAATATCCAATGCGTTCAACACAAAAGCACGAGCCAGTTTTTTTTCTCTAATTGTGCTACAGATGGCTAAGGTTTCCATAGCTTCGCTTCGAAATTAAAGTAATAAGCTTTACACTGCACTGAGAGAGGCCTGTAGGCTTCGTGCTTGATGCTGTCTGACTTGATGCTGTCAGTATTTGGAGGTGCCTTGCGAAGCTTCCTAACTCTCCGAGTTTGAAAGGCAACAAGTATCTGAAACAGGAGACAGTCATTTAAAAATTCCTCTTTTCAGCCGATATTCTATAAATTTATTACTACAAAGAAAGTATTCAATTTAAGATTCCAAAAATTTGATAACGCAGTTGGTTGCTTTTTGCTCATCACTATATTTTTACTGAAATAGTTTTAATCGGTTACAGGAAACTTGTTTTCCTGTTTGAGCCTGATTAATTGACTGATTTCTATTAATATTTATCGAATCTCGTCGCTGATATAATGAGGACAACGACTTAACATATAAATTATGTTCCAGGAATTTCAGATTAAACTTGGAGCTAGTTGTTGTTAAACTGAGTGTAGCGTAGAGAATCAAGTGAGATCTCACCAAAAGCTTGGTTGAAATTAAGGAAAGCAGCTACAGAGATGTCTATAGAGCTTCTCTGTTCACTCACCTGTCTCATTGATCGAGGTTTAACTTTCTCAGCGGCGAACTCATTAGAAGGCATACAATGATGCATCATGGATTCTTGCAAATGCATGTTTACCTCGGGAACTCGCTGCATTTCTTCTGTTTTCAGCTCTCAATCACAATCTTCACGTCTACCAGCCCCAGAAGAACAGTTCCGATAACTTTTCCTGCTACTGCCATCCTCTCTTCCCCTCTGTGTCTGATCTAGTTCATCGCTGATTTGAAGACGAAAGTTTCGGAGGGTGAATTGAGGTCGTCTCGGCCAAGAGGGCTGAGTAGTTGATCTCCATTGATGTGAGTCAGGAATTCTTTAGTTTCGCAAACATCTTTGTACATGGATGCCATCTTGGCCTCTGCTGCCTCTTGCAGATCTGTCAGACCAAGTCTTTCGGCGATTGTACACAGCGCGGAGTAGTTCTTCAGGTCAATTCTGTTTTCTGTGAATTCCTTCTTTACGAAATCACAACACAGTTGAACAACACTCGCGATTTGAAGCTGACTAGCGGCGAGAAGAACCTCAAATACGCTCTTCTGGTTGACATGAAGATCACCAGTGTAGATGGAGTCCATAACGATCTTGAATATCTCCAGCGAAATGCTTTTGTTTTTTATTTCGATCACTTCCTGGTTCTGGTGACATACGCCCAGCGATACAAAGATTAACTTGCAAAGATATCGATCAGATGACGGGGTCTCTATTGGGGCATAAAGTTCCACGATAATAATTTTGCAATTACAATTAAAACTACTAGTGGTATACCCGAAGAAGGTCGATGTGGTAAGTAAATCGAAATTTATCCTAAAATCATTGATAAATTCATCAAACGTATGACGTTCATCTTCATTTACATCTTCTCTCCGTACAACACCTCATTTTAAGTCATATCTTTTGCCTGGAATGACTTTTTAAAATCTCGTTATCCCCACATTCTACTGTAATTACGTATACACTTTGTTTTTCTTTAGGATGAAAATCGCGAGAAGCTAGCGTCAGCATTTTAATTACAGTTCAAGGCTCTCTCAAGGCCGATTAGTTTATATTTCGGAGAGAGCTGGTAAGAAATACTTTAACGACAGATATTTTACACCCGAGCATTATTGAGAGAGGTCTCCAACCCAGTGCTTATGTTATAAAAATAGGATGTAAGCTCAATCTGGCCATAACTGAGAACATATGGGTTATACCACAAATGTGACTATTTTTCCGTTTTTGCAGGTGATCATAGATATGAATAAGATTCAGAGTTGTTCTTAAGAAAAGTGCGTCAAAAAGGGATTTACTACAGATAATTCTCTTGCTCACAGGGGTCCTATAACCGTTATTCTCCGGTAAGTTACAGTGGCATGAGCTGATGTCCCAATACTCGCCCCTTGGGAAGGCTAGAAAATCAGTTATTTCTGACTAAGCATGAAAAAAAAATAAACTGGCACGTTATTAGTCTTTATTATTCAAATAAAATACTTATAACAAGCGGCAAAGCTTCCTTTTTAAAATAGTGATTCATTGACACCCAGAAAGTGAATTAGAAAAATATCTGTTGATAATCCCTGTTAACAAGTAAATAAAGCCCCAGAACTATCAGTGGCAAATAACGAAGCCTTACGTCTTTTAGATCGGAACGAATTCTACCGACATTCATGAAACGCAATAAGCATTCGGCTTTTGAGCTAGGACAACACCCCGGCATCCAAGTTAGACTAACTTTAGGTTTTATTTATTCTTCAGCTGACAAAGTTAACAACAGCAAATTTGATTCAAATTACAAGCATTACTCTGCTGTTAAACTCTCGTTCCTCACAGGTAGGTAGCACAACACTGCGTTATTATCAACCTTTCTAAGATTCTTCCATTCATCTAAAGGCACAGGATACACTTCTTCTGGTGGAATCCTAATTCCACTATCAATTGGGAAATTGTTGATGATGAAATACACCCTCCCTTCTACTTCAACCGCACCGAGATTGTTTTTAGGAATACGGTTTTGTTTAACATAGGTCCATTCGTTGTTTTGCTCATCATAAACTTCAACTGCTGCTCCTTTCCCACTGGGTGTGCCAATTAAGCTACAAATAGAACTCGTACCCCCTGCGATACATAGTTTCCTGTTTACTAAGAAAAGGCATGATCTAAAATGAGCACTTTTAGTTGATGTCTTACATTTCCACTCATTCCTTTCGGGATCAAAGCAAAAAATCACGGCAGATTTCTTCGCCCAGAAGTCAAACACGTCTTTATTAGAATTTTGTTTCCTTTGACCCTGAAGTACCAACAAATTTGAGTTGTCTGGGGAAACAACGGACGCTTTACCACAAAATGCATTCGGACAAGTTTCTCTGGTGTAAAATGGTTGTATACACTGCCATTGATTTGTTTTTAAACTAAACCTATGGGGTGGCTTCGATTCTCTAATTGCGTAGATATAATCACCAATAGAACATAAGGAATCGATCTTTTGATTACACCCTAAAATAGGTGGTAATGAGCCCCAGGTATCGGTAACTGTATCATAATGATACGTAATAAAATCTCTCCCCTTTTGCGCCGCTACATACAAGTGATTACCAACATATTCTGCACAGAAACATGCGTCTGCCTCAGTC